CAGAATACACCGGGAACAACGAAGGCCGGACAAGCGGCTTGAGTAGAAATGGGAGGGCATTCTGTTGTTATACTTGTCTTCTCAGTTCTTCTTCTGAGGCTTCTTGTTTCATGCTCTATCACTTCGGAGGTCGGCAATCCAGCTGCTTGGTGGAAAGGGTGGGCTTGACGCCGTTTTGAATCAACTGTTTGAAGTCCATTCATTCATTGTACACTTCATGAATCGCGCTCTTCTGCTTTGTATGATCTCCATCTGATATCCAATGACAAAGTATAACATGTGTAGGAGCTTGCGTGAGATGACCCCTTTCACCTTGCGGTGTCATAGTGGCATCGGAACAGAGTTCCCTACTCATTAGCTGAAGGCCTGTATCAACCAGATGAGTCTTGGATCAATATAGACTTTTCTTCAGGCGTACAATATGGGTCATGTGTTTGTGAGCATCATGACCATTTGGTCCTTGCGTTGTTGCCGGGGGATGAGTGTGTGAACCGCGATGGGATGTTCCCAATTGCGCTCAAGTTGTTTGATGCCGACGATACAAACTCAATAATCGTATTTCACAATCATGCAAAGACGAAGTCAAGTCGGTCGGACGTGCATATATTAACTAGGGATGCTCTACCAGCCTATTTTCAGGCCATCACCAAAAAACCCCAAACTCCTCCCCCTTTGCCTCCCTAGGAAGCAATCTCCATCCCAAGTTGCGCCGTGAGGCTTTGAGAATAATACCGATGCTGCTGCGAGCAGAAAGAATCTGCTGCCTAGGCCATCATCTAAAGAGGTATTTACTCGGGAAGAGCATCCTGGCACAGAACACCGAGATCGGCCTAACCACAACCCATTAGAATACAACCATTGATGAGAGAGAGTTTGGCTGCAGAAGAGAACTTACAATGCCGAGGGTGCAGCACTTGGCCTGGAGACCCTGGCGGGCGCAGATGGCGTCCAGGGGGTTGAGGATGGAGGAGACCTCCCGAGCTGTGAGGCGAAGAACATCCGTCAGCTCAGATGTTCACACTTTTCAGACTGGGAAGAAGTATGTCCACGGAAACTTACGAGTCTCGCAGTCGAGGTACAGGAGGTCGAGGATGCCGGCACCGCAGCACTTGGGGATGTTGTTGGTGACGCCGGCGGTGCAAGGGCCGTCGAAGTACTCGGCGGCTTCCTGGGCGGGCGCGGCGACGGCCAGGGTGGCGAAGAGGGCGATGATGGCGGAGAACTGCATCTTGAAGGTTGTTTCTGTTGTTTTCTTCTTGGGAAGGCTGGAGAAGATCTGAATGCGGATGGTGATGAGAGAGATGGATATCCAGAGAGGGACGAATGGCTCCTATTTATGCCTTCGGACGGTCGGGCTCGGTCCTCGGTTCCCTCTTGGCTGTCTTCCCACGAGCGTCTCTTCTCATTGTTTGTTTTCCGCTTGCTCCTCTGGTATGCCCATTGCCGCTGTCTTTGACTCGAAAATTGACTCGGTCCTCCCTTGGTCGCCCTGCTTCTGCCGCTTTTCTCGTTGGACGTTGATGTGAGACTCCCTTGCGTCGGGCGTGCAGTGTCCGCTCCCCTCGGCCAGCGCATTTCCGCGAAGACCCAGGACTCGACGGGCCGAGCGTAAATTTAAGCTATGAGGAGAAAAGCCGCTCGCGCCGTCTTTCGCGCAACTAGACATCGACATCGGAGCGGGCCGTCTTTCCTTTCCACTCTCTCCTTTTTCCTCTTCGATATTCCTTGAGGATAGCAGAGAGACCGAGAGAAAGCGCCCGTCAACCAAACCAAAGCGCGTCCAATGTCTGCGAAGGGAATTTAATACAAGGGAGAGCCCGCCTTGCATCACTAGATGAGAAATGGGACAGTGTTGGCTGGGCGCCTGTGGAGAGGATTTTTTGCGAGACATTGGCCGAGTCGGCCGCTCTCCCATCTTGCTCTCCCTTGGGTCGGGCTGACATAGAACGGTGAGCTGGATGAGAAAGATCCCGTGTCAACGTGTTTCTTTCAAGCCACAGGCAATACTATGACAGCATGTCTTGGTTGGAGGATAAAGGGACTCGGGAAGGGGGCCTTCCGTCGGATCGACCTGTCAGTGTCAGCTGAAGTTCAACGCGGCTGGTGTTTTGAAAAAGGAGGACATACAATGCCAAGCTCGAAGTGATACTTCACAGCTCTCTCATTCAATGCTACACGTTCCAAAGCACCGATATCAAGAGGAATGGACGTTATTGAGCACACATATCTACACCCCCGTCCAAGTCTAAGCCAGCGATGGAATCGGCGCAAGAGTCGTCATACTAGTGGAAGTGCAGAGTCGAGGAATGGCAGAAATCTTGATATCACTGGCCGCGTCTCACAATTACTACTACTACTACAAAGTTATTGTTGATCTCGGGGGCCCGAAAAGAGGCCATGAGACCGCTTGTTTTGGAGTCATCCCGTATATCTGGGTCCAGCATACATAGCTCCGGATACCAATACAGAGTGCACTCTCTCCCATTATTATGAACAAGGGAGGAAATATGTAACAGGCAGCAACATCAGAAGCAGGAGCAGCAGCAGCAGCACTACCGATTGCTCTGCATGGTCCTTGTCCTTGTCATTGCAATGAACGCGTCGTAAACTCGTCAAGCCGTCAGAAGCATTACCATTACACGACTATCATGCGCAACGGCTGTGTGGCGCATCACTCTTCTCCCCAGGTCAATCGATTCAACAGAGTCGAGTAAAGGCGCAGATAGGTGGCGTAAGGCAAAGCGTATGCCATTCAAGCTGAAGCTTCATAATCTCAGCATAAGTCTCTCCAGCTCTAGCACAGACACTGTCCTTCATACCGGTACCAACAGGGCAGCTCTCATCACCGCTGAGAAGTAGTCTTACACATGCGTCCGGTGAGAGCTGCATGTTTCTGCCTTTCTCGAGGGAGAGACAAGATACGCCGTGACAGAGCAACAGCAAGAAGAACCGAGTTGGCGGTCAGGCTCGGCTTACAGCTTCTGCCAAGACGTGCGGGTGATGCAGTTGAAGTCCGACACGGTCAGCCGTCCACCGGAGAAGCATCACGGGTGGTCTGACAACTCAATCCTAGACCTTTTGTTCTCCGTCCTTCCCCTTTGCCTCTTTCTTCAAGTGTCAAAACAAGGTCTCGGCCAGCCTTGCGGCCAGGACGCGCTGTCAATCATTGTAAGCGAGAACGATGCCTAATGAGTATGTAGTTTGGAAGTTGGCTGCATGTTTTTCCTGAACGGATCACATACACCCTGATACATCGGTGCTTTTTTCGTCCGTTCTTCGGAGTTGCCCTCCAAAGAATGATCGTGAGAACTTTCTTTGTTCATACCTTAGAGCCTCACGAACAGATAGAGCATGGGGATATTATCCACAGGCTAAAAGCATGCTGTAAGAGGAAGGATGACAATGCCCGTTGCCTGTGAGTTCGTGAAGGATGAAGTCGTTCGATTGTAGGTGTAAGTGCGTATACGTAACGTACGGCGGACTTCGTTTACCGCATTGAGTTGTCCTGCACCCTGGTCAACCTGTCATCGTCCACAACGCACCATGTCATATCAACTTGCATCACACTTGACATCGTCAGCTTGCCAGCAGACGGAGCAAACTAACCTTCTGAGACATCACGGATCATCCTTCCCTTGCCTCGTTGTCAGGGAGCCTCTTCCGTATTCGGATGATCATATCCATGATCGATTCATGGATGGAATTCCCTGTCTGATCATTGTTGTTCGGGCAAGTCGTCGCCGAATGGGTGCGTCTTCCTTTGACGGCAAAGGGTGCAGTCAGCCACATTCGAATCCTTCTAGTAGTTCGCCTTTCTGGGAGTGCCGAATAAAGCGAGTCTGGTTCCCTTGTCAACCCTAATCGGAGTCCAAATGCGGCAGTCAGGAATTCCGGAGGATCATTCCGACCCGCCGCGGAGGCGGAACTGCAATTGACAGCAGCGCGAGCAGAGCACTAGCTGGAGAACCCTGCGGCGCATGTCATCAAGTAAGGTGTAGTCTGATAACGCAGGTTGATGACATGCTCATGATAGGCGACGAGCATGCGTAGGCCATAGCATTGCGGATGAATGTAGGGCACATACCCTGTACTTGTACGAAAGAATCATTGGGTGAAGCTCTCTCGTGACTCTTCCTTCATGTCATCATCGTCTGATAACTTTGCAAACTGGATCGCAGTGTAGGGTGGCAGGCCTACATGTAAGCGAGGCTGAAGTTTGCACCTCGACGGGAACGAGAACGAGCCGCATCCTTGCAAGAGCATCCGCCTCGTAGTGAGGGAAGCAGAAACATATACTTTCCATGTCGGGTATTACACGCGAACACGGAATCGGAGTTGATGCAACCAGGAATCTAATTGCAACCCTCGCTGTTGATCTTGAAAGGGTTTTGAGTGTGCCTCATCTTTGATGGGCTGTTCTGGTGTGTAAGACGTGGTATGCATGCTATCGCCAAGTCGCTCGTATCTATGCGTGCTTTTACGCGCATCGGAGAGCCTTGACCAGCACTATAGAACTGCATGAATGACAGGACAGCTGTGATTGCGCTCCTGTTGCTCACTGGCCAATTCCATGTGGTAAGTCGTGGCCATGGTGCGTTTGTTTGAGGCGCAATACCGTCATGCGCCGTGACTCCTTGCCCCGGATGAGCAGCTCGGCAACGTCTGTCGAGGCTTGGCAACAAGCCAGTATGCTGTCCATCGTATCTGTCCCGTAGAGGCATTTTATCACGTAAAAAGAGCCCGCTGTAACCCTCTCGGCTGGTGAGGTTGCTCCGTGAAATCAGCCTTGGTCGAATCCAGGGTTTGTGTTTCATTCTGCTGCATCAGGGTGCGCCCACCCAAGCGCCGCTAGACAAGCTTCATCACATATCCTGCTCCGTGCTCGAACACGGTGGTATTATGCGGCCCGGGGTGCTGGACTGGAATGGTAAACGTTGATCAGCGACCCCGCAGGGCAAGAAGCGGACACTACCCTCATTTCTTATTCAGTCCATGGGTGTTCGTTGGGGGAACCGGGGATCGATGGCATGGGGGAGCGAGGGACCCCAATCAAAAGCACGTGTAGCCAGCCTTTCTGTCCCATATCACAAGTTGACAGACCACATGTTACAACTGTCGCAAACTACAGGTAAGCTGCAGTTGAGGATGAGGGGGGTTGTTTATGCCGTCGGACCCCATCAAGCGCCCATATTCTCGATCGAGACATTGACGTCGCTGTTGCTCATGACGCTGTTGGTAAATGTGCAAGGTAGATTGTAGCTGCTGATGGTAGCATCACATCGTTGATCTTGCTGATATCACATATTTTGTGGCTGCTGCCATGCAGGTGGTGGAACGGAGTACCCAAGATGATGACGCTCGGCCCTGTCTGTTCGGTTTGAGCTTCCTTGGCTTCTGATACCGACTCTTTGCATGCTTAGCTTCTTTGGGTATGTTGCCGGATGTCAAGTTGTTTGTTGATAGCGCTAGACCAAGCCTCTGCTGCAACTGGCTCAGAACGGATCGACTCTCCTCTGGTTGGGTCCAAGGAGGCCTGGGTCGAGGCACGCATTCCAGACGCATCCCACGGGTGTGATTCGAGAGCTGCGGTCGAGAGTGGTACAGCAGCACTTCGGGCGTTGCGTGGCACAACGTGCCACCAGTTGTCTGGGTCCTGCGATCCAGCTATCTGGGTTGCGCTACTGCTGTGTAATAATGGTATGTATTAGCAGAAGCAGAGACTCTTCCAAGGGTGGAAGTGATACAACTCATACCTGGATGCAGCACTTGGGAGCCAAGAGAAGGAGGCGTATCTTGGCCCCAAAAAGTAACCATTGGACAGGGTAAACTCCGTCGTTCCGCTTGTATGTACTTGCATCTCATACCTACTTCCGGGCGAGTAGGCAGAGCTGCAGAGCTACAGAGCTACAGGGCATGCTTGCACTCCGCGTGTATCGAGAATGTTCCGTAGCGCCTCTCTAGCTGTACTGACGTGAGATGCTATGGAGCAAGAGTCGCCTTTGCCTGGGAACCCTGAGGGCAAGTGGTGATGCGACTGGCCAAGGACCTGTACGAAGTATGGAGTATCAGGACCGGGCAGTGTCACAACGCATGCCGGACCCTTGCGAGAGACCGCGGTACTGGCATCGGTAGATCCCCAGAAGCCCTGACTCGCGCCATCAATCACAGCTCGGGTGGAGTGAGCAATGGTGCGATTGTGAGCGAGCGTACTCGTATCAATCTGCTTTCTTTTGTTGGCCTCGACAAGCCCGATCGCCTGTACGAAAGAGTTAATCCATGTTTCAGTCAACCACCAAGGGACACTCACACCAGGTGACATGCTGTTAGGTTGCGGCCGAGCAGCCCAGCCTCATCTTTATTGCCGACTTCCAGGCACTGCGCAGCCGACGATCCAAGCAACATGCCGTGCTTCGTAGTACTCCGTGCCGCGATGCCATGGTCTCGGAGCCAGGTGGCCCTTGCCCTGAACCCTTCTCATACCCGTACTTGTATATCCGTACATGCAATACCGGCTGACCGGGCCAGTGCTGCTTCCAGACCTGTGACCTTTCGGTGAACAATCGACCGACAAGGTGGTGCGGAGTCCGTCCGAGAGACGTGTGTCTGTCCTGTACTCCGTTGAGCATGCCGGCTCGTCCAAGACACATGCCCATGCCTGCGCATGTACTAAGTATCTCGTGTGCGAGTGACATGTCGGCTGCTGTAGCTCGTTGACTGCGGACTGTGGGCCTGGAGACTGTAGACTGGAGACTGTAGACTGGAGACTGTGGATTGCTGTGGATGGAGTTGAGGCAGCCAAACGATCCAGGTCCGATCATCACCAGGGCGGTGTCTGATTTGCCGGCTCTGTCCGCCTGCATCGTCAGGTACATGCGGCCCACGCAGTCCATGCGCCGCGGCGCAAGTACCGTCTGCAGCATCCTCAGGCCCAATCCCGACAATAAGGTACCTCTAGCCGCAGTGCGGACCACGCGCTAGCTGACGTACCAGTCGGGCACGGGTCCTTTTCTGCCGTGATGCTTCTCCAAGCTTCATCTCAGCCTCGCTTCCTCAAACCGCCCGTCGTCCTTCATGCACATCATCCCTCGTCCGCCATTGTCCAACATGCTTGCTTACATGAAGTATGTATTATCCCCTACCAGGCATTGCCAAGCGCACGGCCTGTCCCATGCCGCTCCATGACGGCAAACAGCATCCCCAACAGCTGCGTGCTGCCCGATTGGGCTACGGGAAAAGTTGCAAACAATCTCAGGATCCCTCTGACCTCGAGCCCTCCAATCGGGCCCCGTTCGATGGCTAACCGTGTCCGCCGCTAGCAATGTTTGCTTCGCCGGCCAGTGCGAGCTCCTCCCTCGGCGTTGCGGCGGCCAGTCGGCTTCTGGAATTGCTCCTGCTGTTGGTCCGGGGGTCCTTTTTTCTTCATTGAGGCTCCGTCAACGCATCCATTCGCTATCGCCATCGTATTGTGTGCCACACCTGCGTCCTCGCCCACACACCAGCACGGAGCTGCCACCGGCTTGAGAACGCGGCTTCTATCTCGACCCGGCTGCCTGGTGTCTCGTGAGGGTATTGCTGCGTGGACAGCCACAGCCTCTGGTCCCCCGTCTCAGATCATCCGGGCCTGGTTCATCATTACATGTACTCGCTTCCGCAAATCTGTCGCGTGGCGTCCATGGATCAATTGCCCTCCAGCATGCTGGCTTGGGGACTTGCAGCTAAATTCTCACCGCTTGTCGATTGGATCCTCCCCCTGGCCTTGGGCCTTTCCTGGTTCTGCCGCGGATACCGGTTCTGTGGGACCCCGCTCGTTTACCCCCGGTATTGATTGCTTCTTCCATCTCTCCCGCCCAATCAGCCGCCGCTGTCTCAACCACATTGTCGGGTTCACCACCGTTGGCCGGCCGTCCCCCCCGACTGGCACACGTCATTCACAAGCCGGCTCTAAATCTGCACCTTTGCTCAACTAGCCCGGGAACCTGGGTAGGGCCACACACGCAGCGTTTCAGCATAGGCTCTTGTTCGTTGCCAAGTACCAAGTCACCTCGTTCTCGCTTCTCCCAGAGTTGCTACCACCCGTACTAGCTGTATAGGCGAGAGAACGCCTAGAATCCCGCTGACCAGGGCACACAATCTTCTCTCTTCGAGCCGACTTTAGCCTGTTGCCGCCCCTAATCCATGGCTCGGCCCGCAGCCTGGGTCGATTCCTGGTTTTGACAGGCAGTGTGATACGGAGTAGAAGAGCCATTCGGGTGTTTCCTTAGGTGACTTGACCTTGCTACCTTGTTCAATCATCGGCGAACCGAGTATTCTAGCCCGTTTTGTGTCTGTGAAGCAGAGAATGCAGATTACTATTCCGCATTGCAACTAACATGCCCTGTACGGTACTTGTAAATGCGGGTTACCATTGAGACACACAGACAACGAGCTAATACTAAGATGCAGAAGCACTGTTAATTCGATTCGACTGGTCACATTATGGCACCTTCGCTTTGCTACTGTACTGCAGCAGAGCGAGGGGAGGGGTAGCTAGTCATGCCCGTACAGTACACTTTTTCGAATCATCCTTCCATCATCGCGCTGTGGTTGGATTGGAGAAGCGACAATTGCGCTGGAGCCACCTGGTTGTCCCCTTCAACCGCTATTCTAGTTGAGTTACCCATTGCGTCCACTCCGAGTCCTCCTTGAGCCGCTGAGCCGTTTCTGGCGCGGTCCAGAGCATGATCTCAATACCGTCGTGGATGGATGGCAGGATAATCACAAACCCATCCATGAAGGCCGGGAAGGCCCATCGGAGGGCCTTGATGTCTCCAAGCTCGGAGCCCCAGCGAGCCTCCTTGAGCATGTCTCCCAGCCGGGCTGGGGCCGTGACTAGCACGTCGTAGTTGAGCGGTGGCAGCAGCTTGTTGGCCACGTTGCCGCATGTCTGCAGCGCGCCGGTCAAAGACCAGATCTCTTCCGGAGTCCACCAGTCGATGGAAGCCGTAACCTTCTTTGCGAGAGCATAGAGTGATTCAACGCCTGGAGCTTCAAGCTCTTCCGCTGTTGCATTGGCCTTAGCCAGAGCAATGGCGTTTCCAGGGTACTCGAGGGGCAGCGGCGGCTCCACGCGCCTCCTCACATTGACCGAAGTGATAAGCGAGCTCTGGGAGACCTGCTTCTCCGTCAGTCGCCGGGCCCTACTCACTTGCTTCCAGATAAGCGCGGACAGTGTCGCATTGGCTGTGACGGATGCTTCCTCCTTGGTCCGGGGGACGGTTGCGTCTCGGAGAGCCTCGAGCTTCGCCTGGGACATGGCCCAATGGGACACTCGGATGAGTTTGGCTATTCCTTCATGGTCGCCCGAGACAGCCTTCTGCAGGACCTTGGCCTGCATGTCCTCGTATGATCGATCTGGGCCAACCTGGTATGTGGGGAACTCTGACAGCGGGCGCTCCATGCGTGGACCGAAGAGCTGAAAGGCGTCCAGCGATTCGTTGCCCATTCGTTGCTCGTCGGGGACGACTAGGCCCTCCGACACAGCGGCCACATGCTTGGCCCAGACGGCCACGAAGGTGCCCATGCCCTGGGCGTCCATGACCACATGATGGCCGCCAAAGGTAAGGACAACGCCGCCGTTGATCAACGTCGCCTGCAGCGTCATGACGGGGCTTCGTGCAGAATGGCCCAGAGGGCTTGGGGCAAACTGAGACGCAGGAAGCGCGGAGAAGGGAAAGTTGCGGCGCTCCAGGTCCTCATAGTCGACGTCTGGCAGCTCCTTGACATGGAACCAGACGCCCGAGTCCTTGTGATATTCCAGCTGGATGGTGTCGTCCTTTGGGTCCAGCGGGATGATGTCCGCCGCCAGAATGTTGAGCTCGTCAATGGCCCGCGAGAGGCCCTTCTTCAGATTGTCGAGAATTACGGGCCGGAGCGAATGGTCTTCGACTTTAAAAAAGACCATCATTGGGAGAATGACCCTGACCATGTATTGGTCAAGCGGTGTGACTGATATCCGGCCAGGCACGAGCGGGATGCTTGGCCGAACCAACGTCTTTTCTGAGAAAGAGGCAATTGAACCCATTGTTGCAAAATACGCACAGGCCGTGTGCAGGAGATGTCGTCTTTGTGCGGAGGAGGAGGCGATGGTGTATAAGCTGCTCTGGAGATGGGATCTGAATCGCCGGGTCGGGGGTAATTTTATACTACCCGCGGCCCTCTTGAGCTATCGACGCACCGGCCGTTGGAGTCAAGCGCGTCTCCAGAATTCTCGCCGGCCACTTTTGTTGGCCACCCTGCGAGGCCGGTCCCCCTTCTTTTTTTCCTGCCAATGCATGTTGTTGTCACCATGGAGTCGAGACTGGCCTAATCGTTGTCGTTGCATTCAATGCCGATGCCAGTGCCCACGGTCTTTTTGTTCCCCTTCCTTCTGTTCCCCTGCCCCCCCGTCTCCGTCCGTCTCCGCCTCCATGCCATGCAATCAAAACCGGGGCTAAGGAGCTTAATCCATACGAGGTTGGCGTACTATTCCCGCCCGTTCCCCCTGCTACTACTGCTTCGGCAATCGCATATATCTTTAGCCTCGAACCTGACATGACGGTCCTCCTTCTCTTCTTCCTATACCACAATCCCTAGCTCTACAGTCGAACCTCCTTCTCTCCCCTCTTCTCCTCTGCAGACCATGGCTTCGACAAACGGCATTGACCCTCGCTGGCTTGATGCCAACGGGGACGAGCCTATTGCCATCATTGGAACAGCCTGCCGGTTCTCAGGTACTGCTACCAATGAAGACGGTCTATGGCAGCTGCTGTCAAGCGGCAGGACCAGCTGGGCCAGCAATGCCAGAAACCGATTCAAGATGGAGTCGTTTTGGCACCCTCAGGCTCACCTCGCCGGTTCGGTACGTGTATCTTCTGTTGACAGTGATGAAATAGAGAGAGACAAAGTGGAAGAAGAGAGCTCTTCCACTTCAACACCGTTGCCTCCCCTGTTACCGATGTACTGATAGCTGACACTCGTGTCCTCCTTGTAGACCAACGCTAGAGGCGTTCATCTTCTCCAACAAGACCCTGCTGTCTTCGACAGTGACTTCTTTGGCATCAGCGGTGTTGAAGCCAAAGCCGTGGATCCCCAGCAGAGACTTATGCTCGAGGTGGCTTACGAGACCTTTGAGAATGCCGGCATTCCCATAGAACAATTGGAAGGCTCCAATACTGGCGTTTTCTGTGCCGTATCCTATACTGATTACGACCAAATTCTTGGTCGGGATCAAGAGACATCACCAATGTAGGTTTCCACTTCCTCGGACCCCCTTCTACACCAGCGATGGAAGTACAAGGTGGGATTGGGCAGCACCGTATCGACATACGCTCACCGCCGTGGTATAGGTACCGTTTCACGGGAACAGGACCCTCTCTCACATCTGCCCGTGTGTCGTATGCTTTTGACTTGCACGGGCCAAGCAAGTCTGTCGACACGGCTTGCTCTAGTGCCTCGGTGGCTTTACACGACGCCATCCTGGCCCTGCGAGCTGGTGATGCTGACCAGATCCTGGTGGGGGGCTGCAATCTGATTCTAGACCCTGACAAAATGTCCATCATTTCATCCATGTCGTAAGATTTAGCCGCCCTCCTCTTTCGGTTATGTGGTGGCGTGTCGCTAACGGATCCAAGCTTCCTCTCCCCTGACGGGCGATGCTATTCTTTCGACGATCGCGCCAGCGGGTACGCCCGAGGCGAAGGCGTTGTTGGCATGCTCCTCAAGCCCCTTAGCGCAGCCCTCCGGGATGGCGATCCCATTCGATCAGTGATCCGAGGCAGTGCAGTTGTGTCCGATGGTAAAACCCCGGGCATCACAATGCCATCGCCTGACAGCCAATATGCAGCTATTCAGCGCGCGTACTCGGTAGCTGGGCTTGACCCCAAAGAGACCGTTTATGTGGAAGCACACGGTAAGACACCCGCCCATGGATGAGAGGCCGTAAGCCACCAGTTTCACTAACAGAGAAAACTCTCAGGCACCGGTACGAACGCGGGAGACAATGTCGAAGTCACCGCGTTTAACAAAGCGTTTTGCTCAGACAGGTCTGGCAAGCTCATTATCGGCAGTGCCAAGTCCAACTTGGGACACACCGAATGCGTGTCAGGCTTGACTGGCTTATACAAGGTTCTGTTGATGCTTGAGAAGGGCGCTATTGTCCCGACTCCCACTTTTCAGAATGCCAACCCTCGGCTGCAATTGGAGGCGAGAGGGCTAGAGGTGAGTAAAAACCATTGGCATGGCTTCTTCCCAGATATGAAAAGCAATGTAACCGACTGACCGATGTTTTCCTCTTTAGGTTGCATCCAAGCTCCAAGAGTGGCCAGAGGGAACAATCCGCCGAGCATCCGTGAACGGATCCGGATACGGTGGCACCGACACCCATGTCATTCTTGAAGCCTGGTCACCGCCAGCCAAGGCGATTAACTCAACATCACAGCTTGAGTTGAGAGGACCTCGTGGTGCGGCTGTCGGTGAGACCCCCTATGCCAGCCCAAAGGTTTTTGTGTTTAGCCACCAGCGAGAAGATGGCTTCTCCAAGTTGGCTGATTCATGGAAGAAATTCATCATGGAGGCCAAGGCAAACCACAAAGAGCTGTCCCTAGACGACTTAGCCTATACGCTGTCGTCTAGGCGAACCCGATTTGCACAGAGAGCTTCATTCATTGCCTCTAATGTTGACCAGCTCCTGGACGGCATCAAGAAGATTGAGCTTGGGTCAATTCGACCTGTTAAAGCACTTAGCGATTCGCGAACGTGCTTCATCTTCACTGGTAAGTCGCTACGACTGGAGTAGACCCGAACAGAACTTGTCTGCTGACACTTCTTTTCTTTCAACCGTTAGGCCAGGGAGCGCAGTGGGCTCAGATGGGCTTGGAACTCTTCTCCGCCTATCCTCTCTTTTCCGAGTCGATGCGTACCTCTGAGAGGGAGCTCATTCGACTGGGCGCAACCTGGCGCTTGATCGATGAGTTGAAGAAGCCCAAAGAGGAGTCCCGTATCAACGATGCCGAGTTGGCTCAGCCATGCTGTACCGCAATTCAGGTCGCATTCGTAGACCTCCTTGCCTCGTGGGGCGTGCATCCCGACGTGGTGTGTGGCCATTCAAGTGGTGAGATTGCGGCGGCATACGCTGGTGGAAGCTTGACTGCATCAGAAGCTATCAAGGTGGCTTATCACAGAGGCAAGTCCGTTTACTACCTCATGCTGAAGAAGGGCACGAGGCAGGGAGGCATGCTTGCTGCAGGTCTGTCGGAGACCGACGCGCTCAAGTATACCTCCAAGTACAGCGAGCAAGCAGTCAACGTCGCATGCATCAACAGTCCCTCCAGCGTCACGATATCAGGTGACGTGTCGGCTATTGAGGAGATTTCTACCAAACTGGAGGAAGACGGCGTCTTCAACCGACGGCTGGCTGTCCCAGTGGCCTACCACTCTTTCCACATGGCTGCCATTGGAGAGTCGTACGGCGCAGCACTGGAAAACCTCCAACCTCGCCAATTCAAGCCAAGTGTGCGCATGATATCCTCCGTCACTTGTGAAGAGGTTGACGGCCGAGAGCTGGATGGCGACTACTGGGTTCGCAACCTGCTGCGTCCCGTCCGCTTCGCGCCAGCCTTGGCCAAGCTCCTCAGCCTCCCCGTGAAGGGCAGTACATCGTCTGCATTGCCGCCAACTGTCCTGGTTGAGCTTGGCCCTCACCCGGCACTGCAGGGACCTGCTACTCAGACGGCAAAGACCGTCGGAGGGCTCCCTCCCGTGAACTACTTCTCCTGCCTGAAGAGAAAGGAGGATGCAGTACAGAGCGTGCTCACGCTTGCGGGTGGCCTGTTCAACTATGGCCTCCCCATTACGCTGACGGGTGCCAACAATCCTCTGGGTGCTCCCACCAAGGTGTTGAGCAACCTGCCGTCGTATAACTGGAACCACGGCAAGACGCACTGGAACGAGTCCCGGCGCAGCCAGGCGTACCGCCTGCGAAAGTTCCCCCGCCATGATCTTCTTGGATCTGCAGCTGCTGATAGCATCAGTGCTGAGCCGTCTTGGAGGATGTTCGTTCGGCTTTCCGAAATCCCGTGGGTCAGAGATCATTGCATCGACGGCCAGATTGTCTTCTCTGCGGCTGGCTTCCTGACCATGATTGTGGAAGCCGTAAAACGCCAGTCCGTTGTAGCTCAGCGGCCTTGGAAGAGAAAGGTGATTGAGTTCAAGCAAGTCGTCATTGACAGGCCTCTCCTTGTCCAGGAGGACGCCTTTGGTGCCGAGGTTTTCATTCTTCTCCGACCTTACTCGGTGACAGCTCGTGATGCGAGCTCGAAGTGGCAGGAGTTCCGAATCTACAGTGTCTCTCAGAACAACGAATCTACAGAGCACTGTCGGGGCTTGATCGGTCTGTCGGAGAACAAGGGCAAGTTGGGAAGCCCCTCGGAATTTGCAGCAGGTGGTGCTTGGGCGCAGCTTGAATCTAAGCAGTTATACAAGATCCTCAGCAGCTCCGGCAATGGTTATTCGGGCTGCTTTGCCAACCTTGATAAAGTCTCAGCCCGGGCCTGGGAGTCCAACTGCGAGCTGACTGTTCCTGATGTCAAAGCTACAATGCCCGCGGGCCACCAAGAGCCGCACCACATCCATCCCACAACACTCGAAGGCTGTTTGCTGGCATGCCTTCCTGGTGTGAGGCTTGGCCAGGGCTTGGACGGCCCTCAGGTCGTCGCCTCTATTGATGAGCTCTGCATCTCGACGGATATTGAACTTCAACCAGGGCACAAGCTTTCACTTACGGCCAAGTCAAGTCCACATGGATTGAGACAGCACATTTCGGACATTTTTGCAACGGATAGTGCAAAGAATGTCGTCGTTCGAGTTGGTGGAATCAAGTTCTCGTCACTGGGAAGCTACCAAGATGAGGCAAATGTTGTTGATGATCCTCTGTGTCATCAGGTCGAGTGGCTCATGGATCCCTTTTCTTCGTCCAGTGAAACACTGGCCGCTTACTGCCAGAGAACACTGGATCCCAATGCTGGGCAACCAAGAGAGACTTACAACTCAATCTCTCAGGCTGCCGGAGATGAGTGCTTCAAGAGATGCTACGCACAGCTTGCCGAGTATCTCAAGCTGGTGCAGTACAAGGTGCCCAACCTGCGTGTCCTGGAAGTCGGCGGCGGATCTGGCGCCTTGAGCTCTGTGCTCCTTGAGGCCCTTTACGGAGACAAGCGAGACTATGCTACTACCAAGGGCTCCTATGTCTTCACTGATGTCTCCGACGTGTCCATTGCCGGGGCCCAAGAGGCGCTGAAGGCGTTTGAAGGCGTCGTGGAGTACAAGACCCTCGATGTAGAGCAATCTCCGGCTCAGCAGGGCTTTGAGCTCAACTCCTTTGATGTCATTGTTGCATCAAATGCCCTCCATGCCACGCAAAGCCCCGAGCACAACCTTGGCAATCTGAAGAGCCTCCTGAAGGCCGGTGGCCAGATTGCCTTTGCAGAAGTCGTTGCGCCATCTCAGCGATGGGGCCTCGACGGGACCTCCCAAAACTCTCTTTTGTCCACGCCAGCATGGGAAGACGTCCTCGTCAAGAGCGGCTTTTCTGGCGTGTCACTCGAGTTGAAGGACTTTGCATCTGACGAGGAGCACAAAGTAAGCCTGCTCATCTCCAATGTTGCCAGCTCCGGAGCGAATGCGGACATTGGAAGCATCTCCATCTTTACCGGACGACAGGGCGGTTTGGCGGAGGAGTTGCGCAGTGGCCTGGCGACTCAATATCCTGGCACCGTGGTGTCCACCGTTCCGCTTGCCAAAGAAGCGGCATCTCCTGGTGCCTACATCTTCCTTTCGGATGTTTCTGAGGACTTCTTATCAGAGAAAGACTGGGAGAACGTCCGAGACATCCTCAGCAGCGCCACGGCTGTGCTGTGGGTGACGAAAGGAGCCTCCTTGCCCCATCGCGCACTCGTTACTGGATTGGCGCGCAGCCTGCGTTCGTCCAGAGCCGACCTGAAGTTCTTCACTTTGGAGATAGACGCGAACTCAGAGGAGGCTGCTGGCATTTTGCAGGTATATGAGAAGTATCTGAGCCCAAGTGCTTCTCCCTACTCTGCGTCCGAGTGGGAGCTTGCCATCTCCGACGGAAGCATCGTGATACCGCGCTTGTTGGAGAACAAGGTGGTCAACCACCAGGTGCAGGACACTACCTCAAAGTATCACCCGCGAGATGAAGCTTATACCGACCTTGACCGATCACTGGGTCTCCGAATCAACTCCGTTGGAGTGCTGGACTCGCTGTACTGGGCGGATGATGAGGTCCATGCTCAACCTCCCAGCGCATCGCAGGTCAAGGTTCGACTGGAAAGCTTTGCGCTCAACTTCAAGGACATGCAGACTATCACTGGCCAGCTGGAAGGCAACTCTTCTCTCCTCCTTGAGGGAAGTGGCACAGTCGTTGAGGTCGGCGATGCTTCCCAGTCAAGCCTATCCGTGGGCGACCGGGTTAGCTTCTTTGCCCCTGATGGACTGGCTACCGTCAGCAACGTGGATGTTCGCCACGCTGTCAAGGTTCCGGGAGACATTAACAGTGACATTGCTGCTGCGGTTCCGCTGGCCTACTCGACTGCTCTTTATGCTCTCCGAGACATTGCCAGGCTTCAGCGAGGCGACAGCATCCTGATCCACTCCGGAGCTGGAGCAGTCGGCCAGGCCGCAATTGCGCTTGCAAAGGCCTTCGGCGTTGAAGACATCTTTGTCTCCGCTGGAAGCCAAGAAAGGGCAGAGTTCATCAGCAGCACGTTTGGCGTCCCAGCTGGCCGAATTGTATCCAGCCGAGACCTGGATTTGGGTCATCGTATTCTTGAGTTGACGGATGGCCGAGGCGTCGATGTCGTTGTCGGTTCTCTCTCTGGAGATGCCTTCTCAGAGAGCTGTAGCGCCGTTGCTCCCTTTGGCCGAATCGTTCAGCTTTGCGAGCGAGATGTCGCCAACAATGGACGACTTGACATGAAAGCTCTCCAGAGAAATGTTTCTCTTTCTGTCGTGAACATGGGCTTCCTCGCACGAGAGAGGCCCCTCGTGTTCCACGAGCTGCTGGAAACTTCCTTCAGCATGCTCCAGAAGGGGACGTTGGCTGTGATTGGCCCGATTGTGTCGTCTCATGCTTCCAAGGTTGCAGAGCAGCTTCGCTTGATCCAGGCGGGCGATTTCATTGGCAAGTCGGTGTTCCAGCTTGACGCCAGTCTGCCATTGAAGGTTAGTTACTCATTTGCATCCCTCTCTTGTATGCGTCCTGTGTTCAATGCTTTACTAACTCGATTTCAAGATTCAACCCCAAAAGCCGAAGCCTGCGGCCCTGCGAGAGAACAGCTCTTACCTTGTCGTCGGTAATGCTGGAAAGCTGGATGCAGCAGTCGCCAAGTACTTGGCCAAGCTGGGAGCTCGCCGCTTGATCTCGTGTCAGGGCTCTGGCATTGAGGCGGTCTCGGACGAGATCAAAGGCCTTGGTGCTGACGTTGTCTTGATCCCCGGCATCACTTCCAGCCAGCTGTTTGTCGATCAGATCCGAGAAGCAAGCGCGGATGCCCCCATTCGGGGCATCATTCTCGGCGATTCCGAAGTTTCTGTAAGCAGAGCATTCGACGCCTTTCAAAGTGTAATAACTGACAAGGCCGATCAGGACGCGGACATCAAAGCTGTGTCATACTCTCAGTGGTCGACTGCCGTTGCGCTCGCCACCACAGGCATCACCAGCCTCCAGGAGGCCTTTGGCTCCAACCTTGACTTCTTCATCCTGCTGAACCGCACCTCTGCTTTCGTGGGTGGCCCTGAGCAAAGCATCGCCAGTGCCATTGGCGCATTCCGGGATAGCTTCGCCCAGGCCCAGGCCAGCCAGGGCTTCCCCGTCGAGGCGATCGCCCTCGGCGCCGTGCAGAAGGAAAGCTTCGGAGATGACACCGAAGACCTGCTCCCTCCCTCCGACGTCCGACCGCAGACGGTGGAGGAAGTCCTCGCCGTGATCAACTACGCCATCCAGAGCCCCTCCTCCTCCAAGAGCCAAATCATCTGCGGCGCCAGCCAATTCGCCCCCAATCCCGCCTCCCCGTCGCAGCAACAACGCCCAGACGCCCGCTTCGCACACGTCTGGTCCCGCGTCGCCCCGCGGGCCTCCTCCAAGGGCGGCGACGACGCCGCCTTCGACGTGCAAGCCGCGCTGCGCAGCGCCGCCACCGGCGAGGCCGCCATCGAGGCCGTCTTCATGGGCCTGAAGCAGAAGCTCGCCAAGCTGCTGGCCGTGCCGACGACGGAGATCCAGCCGGACCGCGCGGTGTCGAGCTACGGCGTCGACTCGCTCGTCTCGGTCGAGCTGCGCAACTGGATCACGGGCTACCTGGGCGGGCACGTGCAGATGCTGGAGCTGATGAGCTCGATGGCCATGGTGCAGCTGTCGGAGGTGATTGCCAAGAGGTCCCGGCTGGTGCCTGCGAGTGTCTTTGGGGGTGCGGAGGAGAAGAAGTAAGGGGAGGGGGGTTGCTGGATATTGATCAGTTGATCAGTTTGACTGATCAGGGGTTAGGGTTGTGGAGGATTTGTTGGAGGATTTTGGGGTATCTGACATGAGACACGACTTTATGGCCTTCTTTATCTTGACTTGTTTTGATGTTTTGATTTACTTGGATATGAATATATGTTTCTTCCGTCTCTTATAGTTGTCTCGCCGTTTGCTCTTTTGATTCATATATATAAGTCCGAACAAGACCAGGAATACAACAAGACTCTTTCATTGATTACATTAAAACGCCCCCATCATTCAATATCGAATACAACACCCGTCTAAGGATATCATTGCTCATGATCCATGTCATGCCATGTCAGGCCGTAAAGGCCATTGCCCATAAATAACACCTCCCCCACGAAAAAAAAAAAACACCACCAGCAGCAGCAGCAACAGCAGTATCTAATTGTCTAGTCATCATCATCATCGTCAGTGCAATCGATCCTTACCTCCCTGTCTCGCCCTCTCCAACTCCGGCGTCCTCGTCAACCTCGCCGGCGTCTTGTCGCTCGAAACCTCTTCGACCGTCGTGTCCAGACGGACGTGGAAGACTTTTCCGCGCCAGTTGACCGTCGTGCCGAGCAGCACCGCCCGCGTCCAGATCGGCAGAGCGAGCGCTTCTCGTGCGATCCATGCCGGCAGGAACTCTACGAAGCGCCGCCTTGGAAGACCGAGTGGACTAGCTGACCCAAAGGCAAACTTGGGCGTGTTCTGGTCGGTTTCAATCGTGCAGCCTGTGTGTAGGTGCTTAAAGGTACGCCAGTCGACCATCATCCAGGCCAACATGGACGCAAGCCAGATGAAGCCCATGGCCGTCCACGTCTGGGGGATGCCGAGCAGCCGAGCGCACCCCGGCAGCGTCGTTAGGCCAAAGGCAAGATATGCGCAGCAGAGCACCGACTCGACACCTGGCTCGACCAGCGTAGCCGCCAGCACGGTGAACTTCCTCGCGCGCAGCCATCGGACGCGCCGGGCGGCGTAGGCGGACACGGACATGCCTGCCATGGGCTGCAGCACCAGGTCGCCCCAGGCGATGCCGTGGTTCAGGAAGCCCGGGATGTTGGAGCGCCAGAGGAGGTCCCCGATCAGATGGTCCTCGCAGATGTTGTGCGAGAAGTAGTCGACGCCGCGCGGACGTCCCTCGTTTGCCGGGAGAAGGGGATTTCGCGCGGGATCAGTGACGTGGTCCAGATGAGCCTTACGGAACATGTTGCTCTTGCCGACGATGCAAGGCGCGACGCCCACGACGTTGATGGCGCCGTAGAACTTGACGTGCGTCGTCGCCATGAACATTTCGTCGAGACGGCCGCCGCCGTTCCTCCACAGCCGGCGCCATAGAGGCTCGTTGGCCGGCGTGTCCGCGGCAGCTAACCCCAGGAATTTCTGGTTCTCGGCTGTAGCGCTGTGCTGGAAGTCGACGACGTCGACAACAAGCGGCAGCTGGTGGACGAACTTGTACGGTTTACGCGCGGGTGCGTCAGGGGCGGAATAGCCCATGAGCGTGTCCACCATGCGCCCCAAGACGCCGCTCGCAACCCAGACGTTGCAGTCGATGATCCATATGACGTCGCCGGGCGCCTCGCGGTAGGCCCTGCTGATGTTGCGAATCTTTGGGTTCGGGCCCAGCATGTTGACGCGGCCTTGGGCGCCGTGCAGGACGGGATCCTCGGCCTCGACCAGTATCTGCGCATCGTAGTCGGGAAAGTCCTTGATCAGCTGCTGCAGGACCGGGTAGGCGGGGTCGGTGGTGTCTTGTATGCATAGGCGGATGGAGACCTTTTGGCGTCGGTAGTCCTGGCGAAAGGTCGAGGCTATGCATTCGTAGAGGCAGGGCTCGAGGCCCTTGACCGGCCGGATGATGGTGACGCTGGGCGCATCCTCGAGCGTGGACGATACGGACGGCGGGTTTCGTTCTTTGAACTTGACGAATCTAACGGATGAAGGGGACAAGAGATTAGAGGCAGCTCCTCCGAAGCAAGAAGCAGAGGCGGGACGGAGGGCTGCTTACATGGCCGTGATGCCGACAGTCTGGACGAGAACGACGACGACGGCCCAGACAAGGCAGACGGCGGCCAGGAGCTCGACAAGGCTAGTCATTTCCAACGCCCGCGATCAAGACACGACCATTATCCTGTCACTTGGAGCGTAAAATATCACCTGCGCATGCGGACGGACGAGCAGGACATGGTAGGTTATAAGTCGAGGCGCCGAGGACGTACAGCAGGTGGGTAGACGTAGGTGAGGCAGGGATCGGAGGTATCACAGGTCGGAAGGGGAGGGCAAGCAAAGAGAGCGAACAAGCCACAGCCACAGCCGACACGGCCCGGCCGGAGATTAATTAATATAGACGAAGACGAAAAGAGGGTTACCGGCCTCTCGGGAGCAGACTGGGACGTTGGATCGTATGGAGAATCAAGGAGAGGAATACATAGGAACGGTAGGCGGAAAAGATGGCGATCAGGAGGGAAAAAATCAGCCTTGGCGATGTCGGGTTAAGCCTGGCCCGCTTGGACAGGCCCTGGATGCAGTCGCTAGGCCTAAGCGGGAAGCAACTAAGTAATAGGTAGTAAGTACATAAGTAGGTAGCAGGGACAACGAGAAGCAAGCATCGTCACCAGAGAGAACATTTACAGCTGGACAAACGGTAGAGGGCAAGGGCCGTGCGTGTGACGTCGGCAGGGTCTTGTTGATTTGATGTTGGGCTGAGGCATCTCGCGATCTCACGATAGGCGAGTACCTGTGCGCCTGAAGATGCCCAAATCGTGTTTAGCAGCAGAGCACCAGCCAACTCTTATTGTTTGCGGCTGTGGCCATGTACTTTTTGGAGCTGTGGCTCGTATCCCGCTAACGGGGGCTTGTGTACCTAAGCAAGGGAGCTACACAGCTTGAGCATGGACGCTTTACGGCTCATCCAATTGGTTTGATGCCAGTCAAACTGCCTTTGATCAGTGAATGAAGAGGAGTGAGATCAAGCCCATTATCTTCTCTATGCCGGTTTGTAAACAGACGCTGGTTAATTTCACGGCGCTTCATCAGCCAACCAAAGAAATCAGCTTGGCGGCATTATTTGTGAGCACCGAGCTCCACCAACAAAACCTGAAGCTCTTTTCTGCGCATGTGATGTCACAAGCTTCAGCGGCTGCTTATCAGCTGAGCGCTCAATAACCCGCACAAAGCAGCAAAGCTCTCCTAAACAAACGAATTGCTCGAGCTGCTTTGTTCGTCAGAAGACGCAAAGCTTCACAGTGAGTTTTCAAGTACATACGTATTCATCGCACATCACGAATGGAGACGGGAACCTTCCATCATCTGTCCCCAGAGAGCAGCCCCATCTTTCAGGGCCTATCAGCACCGTTAGGGCAACCTGCAGGGCTTGCGGTGCCTGAGACGCCCTGCAACGTGCCCTGAGCCGCCGGTAACCCCCCAGGTGCCGCGCCTGCACAATGCCGCTACGCTGCATCGAGCCACTGCAGGTCACACACACACTCACACTCACAGAATCTTCCATCAAGTTGGCGCCTGGAGCCCCAGGCATCAAAGCCATCGGATCCGCTGGGCGGCTTTCTCCGACCAACCGCCGAAGAAAATCCTCATCCGTGCGACCAGAAAAATTTCCCTCTTGTTCTCTCCCAAACTATCTGAGAAGCAGAAAAGTAAAGCTTCCCGCGACACTCGCCTTGTCTGCAGGTCCCAGACTGGTACGCCATCTCCATTGCCTTTCTGGAACCAGTTGGACAAGATCCAGCTGGACTCGATCTGCAAGAGGAGCGTCGTGTCAGTTACCGGGCCATGGCTTGAGAGAGGTGAGTCGATTTTATCTCGATTTTTTTCTTCTTGTTCCCTTCCACACGCATCCTTATCCCCCACGGCGCTTTTGCAGTCCTTTGTGTGCCGGAGCTTCAGTTCGGCTTGAGCATTCCACTGCTCAGGCTGCTTCTCCAGTTCTACCGCGGCGGAGAGCCAAAAACGTGTGCCTTGAACCAGGCGCAGCAGCCGGAGCTTTTCTTCCTTGATTTCCATCCCGCTGTCATGATGATGACCTTTTGAGCAAAGAGCGACCATTCATTTGGAGACCTCTGTGAATGCCATGTAATTATAGACTACAACGGTATCTGATCAGCAATGGAAAACTGCCTTTTGTTTATTTTGTCATCACGCTGCACACGCTTTGGAGCTTCACAAACTGACTCGAGTGCTGCAGGTCCAGCCAAAATGATCCCAGTCCGAGATGGCTGAGATGCAAGTTCATACTGAGGCCCCCTTGCTAGGGACGGCTTCACCTATTCCCAAAGACCCCCAAGTCAATGGAAAGGCCCAAGCTGAAGCGTCAGCTCCAGCTCCAGCTGCGAAACCGCAAGCCAGAGGCCCTTCTCTCCACCAGATATACGCCCTGCCTGCACCCATCCGAACCTTTCCCCTGCCAGCCTTCTACCCCAACAACCCCGTGTCGCTGCTGCACATTGCCTACGCATGGCTTGGCCAGGTTTTCCGCCCGCCACCCGCAGAGCCGGCCGTGATCCACCACGGCGTCTGGTCTGAGACGACCATCTCCGTGCACATTAAAGATGAAAAGTCCATGAGGGCCTTGTGGGAGCAAGGCTTCTATGGCAAGGGTAACCTGAGTCGCAGTGAGCCTAACTGGCTCAAGAGGGAGCAGGTCCAGCGAGGACTCCAGGAAGCCCACGTCAGCGAGATTTTCACGCAGCAGAGGCGAGAGGAGCGAGCACAAGCCAAGTGGGAGCGTGCACGACTTGAGCAGGAAGCCATTATGAAGACGAAGCTTGAAGAGGAGCGGCTGGCTGCATCTCGTGCCTTGGAAAAGCAAGAGGCCGAGAAGCAAGAGGCCGAGAAGCAAGAGGCCGAGGAGGCAAAGGCCCAGAAAGCTCGGGAGATACAAGACGCAGCCGTGCCAAAACTTGCTTCGCTTCCCCTTGCGCCCGTTGGCCCGTTGGAGCTCCTCGCACTCCCAAACTCCGCCGTCGTATCACTGCCAGTGCCTGCCCCGACTCCTCTACCCTCGTTTGCACCTCCTGTTGGTCCGCTGCAAATCTTGGCGTTGCCCAACTCGGCTGCCGACATTGTCAAGCTCACCACCGTAAAGGCCACCCTCAAATCCAAGGCAAACGGATCCTTGACACTCTCGTCCCACCACGGTTCGTCCACTGACGAGTCGGAGGAGCCCCGAACCCCCATCACAACGGATAGCCCGGAGCTGTTTAGGGATGACCGCTCCGTAGACTCATCTAGTGATGGCACGGGCAACACGAAGCTGCAGCGCAGAAAGAGCGTGCGGTTTTCGCCCACGGTGGAATCGGCCACGTACAAAGCGACGGACCCCCCGAGCCCCAATCGGTCTCCGCCCGTGTCGTTGTCCCAGCCATCTCAAGTCAACGGCCATGGCAAGTCGAATGGCCAAGCGCTCCCCCAGCTGCCGTCGGCGAGCCCACCCGTGTCCGATCCCATCATCAACAAGGAGCACCTCCAGCTGATGCCGGAAGAAGCCTTCTTCCTGTCTTTTGGTCTGGGGGTCCTTGAAATCACGGATCCCGCGTCTGGCAGAGTGCTGTCGCGCCAAGATCTGTTCCGTCTATTCCGGCAATACTCTTACTTTCCGCCCCGAAACGGCCCAGATGAGCCGGATCTGGAGCCGGACGACGGGTTCCTAGTCCATTACGCCGTGTATCATCACTTCCGATCACTGGGTTGGGTGCCTCGAGCAGGCATCAAATTCGGCGTCGACTGGCTGCTTTACGCCAGAGGGCCGGTGTTTGACCACGCCGAGTTTGGACTGATTGTGATTCCATCGTACTCGGATGAGTGGTGGAAGCAGCAAGGCAAACAAGGCCCGCGAAAGCCGTGGTCGTGGCTGCACAGCGTTGTGCGAGTGCTGTCCCACGTCACCAAGAGCTTGGTGCTGGTCTACGTGGACATACCACCGCCTCCCATGTTTGACGAGGCGCTGAAAACGGGTGTCGCGGAGGCGATGAAGCTGTACAAGGTTAGAGAGGTCATGGTGAAGAGATGGTCGAGCAATCGAAATCGGTAAGGCTGTTGGTTACTTGGGTGCTTTTCTTTTGTTATTCTCGTCCGTTGTACGATTACGATGCTGGGAATTGGTTGGGCAAATGGGATTGGGGAACATGTCAGCGATACTGCGTGATTACTGGATACGAGTAATGATGGAATGATTAAGCTACAGACTGATTAGGTGCGCTGGAAGGGAAGATGTTCCTTGAAGTAAATCCAAGTTGATAACCACCTTGAACGTCTCATTGCTTTGGCATTTCCAATGAAGATTTGGTCATTCATGTGATGTGGCTGGAGAGCGACCATCTTCCTTTGGACCGGTTACAGGACTGAGTGGTATAGACAACGCCTCAAGGGAGCAATAAGAGGAAAATGCAACGAGAGAACCAATGAATTAAGAATGCTCGTCACTCTTAACTCAAGTTTTCTCTACAGATAATTCTATCCAACATCTCTCTGTATAGAAAACGCCTTGACCCTCCTCCTCCTGCCGTCCGTCCCCTCCAGAAGCAACTTGAAGCCGGAGTTTTTGTGCCTCGGTCCACTCCCACTCCCACATCAAACGCCCTATCAGAACTACCTATATTTAGCGCAAAAGGCTTTTGCCTCGACATGCCCACTTTGGCGAGCTCGTGCCTGAAGCCTCTCAGCTTTCCCCGGATTTCCCCCCACGGCGTTGAGAGCTTGCTTTCTGTCGTACTCTAACGCATTTTTTGAGTGAAGGGATTCTCAGCCTGGCCATGTTCTCCCTTGCTCGCACAGCGCAGGCCAGAGCCGCCGGCTCTTCAAGAGCAAAAGCTCATGCTGCTGCTGCTCCTCACGTCATCCGCACTGCTCACACCCAAACCCGACTGGCATCATCATCATCGCCGTCATCATCATCCCTCTCCGACAAGAAACTCACTCAGAAACAACAGCAACCCCAAAGTCGCCAGCCAGAACAGACCACTCCACAAGAACCAAGAGGAAACAAGGCCGCCGCAACAGAAGATTCAGAAACAGGCGGAGGAGGCTCCTACAGACCTCAGCAGCGAAGGATCCTCGCCAAGCAAGCAGAAGCCCAAGCCCTGAACCAGCAAACCTCGGCGTCCCGCCCATGGCCGCGCCTCGCCATCCCGCGCGAAGCCAAACGCTTCACCTACATAGACGAGTCCCCAAACTCGTCTTCCATCCGCGCCCCCGTGACGGTGGCCTGGACGGACAAGTTCCTCTACGTGGAGGATCCCGCCAAGGGAGACGGCAGGCGAACGCTCAAGCCGGCGACGCTCCGCGACAGCTGCTCCTGTCCGCGCTGCAGAGACCCGTCGTCCGGCCAGAAGACGTTTTCGTCCGTCGAGGTCCCCGTGGACATTGGCCTGGAAGACGTCAAGCCTACGAAGAAGGGGCTGGAAGTCACCTTCTTGCGCGACATTCCTCGCTTCACCACCGAGCAAGATGAACATGCCAACGAAAAGAAGCACATGATGCTCCTCCCCTGGGAGTCGGTCGACATGGCCCTCAAGCGCAAGACAATGGAAGACATCACCCTCCCCCGGCAGCGCTCCATCTTCCGCCGCACGGGCGTCGCGTACTGGGACCGCCAGGTCATCGCCAACCGCATCCGCCACATCGACTACGCAGCCTTCATGCAGGAAGATGCCGACAATCCCGCCTTCTGGGACGTCGTCATCGACCTCTGCCGCCTCGGCATCGTCTTCCTCAAAAACGTCCCCCGCGACGAATCCTCCGTCGAGAACATCACCTCCCGCATCGCCAACATCAAGGAGACCTTCTACGGCCGCACCTTTGACGTGCGCGCCAAGCCCGACGCCGAAAACGTCGCCTACACAAACGGCTTCCTCGGCCTGCACCAGGACCTGCTGTACCTCGACCCGCCGCCCATGATCCAGGTGCTGCACTGCATGGACGCGTCGCGCGCGGGCGGCGAGTCGCTCTTCAGCGACGGCGAGCGCGTCGGCCGCCTCCTCTGGCCGTACGTCGCGCGGCACCGCGTCGCGCCCCTGGCGGAGCACCACGTGCCGTACCAGTACTCCAAGCACGGCTTCCACTACTTTTCCTCGCGCCGCGTGCTCGAGGGCAACGCCGCGGGCTTCACAAACGTCTTCTGGTCGCCCCCGTTCCAGGGCCGGTACATGGCGCCCGTCAAGGACATTCGCGGCTGGATCCGCCCCGCGCGCGTCTTCTCGGAGCTCATCAACCACCCGGACGCCGTGTACGAGCACAAGATGGAGCCGGGGGAGTGCGTCCTGTTCGACAACCTGCGCGTGCTGCACGGCCGGAACGCGTTTGACAAGACGAGCTCCAACGGTGGCGGCGGCGAGAGATGGCTCAGGGGCGCGTACATTGCCGCCGAGGACTTCCTTTCGAGGGCGGCGCATATACCCAAGGGGTTGGCGGAAAAGTATCGCGGCGAGGTGCCGTGGACGCCGGGGTTGGCGCAGCAGGCGCTGAGGAGGTCGGTCTGGCACGAGGATGTTGTGAGGAGGCTCAAGGAGCTTGATCCTGGTATCGAGGCTTGAGGGCTTCGTATAACTATTGTATATCTCTGTATGTATGGCTTGAGATGTGTGAGAGCGTAACGACTTTATATGAGACAAGCACATCACCGTCGATGTGAAACGATTTAGAATGGTCAGAAGAAATTTGAAAAGACGTCAGTCTCAAGATAGATTAGAACCTCTCATGAAATATACACGAGGCATCCTAGCAGTGGCAGTCTGTCACTGCCAGCTGAGTGATTAAAAGCAAACCATTTTCATCCCTTCTTGCGCCGTGCATGTTACCCCTGGTCAGATCATTACAATGATCATCCCTAAATCCATAACTCGCCCCTGTGTCATAGCACACAAAGTCATCACCTCCGTCACTCAAAACAGACCATCGAACTAATCCCACTTCTTCGCCTCGACTCCGTCCGGCGGCACAGTCGCCACCGTCTTGTCCTTGACGTCGTCCCAGTTGGTGCTCAGCGACGTTCCGTTGCTCTCCGTGAAGCTCTTCATCATGGCCCGCTGCTGCTCGGGGGTGGCGCCCTTGTACAGCTTCTTGAAGAAGGCGTTGACATCCTTTTCGTCATCCGAATTCTCCTCGGCGCCCACTGCATCCCAGTTCTTCGGTCCAGTCTTGGAAGACGTGGGGTAGACTGTCGGCTTCGCGTCCACGGCCTTGGCAGCACTCGGCTTCTCAGAGCTGAAACATGGTCATTAGCTTGACAACAATCCCCAAGTGCGACGTCCAAACGAAAACATGACTTACCTTGCCGCAGCTACTTCAGGCTTGGGCAGTGGAGCCTTCTTGGGAGCTCCATCGCCCTGGACAGCCGGCCATCTGCCAAGCGTCTTCTTCGCCAGGCTCAGCTCGACCTTGTTCGGTGTGACGATGTACTTAGAGTTGGAGGGATCAATCTCTCCCCACAGATCAAGGTGAAACTCTTTCTGCTCGCCGCTGGAGTACACCAGGGGATCCAGATGGACCGAGGTTTCGGAAAACTGCACTCGCAGCTTCTCCTTGTCGACGCCCTTGGAGAAGATGGACACCGAGATGTTCCTGTCGCTCTGGAAGTCCTGCATGCGAAACGGCGGCTCGTTGGGATCAGCAGCCTTGGGCACCGCAGGAGGAGCCGCCGCCGCAGCAGCCACCTTTGCTGGAGCGGCGTTTGTCGAGGCAGACTCTCCAGTACTGGCCTTTCCAGAGGCGTGGTTGACGAGGTCTTTTTGCTCCGGAATCAGCGTCGTCGTCAGCTTCCTCGCGGGGTCGTCCGCCGGCAGCTTCTCCATCGCCTTGAGGGCCTGGATCGCAATGGTGCTCGCCATCCGCCACTCCCTCATCTGCGCCCGCAGGGGATCCTTGTCGTCCGACCCCGACAGCGCCCCGAGATCGTTGAGCTTCTTCTTGCCCGCCTCTTCCTGCTGCGCAGCCCTGAGGGCGTCGTCCGCGCTCCTGGTCCAGAACCCGTTGCCGTCCACGTACTGCAGGCACGGGTCCTCCTTGGGCACCGCCAGCCCACCCTTAGTGAGCCGCATGCAGTGCAGCAGGCAGTAGTCGGCGTTGGCGTACTGCTTCAGCTGGAAGTAGGCCACGCCGCGGCGGTACTGGGCGCTGGCCATGAGCTCCCTCCTGCTGCGCTTGACGGCCATGTGCCACGCCAGGTCGGCGTCCTCCAGGCTCGCCTCGGGGCGGCCCAGGCCGGCCAGCGCCTTGGAGCGGGCGATCAGCCAGGCGGGGTTCTGGGAGCTCCTGAGGGCCTCGGACAGCTTCTCGACGGCCGTGTTCCAGTCGCTTTCCTCGACGGCTTTGAGGCCCTGCTGGGCCACTGCTGCGTACGACATGCTTGACCTGGTACCTGCTGTTTCTCCTGTCGATGGCTGCCTTATGTGAAGATTATGGCGTCTGATCAAGATGAAAAAAGAGGCAGATACACAGTTGAGTGACTATGAAAAGGAAAGACGGAAAGTTGGTGAGTTGGCAGAAGTTAACAGTCACAAAGGCAAGCAGCTGTTGAGGTTCAAGCTTTAGCGGGGGATCGAAGCTCGGAGCTTAACTTCGTCACTGCCCCACTGTTTCGTTTGCTGGGTGTCGACAACCAACTTCAAGGTTGTAAGAGAAAAGTCAAGTTGACCGGAGTAATAATGGTTGAAGCTCAGACGAATGATGCTACTGAGACTTAGTGAGTGTTCATATGGTTAGGAACAAAATAGGTAGGAAGCTGAAATAAAGGGTATTGTGTCGCTGATGCCTGGGCACTGTACGAGTAAAAGCGTTGAAGTGATAGGGCTCATAGAAACCTCTAGAACATCATGGCCAAATAAAGGAGGCTTACAAGCAGCATCAACCTGTCAATAGCTGCCATGGCAGAGCATCCTCCTCATTCAAGTTATATCTAATTGATTCTAACCAGGATCCCAGTCCTTACAGCTTCTCGTCCGGATATCTCTTTGCAAACATTCCCAGCGCCTTAATCGTAAAAGTAAACTTGTAGTTGGGGTACGAAATCATGCACGACTTGTTGAAGACGCCCTCAATCGCCTCCTGCAGCCACTCGCCGTTGGCCTGCTGCCGGCTCGCAATCAGCCGGATGCCCTTCTTGATCTTCTCCACGTCGGGATAGTCCACCGCCATGAGCCCGATGAGCGCCCAGGCCGTTTGCACCACCAGGGATCCTGATTCGTGCTCGACGTATCTCATGGTTTCGCAAGCCTTGACATAGGTAGAGATGAATTAGCAAAGGGGGCTCATGTCACGGAAGCCAGTCTATAAGGGACAGAAGATGCACTCACCCGGTAGCTCTCGGACCATCCGCCATCCTCCCGCTGCTTGGAAATCAGGAAATCGCAGCCTGCCCTGGCAATCTGGCTGTTGGAGTACGTCTCTCCAATGGCCGCCATGCTCTGCAGCGCAAACATGCCAGCATATGTAAAGCATATGCCCCAGCTGCCATACCAGCTGCCGTCGGGCCTTTGGTTCGTCTTGATCCAGTTGGTGGCTCTCTTGATGAACAGTTTCACGTCCTTGGTCCGGTAGTCGGGCCAATGCTTGCGGAATAGAGACAATGCTGTAACGCACGCCGTCGTGCATTCGGGATAGTCGTATTCAATCATGATCCTGCCAAACACCTCGGCAGCGTTCAGCATCTCCAGGTATTCGCCACCCCTTCGCGCCTCGTATGACGAAACTCCCCCGTTGTCGTTCTGATACAGCAGCAGCGTGTCCACGGCATCAAAGATGCGCTGGTCTTCCAAGAGCTGCGGGTACCCTTCCGTCTTCTGCAGCAAAATGACGGCCTTGAGCGCCTCCGAGATGCAGTCGCTCACGCCGTAGCCCTGGTCCCGGTTGCTAAACGGCCAGCCACCCTTTCGGGGCTGCCGATAGCACTTGTCTTGGTCCTTGCAGTTTTCTCTGATTTGCTGCCTGTCCAGATACTCCAGGGCCTTGACCAGCATAGGCCTCCAGCGATCTTGGACGTGCAGCCCAGACTCGACGGCCGCAAGGATAGCAAAGGCAGTATCCCAGCACTGAACGCCGTTTGTGCCATTGCACAGCATTCCTTCATCCTTGACCCACAGGTACTCGGGCAGTCTCTCAACATGTCTCTTAAAGGTGTATGCGTCGGGGCCGTCCCGGACATAGCACACAAGCGTGTTCATCGGCGCGTTCACCGGCGCCAAGCAGGCATACTCCGTGTTTGCGTCTTCCATGTCGACGAGGTCGCTGACCCATTGCTCTCCTCTCTCTTTGAGAAAGTTGAAGCGGAGATATGGATTGTACACATTGACCAAGACCCAGTTGATCGAGTTGAGCAGCCAAGACTTGGGGTGGTAGTTGTCGATGGAGGAAATGCTGTTTCGGTGGCTTGCCCAGTTGATCTCGGCGTGAGGCTGGACGAACAGCTCTTGCTTCAGCCCCCGAGTAACGTCGGTCTCCTCGCAGCTCCATCTCTTTGAGTAGAGGTATCCCATGGGCAGAAACACTTGGCGAATATGGATCCACCACCGCCAGGGAGCAATCGGCATCCAATCGGGCAGCAGCCAGAGCTCCGGGGGCACAGGGTTCACGATGTCCCAGTCCACGACGCCCAGAACTGCGAGCCAGAACTTGGCCCAGTGAGGCGCGTTGACTGCGCCGCCCATCTTGTGCAGAGTTGCCCTCGCCTTGACCATGACAGGGTCCTCGGGGTCCACGCCAACCAGACGGAGAACGACGTAGTTCATGGCGGTGCCAAACACAGTGCTTTCGCCTTCGATGTGAAGCCCCCAGCCGCCGTCCTCTGGGTGGGCTCGTGCAGAGACGTAGTTCTTGATCTCGGTCGCGTAGGCATCGGGTATCGGCGTCTTGGTGACATACCACGTAATGACGAAGCCGCCGAGGAGGAACATGGGGCCGCCGTACTCGCAGCCCCAGTGGCCAGAAGGCAATTGAAGCTTTTCGAAGAAGGTGAGGCCGTTCTCGGCCGCTTGGAGCGGTGTTTCGGCCTTTGGAAGGGCAGGCAGATCCTAGACACGGAGCATGTGAGCTGCGGCCTACCACCTTCTCTCGATCCTGCATCGTTCACAAGGCCCAGGGGGAGGACATACCGTGGGCAAGTTCAGATACCACTTCTCTGCATAGCTCTGCGGCCACTCTGCAGCCGCCTTGTCGTCGGCAAGATAGTGCCACGTGTGGCGGCTGTCGTCGTCCTTGACTCTCCATCTCGTGAGGTCAGTCTTGGCCTCGAGCCTGGGCCGCTTGGGAAAGCTGTCGCCATCGTCAGAGGCGCGCTTGCGAGACTTTGCGCTGCCGTTGCCGACGTCTCGACCTGTTGCCGTTGCCATCTTGCCGGTGGCTTGCGTGATGTTCCGCGTGGCCAATTGGTGATGATGGCCTACTTGTCGACAGATTTATAGGGAGAGGGGAGAGTCAATGGCTGCCGGACTGGATTTGTCTTCCCAACCCGAATGCTTTCACATGCGATGGGCTGGGCTTGGCGGTACAAAGCCTGGCTTGGTTTCGATTGTACCTTTTTGCTTGCTCCAGGCGCTGAATTGCCCGAAGCGGTACCTGTGCCTGGGGCTGGCAGTGACATCCCCGCCATCCAATGAGCAGATCCAGGTCCCTTTTCAGCGCCGTTTTAGTGGATGCTGGCACTAATCCTGCCTGATCAACACCTGCAGCTAATGATCCAATGCCCCTTCCCATCCCGTCGTCTTCGTATTCGGACCTCCTGGCAGCAGCCACTTGCTCGGATCCTCGCCATTTGGCACTTGACATTGACTTTCCGGACTGCACAAAAACCCCGACACTGCGTCCGTCTGGCTTGTGATGAGGCTTTGCAGAGCCAATCATGGATCAATCAGCAGCCAACAGCAGAACTCGGGATGGACGACAGATCATCATCCGGTCAGTGACAGCGGCAACATCCGCAGGAACCGTCATCTCTCGCATCGAGTCCATCTTGGAGGCTATCCTGGACTGCCTGGCCGAAGAAAGGGAGCTCACCATCGACTTTGTCTCGAGCCGAGCCGGCAACAGTCCGCAAAAGGTCCATTTCCCAGGCAGAACCGTTCTGGAAGCCACCAAATTCGGTACGCACCATTGCTCAAGCGAGTTGTGTCTGCGATCTGCTTCTTACGTTTGACTTGTAAAACCATCCAAGCCCGGATCCTGCTCATCTTGCAGCTCTCCCATGACGCCCTGGTCTCGGGAACAGTCTTGACCAAGCGGTTAGTCTGTTCCGGCGACCTCAAGTGACGCTCCAGATCTTAACATAACTGTCCTGGTGGAGTAGGCACATCTTCTACCAGCACCAGGGCCTTTTCAAGAACCAGAGGACGGTGGATGAGCTGGTGGATAATCTTGCCTTTGCACTCAATGTCCAACGTGATGAGTTGAACATTGTACGTCAAGTGACATCTCTCGGGGCCTGAATTAACCAAATTAGGTTGCATCTTCCAAGGGGCTCTTCTCAGGACCTCTCACCGTTTACCTACAGGACGATACAGTGATTGGTCCTGCTACCGGAGATGCGGTTTGTATATCCGATCAAGTGAGATGTTTGTCTTTTTCTTGTGTCTGACTACCGCTCAAGGGAACGGTATTACCCGCAACTGGGTCAATAAAAGCGATCTCTTGTGAAGGCATCAGATGGATCCTCATCGTTGAGAAAGACGTCTGTGTCTCCTCTTTCAAGCATATGCTCGCTCATTGTTTACTGATTATGCCCAAGGCAATCTTTCGCTCTTTGACATCTCGCTCGTTTTCGCAAACATCTCTTGCTGGCCCAGGGGCACTCATAACGGCATGTTTCCTGCGATGGCGTCCCCATCATGGTAGCTAACGTTTGAGATAAAGGCCAAAGGATACCCAGACTTGCTCACTTGCTCATTTATTCAGCTGGTCCGCTTCAACTGTCCGCAAATTCCAATCTTTGTATTGGCTGACTACGATCCTGATGGACTCAATATCCTGCGCTACTACCGCCTCAAGTCGGATATAGTGTCACGAGAGACGAACCATACGGCTCCCGAGATACGCTGGCTGGGAATCAAATCGCAGCATCTCCTAGAGCGTGAGACCCATATTGACCATTCAGTAACGCCATCTCCGATTGATCTACAGCCACCGAACAGCCAGTCATCCGAGCAAAGCGCCAGTTCCAGAACCTCAATCTCGTCCACAGAATGCCGTGAACCAAGTTCGGCTCTTTCAGTACGAGATCGTAAACTTGCCGTTGGCATGTTAGAGAAGTTACAGAATACAGGCGATAGTTCGGATGCTCTTGAGCTTCAACGAGAACTTCAGGTCATGTTGATGATGGGCATCAAGGCGGAGATCCAGTGGCTTGATGAAGCAGGCAATCTCACAGAATGGCTGGAATCGAAGCTTGGGCAGGTTTTGGGATCTTGATTGTCGGAAGCAAACGAGCGACGTTAGAGCTACCTACCCTGGACTAACCATACAAGCACAGTGTGGGAATCGCGGGGCAAACACCTCACACAGTCCCCTCCACCAGAAGAAGATGTGCCAAAATTTTATACAAGCGTTTTCGCAAACCAAGACTGAGTGAGAAGCTCACTGCATCACCATGGCGCCGAATCTCACAGCGGACGAAATCGACGACGTGATTTATTTCGCCAGAGTAGGAGAGAATGAGGATCTTGTCGAGACCCTGAAGACGCTGTCAGAGCGCGAGAAGGTGTCACCAGCTGAGATCCTGTTGGCCGCCAAGGATGAGGGCAAATCCACGGCTTTACACATGGCGGCGGGCAACGGACACCTAGGTAAGAAGGGAAAATGCGATGACTTCACATGGGGGATTGGGGATCTTGCCTATAAATCCATCATAAGAATACGTACGGTACAGAGACTGACGCCGGAGCCAATCCAGAGACTGTCCGCAAACTCATCCAGTACTTCGATGAGAGACCCCACGAGGAGAAGCAGACCTTCCTGGACGACGCCAATGAGCACGGAAACACAGGCCTTCACTGGGCGGCCCTCGGCGGCCACCTGGACGTGGTCAAGCTCCTGATGGAACACGGCGCGCTGCCGGCGCTGGCCAACGAGCGCAACTATGTGCCCCTCGACCTGGCAAACTTCAACAACCACAACAACGTGGCGCAGCACTTCTTGGCGTCGGCGGGGATGCTGGAGGAGAAGAATCAGGAGAGCGGGCTGAATGGTGCTGTTGAGTCTGTGAAGCTCGAGGATGGGGAGGGTGGAGTGGAGGAGGAGAATAAGGCTGAGGCGTCATGAGGGCTTGGGGGAGATTATGCCTGGGCAAGATGGGGAGGGAGTTTGTGGAAATGCGAGTTTGTTATGACAGCGGGCGATGAGGCCTGTCGTGACGGATGAAGATACCATATATGGATTGCTTGAGGTTTGGCAAAGTACATCATCTCGGTCCGGATAGATTCGAAAGAGCAATATACTCTTGATTCATGGACTTATCTTGACCTCAGGGTGTGATGGGAGATGGAACATGGTAATTGATGGGCTGCAAGGAGCTGTTTGCTAAGGGGACGGACCTGACTATTCGGTCAAACGATTCGCTTTCCTACACCAGGAGCCATGTTACAGCCAAAGCAAAAGTCAACTCAAGGGCGGAATTTCACCAATAGCCTTGAGCTTAATCCAGATGCCAGCAGATTTCCTCGAGGTGGACCTCATTTTCTCTGCACGAGCTTTGTAATGGTGTCTATCCGATCTGTACAAGATTTTTCATAGTGAATCTTGGGAGTGATAAGGGGGCACATATTCTTGGTAGCCTTCTTACCATGAGCTTCTGGCAAGCAGATTCCTCGTGACTGGAATGGAAATATCAAGCACGGTGGCTTGACCACAAGGAAACATCTTGATTCAAGATAGAGAATCAATAGATAGTACTAGATGGCGCCAAGGCGCGTTTGACGGCGCGCGGCTAGTCCCCAAGAGTCAGCCGATACTACGTAGCATAGATGGGCTATATTCTACATGTATACTACAGGATCTGGACGAGATGAAGAGGTGTCCAATGGCCGACATTCCGAAGTATTAGAGGACAAGATCTCGACTGCCGTACTCCCGCTTCTCGGAGCGAAATGGCCGTCTGGCTGGCGGTGACCCCCACTGAAGCGATAAGAGCCCAAGTTCCCCGGAAACCCAGTGGCGTATCTGAGTATCTGATAAGTGGCGGCGAAAATCACCACCAAAACCGCACGAGATTCTTGTCCCCCTTCGTCCCCCCCCACAGCCTCAGTGGGGGTCACCCCGGATAACGACCTCAACGTGAGATTGGAGTCTTTTCCCCAGCTCGTCCCCGCGCAACGGAAAAGGACCCCTTCGGAGCAGCTCCTCGTTGTGTGTGTATCGATGGGAAAACTGCCCGATGCGGATGCGGACTGCCGATTCAGCTGGGGCTCGCTGCACTGCACACGGAGAGGCGGCGGCGACGCGAGACTGCTACGGCACAAACCGCACAATCCTTCCCCCCATGCACATGCACTCTGGCTTCATCGACGGGGGCCAGCAATGAATATATGACCCGGATGGAGTCGCCACAGACCGCGGATGCGAGTGTCCTGGCGACGACGACTCGCACGGGCTCGGGATCCAGCGCCAGCACAGGCACAGGCACAGGCACAGGCACGACATCAACCACGGGATACAAGCGCGCCAGCAGAAAGGGCGCGCCGCGGAGGTTCGTCTGCGACCATGCCGGCTGCGACAAGATCTATTCGCGAGCCGAGCACCTGCAGCGCCATCAGCTGAACCGTACGGAAGCCTCCCCTTGGCCCTGCAGACGTGGATTGGCTGGCAATTGTTGTATGCGCAATGCACTGAGCTGACCTTCTCGCAGACAACCCCAAGGAGATATACCGATGCGACGTGGGCGACTGCGACCAGAAGTTTGTGCGCCTCGACCTGCTGTCGCGCCACAAGAAGCGGCACACGGCCTCGTACACGCCGAGGAACCGGATCCCGAGCTTCGACACGGGCGACGCCATCAAGCACCCCCAGCGCCATAGCATCTCCCTCCCGCCGCAGTCGTCGTACAGCCAGCCGCCCGGGGCCGGGACGGGAGCAGGAGCAGGAGCAGGAGCAGGCGCCGGGCCTCACGATGCCGCCATCCTGCTGACACCCGAGTCCAACACGGCTCCGACGCCCGCGCCGCTGAACCACGGGCTGGCGAACCGGACGGGCCACCAGACGGCGACGTGGGCGCCCTCGCTCGACGACGGTTCGAACGGCATGATGCGGCATAGGACCAGCTTCTACACGACCGATCCGTCGGCGCTGCCAGAGCCGTCGGGCATGGTGGGCTTTGGCGCGGTCGGATATCCCTCCGACGACTCCCTGACGCAGGGCAACTTTGCCGCATGGCTCTTTGACCCCCAGACCACGTACAACGACTTTAGCATGGCCAGTCTTCCGTTCCTCGAGGGCGGCCTGGAATCGACCTTCAACAACAACATCCACTACGACTACGAATCGCTCACCAGCCTGTCGCCCATGGACCAGCCGCACCGGCTGTCCGAGACCTCGTCCGACGACTGGATCACCGAATCACGGCGCCAGGAGCTGCTTCACTGGTTCCAGACATTCCGAAAGAAGCAGCCGAGATATGAGCCGCTGATGCCGAACCTGGTCCTGGAAAGCGGCGGGGACATGCCGGCGCTGAACCTCGACATGATGCGGGACTGTCTCAAGGAGTTCTGGGACAGTGTCTCGCCTCGGCTGCCCATCATCCACCAACACACCTTTTCTCCGAACCGATGCCCCGTGCTGCTCCTCCTCGTCATGCTGTCTCTCGGCGCCGCATCGCTGCGCAGCCGTGACGTGTCGGGGCAGCTCTCCGAGTATGGCGCATTTGCCGACGTCATCATCTCCTGCGTGAGATGGGAGATTCTGACCTCTGACGACTCGGCGCCGCCCGCCAGTCTCTGGGTCTTGCAGGCCCTCCTGCTTCTGGAATTCTACGAGAAGCTGTACTCTTCCCGGAAGCTGCACGAACGGGCGCACATCTACCACCCTGCGTTCTTGACGCTGCTCAGGCGCGGCAGTCCGCTGATTGGCAGGACCGGCAGCGAGTCTCCCCCCGAGCCGGACACCCTCGGCCCCGATCGCCAGACGCCCAACATGGCGCTGGACTCGCGGACGTGGTGGGCTCGCTGGGCCGAGACGGAGTCGATGCACCGCGTGGTGTTTGCGGCGTTTATGCTCGACGTGATCCACGCCGCCATGTTCGGGCACGCGGCCGACATGGCGCCGCACGAGATCCGGCTGCCGCTGCCGTGCGACGACAACCTGTGGGCGGCCAACAGCCCCGACGTGGTGCGGCAGCTGGACGCCAACTTCCGCATGTACGGGGTGAAGCAGGTGTCGTTCCTGGACGGGCTCAAGAGCGCGCTGCACGGCAAGGAGGTCAAGACGCACTCGTTTGGGCGCATGATTATCATCTCGGGCCTGCTGAGCGTGGGCTGGCACCTGAACCACCGCGAGACGCACCTCAAGTGGCTCGACATCCACACGCCGGCCATGGAGACGCAGGACAGCTGGCGCAAGATGCTGCTGCGGGCCTTTGACAGCTGGAAGGGCAGCTTCGACGTGGCCATGTCCGACTCCATCTCGGACGCGCCGGGCCACCGCGGGATCCCCAACGGGCCCATCAACAGCGCGTCCGTGCTGTACCACCTGGCGCACATCAGCCTGCACGCCGACATCGTCGACTGCCAGGTGTACGCGGGCGCCAAGCGGCTGCTGGGCCGCAAGGTGTCGTCGCGCGACTACGCCAACGCCATCAAGCGCATGAGCGCGTGGTCCGGCATGGCGTCGACGCGGCACGCCATCCTGCACGCCTTCAGGCTGCTGCACCGCGTCGTCGTCGACCCGCACCCGCGCCCGCGCCGCCGCAACAGCCCGCACCACCACCACCACCCGTTGCCCGTAGAGCACGCCGCCGTGCAGTACTCGGTGCGCAACGAGCCCGACCCGCACCGGCCCTGGATCATGTACTACGCCGTGCTGGCCATCTGGGCCTTTGTCCAGGCGCTCGGGCGGCCGCCGGGCAAGGGCTTCCCCCTGCCGACGTCCCAGCTGGGGCAGAGCAGCTACGCGCGCATGGTCGAGTACGTGTCGGGCGTGGCGGCGCTGCCGGAGCTCGACGAGCGGGCGTCGGCGGCGCTGCACGAGGGCCTGCCCGACCTGCTGGACGTCATGGTGGACATTCTCGAGGAGGCGGACACGGAGCTGCTGGTGGAGGCGCGCGAGCGGTTGAAGGTGTGCAAGGAGATGCTCTTGGGGGGGATACCACGGCCGGGGATTTGAAATTTGGAGGGTGAAGAGAAACTTCTGCAGATGTACATATAATCGTTGGAGTAACGCTCTGGAGACGGGGAGGGAAGGATTTCTGCGTTTGCTTGGAGTTTTTCTGACGGGGTTTCTTTTGATACTGTGATTAGACTGGATGGAATGGGTTTGGACAACAACAAATGCAAGGGCGTCTACTTCATCTCGATTCACGGTGTTTGCTCGATGTGAGTCAAAACGCACAATGGTACAGAGCGGGATGCAATGATAACGGCAACGTCTTGATACATATACGCTCTAAATCTCGGTTCTATCTATATATCCCGGGAAACTGGTGCCCGCAACGCTGAGTCGTAATCCATCCCATTGTATAATCAACGCTTGCAAAAGAAATGCCGACCAAACTCCGCGTACCAAGACAATACTATACAACAAGCCAAGACAAAAGGCACCAAGGACGATTGACAAGGGAAACAAAAAGAAGATGAAAAGAGTAAGAGAAAAGAGGCAGAGGTATAAACAGTAAAAAGTGCCTCCATGTGTTTATACACTCGCTTTCGAAAGGGTTCGGGCATCGTCAACATTCCCATCTCCGCGCCATGAGATCACCGTTCAAACTCATATCGCCTGCCAGCCCTGGCCCTGGGGCAGAGTGACACCTTTCAACGGGGCAGCCTCGGCAGTCTGTTCACTCGGCTCCAGCTCGCCCTTCATCTGCTCCTCGCTCTTCTCAATCTTCTCCGTCGTCGACTCGCCGCTGACCTGCTCCTCCGGCTCGCCCAGCCCAATGGTGTCGATCCAGACCCAGTGGTCGACGAGGCCGGTCCCGCTCCTGTCGAAAATGGCCTTGTCGTCGTTGAGCCCGTCGGCGGCAATGTGTTCGCTGGAGCGCTTCTTCGCCAGGTCCAGCTTGTCCACGTAGCCGCCGTCGACGAGGTCCCCGATCCAGGTCCGCGCGACGGGGATGCCGTTGGCCCGGAGGAGCTGCAGCTGCGCCCGGAGGTTCAGCCGGAGCGCGCGCTCGGGCTCGACGGCGTTGAAGATCTTTTTCGTCAGCAGCGGGAACAGGATGCCAAAATCGGACTGGCTCAGGTGGGCTGAGCTGCTGACGTAGAAGAAGTTGGGCTCGGGCAGCTTGTTGCCGCTGGGCCGCTCGAAGATGGCCGGCGTCACGACCTTGGACGACGGGTCGGGCGACAGCAGCCGTGCTGTGGCATGCAGATGCTCGGGCCACTTGAAGAAGGCCTCGGATTCAACAGCCAGCAGCGCGGTGCCGCCCGGTGCGGAGGGGACGTCGGCATAGATCGGGAGCGGAAGGTTGTACAACGGAGCCGAGTTGGGGGCCAGCAGGGGGAGACACCACATGTCCAGCAGCATGGTTACGTTCTTCTCCGTCACCTGCTTCCGGATGTCGCTGTCCTCGGCAGGGGTGAACAGCGGCTTCTCCATGGCGGCCACTTCTGGAGTACCGGCGTAGTAGGTGCTCTTGAGGAGCTGGTACATGGTGGTGGCGCCGAAGCTGTGGCCGGCAAAGATGACGCTGCCGGGCTCGTTGACGTGCAGGCGGCCGACGAACTGGGTGAGGCTCGTGGTAGAGACGTTGAGGTTGTTGAGCTCCCGGCCGGCATCCATGGCCAGGATGGCCTCGTGCACCAGCCCCAGCTCCCACAGTCTGATCCTCAGCTGCGCTTCTCTGGCCTCGTACACCTCGGGCGAGACATCATGCGAGATGCGGTTGTACGGGATGATTCTCCGGGACTGGCGGCCAGACTGTTCAGGGATGCGGACAAACGAGGTGACGGCGCTGCCGTCCCGGTGCTCGGGGCAGAAGACGACGACCCCGTGAGAGGCCAGCGATCCGGCGACGTACGAGTACGAGTTGCGGCTGCCTCCGAGGCCGTGGGAGAAGATCATGGTGGGCCATCGCTCGTTGTCGGTGGTTGCGGATTCTAGAACGGCGTTTTTGTGGGCGGGAATGGAGGTGTAGTGAAGGTGTCGGGGGAGGAACCTATGGTAGCACTTGATGAGCAAGACTGCGTAGCCATTGACTGACTGATTTGATTGAAGCCATCAAGACTTACGAGAGCAGCTCTGCCAGGGTGTGTCCGACGCCCATGAACTTTGTGTAAGCCGAGACATAGTGTCTCTGCGGCGCCGGCAGCCAGCTGATGAGCTTCTCGTTGGACGTGGCAACCGCCGGATAGAAGACGCGGAACAACACCGTCTCGACGTCGCCGGCGTTGTCGGGCCGCGGGGCGGGAGACGGGAGGTCTGAGACGGGGATCTCGACGTCGACTGTGCCGACCTTGTAGGGCCCGGTGTACTCGGGGAAGGCTGGGACGGGATTCAGCCGCGCGAGGTAGGCCGATAGCCTGGACGCCTGGGGTTGCGAGGCGCTGATCATGGTGGCGGTTCGGCGATGACGAGGAGTGGCGATGATCCAATCGAGGCGAGTCGGGACAAAAGACGGGCGAGGTATTGGAGAGAAGATGCGACAAAGAAGGGGGAGATGACGAAGGAGGAGGAAGAAGAAGAAGATCTAGAAGGATAAGAGATGCAGGAATAGAATAAGGGAAGGAAGGAGAAATCCAAAAATAGTAAGCTGGTTCAAGCAATGGAATGGAAGAACGAACCAGAGCTGGTGTTGGGGGATCGGGCAATAATACTACAAGAATTGAGACCAGTGAGTGAGATACGGTAGGTGATTGCTCTGTTTGGAAGGCAGGCAGGGGCAAGAGGAAATGAAAAGCAGAAGAAGAAGAAGAAGGATTTGATGGCGTGTTGGTGCAAAGGCCCAATCTCATACTATCTACCACCTATGTAATAAATACCGAGCACTAATAATAGAGGATACGCGAGATGCCAAGGTTTGATCGAATTTCTCTTCCGAGGCACAGCAGGTCTGCAGTGACGCAACGATGGGCGAATTACATCAGCAATCACAAGCCAGCAGTGCTTACGATGGTGGAAGAATCGCGAACGGCGTCGTTGGAGATGGATTCTGGACTACGACACAATTCGGGGCGCCGTCACGCGACTCAGTCTCTTGTTTGTATTATAATGGCGGTAAAGAATGCAATCGAGGCTCCATTGCTGCTGAAGTAGAAGGTGAAAGGTGCAACACAGAATTCAGGCAAAGGAGATGCATGTTCCAGAAGAATGCCGTGTGGAGCTGGTGCTGGACACGACGGGTGAGGCTAAGCCACTTTCGAGACCGAGGCTGCTGTTCAAACATTCTCTGGGAAGAGTTGCTTGTGCTTGGTTGCTTTATTGGGACAAGCAAGAAACGGACATGCCGTGAAGGAGAAGAGTTAAAGGGATGGCGAAGACGGTGGTGATGCTCCTGAGGACGGGACTGATGGTGGGAACAGGTCGTCCTGCTCTTAGATGTCGTGGGATGCTGTTTCTCTGGTGCGACATGCCGAGAGACGCACGTTCACGAACTGGAGATTCCTGCTCGGGATTTGCTGTCGGATTGGTCCCAGGAAACTGGTGAGGCTGCACTCCCTGCTTCATTCTGACTTGCTTCAGCTGTGAAACGATGTTCCAAAGGATTGACATTTCGCGGAGGACGAGGTTGAATTGGTCTCACATGGAGTTTGCATGCAACATGCAATATCATCGCAACAGGCCTCTTCCCCAGGCTTAGTCATCTGCGGCCGTTGATTCTGCCACCACCTGGAATCATCACCGCCTTCATCGCCATCTTGTAAGCATCTTGTCTTGCTCCATATTCCATCATCATCACCACCAATAAACTGCTTCATACCTCCCTTGGCTGTTGCTCCCCAACGGCCGTCACCAGCCGAACCATCCGACGTCGCACTCGCACTCGCACTCGGCTCAGTAAGACTCAAGCAGCTCAACCAGCGCACGCAATGGCCAATTCATCAGCCTGCAATACGCGCAGCCTCACATGCGCTGTCCTACCTTAGTGGTCGGTGCCTGTTCTACGTGTCCGCAGTCTTCGCGATCCACGTCTTCGCCTGCATCGCTGAAGAAAAACGCCACAGCAGCTCGCAGCGAATCGAGCCGCTCTGCCGCCCGTCAACCGATGGGGCGGGCTGAGACTGAGTGCATGCTTGGGTGCGGGTTGGCTTAGCCTGATGGCTTGCGTCGGATCGCTGGTTCGTGCCTGAGTCCGATAACTCCGCCCTTGGAGTGACAAGTGATGGATGGAGTCATGCTGTGATGTTGCTGTTGCTCGGGAACTTGTCCGCTGATTCGATGAGACTTGTCCTGTGCTGTTCATCTGTTTCCTGTGATTACTTTCAACTGACAACTCAGACTCACCCAGGGTATATATAGGCTGGCCATTTGCTTCTCTTGACACTTCAATTCCCAAAGCCATCCAATACAACACCAACCATATACATCCCCAACAATATACATCACCTCCACAATGGCCACCGTCAACCAGTCAGCCCAGACCCTCAAAGCCCTCCACAAGCCCGGAACCCCCCTCGTCCTCTCCAACATCTGGGACGTCTCCTCCCTCAACGCCATCGTCTCCCTCAACTCAGAGTCCTCCAAGCCCGTCAAGGCGCTGGCAACAGCCTCATGGGCCATCGCCGCCTCCCTCGGCATCAAGGATGAGGAGCTCACCATGTTCCAGAACCTCGAGGCCATCTCCCACATCGCCCCCCTCGCCGAAAAGGCAGGCCTTCCCCTGTCGGTCGATCTCCAGGACGGCTACGGAGATTACATCACCGCCGCCGTCACTGCGGCTGTAGAGTACGGCGCTGCTGGTGCCAACATTGAGGATAGCATCCCGGCGACCGACTTTGGCAAGGGCCTCTCCGGCTCCCTCTACAAGCTCGACGATCAGGTTGCCCGACTCAAGCGTGCTCTCGAAGCTGCCAAGAATGCAGGCGCCCCGGACTTTGTCCTCAATGCTCGCTGCGACGTCTTCCGGCTGGAGGACCCTGACTTGAGCCACGAGACTCGCCTGGCCGAGGCTATCAAGCGCGGCAAAGCCTACCTCGAGGCTGGTGCTACCACCATCTTTGTGTGGGGTGGTCCTGGACGGGGTTTGAGCAGTGAGACCGTCAAGACGCTGATCAAGGAGTTGGATGGAAAGGTGGCCGTCGTGCTCTCCAGAGCACCCGGGGCTCTCACCACAAGTGAGCTGGCTAGCTTCGGTGTCTCGAGAATCAGCGTCGGGCCGAGCCTGTACATTGCTGCGCTGGAAGCGATCAAGTCCAAGGCTTTGTCGATGTATTCAGGAGGCGGACTGGCGTGAAGTTGGACTGGGAACGGAAAGCCTAGTGGCGCAATTGAGTTGGGCCTCGCTCAAGTTGAGCCTGGTGTTGCTGTTAAGAAACTTTCTATTAGACGATGAATGAAAAAAGAAAACAAAAACCTTCCAATTGAACTAAACCTCTAAAATTTCTGTTACTCTCGACTTGATTCGTTCATTGCCAGAGAACCGTACAATTCCGGTATGCTTAGGGTTAGTGTTGAACTCGCCTTTAGACTTTGAGGCAACAGTTGAGCCTCAAAGCATCTAGCATGCCGCCACTACTGTGATATGCTTATTATAGAGTCTACGCTACTTGGTTGAAGAGGCTGAGAACCAATCATCAACTCGCTTCCTACACTTCGTTTTCAAACCACACGTGGGAATGACCCTCACTCTTTGGCTCTGGACGATGGAGCTATACCACATATGCCAGCACAGCCTGTGCTGGATGGTGCATGGCTTGAACTCAATCACTTTCAACCTTATTTCGCCTTGAACTGTGAAGATATTTCAGTGCCAACTTCTTTGGGATAGTTGGTAATGTTAGCGATGGCCGTGGGTATAAAAGGCTCTCCTCCCCCCCTGAGAGGGAGAAAAGAACAAGTTCAACTCTACCCGCTACATATACTCGCTGCAGACCGCTTCGGACACCTTGATCAGCTCAATCTGAATATTCACACTCGATAAACAACACACACTCGATACACAACTTCATTCTGATTATCTCACTACATAATCAACCTTTTTCTTTTTATCAAAAATGCAGGGTTTCATCCGCAACTGCGCCGGGATGCTCCCCCTCCTGGCCGTCCTCCAGGCCTCGCTCTGCTCCGCCTTGGCCATCAATCCCATCTCCTCCCTCGCACCGCGCAACGACTACAGCGAGAAGAACTTTGACTTCCTCAAGGTCCAGCACGCAACTGGCCTCAACCCATACTACTTCCTGGCCAAGCCAGCCCTGTCTCTGCCCCGAGTCTCCGTCTGCCTTCCTGTAAGTTGTGCTCCCAAACTGCTCATACTTTCCAACTTTCAATGTCTCCTGACAAATTCTCTCTTTTCCAGCGGGAGTATGGCGAACCCCACGTCGACGGCTGCAACATTGCCTTTGACAACATCCCCAACCTGCGCGACAAGAACGGCAACTTCGCCGTCAAGCCCGGCCAGTGCCGCGCCATCAACGCCCAGTGCTGCCAGGTCACCGTCTGCGCGCCCCGGGCCCTCAACCTGCTCGTGCCGGCCACCGAGGTGCACCTCCAGGTGACCAAGGCCGCGGCCAACTGCACCGCCCAGCACCTCGGCTCCATCTACATGGACAACGGCTGGGACTACCTCATCATGGTGCACAAGCCCAAGGACCTCAACTGCTGGCCGGACGATGGCAAGAAGACGGCCAAGGCCAAGCGTTTTTGGGAGGCGATGTGGCAGACGGTCGACTATACCAAGGTGTTTGCTTGGCCGAGCTTGTGGGTGCCGGATGAGGAGGAGCAGGAGCATTTGCTTATGGTCTCAGATGGAGCTCCTTGGTAGTTGGGATCTTGGTTGTTTGGGATTCTTTGTGGATACCCTGCTTTTCGATTGATTATTGTTATGGTTAAGAAGGGAGTGTGATGGGAATAATGAATTGACAGTTTTCACTTATGGTTCATGTCCATGGCTGGTGATGATAAAACTGGGTATATCTGCTCGAGGAGGGCAGATTTCCGATATGTGGATGCCTCGCTGCACATAGACGAGCTTTGATTTGAATGACTTTTACTATAAACGTAAGCCTTGTTGCTTTGTTCCTATAATTCGGTTACCTCAATATCGGGTCAAGTTAGGGCTGATAGAACGATTATACATCTCAAAGCCATCGACGGTGGGAAGAAACACCACGAGGAAACACTCCCTCTCCGGCCCCTCTGCCAAGGTTGGGCGAGCGTGGAGCCTCCTCGCTTTCGTCCGAGATTCGCCAGGTTTCGTACTTGGTCCAGCTTGGCGATGGGCAGTATTCTGCTTGCTGCCCCGTCAATCCAAACACTAGGCAACAATGACAGCCATTACCAGACTCGAGATGAATCGATTCTTCCGAGGGCGTCTTGAAACGCTCCAACGAGGCTGCCTCGACTGTAAAGTCTCCCCCCCTCCCCCTACTCATTTCTGAATAGTGGCGCCTAATGGACCATTTCGAGAGCAGTTTATGCTTGCCGAAGCATCAGGCAACAGCAGATGGCTCCCTCTGCTCGCTCAATAGGACCGAGCCTCGTTGGGCCTCCGGTCCGCCTGGTTGGGTTGCAGCCGCTCGCTTGGGGTATGCATGTATGTACCCCTGCAGGGTCTCATCGGCCGTCGTGTCTTAGTATGTCCATGAGCAGCCTTTTTCCGTTTAAAGAAAAAAAGGCCTCCAGTGGCCTCTGGGCAAGGCAGACATTACCCCCATACGCCACGTATGTACAGTTTCCGATGAGAATAGCACACCGAGGTAGCAGTGATGACAACCACGGCAATTCATTTTCCGGCAATCTGGTCCCGTCAAGCCCCGAGGCCTCACCGGCATTTCTCTTGGCTGACTGGGACCGCGATGAAGTAACCCCTTTGAAATAAATCCGGAATTTGGTAGGCCAAGCTCAGGCGACGGGGTAGAGACTCATGTTCTGTTGTGCTACAAGTGACGGGTATGGGTATTTGGTGGCTTCACGCCCAGGGAGGAATATATATCCAAGCATCGACCAACTTTGGTGCTGAAAGGCGATTAGCTCCTCGTAACTCGATTAAAGGGCTGACTCTTCACGATCAACACGCATTATGCCGGCAACGCCGTTCCGTGTCGAGGCCTGGGCGGAATATGCCATTGGCACGGTCATTCTCCTCGCGCGCATCGCCTGTCGAAGTTCGACGGTCGGGCTGAACTGGGAGGACGATGATTACTTTGCCTTGACAGCTGTTATTCTCTGGACTGTGTGTTTTTGTTTCTCCCTTCCTCTGCGAGGTTACAGATGTCTTTCATAACAGACTAAACTGATGTGATTGCAGGCCGACTTGTGTATGCTCGAGATGATAGGTAAGAGCCCATCAGCTGAACCGCTTATTATGTGGCCATACGGCGACGTTTTAACACGAATCCATGCCCTTTACAAGGCCAATACGGCACAATCACCGGCCTCAACGACGAAACGGCCCTCGCCCTGACACCCGAAGAAAGGAGACGGCTCGTCATCGGCAGCAAATGCCTCTTTGCCGGCATCGCCCTCTACGTGACCATGATCTGGTGCTTGAAGACGTGCATGCTCTTTCTCTTTCGCAGACTGACGTAGGTTTATCTTTTCTTTTACAACACCCCCTCCTCCATGGGACGGCCGGGAATGTTGGCTAATTTCGGGGAGATGATGGAACAGACTCGATACGCGGCAGCAACGGCTTGTCCATGTCACCGCGCTGGTCTGCCTTGCGGGATATGTGTCGACTATTGTAGTCATGTTGACAAAGTGTCTGCCTGTGCGCAAGAACTGGCAGGTTTATCCCTACCCAGGAGGTGTGTAGCTTTATACATGCTATGTCGACGATGAACATGAGAGCCATATTAAGTGAATGGAAACAATAAGACGCCTGCGCCTTGAACATTCCCAATTACCTGGCACTCGTCGTCACCAACGTAACGTACAATTCACCCCAACTCCCCTATTCGTCCAGATACACCCACAATGTCAAAGACTGACCATCACACACACAACAGGACCGACCTGATGATACTGTCTATCCCGCTCTCTCTGCTCTGGAGAGTACAGATGCCCCTGTTGCGGTAACGTTGCTTTCGGTGGCACTCGTTTCCTTCTAACTTTCCCGTCCTGATTGTTGTCATTTAGAAAAACTGTTTGCGGCTTGTGGCTCTGTATGGGAGTCTTTATCATCATTGCGTCGATTCTACGATGCGTCCTCTCCTTGCAAGACGTAGAATCGTTCAATCTCGGGACTATCTGGTCCATCCGCGAGACTGTGAGCTCTTCCCCTTTTCCCTCTCTCTCTCTTCACTCCCCCAAGATTTTGGTCAACTCCTGACTTCGTGATTTGTCTAAACGCCCAACCAGTTCGTCGCCATCATCGCCGTAAACGCGCCCATCCTCGGCCCCTGGATGACAAAGAGAGCCACCGCCGTGGTAACACGAGGCGCAAAAAGCAGCCTCTCAAAGCCAGAGCTCGTCACGATTGGACGCAAGAGTAGTCGTCGCCTGGAGCGGCTGGTCAAGGACGGACGAGCGCATGGGATTGGCCGGACGACGATGGATGGTGGGAGTGAGGAATATCTTGTTGGACAGGAGGCAGACACCGGGAGTCGAGATGTCGAGCTGGGGTAGGCTTGAGAGAAGATTTCATACTATGTAGTTGCTGCTTTATGGACTTTAAATTCGATATATCAACTCGGGGTAGTCAACTTCGTATAAGTCGTGACTTCTTCATAACTACAACAACTCTCCAGCAATGTCCAAAGAAAGGGGCTCCTACTCAGGCGGCCGAGCAATAACAACATCCGCACGCCCCTCCAACGTAATCTCCCCGTCCTCATACGGAACCACCACCGTCGCCCCCTTTGTCAAATCCAAGCCCTCCCCCCCAAACTCCGTCTTCAAAACAACATGTCCCTCAAGGACAACGACAACCGCAAACCCCCGCCGGCAACTACTACTCTTGCTCTTCACAAGCAGCACCCTCTCCAGAAGGAAATACCGCCTCGACTCCTCCACGCAGAGACTCTCCGCAACCCTCGGCTCCGTGACAAGCTTCATCGCCTCCTCCCTCGTCCGCCCCTTCGTCTCGACAGCTGTAAGTGCCGTCTCGAAGCCGACCCCCAAATGGCCCTCCTTTGCGCCATCAATCTTGAACCCGCTCCATTCGCAAAGAATCGACATATCCGACGGCTCCTGCACCTCCACGACAAACAAGCCCTCGCCAATGGAATGGACAACACCAGGAGGCACATACACCGTCTGATGCGGCTCGACGTCAATCTCATGCATCCTCTCCAGAAGCTCCGCGCCCCGCCCCTCCTGCACAACACGAAGCAACTCCTCCGGGTCGACGTCCTCCCGGAACCCCAACCACACCGTCCCAGGAGTAAGGATGTACCACGCCTCCGCCTTGCCGTGCTTCTTCTTCTCTTCGTCGTGCAAATGCTTCGCCGCCCAGTCGACGTGCGGATGCGCATGCACGGGCAACCTCTGTCCCGCATCGAGCAGCTTCACGAGGAGCTTCGTGTCAGCTCCGTACTTGGCGACGTGGCCCGGCCCGAGCCACTTCTCCGGCGACGAAGACACGGCGTCGCGGAGGAGAGTCCCGGAGGGGAGGCGGGTGAGGCCGATGTTGTTGTTGGCGGCCTGGTGCCCGGCGCAGCAGGTGGTGGATGCGATCCAGTCCTCGGGCTCGTGGGAGGCGCTGGCGGGATGGGAGCGGAGGGCGGCGATTTGGGGGCCGCCGGCGTAGAAGCGGTTGGGGGGCTGGTTTGCGGGGAGGATGATGGGGGGCATTTTGTTGTGTTTCTTTGTTTGGAAGTATAAGTTGGTGTTGATGAGGCTATACGGATGCTTTGAATAGGGGGGCGATGGAGGAGGTGAGGTTGACGGGTTCAAGGTTATAAGCACAACTGCAGTCCCTTTATATCTACCTACTCTAGCAATTCAATCTTAGATGTACGATACCCCATGCGGGGATCTCCAAGAGATAGAGAGTCTTGGTCAACTTGCTTCTTCGGCTTCGCATCGTCAACAGACGCCATGACTAGACGGCGCGTCAGCGCAGACAAACTAATAACGACGCCAGGCGTTGATTGTTCACTCGCATTCTCTTTCCTCCAATGCTCATTGGCTTCACGAATCGATTGTTAAATAGTCTGACCTAATTATTCAAAGGCAAAAGAGGCCGATTTGTGAATCAGTTCAACTCCAAGATGTCTTCGTCTCCAGGTCCCTGCATGTGGCAGCAAATCATGGTCCAGGTCCCTGCGTGTGGCAGCAAAACTTGGGGTAAAACCCATCACCAACTCCACACACATTCGAGCCTTTTAGCCGTAGTCTTATCGCTAGAAAGGGGGAAAGAAACTCGTCGGCTAACGGTTTTGCATCCTTTTGGCTGAGATAAAGTTGTTCCGTGAGGGTGTCGTCGAAATCATGTGGGCAGACGTCAATTACTGACCTATGTTACTTACAGGTAGGAGTGGGAATGAGAGTGTAGGCGATGGATGAACTCGACCGTCATTGGACATTACCACCATCATTATAAACTGCCAAATCGCACGCTATGGTACACTATTTCATACATGTCATGTTCCCAACCTTCCTGAACCCCCAGTTCCCCGGACATCCCTCTCGCTCATAAAAAACGTTCAATCGCGAATTGAGCACTGCTCAATTGGGGCGATGCATCATCATCTGCTGATGATGAGATGTGATGATGATGATGATGATGATGATGATAGAGATGCGATCTTGCAACCAGCTTATTTCTCATCTTCGTGAGCGTGCTCTCGCACGTCGCTAGGCTGCTGCTGCTGCGTCTGCCTCATCTCGTCTCGGTACTGGGCGGCGTCCCATCGGCTCGACGTGATGGGGTTGACGTGCAGGACGTACATGGTGTCAATCTCCTCGAGCGTCCGGTCCTTGGACTCGATCAGGAAGAAGAAGACGATGAGGACGAGGGCGGCACAGCATCCGGCGAAGATGAGGCCGTAAAAGTAGTCAATGTCGCCAACGATGAACTCGGTGCTAAAACCAGCCAGTCGTCAGTTACAAACCTTCCCCTCTCAAATCACATTGGGTCAAGATCCAGCAAGGAAGAGGGGGCTTACAAGAAGGAGATCAAAAAGTTCCAGAACCAGTTGGAAGCGGTGGCGATGCCCATGCAGAAGCTTCGGTATCGGATGGGATACAGCTCGGCGTTGACGGTCCAGACCAGGGGTCCCCAACTGACGGCGAAGGCGGCAATGGCCAGGCAAGAGAAGGTGACGAGGGCGGATCCAGCCTTGGGGGTGAGCATGGGGTCGTCGTGGTTGAGCGCGAAGTGGCCGACAAAGGCGTAGACACTACATCGACCCGGTTAACTCACTTTGCTCTTCATCATCATAGAGGAAAAGGGGGGAGGCAAGAAAAACTTACAGGAAGCACATCATCATCCAGGAAGCGCCAGTGATGAGAATGATGCGTCGACCAAAGCGGTTGATGATCCAGAGGCCGATAATCGTGGCAAACACATTGACGGATCCGAGGATGATCTGCGTGGTGTAGCTGTTGCTGATGCCAGTGGCGGCGAAGACGGTGGTGCCAAAGTAGAAGAAGAAGTTGGCGCCCGTCAGCTGCTGGCCAGCCTGGAGGACGATACCGAGGACGGTGCGGTGGAACATGCGCGGGGCCGTGAAGATCTCGGTCCAGCTGAAGGCGGCCATGTGCTCGCTCTCCTCGTCAATCTTGGCCTGGATGTCGGCGATCTGGTTGTTGACAATGTCCGAGTCGGGGGAGAGGCCGTGGAGACGGGCAATCGTCTGGCGGGCCTCGTCGACGCGGCCGCGGCTGTAGGCGAAGCGAGGGCTTTCGGGGAGGAACAGGATGCCAGCGCCGAGGACCAGGGCCCAGGCAAAGGTGAGGCCGTTGGGGATTCGCCACGAGGCGCTGTTGAGTCTCGTCTCGGTGCCCCAGTTGACCATTTCGGCCGTCCAGATGCCCATGGTGATGAGCAGCTGGTACGAGGAGACAATGACACCGCGGATGACGGCAGGGGTACTCTCGGACTGGTACATGGGGACGACGACGGAGAGGGCACCGATGCTGAGACCGGTGACGAGACGGCCGACGGCGAACTGAACCCAGTGAACCGACGAGGAGATCTCGATGATGGTTCCGACGCAGGCGAAGAAGGCAAACATGGAGATGGACAGGCGACGGCCAACGGTGTCGGCCATCTTGCCGGCAATCAAGGAGCCGATGAGGGCTCCCACGCAGAGGAGGCCGACGATGGTGCCCTGGCGGGCAGCGCTGAAGGTGTACGACCCATCATCCTGCAGCGATCCGAAGCGGCGGGCATAGTCTTTCATCAGGAAGAAACCCGAGATTTGACCACTGTGAAGCGAAGCACATTGTCAGATATTATACTCCGTATAATGTATAATGTTGGGCAACAAATATGAACAACTACAGGAACTGTGTCTCAAAAGTTGTGTGTGTGTGTGTGTGTGGCTGCTTACCTGACATATCCAAAGATGAAGCCTCCAATGGCAGCAATGGCTCCCAAGGCACACGCAAGGAGGGTGACTCTCTCCTGCTGCGAGGGAACACCCTCGGACCCTCCACTGCTGGGCGAGGGATCCCTCTTGGGCTCCTCCTGCGCAGGAGCAGCAGCATCGGGCTTTTGCTTGAAGAATCTCATGATGTTTGGCTGCAACTCATGCGGTTACACTGGGGATTGTGATAAGGGGATTGGAGGGTTGGTCACAATCAAAATGGGTAGGAGGAGATTTGTCTCAAGGGGAGATGAGATGGAGACGGAGAAACGGCGTCTGGGCTGATAGATAAAGTTCTTTGCAAAGCTGATAGTTACAATGCTGGAATGCAACAAGTTGTATTACTCGTATAGTACGTGAGGGCATGGCAATAGGGAGAGTCCCACCGCGAGATATAAAAGCCTGCTTGCGCTCGCGTCCATCTCGGTGTCTTTGCGGGCCACTGGAGCAGCGAGTTCAAACCCATCGTGGTCCCGTGGTGTCTACATCACCAGACGAAGCAAGAGTCTCGAGCAGATCCCTCCTGAGGTCCCATTGACCTTGGGTCCATCTGCTGTTCAAGTACCGTTACCATCATGAGGCTGATGGGTTTCGTTCGGGGAAATATCGTCGGAGATACTCGTCCATACGGGCCCCATCACGCCGAGTCATGGTTCCTGTCTCGAGACGTAGGTTCCACAAACTGGAGCCTCGACAACAACGCCGGAATGTCCGGTCAAGCCACTGCCGAAGCACCAATCTGGCCCATCTGCCGCTTCCGGATCGCTGTCAAAGGCGGCCATACGGATACCCCTGTCAGGCCTGACGTGCCGTTCCCACTTGTTGCGTTCCACTCGTTCTTGGTATGCCCACTTTGGCCCTGCGCCTCGGAGCATTTTTTTTCGACACGCAGTTGCCGTGCTCCGTTGACCTTGGCCAACGACATACGAGTACTAACGTGATGGTTCAACTCATTTCGGTGGACGGACCTGTGCTGCAGAATTTTCTGCTCGGCCCACGATGTTCGCGGCGTCGTCTGATGTGCCCCTGGTGCTCCGCCGAGGGTGATACATAGGTAGCTGCAAGAGAGACAAGGCATTGCACAGTGCCGTGTTTGCTGACGGGCAGCTGTGGCAAGTCACGCTATCACTTCGTATTTCGGCCTGGGAAGCATCACGCATGCTCGGAGGCAATCACTCGATTCTGTATACGCATAATAGGCTCACAATGCTGTGCAAGATGAAGCCGGACGGCGGGTAGATTCGACGAGTCCGGCAGATGGTGCCTCCGTTCAAGTGCCGAACACCGTCGATCGTGGCTGCGGCAGCTCTGCAGGCTCTGGGTCGTCAAGGGAGTAACACCGAGAAGGACGATGGCCAAACCAGCAGAGCCCATCAGATAATGAATGCAATGATATGATCGTCCAGGGGCTTTCCGTTGATCCGAGTCAGTCCAGGCGAGGCGCATGAATCAATGGCAAGCGTGAAGAAAAATCCTTCTGGAAGGCTGACTAACGCGGCAGGTGAGCGGTTCGGGCTTAGCCCCGATCTGGCGGATGACGATGGCCAATGACGTCATTGACACGAGCCCGTTGGGGCTGCACCTCGGAAAATAAGAAGGAAGGAGAAAAAAGTCACATGTCAGCAATTGGCGTTGCTCAGGTGGAAGGAGTTGCAATTGAGGTGTCTGGCCGTGCAGAGAGGTAGGTATATATCGACGTATATGCCCTACTTGCTTTATATATCCAGGGTTTTACAATGTCGTTCTGCTGGTGATTGGATGCTTCGGAGCAAGTGTTGCCGCGTCCCGAGATGCTCTAGGGTGTCGCCATGCTTGGCCGTCTCCAGGCAATTCAATTACCCGACCGTCTTATACCATGGAGACAAGACCATCGAAACGGAGGCGGATGTCCGTCTGGAAAGAGGCTTATTATAATTGAATCCTGTCTAAGTCAGTCTTCAGAAGGCGAGATTGTGCCGAGAGCCTACCAGCAATGGCAGGACTCTGTTGGTGTTTGAATTGTTGCACATCTTGCTTCTCTCAGGAACCCCTATCCTCAAAGGACTCAAGATTAACCGTGCTGACGTCAAGCGGACGTGAGATGACTATCCTCCTCTGCTTCAATGTGTTCTTGCGGAAAGAATATCGGACGACGTTCGGAATTTGGTCTCGTGTCGGTTGACTTGAGCTTGATAGTTGCAGAGTTAGCATCAACACGAATCCAAGAATTCTTTCTATATATACTTGGGCATCTCAAAAGTTTATTGAGGATTGTTGAACGAGGAACAAGCCACCAAAACACCAAGATATCACTACGGCAGCAACAGTGAAAGCATCAATTGAACCATCTCAACATGTCTGACCCCAACAACCCCAACATCAAGACCAGGACCACCCCTCAGTGGTCGCTGTACCAGCGAGAGTCGTTCTGGAACACCAACAATGGCCAGTTCCCGCCCTTCAATACCGGTGAGTCCCTTTAGCAAGTCTTCCAAACGGCCAACTACTAACAAGATGCCAAGATCCGGCTGAGATTGAGAAACTGGCCAAGGAGAAGCTCTCGCAGGGAGGCTGGTACTACTCCTCCTGCAACGCCGGCATCTCGTGGACCCATCTCGCCAACCGCCAGGCCTTCTACCGCCACCGCATCGTCCCCCGCATGCTGGTCGACACCAACCAGCGCGACACGGCCGCCGAAATCTTCGGCCACCGCGTCTCCGCCCCGATCGGCTTCGCCCCGATCGGCATCAACCGCATCTACCACCCCACCGGCGAGCTCTCCGTGGCGAAGGTCGCCCAGGAGCTGAACCTGGCGTACTGCCTGTCCTCAGCCGGCAGCTACAGCATCGAGGACGTGGCTAAGGCCAACGGCTCCGGCCCGCGCTTCTTCCAGCTCTACCAGAGCCCCGACGACGAGCTCTGCCTGTCCATGCTGCAGCGCGCCTTTGACAACGGCTTTGACGCCTGCATGCTCACGACGGATACCTGGTCCCTCGGCTGGCGCCACAACGACGTCTTCACCGGCAACTACGCCTTCTACCACGACCACGGCGCGGGCGACCTCGGGCTGCAGGATCCCGTCTTCCAGAAGCGCCTCAAGGAGGCCGGCATCGATCCTGTCAAGAACCCAAAGGAGGCTGGCGCCAAGTGGATCGATGAGAACATCTGGCACGGCCGTGCGATTACCTGGGAGAAGATGAAGTGGACCATGGAGCAGTGGAAGCGCATCAGTGGCGGGCGGCCGTTTTGCTTGAAGGGGATCCAGAGCGTGGAGGATGCGAAGAAGGCAGTTGAGATGTGAGTTGCTGACGCTGAACGCCCAACTTGCCTCATGGAAGCTGACTCTGGAACGTCACAGGGGCGTTGATGGTATTGTTGTGTCGAACCATGCTGGGCGACAAGTCGACGGAGGCATCGCCAGTCTGGATGCCCTTGAAAAGATTGTCGACGCCGTTGGTGACAAGACCTATGTAAGAACCACAGCCCAATCTTTCCCCCCCATTCACCATATCGCAAAGCTGACACTATTCCCAAGGTCATGTTCGACTCTGGCGTGCGCACCGCGGCAGACGTCTTCAAGGCCCTCGCCGTCGGCGCCAAGTTCGTCTTCATCGGCCGCCTCTGGGTCTGGGGCCTCGGCATCGCGGGCGAGCACGGCGTGCGCCACGTCCTCAAGAGTCTGCTGGCCGAGTTTGACATTCTGATGGAGGTGGGCGGGTTTGTCAAGGTGGACGATATTGACCGCAGCTGCATCGATTCTCTGCCCAACTCGTCCAACCTGATTGCCGAGCACTCGGCGATTTAGGGGGGGGGGGGGGTTCGTTATGAATGCCTGTCATTGAACAGATACATGTTGCGTGTACTGATCTGTCGCTGTTGGTGTATTCATGATATAGAATGATATAGAATAAGATGCCTAGTTGTCTAAATTTTCCCAGTCTCCTCGTCACATCTATATAGATATGTACATGTATATAATCTGCTCAGTTGTCAAGAGGGCTAACCGTAGGATCCCACGTCGTAGGCGCATAAGAATCAAACTCCAGCAACGCCATGTCCTCCTCCGTCAGCTCGAAATCAAACACGTCCGCATTCGACTCGATCCTCGCCGGCGTCTCGCTCTTGGGCAACGGCACAAAGCCCTTTTGCAAGCTCCACCGCAGCAGAACCTGCGCGCCGCTCTTCCCGTACTTGTCCGCCAGCGCCTTGACTGCCGGCTCCTCGAACCTCTGCCCCTTGGCGAGCGGGCAGTACGCCTCGACCACGACGCCGTGCTTGCGGCACCACTCGACAATGTCCGGGTGCGCCAGCCACGGGTGCAGCTCCCACTGCCCGACGCTCAGCTCGCCCGCGTTGCCCTTGCCCAGCTCGCCCTCGAGCTCCTCGATGTACGCCAGCGTCTCCTCGAGGTGGTGCACCCCGTAGTTGGACACGCCAATGGACCGGACCTTGCCCTCCTTCTGCGCCTCCACCAAGGCCCTCCACGTGCCCTTTCTCACCTCCGGCCCCCCGTACGGACCGTGGTTCAGGTACAGGTCGATGTACTCGAGCCCCGTCTCCTGCAGACTCGCCTCCACCGCCTGCTTCGTCTTCTCGTACCCGGCCTCAAACACCTTGGTCGTGACGAAGACTTCGCCGCGCGGGAGGCCGGAGGCGCGGATGGCTTCGCCGCAGGCCCGCTCGCTGTTGTACAGGCGCGCCGAGTCAAAGTGCCGGTAGCCGCATTTCAGGGCGTGCACGTTTGCTGCGACGGATTTCTCGTGGCCGATGGTGAAGTTTTTCTCTGGTGAAGCTGCGGTCTAATTTCCATCATCATTATTATTATTAGTGTTGTTACTGTTATTTTCCAGAGTGTATGTATGTGATGGTTGGAACTTACACCGAAGCCCAGGACGGGGATCTCGTAGCCCGAGAGCATCTTGTACTTGGACGAGAGGCTGAGTTGCGCCATTGCGACAGTTGTGCGATGGAACTTTCCAAAGTAGACTGTAAATTGTTGCAGTATAGTTATCCTGCTTAAACACAGAAACAATCGATCAAATTGAGGACCAATTGGCCTCTTAAATATCTTCTTCTCAACTCCAAACAAAGGAAACCCTTCAATTACATCTTCAGCTCCCCACCCAAATCAACACCATAAAACGGCCTTGGTCTTCTCCTTTATCCCCGCCTAAAAGAAAGGCACCGGGAATAGGGCGAGACAGTTGCCGAATCGGGCAATTTCCCACTACCAACTCCCGCCTCCGCCCCGTGAATTACTCTTTTCGTCCGTCTGTTCTCCTGTTACACCGACTTCGATGTTTTATCTCCAGACCCATCGCCAGCCCCCGTCTATAGCTTCACCGTTCTGCGACTATAGCTCTAAAGGCGCCTTACTTGATGCTTACAAAATCGTGTACACGTGCGTTTGAATGACAAATCTTGGTTGGATTACACATTGAGACGTGTCGTATGATCTTGGTGGTTGGATGTAAAATGGCGTGTTTATAGAGTCTTGGTATGCTCGAGCTGCAAATGCCGGGACCTTTCACGAAGCCTTACAAGAAGATGCATGCCACAATATCCCCCAAGAGCCATGAATAGAACATTTCAACAACCTCATAGCAAACCAACCGAGTCAACATATTCCCCTACCTTGAGACTGGCATCCTTCATCCTCACCCATCCTCGAGATAATCCCTCCGAAACGCTATAATTCAACGTCAGCACACCTACAACGCTTACACAGGAGTCCCCAGAGTCCAGACAACTCACCTCCCACAATCAACCCACTCGCATACATGACCCTCGAAATCGGCTTCAACTCCTCCTCCCCCTCCCCCTCCCCCTCATCCAACCACCTCTCCCAAAACCCCAGCAAGCCCTCCGCCCTCGCCCTCAGACTCTCGCCCACATCCCAGCATCCCACCCCCAGCACCGTTCCAAACTCCCGGAACGCGAGCCTCCCCTCCGCACTGCTGCTGCTCCCTCTCGTCAACCTCGTGCTCAGCAACTCCCCGGCAACAGGCAGCGCCCTATCGCAGAACCGCTCCGCCCAGGACTCCTCCTTCCACAGATGCGCCGCCCAAAGCCCCATCCCGACGTCCAAGAAGTCGGTTCCAGGAGACAAGCTCCCCTTGCGCTTCATGAGGCCCCAGTAGTCGTCCACCTCCTTCTGCAGGACGTGCTCCCTATGGCCCTGTCTCGCAGCAGTGTGCTGCAGCAACTTGTACACCGCGTACCCCGTCGCCGCATCGAGATGTCCCTCGCTCGGCACCAGCACGCTCTTCATGTCCATCGAAATCTTCCACACCATCTTCATCCCCCCGGACAGACAATGCACCATGAACCGGGCATGGATCGCCCGCGCCAGCTGAATCCCCAAATCGTTCCACCCCGTCTCGCCCGTCGCGACAGAAAGCCTGTTGAGCGCAAACATCCACAGCGTCAAGTAGTGATGGTACTGACCGTCCCCGTCGCTCCCCTTGGCATCCACCTTGCCGATCCGCAGACCTCCTCGGAGGGGCTCCTCGTCTGTCGCGCCGTCGAGCCGTTTGGTCCCGTCTCTTGTACGCCCGAGGACGTCGTGGACGGTCTCGACGAGGCGTTTCGCCAGGCTGAGATAGACCGCGTTGCCGGTTTCTTTGGACAGCGTGATGAAGTTGACTACGCCAAAGGCGTCCGTCCAGAGATACCGTCCGTGGAAGCCGCCTGCGCCAGGATCATCGGGGAAAGTCCAGGAGTTTGCATTGTCGGGGGAGAGTGTATCAAACGGGCCGTAGACCGTCTTCATCGCTTCCGTGAAGCGGGTGATTCTGTCGGGCTTCGACATGCTGTGTCCTTGTTGCAAGCAAAGACCTCGATGCTGGATCCTACTCCATAAACGTGGACGAAAACACAACGCAAGCAACTTCATTGTCGTGATAGTCCTTGTGAAATAGTAGTCGATTCTATCGTGTTGATGTGATGCCATAATGACGCCTCCATGATGGTGGTCAGCCATCTCGACGTTAGTCCATCGACTATTCCGCCGGTGCTCTGCCACTGAATACCTAGGAAACACTGTAGTCCATCTTCTCAACCAATTGAGTCTTCTCGCATTCTGGATAATCTTTACAATATCTCACAGATTCCCTCGTAGCCACATAAACATACAACCTCTTCATAAAAGCTAGCCATCAACTCACTGAGCATCCCCGTAAACAGCCCCAGATGAAACAAACTCACACTCTCCTATATCCTCCCCAAAGGCCCCTCATACACCCCCAAAGGATGCCTCATCGCAAGCGGCCACAGCTCAAACAAATGCTGCGTCTGCATAAACACCAGCGGCCCCAGGTCATCCCACAGCAGGCTCCCCAGCACCCGCACGACGCCCGTGTACCCCGGCGACTCAGCCGCCCGGTCCCCGTCAACCTCGTTCGGGTCGTAGTATGCGTCAATGGCCATCACAAAGCCCTTTTGCTGCGGAGTGGGCTGGAGATAGGAGTCGATGACGCCCTTGTCGGCTGCCAGAACAATGTCCGTGTGGACGCCGGATGGAAAGTCCTCGGACTCCCTGATTGCTTGGAAATGACTGTGCAGCCTATCAGCGTAAAGCCCCGTGGAAACATGTAAAAGTGAATACGTACGTTCTGAGGGCATCGACATCTCCGTCCGCAACACCAAGATCCCTCGCATCTCTCCAGTAAACCTTGGACCGTTCCCTAATCACCTCCGCCCCCTTCAACCCCCTCCCCCAATCCTGCACATCCTCCTCAAACTTGCCCTTAAAAGCCTCCCACTCCTCATCCGTATGCTCATGCGACAACCGATACGCAACGTATCCCCACTCAAAGTTCGTCTCTGTCCCAAGATACTCGTTCGCCTTCGTCACCCACAGCTCCTGCTCAAGAGCCACAGGCTCTCCTCTCAGCTCCCGCCTCGCCTGCTCCTGGGCCCTCACCTGGCACTGCGCCGTCCGCGCAGTATCCGACAGCACCTCGAAGCCAGTCGGCAACCCAGGCGGGACGTCCATCCCCCCGCGCTCCTGGCCGAGCCACACCTCGGTGCGCGACAGATACTTTAGTCTCAAGTAGTAATCGCCCTTTCGAGCGTGCGTGTTTGCCGAGAAGGAGATGGGCTCCTTGCGGTACGGCTCAGCGGCATCCGGACGCGGCGGCGCATCGTCCTGAGCGGCGAGGCCTGATCCCTCGTATCCGTCCATGGGCAGGAAGATGCCCGAGTCCGCTTGAGCCCCGTTCTCCAGCAGATCGTGGAGCTTGTCCGTCAGCATCCATTGCTGCGAGCTGAACTCGGGCGTTGAAGAAACGTTCGCGAGCTCCTCCAGAATCGGGCCGCGAAGCCGGTCGATGCTGTCGGTTACCCAACGGTGAGACCGCTCCGAGATGAACTTGTAGTGCGCCTTGATATAGTCATGCCATCGAGCCGCAATCTGCACCTCCGGCTGGCCTTCCAACCGATTCTTCGCATTCACCGCATCCTCAAAGTCCTTCAAATGTCCCCAGATGAGATTATACGTCTCCCTCAGCGCATGCTTAATCGGCGGCAGATTTAAATAATGAAACGTATTCGTCACAGCGCAAAGGTACTGGCAGGCCTCGTGAAACCTGTCCGGAGAACTGAGCCCCAGCTCCTCCCACCGCCTCTCAGAAAGCGGCATGATGCCCTCCCACACCCTCGACTTCATCGCGTGAAGCTCCTTCGTAATGGGCACCAGCCGGTCCGCGTCCTCGTGAGAGCCGACGCGCATCGCAATCTGCTGCATGGGAATCTCGTGGCTGGCATCAAACGGAGGCGGCGCCCACGCCGCCAGCGGCTGCTGTATTAGCATTACAATCTCTTCCGACAGGGGCGGGAACGAGGACCGGCTGCCGTCGGGCAAGGTGCCGAACATGGTGGACTCGAGAAAGTGCGGGAGCGTCTGGGGCTCGAGGATGCGGTCGACGATCCATAGCCGCGACTCCATCTCGCTGCGAGGCGTATCTGGCTGGAGGACATGGTCGAGCGCCCCGGACGGCGTGTTGCCTCGGGCGATGCGGTTGTCGCTCATCTGGTTGGTGATGGGGGTCCCGTTCTGACTGAGCAGAAGGTCCAGATTGAGGAGGAGATTTGCCATGTTCATCTTGTCGTCTTGTGCGTAGGTTCTGGTGAGATGGAGGCGTCGGTTGTTGAGAGTTGCGGCTGTAAACCCGGTAATGTCCGTGGCAACACGCCGGGGGCGTTCAGAGGGTAAATAACCAAGACTGAATCTCTGAGAACGACAGTGGAAGAACCGAGTGCATTGAGCGATCCGAGTCCTCGACGCGATTCTTTTCATCCTCTTATATCCCCTGAGTGTCTTGATGAGACGACGTTGTGAGACCCGAGGCTCAACGGCCAAGTGGGCTGAGAACAGGCAAATTGGGCCCAACTGGCTGTGGCTGCCTGGCGTGCCTGGAGCTAGTGAGGAATTAACGAAAACAGCGCCAAAGGATCATGGTAGCAAACTTGAGTCGCTACTAGTTGAAGCGATCAAGCGTGCAACTCATCAGGGGTCGTGCCGGGGTGCCGATGGACATTGACTGGAAGCAAGCAAGCAATAGTGTACCAATCATGTGATATTTGTTACTTAACCGGAGACCATAAAGAACACCATCAGGTGCCCGTATTGCGAGGAAGCGTTGTGAGAGACTGGTGGTTGAAGGTAAGCACAGGAAACTTCTCAACTCTCACCAACAGACAACAACAGTAGTCATACTTCTCGATTGTGACACAAACCCGTCCCTGTCACTCGCAAACGGCTCTCTGCATAATACTCCGTACAGCCAGAAAAGACAAGCCAATCCCTGCTGTATCTCTAATCCATCCAGGCAGTCTGATTCACCCAATTCCCCATTCACCCAAGATCTCGGGAATAAACAAAGGACATAAAGAAAAAAAAGCCAAGTGTTCAATCGCCAAAACGCCCCAGGTTAGCCACGCTCACTCCCGCAACCTCTTCGATCCCCCGATACACGTAAGTTGTCTCCTAGACCCCGTCATTGTCATCGTCAGTCATGTCCATGCCGGCCCCGTGGTTTTCGTTATCGCTGTCGTCATCAAGCAGCATCGTCCGCCTCCTGCCCACTCGCCCCTTTCCCTTGTCCATCATGCCGGCGCCCGCCTTGTTGCCGTACACCTTCTGAGACGCCTCGGCCTTGCGCCTCTCCAGCTCCAGATCGAATTCGGCCAAGTCTTCCGCCTCCTCTTCCGCGGCGCCATCCAGCAAGGCCGTCTCTTCCAGCGCCTTGTTCAGCAGCTCCGTCGCGATGCTATCCTGGGGCTGGATAGCGAGGGCCTCGTGAAGGACAACAACTGCCTCCTGTGGCTTGTTTTGCTCCATCAGTATGAGCCCCTTGGCGCTGAAGATTGCCGCATTCTTGCCGCCTGCTCGCAACACCTCGTCAAACTCCAGCAATGCCCGGTTGTAGTGCCGCAGCCGGCGGAAGGCGTGTCCCAAGTTTGTCCTCGCCGCGAGCCATGCCGACGGCTCGCTGTCGTTCTCGTCGGCCACCTTGAGGGCGGCTGTGAAGTACTGGACAGCTTCTTTGGGCTTGTCCTGATGGTACTTGACAATGCCCATCTCGTTGAGAAGCAGTGGATCTGTCTTGCACAGCCCGTAGGCGGTCTTTAGGAATTCCTCCGCAATGGTCATGTTGTTGAGCGCGTGGTTCTGCATCCCGAGGAATATCTGCGGCAGGTGGGTGCCCATGAAGAGACGAGCCGCCGTCGAGTATGCCGAGATGGCCTGGTCGTGCTCCCCCTCCTCGGCGAATGTGTGCGCGAAGCCTATCCAGGCAGGGCCGAAATGTGCGTCCATCATGCTCGCTTTGCTAAAATACCGCCTGGCTTCTGCAATCTTCTTGATGCTGAAATAGTAGATGCCCACGGCCAGCCACGTACAGGGCTCCTCGGGGTGGCTGTCTGCGAGGTCGTGGGCTATCAGGAACAGCAGGTTCTTCATCTTGAGCTCGTAGAGACATGCCAGGTGGACGGGGTATATGGCGAAGTTGTACTTGTCTTCTTCCAAGATGGCGTTGGTGATGGTCAGGGCGTCTCGGTACCGGCACTGCGTGTACAGCAAGTCGGCGCGAGCGAGCTGCAGGTCGGGGTTAGCGGCCAGCTGGTAATGCGTAGACAGCGACTCGTAAGCCGTATCGAACGCCGCGGGATTCCGGTACTTGGACAGCCGCGTCGTGTAGAGCATCTTGGTGAACTCGGCCGCCTCCTGGGAGTGTATCGAGTCAAAGTCCAAGCTGTCGAGGAACTGCCACTCCTCGTCTGGCGACAGTAGCGAGTTCTTCATCAGCTGCTGGAAGGCCTCGAAGCACTGCACGTCGATGCGCACCGCATCCTTGTAGCACTCCTTGGCCCGGTCAAAGGCGTTTTGCTTCGCATAGCAGATGCCCCGGAGGAAGCACATGGCCGCCTCGAACCGCCGACTCGCCGCCTCTTCGTCCGCGGCATTGTCGTCTCGCCTCCGTGTGCTCCGCGGCTGGTTGGAGGCCTTGCGCTTGTTGCTCGAGCCGTTGGCGATGAGGTGCGTCGGATTGCGCTCGCCGAGGACAGCCAGGGCCTCTTCGAATCGGGACTGCTTGATGAGGCAGTGGCCGGCAAGATAGCGGCAGGCCGGGGTACGGCTGATGAGATCTTGCTTGGAGAGGAACGACTGCGCACGCGTGTAGTTGCCAGTCGCAAAGTGGACTTGGGCCAGCCAGAAGGCATCGTTGTCGTCGTCTGTGAGCAGGATCCGTGGGTTAGCCGGGGTTCGCAGGATTGGGTCTCTCCATTGGCTGACTAACTGGTCATGGCGAGGAGCTTGTCCCCAATAAAGATGGCCGATTCATATTGTGCCTTGTTGAGGGCATCCTGCCTCCAGTCCCGTAGAAACTCCTGCATCCTCTAGCATCGAGAGGGGGACGTGGACATGACCGCCAAGAAGGAGGAGGAAAGGAAAAGAAGGGATTGATTGAGTAGAATCAGAGAGAGGAGAACAAATCAGGATAGGTATTCAGCAGGGTAACATGGCGTAAGTGTCTGGCGGCAGAGGGTCTCGCAGTCGTATATCCAAATCAAGTGACGATGTCGACGCGAGACTTGTCTGAAGCGCGTAAAGTTTGTTTGCTTCGATTCATGTTGCCAGGGAGTCAGACGGCACTGGGCTGACAATTACAGCTGTGCTACAGGGGGTTGACCTCAGCGGATAGCGGGGTTGTCCCGCTGAAGCTACCCCTCATTGCAGCGACATTCAGGCCCTCATTCCCTGGGGCAACATGCAGGCGGCGAAGTATTGGGAAAAAATCATAGACTCACCTCCGATACAGGAGCGAGTCAGGTTTGCAACTCTTCAATTGTTAAAACTCCAGCGCTTGACACTATCAAGGCTTTTTCAGAGGAGGCAACTCGACGTCAACTCCCCCAATCGCATCATCATAATCAAACCGTGCACAACAATGGCCTCCTCCGCCCCCGTCCGCGCCGCCGCCCTCGCCCGCGACACCAAGGAAACGTCCATCCAGATCGCCCTCAGCATCGACGGCGGCGAGCTCCCCAAGGATGCCGACCCCAGGCTGCTCGAGATCGCCAGCCCGCACGCCTCGCAGTCCAGCCCGTCGCAGGTGATTGCCATCAACACGGGCATCGGCTTCCTGGACCACATGCTGCACGCGCTGGCCAAGCACGCCGGCTGGAGCATGGCGCTCAACTGCAAGGGCGATCTCATCAGTGCGTCTCCTCTTCCAATCTTTGCGACGAAAAGTACCATGAACTGATTTGTGAAATGCAACAGTTGACGACCACCACACTGCCGAAGACTGCTGCATCGCCGTCGGCGACGCCTTCGCCAAGGCCCTCGGCAACCTCGCCGGCGTCGCCCGCTTCGGCTACGCCTACTGCCCCCTCGACGAGGCCCTCTCGCGCGCCGTCGTCGACCTGTCCAACCGCCCCTACGCCGTCGTCGACCTGGGCCTCAAGCGCGAGTTCCTCGGCCAGCTGAGCACAGAGATGGTGCCGCACTGCCTGCAGAGCTTTGCGCAGGCCGCGCGCGTGACGCTGCACGTCGACTGCCTGAGGGGCGACAACGACCACCACAGGGCGGAGAGCGCCTTCAAGGCGCTGGCGGTGGCGATCCGGATGGCCACCACGAGGGTTGCCGGCAAGGAGGGCGAGGTCCCTAGCACCAAGGGGACGCTGAGTGCGTGAGGAACGAAATGGGGAGGGATGAGGAAAGAGAAAAGATAAAAGAAAGTGAATGGGCTATAGAACGAAAAAAGATCTCACAGTGGATGGAGTTTGGAGTATTTGTGGGATATTGGCGCCCCTGATGGGATGCGGTTGGATATCTCGGGCTATACAAGACGAGCTCTTACAGAGAAGCAATCTCGATATTGCAATACGAATAGAAATTATTTGGATACCCAACCTACTATATGCGTACAACCAAACACCGTTTTATTCGCCCCTATATACACACTTCGTCATACGGCCCCCTTCACGTCCTGTAGTCTCCGTTGATCGTCACGTAGTCATGGCTGAAGTCACACGTCCAGTGAACGATGCTCTTATCACCCGTCCCCAGCCTCACCAAGATCTCCAAGTCCTCCATCTCGAGAATCTCACTCGCCCTCTGCTCATCGACGTTCTCCGGCTCCCCGTTCACCAACAGCTTCAGCTCGGCCGAGCCATCAGTAGGAACAAACGACACGCTCGTCCGCTCGGGGATAATCTCAGGGACGTCGTTGACGGGCTGCCCGGGAGGAGAAATCAGGGCATATCCAGCGGCGCACAGAATACGCCCCCAGTTGGCATCCTTGCCGTACAGAGCCGTCTTGACCAGCGGCGAGCGCGCAATGGCACGGGCAATCTCGCGCGATGCCGCCTCGGAGGCTCCATCGACGACGCGGATGGTGACGAACTTTGTGGCGCCCTCGCCGTCACGCACGAGGTACTTGGCCAGCTCGGCAGAAAAGTCCGTCAGGAGGTCGCGGAAGGCCTCGTAATCGGCGCTCTGCTCAGACGAAATCTCCGTTCCGCCGGCAGCCCCGTTGGCAAGCAGGGCAACGGTGTCGTTGGTCGACGTGTCGCCGTCAATGGTCAGCGCGTTGAAGGAGCGGTCGACGGAGTACTTGAGCAGCGGGTTCATCAAGGCCGGGGCGATGGGGGCGTCGGTGGCCAGGATGGTGAGCATGGTGGCCAGGTTCGGGGCCATCATGCCGGCGCCCTTTGTCATGCCCGCGATGCGGTACTCGACGCCGGGGGACGAGGGCAGCGAAAAGGTCCTCGACAGGAGCTTGGGGAATGTGTCGGTGGTGCAGATGGCCTTGGCGCAGTCCAGCCAGTGCCGGTGGGAGTCTCCGGCCTGGTGGTAGGCCACGGGGATGTGGTCCACGATCTTTTGGATGGGAAGCCTGGGAGAGAAGTTAGACAAGGCAATTGACTCGTGTATGTGTTTCCACTAACCTCTGTCCAATGACTCCCGTGCTCATCACCAGCGTCGAGTCTTGGCTGCCAACCCTCTGATCCGTCGTCCGCGCCATGCTCGCCGCATCCTCCAGGCCTCCGACACCGGTCACGGCATTGGCATTGCCCGAGTTGACAATGACGCTGCGCAGGCCGGCGTTGGCCCTGCTCTTGAGGATGCCGCGGCTGAAGGTGACGGGCGCCGCCTGGAACTTGTTCTTGGTGAAGACGGCGGCGGCCGAGGCCGGGCGGTCGGAGGTGACGAGGGCCAGGTCCGGCTTGGTGGTGTTGCCGGGCTTGACGCCGACCAGGACGCCCGAGGCCAGGAAGCCCTTGGGGTAGGTGCCCGACGTGGGCACGTACTTGAGCTTGGCCGGCGGGATGGCGCTGGCCAGGCCGGTGGAATAGGCGCGCTTGAACTTGAGCATCGTGGGCGTGATGGTTGTTGGGGGGGGAGGTTTGAGCTTTGTGAGCTGGTGGGAGCTATAAAATACGCTCAGGTGTAGGGGAGCTGCTATGAGTCAAGTCCCGAGGTACCATGATATTTTATTGATTCTCTATCAAATCTACTTCTAAGAGCATTTCAACAGGAAGTTAAGTACGTTCATGAGTGCCTATATTCAAGCGGGTATCCTGTCGTCAGAATCCTACTGAATTGTAAACTACATGATCGTTGTTTGTTAATTTGGTCAATTTGTGAAGCATCCCAGCTACTGCAAAGTACACACCACCAATCTCATATATAGAAGAGTTGCACGGCAGTAATAGAGTTCAGACAACATCAAGCGGCTACTTCAGTTACAAAACTTCACTTCACCTCTTTTTCTCCATCACTTCATCATGATGCACCCTCAATTGCATCTCATATCATCTCCTTGCACTGCTTCTGCCTGCTTCTGCCTGCTTGGCTGAGCCACATGAGCAACTGCCTACATCGGCCTTGAGCTCAAATTCACTGCAGCCAATAGGTAAGGTATTGCTACTCGTCGTCCGTGCTGACCTAACCGCTGACTCACCATGGCCCCACACCGCGCCTATAAAACCTCGTCTGCCCTCCCGCCCTTCTTTCAACCTTTTCTTTTTCCCTTTTCCTTTTCCTCATCCAAGTGCACGGGCGTTTTCCTTCTCCGTGAAGCGATAAGCTGAGAGAGGAATTTTGCTAGTTGAAAACTATACACTGACCACTTCTGGCTGGGTTCGCCCGGCCAGGGAATATTTGGAACCCTTTACAAGCTCTTGCTCTCGAGGAGATTTGTTCTTTTCTTTCATTGCGGTTGGTCCCTGGTGGGCTGGCGTGAAGAAGGATGGCCGGATGGAGGATCGTGGAGACGTGGGAAAGAAGGCGTCATGGCGATGGAGGGACTGGTCGGCGCAGTCGTGATTCCTAAGGGCGTGTCGACGGTGTCTGCCTGAAGCTGTAGCTGTGTAGCCTTGCAGCAGCATGTGAAGCAGGCATTAATTACGGTCTAAACATGAGGTCGAGTCGCGTCTTGTTTTGACCTGGTGAAGCTGTAGCACCCCATTGCGAGCTTCTCTCCCGAATGTCAAGTCACAATAGCAAGATTCAACCACCACTCTGGAGTCTCTGTAGTGAATCTCTGTAATATCCTAAGCTATTTTGTGATTTCCCCTGCTGTCCGCCCGTCCGTCTGCAATCTTCGCCGTAGAATCCATCGCCCTCAAGCAGACAAAAGTCGCTGCCTTCAGCCTCTCCCCCAAAACTTTAGCGCGGGGCATCTCCGTTTTCCACTCGAGTATTTTGCAGTGACTCAAAACGACTGCAGACCCCCACCTTGAACCTCTCACAAGCCATTCGACGGACTGACGCACTGTTTGCATTCTTCAGACGCTGTTTGTTTCCTCCTCCAGCTGGAATCTCCGAGGCTGAACCTCACGACAAAGTTCTTCTCACTGCTCAGCTGCTCGTCTCGGCGTCAATTGTTGCGACAAAGCTTGCCTCGCCGATAGCGTCGCCCGTCGTTCTCACGATCCATCCTCGCCCTCTGCTCTTCCTCTCGCCTCTACCTCATCCCCGAACGTCGCACACACAACAAAGCATCCGATGGCAGCGGAAGCAGGCCAGCCTGCGCCCAAGAGCGAGGCTGCCGCAGAAAAAAAGGACCAAGCCCAGGACCAGAAGAAGGGAGGCTCCAAAGACCAGCAGACCAAGGCCGCCACAGCAGCACCGGCGGCTGAGGGCGCGGCCGCCGGCGAGAAGAAGCTCTCCAACGCCGAGCTGAAGAAGAAGGCCAAGGAGGAGAAGGCGGCGAGGAGGGCGGCGGCCAAAGTCTCACAGCCGCAGCCGCCGGCCAGCGCGCCGGGACAAGGCGACGGCGGCGGCGCAAAGGGCGGCAAGCCCAAGGCCTCGAAGCAGGACGGCGCGCAGGCAGGAGGGAACCAGCATGGAAAGGCGGCGGCTCCGCGGTCGGCCGCGCCGATGCCCGCGCCCAAGGAGGCGAAGCCTTCGGTGCCCGAGTGCTTCAGCCATCTGGCCATGGCCAAGGGCGTGCACCTGACCCATGCGGACAAGGACGTCCACCCGGCGGTGCTGCTGCTGGGCCAGCAGATGAGCACCATGGCCATCAGTGATAGCACCACCCGGCTGGAGGCGACGCTGCTAGCATTCAAAAAGGTATGATGAAGAACGATATCTTTACTTGCTGGATGAGAGGACACGTTCTAATATCCAAGCAACAGGTCATCGACTCATATACAACCCCCCACGGCACCACGCTCTCCCGACACTTCACCTCCCACGTCCTCAACCCGCAAATCGTCTACCTCACAGCATGCCGCCCCATGTGCTTCTCCATGGGCAACGCCATCCGCTGGCTCAAGCTGCAGATCAGCAAGATTGACATTGACATGGCCGACTCGGACGCCAAGAAGCTGCTGTGCGAGGCCATCGACAGCTTCATCCACGAGCGCATCACCCTCGCCGACGTCGTCATCGTCAGCACCGCCGCCGACATGGTCGCCGACGACGACGTCATCCTCACATACGCCCACCACCACCTCGTCGAGCGCGCCCTGCTGCGGGCCCGCGCCGACGGCAAGCGCTTCAAGGTCATCCTCGTCGACGACCCCTTTGAGCGCGTCGGCCTCGCCCACGCCAAGACGCTCGCCGCCGCCGGCGTCCCCGTCGCCTACGCGCCCGACCTCGGCGCCCTGCGCACCAACCTGCAGGAGGCGACGACGGTGCTCGTCGCCGCCGAGGCCATGTTCAGCAACGGCGCCATGTACGCGCGCGCCGGCACCTGCGACGTCGCCACCGCCGCCTTCGACCTCGGCATGCGCGTCACGGCGCTGTGCGAGACCATCAACTTCACCGAGCGGGTGTCCATCGACTCGCTCACCTACAACGAGATTGATCCGGAGCGCAACACGGACGAGGAGTTCCGGCTGCTGTTTGACACAACGAGGGACAAGTCCATTTCGGCCGTGGTGACGGAGCTGGGCATCTGCTCGGCCAAGTCGGTGCCTGCGATTCTGCGGAAGCTGGAGGAGCTGTAGTGAATCTGTAGCTTTGAATTGTAAGGAGAAGAGTAAAACGATCAATGGCCTAATGTCTCAATCAGTGAGTCACCGCGATGTAGACTGTAGGTTTGATCAGTGTCATTTGAGTCTCGGTTGGCTTGTCGATTTGACGGGCCATATGCCAGGCCATGGCAAAGCCCAATCCTCCCAACCTCTCTATATATACAAGCTCCCCCTTCCACCCTTCCACCCATCCTCCCATTTTCGTTTCGTAGGTAGTTATCGTCCCAAGGTCAACTTTGTAGCATCGTCCAAGCGTCAAGCGTCCAGCTTCAAGCCGATTCGGGCGTTCAAGCCCCCTGCCTCTCCGCATCCCGCTGCGCCTTCCGCGCCCTCTTCTCCAGCAGCGCCCTCTTGCGCTCGTCCAGCACCGCCCGCTGCCGGTCGTCCACGCCCTGCAGCCAGTACCCGAAGCTCGCGCCGCCGGCCGCGTACACGGGGTACGCCCACAGCGAGCCCTTGTTGAAGAAGGGGCGCATCTCGATGCCGACTTGCCAGAAGCGGACGGCGAGGCCTTTATTTGCGAGGACGCAAACACACGTTAGCTTGCTTTGGTTCATGGACCTGTGACTAGCAATTGATGGGAGAGGGGCTTTTTGGAGAGGAAGGTGAGTTGTGCTGAGGGATGGGTTTCGAGAGGAATTGCGAGATTGGGAGGGGGAGAGTGGGAGAGTAGACGAACCGAAGCAACTCCAAAACGCAATACGATGAACCATCTTGAATAATCCGCAGAAAAACTTCCTCTCCTCGAAAAAAAGCCTCTCGGAAAGACACTCGGTTGGCGGAGACAATCGGGTGAGATGTCTCCCTCGGTAGTTTTGTTTTCGGGGGCCGCGGTGGGCAAAGAATTGGGCCGTTTCCTTGTGGGCGTGGGAGACGAAGAGAGAGCTCTGGGATTGCACTGTTTCGCTATCTCTCCATCTTTGGGAATCCGGCAAGAAGTGGTGATGAGGTTGGGCGGGCCGGCGGCCTTTGGGCGGTGTCACGTGGGTGTGCATGTGACCTCTTATTACCTTACCTTGGTACTCAGGGTGGGATGAGATGGTGATGCCTTGTTTGTGATACGATTGAATGACTGGACACTTGCTCTGCTTTTTCTTTCCTAATCATCCTGTGACTGTCATAATTTACTTTGAACTTCATGAATAACTCTTTTCTTCTGTTTGATAACGTGTTGTTGAGTGCCTCCTGTGGCATGACCGTATTATAACATCTATTGCCGTCTAAGCTAAAGGCTCTAAGAAGTCCACCATCTCATCGTCAATGCTTCTCATCTAGTATCGTCAATGCACAAATTAGAATCAAAAAGACAGGCAATAAGAAGCAATTCAGCAAAACGCCGTGCAATGCAACCATGACAATAATCAAACATCTGCACCCCCTCACGACTCTCTATATGCCGGCGGAGGTTCCAAAGGCGTCGTCTGAGACGCAGGTCGCGCAGACCCCCGAGTCCACTCTACCGTCTTCATCATCATCTTGCCCATGTACTGCTGGATAAAGGATTCACTACAGAACTGTTAGCCGACTTCATGAAACTTCGGAGAAGAGATATCGTACGTGTAATAGCTGTGGTCAGAGTTGTGCAGCGACACCAAGTTGTGCGCCAACTCGTGGGCCAGCACCACCCACCACCACGTCCCTGCTTCCGCCCTGCCCGCCCCGTTCGGAACGTCCATCTGCGCGGCATGCAGCTGCAGGAAAAACCGAAAGTTGCAAAAGATGCTGCCACCAGTGTTGAACGCTATTGTCGCGCCGGCTTCGTCGTAAAAGATGTGAAGCACCTGGGGTGACAGTGAGTAGACATTACCCACCTCCACAAGCAACGAGGCAAACTTGTTGATCGCAGACAGATTCTTCGACAGGAAGGCGGCGGCATCTACATTCGCCGCTTTGGCCAAATATACCTTCATGCCGTTCGAAGCTTCGGCTACAAAGGTAATGTTCTGCGCTGGCGTCTTGTCGCAGTACGACGCCTGTTCCTTGACCTGAGTGACCTGAGGCTCTGCGTACACCCTATCAGAGCCGTGAGCCCGCGTTGCGTTGACGGCGTTCAACAGATTCTGCTGGACCACTGCCGGGTTGGTCACTTTCCCGTCGTCCTTTTGCGACTCTCCCTGACCGTCCTGGCCGCCCGATGTTCCGTTGCTGTTGGAGCCGCCGCCCATAAACTGCTCCAGTTGGCCTCGAGAGTTGTCCTTGTCATCATCCTGAGTATCGAAGCCAAGGCGACGGGTCAGATTCGAAAACAGACCCCTGCTCTTTCTGTTGTTTGCAACTCTATCTTGCGGCTTGTCGTCGGTCGAGTCCCAGCCGCCAGGCATGGATTGCTGGGGAGAGTTTGGAGATCTCGGAGCCTCCCTTGCCGCCTCGGCTGCCTGTGGGAGTTGCTGCGTCTTGGACGCATCCTGAGCTTGCTGGGCCCAATTTTGCTCCCTTTCTCGAATCTGCCTTTGCTCCTCCTCTAGTGCCTTGCGCCTTTCCTCCTCTGCAATTCTAGCCTCGGCAGCCTTTGCCCGCAGAATTCGGTCGACATTATATCCACGCGACCTCAATCCGTAGAGATCCAGGGTGAGGAACGGCTCAAAGAACAGGTACGCTTGCTGGTTAGGCCGATCAAGCAGCATTTGGCATATCGCTTGTCCCACCTGGTACATGTCTGGCTTTCCTTCGTCAGCTATGTACAGGACCCATGATCTGTTGGTGTACGTTGCCGCCGCAGAGCGCCTCTCGGTATGCGTTTGTCTGTGCCCCTGCAGGGTCCGCCGAAGCGCCACGGAGCGGACCACTTCCACCGTCAGATTCTTCTCGAGCCACTTTGCGTCATGCTTGATCGCATCTCGCCGATAGTTGGCATACTCGTAGAGGAAGATCTTGGATCGTTCAAGAACATGCTTCTTAAGCGCCTCGGCCATCTGCTGTCGCGCTGTGTGAGGGCCGATGCGGACGTCCTCTTCAACCATGCTGCTGAGCCTCGACGCGCCGAGTTTCAGGTAAAAGGTCTCGAGAATATCTTCTTCAGGGGCGCAGATCAAATGCTCTTTGAATAGGCGGTAGCTGATGATGTCGTCCAGCACCACAATCTGGCTAGCCGAAGCAAGCTGGTATTGCTTAATGGGAGCTTCATCCTCATCCAGATCATTGATGGCATTTCCCTTGGACGCCACCAGCTCTTTGTAGGCAAGAAGACAAGGTGAGCTCTTCAGCTTGCGCCAAAGCTCCTTGTCCCGGTGAAGGGTTGAACTGGCCTCGGCGAGGGATTTCAGCAGATCCAGGTACTTCTCGGGGCTTTGCAGCACGCTGAGAAGCCTTGCTGGCTCGTTACACGCCATATATGCAACCTCGACTTTGGTCGGTTCGCTCTTTGCGCCGCACTTGAACAGGAACGCATTCCCGTCCTGTCCAAAGTCGACAAAGTCAAAGATGTCGCCATACGTCGACGAGGTTCCCAGGTATGCTCGCGACGGACTAATGTAAGACAGCTTAGTGTCTGATTTGCCCGAAGGCCGCTTCACCGGGATGATTGGAGCATTTCGGAGCTTGACCAGGCTGCTTTCTCCCAGCTCGCTAATGCGAGAGGCAAAGTAGCTAAAGAGAGTTACGGCAGATTGCTGGTTCTGCGGAGGGCTGGCTAGCAGGCGGTTGACACACTCAGCTATCGGCGGGTCTCTCGCGACACCGAATTTCTAGTATTCACGTCAGTCTTATACAAACATGGTCAAAGGAGGGTACATACGTTGGCGTGGTCGTGGAGGTCACGGTTCAAGATATCGAAACCAAGTACGGCTGCTCTTTCGTTGATAAAGCATGCGGCTGGTGTCACCAGCTTGGTGCTGCCCTGAAGCGGCAGAATGGGTTTGCGACAGTCGCTGAGATCAAAGGCAGCATACCGATTGGTATGATGGTTGGCAATGAAATAAGTCATTGCCGAAGACCTCAACGCCTGATCGCTCGACGACATCATTTCCACCAACTCTGGAACCGACGGAAAAGTCCGCAAGCCCAGGACTACCAGGAACCTGGCTTCAGGGCTGCTCGGTCGGAAGCTGCCAGGGGGCCCCGGCCACTGGATGATGGGCAACTGAAGAGATCGGAGGGAGTCCTTGGGCTCAAACAGTTCCGAGACCTTGTACAGCTTCGTCGTGGCCTTTGTGGGCTCCATGCCCTTAAGGCCAGCTTCGGCGGGACAGAATCTTGTTTCTCTCAGCTTCTTCAGATCGTCCGAGGGAATGTCATTCTGAACAGAGGCAAGGTACTTGATGAGCTCCATGTGGCTCCATTTCTTCTGACCGTCCTCGCCAGAGGCATTGAGCAGACGGGAGAAGATGGTCTCGAGGTCCACTGTCTTCCGCACGCCGAGAGCCGCCAGAAACTTCTCCTTGACCTTTTCGCAGCCTTGGATGACTGGCAAATCATCAAACAGCTTGACCGAGGCAAAGAAGGATTCCCCAGGCTTTCTCATGCCCAGCTTGGTCGGTATCATCGGTGTCGACTGGACAAGGCTCAGTACAGTGCCCCTGTTGATCATGGTCATGTTCTCCCAATTCTTGGACAGCACAGTCAGGACGGAGACGGCAAACTTGGGTGACCTTGTGACGCTCTCCTCTTCCGGCCTAGATGACGCGGTTTCGATGAGGAAGCGCAGCCATGGTACAATCTCCAAGGGCTCCCACCCAAGAGCCTCTAGCTCGGAACCGCTAATGTTCACAATGAGAGCATACGGAATGGTTGTCGGCGGGACCGGCATGTTGGCGGGTATCTTTGCAAGACTGAGATAGTTGCTGATGCTGCCAAGGGCCACGATTTCCCCCTTGTCGTTTTCGTCGCTCAGGGTGGCGACGGCCACGTCCATGAGAGCGGCCCGGCTTCCTGCGTCAATCTCGCCAGTCAAGCTCTTCTTGCCCGCCCACTTGATAAAGTTGATGGCTTGGGTCTTTGTAAGCGCCTTGGCTTCCAGCTCCTCCTTGACATCTGTGACAGTAATGTGTGAGATGAGGCCAAAGTCGATCAGCTTCCTCACAAACGGCGCATCTGCCATGTCCTTAGGCACGACTGGGATGCTGTCGACAAAGGCACTCAGCTCGGTCGACCCCAAGCGAACTTGCGACGTCTGCAGGACACCTCGGCTCGAATACACCTCGATGGAAGCCTTCTTGAAACAGGTCCAGAATGCCTCCTCGATGAAATGCCCGACTTGGCTGCTTGGGGTAGAATCGACAAAGGTAAACGTCTTGAGAGTGTGCAGCGCCTCGGGCATGAATCGGTTGATTAATTCGGCAGATATTTTCTTGCCAGCCTCGGACGATTGCTTAATCCTGTGGTCGAGCTCGCTCATCTCATTGGCAAATGCTATTCTGGCAATGATACCGGCTGCCCGAAGAAGCTCAATGTTCCACGTTCTTACCCAGCGAGCGTTCAAGTCGATGGCCTCTCTCTCGACAGTCGGGATGACAGACGGAGCAGAGATGTGCATGCCAGCACCAGTCGTCTGCATAGTAGGAAATCCGATAAAGATGCGGCCACCGGGCTTCTTACTTGGGAGGACGGAGGCAAAGACGTCTGTAGCCTTGGCAAAGGCGCCGTTTTCCGGAGAAGAGCTCTTGGAAGCCTCAGCCTCGTCATACGAGGTTGTGAGAATGGATATCTTCGTCGTCTTTGGCGGGGGCTTCTTGGTCGCACGCTCAAGCTCGGCCGAAAAGGAGGTCGAGACATGGGTCTTGATACTGGCGGTGGTGGCCCTGAGGAAGATCGTGGCCGAGTTCAGCCCGGTAACGTCTTCTGTAATCTTTGTCTGGGCCAGGCTCTCTTCAGCCTGCTGCTTCGTCTTAAGGAGACTGGTGTTGGACGCCGTCGTAGTGAGCCTAGCAAAGAAGGACCTCAGAGACGGAGCCTCGCTTGAACCGTACGAATCCGAGGCCTTTGCAGTGGAGGCCGCTGCTTGCGGCTTCCATCCTACTACGTTCATAAAGGACGCATCAATCTGCGTGCTTGTACGACCTACGTTGGTCACCTTCATAAGGTTCTCCTTTGTCTTGGCATCCAGGTCCCGAGGCAGGGTCAGGTCAACATTTGGCGACGTCTTCTTGTGGAGAGACAGAATCAAATAATCGTCGATCCAAAACTCAATCTTCTCCAGCGCGACAAAGGTCAAACTCGTAGCGAGGAACTGGCAGACGGACAGCAGATTCGGCATGGGAGTCGTCGCATTTCTATAGTCTAGCACGAAGGCGGTGTATGGCGACGATTTGTCCTCGGGCAGATGTGACTTTTTGGTAAAGAGAGAGTTGCCTTTCCAGTAAAAGGCCATGGCCTCGCTTCCGGAGCTGACAAAGGGCTCCTCGCAGTCGGCAAAGACGCTGTAGAAGCCGACGCCGAACGCTCCAATCTTGGTCTCGTCCGGGTTTCCCTCGGCGATCCTCTTCAGACGGCCCCAGTCGGTCTTTGTAAACGGCTGGCCGTTGTTCTGGACCACCAGCCGCCGCAGCGTGTGGTTGGCTATCGTGTGCTTCAGCAGCTCGGATCGGGACGCCGCGCTCGGCAAGGGGACGGTCGTCGACGGGTGCGTCTCCCACTTGATGGACACAGTCGTGGCTTGCGCATCGGCGGCGTTCTGGATGAGCTCTCGCAGGGTCGTCCACTCTCCTGAGTACCGGGCCAGGACCTTGTCTATCAGGGCGCGAGTATCGACGGTGACGGCTTCTTCGTCTTCGCCGTCTCTCAAAGCGGCCGCCCGCAGGCTTGAGTAGTCCATCGCCATGGTCGTGGATGGTTCTTTGTTGTTCAAAGGCGCATTCTCTATCGTTCGCGGCGCAAGACTAGAAGCAGGACAGGGTCGCTATGGAGTACCTGGCAAAGGAGAGATGCAGGCCAAATGGCGAGTCAGCAAGTCTATAAACGGTGGCAACAAACAAAAGAAGGATCCAGAAGCAAAGCAAAAGCCCAAGCGCACGCCTGCATTCGTTTGTGAAAGAGGATAGATGCTGGACGATTGCTAGGAGCCGACGTCGCGACCTGCGCCTAGTTCTTATCGGTATCAAGTCTGTTGACCGCTGTGCCGCAGGTGGCGAGACGTAGGCGGCAGAATTAGGGAGTGGTGACGCTCAGCAGCCCAGACCTTGGCGGTATCCAGCAGCATCTCAGTGGGCGGGATTGCTGGGGCTGCTGCGTGGCATTAGTAAGTATTGACATCAAATGTAGTGGAGCCTGCAAATTCGAGCCCACATGCAGGCACTGCAGTTTCTAGATCTCTGTTACTAGTTTATCGATCCAATACATAGGCGAGCTTGAGGACGTGCATCAATACCACCTCTGTTGATGATGAGCTCGAAATAAAAATTGCTGTTTGAATTCACCAGCTTAATGATACATGGCATACTAACATGTCGCCGCTTGTGGACATGACAGACAGGTAGGATAGAGATGGCGTACAAATCCATGGCACGCCCGCGACAGAATTTCTGGCCCTTGAAACCAAGAAGATCAAGACCCATGAGATGCAATTGCTTCTTCCGCCTCCAAGCACAGGAATTACAAGAGCCCGGCTTACTGCCTCCGGAATACTCTCTAGCAGTAAGGCGACTACTACCTGCGACTGGGGTGCTTTGTAGAGTACCTTAGGCTTGCAGTAGTGCTGCAAGCCTAAGGTACAAAGCACCCCCGGCATTTCGCCAGTGCTGCAAGCCTAAGGTACAAAGCACCCCCGGCATTTCGCCAAGTACTGCAAGCCTTCTCTACAAAGCACCCCCGGCCTTGCCATCATGATTGGCGAATTCCCTGCAAAAAGTATATAACATGCACTCTTACATCCCACTACCTTATAGATACATACCCCTACAATTAGTTGCGGCTGCTTTACCAAACTTTTAACTCTACTTATATAAACTGTCTTATTACGTGTTGTTTGCGTATTATCAATTCCCATCAGTCCTCGACAATGACAACACCTAGTACACAAGACGATGCCAACACTTGGGAGCCTACCATTCTCCAGGTGCTCGATCAATTTGTCCCAATTTGCAAGCGCTTCACGATCTGGGCGAAGGAACTCGCCAGTCCGGAGAAGCCCCTGACTGAGCTGGCTTCCGAACAAGTCCAAAACCTCTGTACCAGCGTCGCACGGCTAAGCACTCAGGCTACGGCACCTGGCCGCGGCCCTGCCGAAGATGAACAACTCTGGCAAATCTTGACGCGCTGCAAGACACAGCTCTTTGAGACAGTGAGCCTGCTGAGTTTCGTCGCCAAAGCGGAACAAAGTGGTCAAGAGGGCGCCCTCAACGAGTTATACGCGCGCAGGTTTATTCTCGACAGTGGCACTTACACCAACACGCCTCCGAGCCATGGCAGGGTGGACGGCATGATCCGCCTTGGATTAGACCTAAAAGGGATTATTGCGACTCTTGCCTCGGACACCCCCGCTGCTCTGCTCACGCCAGCTACTACGAGCAAGCGGTTTCAACAGCAGGAGTAAGTGGATTGCCCAATAGCTGTGCTAGTAATTGCAAGCGGTCACAGTGTGAGGTACTGTAGAGTGCTCGAATGGGAACCCTCTTGCTGACAATGCCGTTGCCGTAGGCCCAAGATTTCAGACTTGCTCCACGGTGCCAGCAAACTGGTCAGCCCGCGACACGTCCACAGCTATGAAAGCATTGCAGAAACCCCATACTATGTCCTGGACCCCGCTGGCGAAGCGTATTCCGGAAGCTATGGCACAGTGCAAAAGGTTGTCCACAAGCATACCGGCGAGCATCTAGCAATGAAGACGTTCCACAGCGTCTTCTCCAACAAGCAGCGCAAGAAAATACTGCGAGAGATTGGCATCTTGGAGGTGTGCGACCATCAGAATATAGTCCGATTCATCCAGGCCTTCAGCACCGAGGACGACGACCAGGCCATACGGCTCGTCATGTCCCCGTGGGCACCGTACACATTGTTGCGGTTTCTGCACAGTTCCGATGTCAAGAGAAAGAATCGCTGTCCCTGGTTCCAGCCAGACTCGGCCCCGTCCAGCTGCCACATCTACCGAATTATGTACGAGCTGGCTGACGCCGTCGGTTGGCTCCACGGCCACGGTATCAAACACAAGGATATCAAGCCCGAGAATATCCTCTTGCACCAGGAAGCAAGCGAGTTTCCTACGGCATTGGTCACCGATGTTGGCGTCAGCAAGATTTACAAGCCCGGGGGCTCAACCAACTTCATCAAAAGCACTTACGTGTACCTGGCGCCCGAACAACACGCCATGAAGGAAAGCAGTCTGCGATCTGATGTATGGCAGCTGGGCTGCTGCTTCGCAGAAGTCCTTGCAGTGGCCAAGAGCGGGTTTTCGGGCTACGTGAAACTCTATGAGAGCTACAATCGTGAAGAGGAAGACTGCGCATGTTCCATTGCCCTCGAGTACCCTTCATTCAGCGCGGCCTTCGGCGCCCTCTGCATGCGAGGCAGTGCTGCGCAGAAGAAGGCGTACGCGGTGACTGTCGGAATGCTGGAGCTGGAGCCGCAGGACAGGCCAACGATCGACCTGGTCAAGGGTGTTCTCTCTGAGATGCCTGGTGTCACGAAGAAAGCGTGAATGGCGAACGAATGCATGCAGCGAGGGGTTTACGGCGTCTTTTATAAGTTTTGGATAGGATATTACGACATATAGGTAGATGCGCTGGCATTTGGTGCGCTCTACATACTAGCCTGCGAGCTTTTTTTCTTCTCTTTCTCTTTTTTTCTCCCCTTTTTTCACAATTATATAGAATGCATGAGAAGGGAACCCATGGACGGATATCCACTATGAACAAGATTGCGCAAAGTTCCTCACGAGATGAGACTTGGCAATGGTGATGATCCGATGAAGAATGTATTGGGTATCGTTGCATATGACAAAGTACTTGGCGATATATCCTCAAGGCCTAGTCCTCTCGGCGCGAGCCTGGCCCAGGGCTTCGTCGTCGGTGCTCCCTCGACCGTGATCGATAACGCTGCCTGCTCCTGTCTCTGTGTCGCCTTTCGTCGCGCCTATCGCCTTTCCCCTCGCCCCTCCTGTCTCTGCTCCGACTCCTATCGCGATCTCTGCGATGTCGACGCTCCCGGTCGCGGTCGTCTCGTCCGTCAGCCCGATCAGGACTGCGCCGCCTGTGGTCTCGTTCGCGTCGCCGATCAGGACTCCTGCTCCTGCTCCTGCTCCTGCTCCTGCTCCTGTCCCTGTGTCTTCTGCGCTCTCTCCTGTCATCACCATGTCGTCTCGATCTCTCCGGCCTCGATTCGTCCCGACCAGAATCTCTCGGCGGCCCACTCGCAGGCCCAACTTGTCGCTTGGGCTCAACCTCGACAGCATTAGCCCCAGATGAATTCCGCACAGGCGGCGGCAGGCCCAATGCCTTGGCCATGGCATCTTCTTCCGCCTCCTTGATCCTGCGCAGCTCTTCCTTGTGTTCCCGGGCCTTGCGCTCTTCGTCTGTCTCGGTTGAATCGGCGGGCGTGGCGTCTGATTTGGCGTACCAGTTCAGGTCTCGACCTTTCGCCCATCTCCCGACTGGCGCCTTGAGGCTGTGGCCGAGGTAGTTTTCGCGATGGCTGGAGTTGGCGACCTCGTCCCAGCTGAAGTTGACGCCGCCTCGCGAGCCCGTTTTGCGGATGGTCGTGAGGAGATCCATGGTCGCGGGTCGTAGAGCTTTTAATGGGAGGTGTTTTAGTAGCCCAGGTAGTATGTGGTAGATGATTGATAGCGCTCGTTAATTTGTTGAGGTGTCTGATCGCATGCGGCGGGTTGAAGAATGAAGAAAGTTGACGGTTGCTTCCATCGATGCCGCAGCCGAATTGATGACGACCCGCCCGCTAAATGCAGACCCCACGCCTCTGCCACAGCGCCTCTCTACAGCTTGCCAACCCACTAAAAGCTTCTACGCATCTCTACAGCCTCAAGCTCACCTCACCCTCCCCAATCACCAACCTCACAAACATACCTCACAGCCCGTCAGCATGGCAAACCCCAACGATCCCCCCCTCGACGAGATCCAATGGCGCTCCCCCCAGATCGTCGCCCAGATGGGCGGCCTCCACTCCAATACGATCCTCTTCTACTTTGCCGAGTCGCCCTTCTTCGAGCGCACCTCCAACAACGCCGTCATCATGGCCCAGGCCATGAACAACATGGCCATGTACCACTACATCCAGACGCGCGAGGCCTTTGAGACGCGCCTCAAGACCATGTCCGGGCTCGAGTTCATCGTCGGCGAGGAGCCCGCCGAGACGGGGCCCGGCATGGGCACCGGCGTCTGGGTCATTCGCAAGCAGACGCGGCGGAAGCGGTACCAGGACGACGACGAGATCACGGTGCATGCCTCGTTTTTTGTCGTGGGCGAGAATATCTACATGGCGCCCACCTTGGCAGACATCTTGGCCTCGAGAATAGTGCGTCTACAAGACATTTCCCCCTCGACATACTACCCCCCCAGGAGGAGAAGCTCGTTTCGTGAACCTCGGAGCTGACCTCGTTCCTTCTAGATGACAATATCTACAGCCATCGCAAGGGCATTGCCAGCCGCCGAGGCAGCCCGCAAGTGGCGTCCCTCCACCGGCCACGTCTACCACCTCCCCTCAACCCAGACGCCCTCCCAGCACGCCAACAAACCGCAAGGATCCAAAGAACAGACCCCCGCCGTCGACGACCCCAACAACAACAACCACAACAAGCCCGCCGCCGCCTCCACAGCAACAACAACAACAACAACAACAGCAAAGCACGACGCCCCATCCCTCGACAGAGTCGCCGAAGAAGCCTTCATGATGCACCTGCGCCACGGCGGAGAATACATCGACGAGATCCCCATCACGGGCAAGCCCGGCGAGTTCCACCTCTCCTCGACGGGCCGCAAGCCGGTGCTGCCCCCTCAGGGCGCGGGCGCGGCGACGGGCATCAGCGCCATGGGCGGCCCGCCCATGATCAACACCAAGCTGGACGATAAGAAGGACGGCGGCAAGGCGGAGAAGACGCCCAAGTCGGCGACGTCGCCCAAGCTGAAGCGGAGGAAGAGCAAGATGAGTCCTAGCGTGACTCCGGCGGCGACTCCTGCGCCTTCCTGAATGTTTTTGTTTGTTTGTTTGTGTGCGAATGTAGTGGCGGGGGGAGGTTGATGGCGTTTTGGTATAAAAGGGGACAGGACAAAAAAAACGGCGTTTGGGTTACTATAATCTTCGATACCCTGTTTAAAGGTGATGCCGGGTCATTTCACGGGCATATAGATCCCTATACATGCAGGATATAGCATGGGCCAAACAAGCAACTGAATGATACAGTTCCATATTGAATTACCTAGGTAGTGCACGTTTGAGGAATTGCTAGCCGTCATATCATAGAACGCTTGTTGATATATACATGTCTAAATAAGGCAGCACAAGTTTCACTCATTTTTACCATCCAATAACGCCGTATGAGCTGTTACTCCTACATCATCACCATCCCCCAAGTTTACTCAACAACCCATCCCTTACCGGGCACCTTCCTCTGCTTCACCTTCTGCGCCGGCAAAGGCCACCCCTGGCCCGCCGTGTTCTCCGCCCGCAGATACGGCACCACCCAGCACTCCCTCGTCGTCGCCCCGTCCGCGGACACGCTCTGCGCCTTGACCTCCTTGATCGGCTTGCCGTAGCTGATCAGCGGCGTGCCCTTTGCCAGGCCGGCGAGCTGCCCGCCCGTCACGTCCGTGAGGGCGTGCATCCTCGTCTTGGGCGTCTTGCCCGAGTCGAGCGCGCCCGAGGGCGTCGCCCGCTGGAGGAACGCGTACACGATGTACTCGGGGCACTCCTGCGGGCTGACGTGCGCCAGGCAGGACGCCGGGTGGATGTACACGCAGGGGTTCTCGCCGCCGCTGCTGCCGGGCTTGTGCAGGGGCACGAGCGGGACGTACGGCACGTCGATCGCCCGGCGAGGCTTCCGGAACTGCTCGGGCGGGTTGGGCGCGAGGTCCGCCCGGATGGCGACCTGGTCGAGGAAGCCCGCGGCCGTCATCTGCTTGAGCGCGGAGACCTGCTTGGGCGACGGCGGGTCGAGCCTCTCCTGGTACTGCAGCGCGGCGAACGAGGGGATGTTGTTGCGCAGCAGGTCGGTGATTTGCCTGCGCAGCTGCTGGATCTCCTTGAGGACCTTGAAGCGGACAAAGTGCCTCTCGCACCAGTCTTCCGTCGGCTCGTGGGCGAACTCGCCGACGACTTGCAGGAGCTTGATGGCGTCGGACTTGTCGTCCAGGAAGCAGAAGTTCTTGTGCACCTGGTTGAACAGGCGGCGGACGTTGGCCTGGCGGTCTTCCGCGATGACGTCCGCCGCCGTGCGGATCTCGGTGTCGTCTTTCTCGGCAAGGGCGGGAATCGCCGTGTTCTCGGGGAGATAGACTTCTGCGGCGGATAGGCCTGCCACGAGGGCGATTGTGTACGGGAGACAGTTGTGGAGATGTCCCACGAGGAGGATTCTGGAAAAGCGCGGCGACAGGGGGAACAGGGACATTGTCGTTCCGACCTTGGTGACTTGTCCGCTGGGTGATATGGCGGAGAGGTATGTGAGCAGCTTCTCGGCCTTGGCGAGCATCTGGCGATCGGGGGGGGTGGGAAAGGGGAAGTTGACCACGTTCTGCAGGTTCATGGCCTTGAGCTGCAGCACGATACCCTCGATGGGCATCCGCAGCAGTTCGGGGTCCGAGAACTCGGGGAAGTCTCTCTCGTAGACGGCCGACGAGTACAGTCTGTAGCAGTGGCCCGGCCCCGTACGTCCAGCACGACCCGATCGCTGGCTTGCGCTGGCTTTGCTGATCCACCCAATCTCGTAGCTCTGGACGCCGCTGAGGCGGTCATAGTTCCTCTCCTTGGAGCGTCCGCAGTCGAAGACGAAGCGAGTGCCGGGTATGGTTAAACTCGTCTCGGCGACGTTGGTCGCCAAGATGATTTGCCGAGTTCCCTCAGGAGGTTCCTCAAAGACCCTCAGCTGCTCTTTGACGGGGAGCAGAGAGTAGAGGGGCAGGACCTGCATCTTGAGGGGAACGACCTCGTCTTCCTCTTCAATCTTGAACTCGTCGTCTCCCTCTTCTTCTTCTTCGTCGTCAGACTCAATGCCGTCCACGTCGTCAAAGTCATGTTCGTCGACGTCACCGAAATCGAGATCCTCGACTTCCACCGGCGCTTCCGTCGCCGAGATCTGCACCTTGGGGCCGTCGGCTGTTCTTGCGCCTCCGAAAGCGGCCTTGAGCTTCTTGCTCAGTTGCAGAATCTCGTTGCGTCCCGTCAAGAACACCAAGAAGCCTCCAGGGGGCAGTTTCTTGTGGCCGCGGCAGATCTTGCGGAACGCCTCCTCCACGTAGTCGTGGTGAGTCCGCCGAGCGAAGTGTATGGTGACAGGGTGCTGCCGTCCTTCTACCTCGACGACGGGGGGCGGTGTTGAGAACAGGGTAGGGTTCATCGTCATGTCTTCTATCCTTAGAGTAGCAGACATGATGATGAGTTTCAGGGGCTTGATTGCCGGGTCCTCCTGTGACAGCTCAGCTCTCAGTTTGATGACTCGGCTGAGCATACCAATCAGGATGTCGGTATTGACGCTTCTCTCGTGGGCCTCGTCTATGACGATAGCCGAGTACTTTCGCAGCGTAATGTCCTGTGCAACCTCTCGCAGCAATACACCATCAGTCATGAACTTGATGGCCGTCTTCTCATCGACGTTGCCCTCGAAACGGATCTGGTAGGCCACAGCCTTTGAATGATCACCCAGCTCGTCTGCCACTCGCTTGGACATACTGACGGCAGCAACCCTACGGGGCTGCGTGACGCCAATCATGCCCGGCGTTGGAGAATCGGGAGATCCGTAGCCTGCCTCATACAGGAACTGGGGCACCTGTGTCGTTTTACCCGAACCAGTCGAACCGCATATGACGACGATGTCGTGGTTGTGGATTGCTTCCATCAGCCTCTGCTCCTCAGCCACAACGGGCAGCTTCATTCGAGCCTCTTGAATCTCGGGGCTTCGCACAACAGGCACGCTGTAGACTTTTCGTGATGTTTTCTCGGTGACCTGTAATTCCATTGGCAACGGATCCTGCTCGGGCGCTCTCGGGACAAAGTTCTCGGGCTTTGGTATCTCTAGAACAGCGGCGGTTGGGTCTACGGGCTGATATCCAAGCGCTTCGTTTCGCTGCTGTTGGGCCCATGCCTTGAATGAAGACGATCTTTGGGCCTTTTGTTCTTCGTCTACCTCTTCCTCTTCCTCGTCTTCATCGCTTGTTTCTTCTTCGGATTCGGAGTCGTCGTTATCGGAGCCTTCGCTTGAGTCGTCGTCGGATTCTTCCTCGGATTCTTCCTCCTCCTCCTCCTCCTCCTCCTTCTTCGCATCATCCCCGCTGAAGCCGTCCCATTCGTCATCATCTTCCGATTCTTCCAAAGCTGGCTGTTGAGTTGCGACGAGTGAAACCTTGGTCTTTAGTCCTCCTCTTTTCCGTCGCTTCTGAATCACGGGTCGGCCTTCGTCGTCGAGCTCAAGTGGCCGTTTGAGACCAGATCCAGCGGCAAGTGTCGTCGTCTTCGTCTCCTTGGCGGGCTCGTCAACGGCCTTTGGTGCCTCCGCAACAGCCTCCGCCACAGGGGCAGCCGTAGAGGCATCGTCCGACATGTGCGCATCATCTTCGTCCTCTGCCTCCTCCTCATCCACCTCCGGCCGCTGCTGAAACAAGAGCTTCTCCACCGAAGCCGTAGGATCAACCCCAGCCCGATGCTCCCTCAGCGCCCGCGACAGCGCCTGCTTCTTCGTCTCGCGTCCCTGCCCCAGCGCCTTGCTGCTCGCAAACAGGCTCGTGTCAATCTTGCGCTCCGCCAGCTTCGCCAGCAGCTCGCGGTTCTCGTCCTTGCGCAGCTTGTTGTCAATGTACTTCTCCAGGCGCTTGGCCTTCTTGCCGCTCATCTTGGCGCCATCCTGCTTCAGCTGCTCCTTGAGCCGGGCCTTTTTCTCCTCGAGCTCCTTCTTCTTCTCGGCGGCGGCCGGGAGGATCTCCTGGTTGGTGTCCTCGACCTCGTGGCGCGCGCTTTCCTTGGCGCGCTCGCGGGCGAGCACCTTGTGCTTGCGCTGTCTGGGGACGAATTTAGCCATCTTGAGGCTTTTTGTTTTCTCCTGGAGCAACCTCCTATGACATGTCTGCTCCAATGCTGGGAGATTTGTGCCAATTGGCGGCTTGTCGGAACTCGCAAGCGCTTTATCGCGGGAAGCAAAAAAGGTCCGATAACCAGAAATTTTGGCAGATAAGTGATTGTGCCGCTGCTGACCGCCAAAGTCTCGACACCTTTTGGGATTAGTGCGGGGACCCCAATTCCCGTTGCTTTCATCCTCCAGCTTCACGCAGCTCAACTGAACCCGACTTACCCTGGATCTTTAGCCATTCGAGGGGTGAAACGAAGCATCACGATGGCAACACTAGATATAAGGCCGGATCCCTTTCCAGCTCGGAGCAAGACAGCTTCCGGACTGGTCAATGGCGTTCCGACCGAGGTGGCGCTACTGGAGTTCTCCGACAAGATCCTCATCACAATAAGCCAGGAAGGCCGACTGGCACAATGGGTGAGTTGAGCTCATCACACACACATTCAGACACATCAGACGGTGACTGACAACAAGACGGCAGATCCAAGTCCCCATGATGGGAACCACAGCAGGCATCGTGGACATGGCCCTGCCAAGCACCAACCACGGCCTGCTCCCGTCCACCCACCTCGCCCCCAAGACGCTGCTGGGCGGAGGCGGCGACGAGAGAGAGACGCTGGGGCAGCTGTACGCCTCGCAGATTGCCAGCCACATCTCCCTGAAGTCTCCGGAGGAGAGGCGCACGCTGGTGTTTGGATTTGGGCTCGCAAAGGCGGAGAAGGAGCAGGAGGCGTTTTTCGATCTCTTTGAGCTGGCTCTCAAAGTGCTGTGAAGGGGAGTGCTAGAGATGGAAATGGGATGAGACATATGAGCGCTAAATATCGCAAACCTCCATGAGGGATCTGTGTGCTGGATGATTTCTAGTTGGTCGGTCCAGTCTTCAGCCGCCATGCTTGATGAACAACTCGGATTTACGCAGAGTCTGATGATGGAATGGGCAAAGTATCAACTTCACTCGCCCTGATGAGAAGTTGTCATATATCAAAAGATACGAAGCATTAATCATGAGTGACCATGCAACTTTATCTCCAAAAGGGAAAAGAAAAAGAAAGCCAAGACACAAGCCGAATGAATGAATAAATACTCAGCTCAATGCATCTGCTCAGGAATGCAAAAAGAAAAGAACCTGGACGAACGGGGAATCGAACCCCGGACCTTTCCCATGCGGGTGGACAACAGGAGAGTCGCCGATGCTAAGGGAAAATTATACCACTAAACCATCCGCCCATGATTGGTTGAAAGTTCTGCTGCCTAACACCACCTATACAGCTTACACGCGCATCGTACAATCTCAATCCCATCCTACCTACACACAGCTCGGCATGTCATCTCAAACCAAGACAACGAAGATACAGAGCATAGCAGACTGCAACTCATTGTTCATAAAATACCCCTCTACCTCTTCATCCAATCCCTTACAAAAGCGGAAAGCTGAGCAGCACCGCCGACGAATCCGGCACATCAACCGTGACCCGCCCATCCTGGACAACCGCCGTCTCCCCCATCGTCACATTATGCAGCCTCACCGGCTTCCCCTTGTCCAGCTCATAGTTATAGCTCCATCCATCAAACGTGATTCCGGTGATGGCATCGCTGCCGTTGGCCAACAGCCGCTGCACCCCGACACGCGCCCCGTTGTGCACGCCGCTCACGGCAAACGTGTACTTCTGGCTGGGCCGGGGAGGCGGGTTGGGGACGGGCTCGAGGCCCTGGCCGTCGACGGTGGTGTTGTAGCCGCGCATGTTGAGGACGGTGATGCGGGCGAGGTGGCCCTTGAGGAGGCCGCTGGAGTAGTGCGCTGCGTAGGCGGCTTCGCGGGCATCAGGCAGGGGGAGGTTGGTGATGCTGACGGGGAGGAGGGCCGAGTTGCCCAGCGTGGCGGCGACGGTGATGCTGCCGTAGTAGGGGGCCTTGGTACCTCTGGAGGCCAGGTCCGTCTCGACGGGCTGCCAAGCTTGGTACTGTTCTTGTGTGTCAGCCATGTTGTTGACTTGATACCCAGGGTAAGGGAGCTTATAACTTACACGATAGTTGGTGCCCATGTGCATGTGGACGCGCTTGAAGCCAACCGACGCCGCATAGAGGTTAAAGTCGATGCCCCAAAGCGCGGCCCCAAAGGTGTTGGACAGGCCGGGTCTGCCCTGGTTGTAGAGGGAGTTGCACTCGCCAAAGATCAGGGGCGTCGTCTTTTGCGCCTCGGCGGTGGTGAAGATGGCGTCATACTCGGGGAGGTGGCCCTCGACTGAGCTGACGGTCCTGCTGTGGTTCATGAGGGTGCCCTGCAGGGTGACGCCGGGAGACGTGGCGCCGCTGATGTAGCTGTTGATTGTGTGAGCACGGCTTTGATTGGGTGCAGAAGGAGAAGGCTTACTTGTGGGTTGAAAAGTACTCAATGTTCTTGTTCTTGTCAAGTCCGTCCTGGAACGTGGGAACGGCCTTGAGGTGGTTGCCCGTGCCGGCAAACGACGGGGCCATGAACGTCGGCTCCCCAAAGAGGGCCAGAGCAGGGCAGTGCTTGAGGACCTGTTTCTTGATCTCGGCCGTGCCGTTGAGCCACTGCCAGACATAGGTGCTCTCGTTCCAGTTCGACGGTCGCACGGGGCCCTGAGCCGACGTGGAGTAGAGGTCGGGCTCGTTGCCGTACTCCCACGTGTACAGGTTTCCGTGGCTGAGGGCCTTGCAAGCCAGGGGGACCGTGTCGGAGAGGGTCTGCCATCCCTCCGATCTGTTGGCGCCCAGCCCGAGGTTGAAGCCGTGAGAGAACTTGACGCCGGGCCAGGTGGCGTAGGACTCAAAGTACGATGGTCCGATGTGGATGGTGGTTGGGTAGTCGGGGGATCTGCTGGGGTCGACGATCCCGACGAGGGCTGTCTTTTGAGACGCGTTGTAGAGGGCGTAGTCTTGAGTGTTGCCGCCGACACGAATATACGGCTTGGATCCGGAGAGAGCCCCGAGGTTGTTGATGAGGTTGTAGGAGAACAAGTTGGGAGACGACTTGTTACCTGTGGGAGATTGTTAGAGCCAATTGGTTGTCAAGGAGTATGATACGACGAGATTCTTACCGGCAAACTCGGGAAAGGAAGAGAACTCAATTGAGTAGCTCACGAAGCCATCGAGGGGCTCGCCCTTGGGATTGGGCTGAGAGGGCACGGTATACACTTGAGCCGAGACAGAGGAAGCGGCGCCGAGCAGGGCAACAAGGGCGCTTTGTGTCAACATGATGTCGCCGTCAATTGACCAGATCTGGTGCGCGAAAGGCTGAAGTAGAAGCGGTAAGACAAGAGGAGACGCGCTGCCGACGACGTTTTATACCTTGACTCCCCGGCGCCGGACCCTGTTGCCCGCAGCTCGCAGTTGGGATGATCTTTTACGGATGGTATTAGTAGTACTACTTGACAAGTGAAGCTTGAGTCCCCAGTCCGTCCCCCGCATGATGTGATGCAACCCTGTCCCTTGCTAGTCGATGGAGTGGTTCGTGGTTGAGCGGCCTCGGCCCTGGGGAGGGTCACATCACCCTACCGGAACGGGGGGGCATGACGATGACAGCTCCGGCTTGATGAAGGATTGTGTCAGTGGAAGAATGCTCGCTCTTCTCTTGAATGAGTAAAGAGTCAACGCTGGTATTCTCCTGCTCACTGCTGCTCCCAGAGATGATGAAGATGCAGCTTGGTTCAAAGCCCAGGCGAATAGCGCGAATGGCCAACCGCGCATCGACAGGGCCAAGCTGTCAGACCCTATCCATCCCCGGAGAGCCAAAAGTCCAGGAGAGACGTCTTTGGCTCTCTCTCCATGCTGCCATGCTAGTCGATCCATGTCCATTTGTTGGCTAACCCGCCTCTCGGGCCGAATCACGACTTTTTCCACGGCCAGCGCCGCAGCAGCGAGATTCCGCGAATGGGGTGTCGAGCCGGCCAAGCTTCCCCGCGATTCGTCGCTCTGACAATCGTGATTGAATTACCCCAGACCATTTCCTCTGAATCGGCACAGTTGGGGGGAGGTAATAAGGGAGCTCTGCCAGAATGTTGTGACAGGGCTGAGCGGCGCCAGGCGTGTTTGAACTGGATTTCATCGTCTGTAGATGGACAGATGTCGCGTGAAGTCAATGCAACGGGGGCTCGGCATGAGGAAGACAGTGGTCATCCAGGCGGTCCCGGTATTTCGGTCGCCTGAATGGACCTCATTCGCAGCATCGTGATTGATCATTGGATCAGACGGATATCTAATGAAGCTGGTTTCCCGATGCTGCTTGTGTGATGCTGCTCCTGCGATGGTTCATTCATATGTATTCTCAGTACAGCCTCAAACCCGGGGAAACAATCTGGGCCAGCTTACATAATTCACTGCAGTTGCATTTGAAACTGATGCAATTCGATTGGCGGACAGATTGAAGAAGAAGAGAAGCATCACGAAAAAAGAAAAAAGAAAGAGAGCAGCAGATATTATAGGGAGTGGGATTAAAGTCAGAAAGCACATACCTTATGTACACGAATCCTTGCGCAGTCGCCAGTGCAAGCTCAAGTGTTGACAACATGAAGCCAAAGTCGGTCGGTATCAGATACCTCTTCGTCTGCGCGATGCGCTATGTAGAGTCGGGTTACCGATTCGAGGGCACCACGACTCCATCGCAGTTGTAAGCACTGTAAATACTAAGCGAATGCGAAATGCGAGCTGAGATTCGACCCAAATCACCTGATTTGCGTCAGAGGATGCAACCAAGTCGTATCTCATAAAACCAGTATGAATCCTTCCAACTGGACCTCTCTTTATCATTTTCTTAATCTCATCATGTTGATTGATATCAAACAGGTACATAGATAACTTGCTTAACAACAGTCGACTTATCCGTTTCCCGGAGACTCGAGTATAACTGAGCTCAACTCACAACCAACCACAACTCACGACCGCAACCACGACAGTACCAGCAACACCACAACTCAAGCTCAACTACACCTCAACCAACGACTCGACTTCTCAAACAACTACATCACAATCCAACAAGACACAAAACAAAGAGACAGCAACAATGTCCCGCTTCTTCCCTCACACCCCCTACGCCGAAGACCAGCCCCTCTCCCACCTCATCCTGACAACCCACGTCCTCACCCGCGCCATCACCACCGGCACCGTCATCGGCCTCGCCATCCCCTCCCTCCGCCAGTCCATCCCCTCCCTCCGCCGCCCCAACTCTCCCCTCCCCTTCCCCGACCGCCTCCTCCTCTCCGTCACCCGCAGCACACTCATCACCACCGCCATCGTCGGCGTCGGCCTCGCGGCGCGCATGTGGGGCCGCGAACCCGTCGAGTGGCAGGACCGCAGCTGGCGACTCCTCGAGAACAGGGGCCAGCTCGAGCTCGACGACTGGACGTACGCCGGCATGGGCGCGGCGCTGCTGGCCACGGGGCTGATGAGGGTCAGGGGAGCGGGAGGGCCGGCGAGGCTGGGATGGCGTGGCGTGGCGGGCGCGACGGGCATGGGCAGCGTGGGAGGCATGATTGGGTATATGGCGTGGCGGTACGGCATCAACGGCGGCAAGTTTGTCGAAACGGACAAGAAGGGGGAGAGGAAGGGCATCTGACAAAGTTGGAGACGGAGATTTGTAATATTAGGTACTATACATATTGAGAGAACTTCCATCTTGCGGTTCATTTAGCTGGCTGGCTCTATAATGACTTATATATATATATCCCCCCCTTTCATCACAACTTTGCCCGCGGCTCCTCCAGCTCCTCAATCTTCTGATACCGGTAAAAGTGCTCCAGGCACTGCGGATTCAACAGCGTGCCACTCGGCTTGACCGTCTCGCCCGAGATGATCTTCTTGACGGGCATCTCGACCTTTTTGCCATTGACAGTAACCTGCACCAAGAAAGTCAGCAATCACCATCTTTTTCACAAGGGGGGGACATCTCATCTCTCATCTCACAACATACCGGTATCTCGGGGACCTCAAACACATACTTGGGCACATGCCTCTTCGTCAGCTCCCCCGCAATCGCCCCCTTGATCCTCCCCACCAGCCCCCCGTCAAGCCTCGTCCCAGGCCTCATCAGCACAAACAAGACCACCCGCTCGTCCGCATCCTGCGGCCTCCTCTGCCCAACGCACAGGCTCTCCGCAACCTCGTCCGGAAACCACTTCTCCAGCACGCCGTATATGTCCGCGCTCCCGAACCGCACCCCGCTCGGGTTCAGCACCCCGTCGGACCGTCCCAGGAGAAACACGGCGCCGGTCAGGGGGTGGATCGCGCAGAAGTCGCCCTGGGCCCATGCGCCCTTGAAGCGCTCAAAGTACGCCGCCCGGTACTTTGGGCCCGGGGCCGGGCCGGGCCCGTCGTCCCAGAGGAAGACGGGCATGTTGGGGAAGGCCGCCGTGGCGACGAGGTCGCCGGCCTGGCCGGGGGGCAGCGGAGTGCCGGTGCTGCCGTCGGGGAGGTCGTGGTCGAAGGCGGCGATGGGGACGCCCAGGGAGCCGTTTTGGCAGCCGCCGACGTAGACGGGATCCAGGGGGTTTTCCTGGGCAAAAGCGCCAGCCTGGTTTTATATCCTCATCAGCAGCTTAACATAGGAGAACAAGCAAAGAGAAGACAACTCACGATATCTGTACCCCCTGTGATGTTCGCCAGCTGCACCCTCGCCGGAAACCCCCTATCGTAGAACCACTCAAAGATCCGATCCGGCAACACCATCCCCGTCGAAACCAGCGTCCTCAGGCTCCCCAGATCAAACTCCTCCCTCGGCACAATGTTCCTCTTCATCAGCTCCGCCATCCACCGCGGCCCGGCCCCCAGGACCGTCACTCGCTGCTCCTCTGCCACCCGCAGCAACACCTTCGCATCAGGCACAAGCGGCGAGCCGTCGTACGCCACGCACCGCGCGCCGTACACCATGCACGATATGCTCCCCAGGTACATGATCCACCCCGTGGTGGTGTACTGCAGCCCGACGTCGTCGTGCCCGATGCCGCGATGCACGTGGTTCTCCTTGCTCGACGACAGAAACATGGGCCCGACGGCGTGGACGATGGCTTTGGGCGTGCCTGTTGTCCCGGACGAGAAGACGATGACGCCGGGCTCTTGGAACTCGATCCTGACGAACGCGGGAGGGCGCTTGTCGACGCCTGCTTGGAGGAATGATTCGAGGCGCTGCGTCTTGGGGATGGCGCTTGTGTCGAGGGGCTTTGCGAAGCGCTGGATGACGACGAAGGACTTGAGCTGGTCGCACTCTGACATGCCCTCCATCATGCCCTTGATCTTGTCCCTGAGATCGATTGTCTTGCCATTGTACAAGGCGCCATCATCAAAGAAGACAAACTACATCAGCAACAACATCAAGCAAGTCAACATCAATCCCAGCCTCAAAACAGGGCACAAACTCTCAAACTCACCTTGGGATTAATCTGAACCGCCCTCTGCAGCAGCCCTCCAACCCCCATATCCGTCGAACTGCAACTCACAATGCCCCCCAGCCACAGCGTCGCCAGAAACGCAGCATACGTCCCCAGCGAATGCCCTCCCACAACAACCACCCGGTCCCCCCTTTCCAAGCCATGCGCCTTCAGCGCAGCCGCCAGCTGGCCAACTTGTCTTCGCAGCTCTCCCCACGTAACGTGTCGAATCTCGGTGTTTCCCTCTCTCACCTCCGTGAAAGCAATCCTGCCGTCTTCTTTATGCAGCTTGCAAAGGGCTCCTGGGGATGTAGAAGACGACGACGTGTCTCGGCTGTAGAGCGCGTTTTCGGCCCAGTTCATGCGCACGCCTTCAAACCACCTCGGCAGCTCTGTTATGGGGATCGATTCGTCGACGACGCGCGTGTATGTGCCTTCGTGGATGTAGGGCACGAATTCCCAGAGGTGGCGGTAGAAGTCGCTGCGGTGGCTGCACGACCACTTGTACAGCTCAGTGAAAGACTATTCCATTGATACATCTACGTGAGCATGCTGTTTCTCTGTTTGTGAGAGTGAGGATTATGATACCGACCTGTAGACTCAGGCCATACTTTCTGTTTGCATCCTTCATGAACCGCCACATGACGGTCCTCTCGCGATCAGGATGCTCCCACAGCTTCCGCGGCATCTTGTCAAAGTTGATGCTGGACATGTCGTTCTGTCGATGAACCAAATGCGTGTACAGTAAGTGTCTTTGACCAAGTATCCGATTTCAAGCCTTGTCATGCCGATTTCCCTGCATAACCAATGCAAAACATGCATACAGACAGAGACACCATCAATTTATATATATACACAAACCAGCACCAATACGGCGACACGCGAGCCGAGGCCGAACAAGCATCCCCTCCGCCTCTTATATCCATGCTTCGTTCCCCTCACCATCTCTCCCCTGCCTCGTCCTACTCCGCGTCCTTGACCAGGTACAACTGCATACTATTGCTTTTACCCAGCCCCATACCATCCATGCCGATAAACACCGAATCCCACCCTGAGCAAACGTCACACATTGTGCCCCCCTTCGTCCCCAGCCAATCTGGTGAGTTCCTGGCAGTCAATCCATCACCTTGATGCATTAGCAAAAAGCTCGCTAAACGCCGGATGGAACCTCGCGAGCCTCGGTCTCTGGCGGGACCTCGAGGGGTTCTCCAGCTTGAAGTGCGGGGGATCGACCGGGTTCTCGGACACTATCTATTCGTTAATCGATAGTCAAGATGGTGGGCTCTTTGTTGTTGGTTGAGACGGGCTTGAGCGGCTGAATCAGTGGTTATAAATTTGTATGATAAGGCATGTATCGGTGCAATTTGGAATCACGATGCGGAACATACATCCATTGACTCATATCCGGGGTTTAGCGGCCGTCACTTGCAAACACCATATCACCACCGTAAAGTTCACCAACAAGGACTGCAAGTCAGCATAGTCTTCACATTAATAATATCCCCGTTCCCCTTTGACTTCACCCTCATCAAGCAAGCATGAAGAAAAAACCATAAACCTCTTCTTTACCGAGTCTATACTCTTCATAACCATACATAAATCCACATACCGCATCTCTCATTAGCAAGCCCCTTTTGTAGGAAACCAGGCGTCAAGAAAGGTAGGGGATATCCGCAAATTGATACAGAGTAGGTATAAAGAAAGGAAAAAAAAAAAAAAAAAGCGTCATAAATCACCGGAGCCTCCCCTTCCCTCCAACGCCTTGCTAAAGACCATAGCACACACATCCTTCGATGTACCCCAACTCAGCTTCTAGACAAATAGATCTAGAAGGGAGACATATGACGACTAAGTAAACACAAGGAAAGAAACAAGAAAAGAAAAAAGAAGCTGGCGAACCAAAGCCATCATCGGCATTGGCACTAGAGATACGGCATCCACAAGGCATCGCACTGCGCCAGATTCATTGGGTTGACCGCCTTAGCAATAGCGTCAATGACGGTCTGGTTCGCAGGCAGATTGCCCGACGGGTTGTGCGCCAGGCTGACGGCCCGCTTCACAATCGAGTCGCTGTTGAGCTGCACCGAGTCTCGCAGCTGGTTCTCGGAGATTCCGCTGCGGTGACTGTTCATCAACCAGAACATCATCTCGTCCCTCACAAACAACGTCAGCGCGTGCTCGAGCTCATGCTCCGGTTCCGTCAAGCACCGTGCAATCGCCATGACCGAGCAGGCAAAAATTCCCTCCATGGCCAGAGGTCCCATAAGAGTCTGCAGGTTGGGCGTCAGCCGGAACGGCACCGGCTCCGGGTTGTGGAAGAAGGGCTTGGACGCGCTCATGAAGGACATGAGCTCCGAGCCCCAAATGTTGCCCGATCCACGAGCAATGTTCATCTTGGCCGGGTAGCGGTTGTGCATGTACAGGATGTAGGTCATGAACGTGAGCGCCGACAACTGGTATGAAAACTGTTTTCGGAACAGCCAGAACTCGGCAAACTGGGGGAACGCCTTCTGGAAATACTCGAGCGCTACCGTCGGAGGCACCCATTTCTCTTGGATGGCGTTGAACACCTCCAATCGCGCCGTCGGCGTCAGCTCGGGCTTGGTCTGTCGGTTGCTCTCGTTAGTGCTCCTCTTAACCAAGCAATTTGCCGCTTCAGAATAGCTTACCTGGCCTCCCTTGGACTCGAGCACGCCGCGAAGCTTCTCCAGCGTAAACAGAACCGGCTCGTCCTTTGACATGCCCATGCGTCTGCAGTGATCCTCGTAGACCCCATGCAGCGTAATGTATGAGGTATCCTCCTGCACAATCCTGATATGAGGCGCCAGGGGGACCATCAAGGGCAGGGTGAACTGCAAGTCTCGTCGTCGGCTTTCCTTCTTCCGGCTCAGAGTCTGGTTGAGATGCCTAAAGAGCTGCAAGATCTTCTCCTCTCGGCGACAATGTCTGGCGGCGGGGTGCTGGACGGCCCATGAATGAACGCTGCCATCATGACCACGCATCTTGAGTCGACGATACGAGGCATTGACAGAGCGTATCAAATCGACATTGGGCAGGAACCTTTCTATCCGGATGAAATCCTGATTCTTATCCTTGTGTTGAAGATACTGCCCTGGAACCTCAACCTCCTCAAACTTCTGGTATCGGAACTCGCTCAGGTGAGGCGAGAATGCCTCGAGAGGCATGTGTGCGATCCTGCGATCCAGCTTCTCTTCAAACTTGGTTCTCCAGCGCCTGAGCTTGTGGATGTATTCATACATGGTCGGCTTGACTTCGACAAAGTCGGCCTCGAACGACTTCTTGATGTGATTGGGCAAGATCGTCTCGGCGAACCTGGTGATGTTCGTCTCCGTGGCGGAAGGCAGCTTGACGCTCTTTGCAAACGAAGCAGGGGTTCGGCTCACGTATGTCAGAGCGTCATTGAGCAGCGCCACAATAAGGCGGTACGCGTCCTCATCAGGCGGGCACTTAAAGTGCTTCTGGATTTGGTCCACCATAGTCTCCATCGACAATGCCAGCAAGGGGAATGCCGTCTTGAGCACCGACATGACCTCTTCAGTCAGTTCCCACGGTGGTCTCTTCTGGCTTTGGGATGCTGGGTGAGCCTGCGCCGGACCGCCTTGAGCTGCGGCTTGGGCTTGTGCTTGCTCTGGGCCTTGGGCGCCGTTTGTGGGCGCTGCTGGTGGTGCTGTTCCGCCATTGGCCTCGCCGTTCTCCGTCTTGACGTTCTCCGCCTTGACGTGAGCCGCATCGCCGCCGCTGGCAGTGCCTGGGCGTGATGCTGCGCCCTCCGCCTTGGGTGCGTCCTGCTTGGTCTGCAGGGGAGAAGCGGAGGCGGGTTTGGTGTTGGCTGTCGCTGACTGAGCTCGCAGCCGCGCCTTCTCCTTCGCTTCCTGGGTTTTCTTGATGGCCATCATATCTTCCCTGTTTGTCCGGAGCTGGAAGTAAAGAGCCTGGGGATATGACTTGGCAATGCTAAGGAGAATTTGATACACGCGCGGGGCCTCCTTGTAACCCAGGCCGGTCAGGAGCTGGGGAATGAACGTAATCCAGTACCAGGTCGGCATCTCGCCCTTGAAGTCGTCGAAACCCGCAGCAATGGTACCCTTGGCATCGTCCAAGCTGAGCAGCCACAGAATCCGGGAGAGCAGCTTTCGTGACTTTGCGTTCTTGTAGCTACTTGCTGCTTGCAGGTACGACGTGAGTGCTTGCCTAGCAGCGTTGAGATCCGAGGGGTCTTCCTTGAACTTCCTGTCGTTGAAGTATCCCCACTCGGCCCAGGCCTTCGCCGCTCCAATGTCAAAGTACAAGGCAGTGCCATAAGCGGCATCGGCCTCTTCCTTGAGCTCGAGCTTCTCGAGAAACATGCCCTTCAGGGTGTAGAACTCAGCCTTCTGCTGGGGGTTGAAGTAATTCAGATTCGTATTGTTGATGACTTCCAGTCCACTGTTCAGCTCCTCGGGGTTTTCGTAATGGCACCTTGCTTGCTCTCGAAGCTTCAAAAAAGCCTCTTGAATCTCTATATTAGGAAGCGTGTAGATGCGGCTGAGCTGGTTGATGCACACTTCCGGCAAGTTGTGCTTTCGAGCAACATGAGCGAAGCGGTTGATGATCCAGGCAGTCTCGTGGAAGCCACGGTATGCGAAGGAAGCTCCACCTGTATTTTGCTGGCCCTGTTGTGGGAGCAGCTGCAGATAGGTGTGGTTGATGAGGTTGAAGATGTGCTGCCTCCAAGTCACCAAGTCTTGCCAAGCCGTAATGTCGTCCCATATGTTAGGGAGACGATCGCGCCAGGCGCCAAGCAGCAACTTGAGCTCCCCAGATTTGACATCCAGATTCGATGCGTTGGTATTGGCCAGACTCTGACAAATGACACTAGCATCGTGCAGTTCTACCAACTGTTGGAAGTTCTGGAGAAGGGGGATGTGTGCATTTGTGAGTCGAGTCGGAAGTTGATGCCATTTTCGGATAGAGAGCTGTATCGCTTCATCGCAGACGCGAGCAAAATCAGTTGCCGATTCCTGCTGGTTGTGGAATTTGAGCAGAGACATAAACGCCTGGAAGAACGCTCGTCGCGGCGTGGGGGCGTCCATGACTCCCTTGATGATGTTGTCCAGGGCCTCGCGGTGTTGTTCGTCTTGCCACATTTCCGTGTTGCGCCATGCGCATTCCAGCAGCAAGTCTTGGAAGTTCTCGTGCTTGGCGAAGTCCTGCAGGATCTCCCATTGCTGCAGCTTCTGGGCACAGAGGACCCAGTGGTCTTCCCAGATCATGTATTCGGCTTGGGAGAAGGGAATCACGCCGGTTCTTGCCTTGATCTGCGCCGTTTCGTACAGCTTTTGCGCCTTATCCCACATGCCATTCTGTTCGTACGAAAGACCGGCGTTGGTCTCTACGAACTGAGACCGACGACGCCAAGTCCCGTAGAAGAGATCGTCTTCTTGCAGAGATGCATAGAGATCCACGAGCGCATCGAGGTTGCTTTCGCGCACAGTGGCCGAGTCGGGCCCTGGATTGATTGCTGCGTTTTCGAGCTGCACAAGCGCTGCATACCACGCATCGTACGTCTTCGCCTCGAACTTCAAGACGTGCGGAGGAAGCCTACATTCTGGCCACGTCTTTGCCACTCCTTCTATCAAGGATTGGACGACATTGGGGCGCTTGTCAATTTGGCGGTTGTGATAGTCCTTGGTGAGGAGCGAGACCATGCCGCGCTGAAGATCGGGTCTCTCATCCCGCAGAGTCGCAGACCAGTACATGGGGAATATGACCACCCAGAGCTGATGAGCCAGTGGGTTATCAATGTGCTGCAACTGCGTCAATGGCTCGATGATATCCCGGACCTTCACATCTCCCAGTTCAGCCATGAATCGTCTATGATTGGCCAAGAGAGCCTCAAATTTTTCATCCACCATCATGGTGGGCTCCCTCGTATCCTTGTCCCGGGGATACACTGCAGCCAGCTGGGAGGGGGCAATCACTTTGAAGTCGTCCGCATGAAGCTGGATGTTGGTGTTCATCTCCACGGCCCCAAGCAAAAGCTGGTTGGCCTGGGCGAGCCAGTACGAGTCGGCGAGAGTATCCCAGTTTTGTGACGTGAGCACGTAGGAGAGGCGGACGGTGGCTGTTTTGGACAAGCTCTTGTCGAAAATGGCCATGAACCGGTTCCGCATCTCTGCGTCCACTGCTCTAGTGCCGATGAGAAAGGCGTGCTCCATCCGCACGGTCAACTCGGTTCGGGTGATCTTGGGGTCTTCGTAGATGCGAATCACCAGCTCCAGGAACTTGGACAGCATCGTAGGATCTTGCCTATGTTCAAAGGAGAGCATCTTATGTAGTACCGCCGTCTTCTCCTTGAGAGTCGGCCAAGTCCCTTCGGATCGGAAGACCCAGCCCTCCACCATGCCCAGAATCTCTGTGCATAACTCAATGTGCATGGACTTCTCTACCAGAGTTGCCAAAACGCTCAGGAAGGGTCGTCGGTTGTCGCCCAGAGTTTCCATTCGCAAGGCCACGACCTGAATCTCCTTGATCATCAGCTTAGTCTGCATCTCAAGGTCATATGCAGAAAGCTCCCCGGTCGTGGTCCCGTTGGCCTCTTGGGTGCGCTGAATGCCGGTTGCTTGATTGGCCAGGGCACTATAGTGCTGCACATGCTCTCGCGCATGCTTACTTTGCATGGCCTTCATGAGCGAAGGGATGTGTTGGTCAATGATGGCAGGCTTGCGGTTGCCCAGGGACCACAAGATGTTGACGCCCGACACGTACAAGTTGCTGTTCATCTGTTCCGTCGCAATCTGTGAGAGATAGGCAACAATTTCGGATGTCTGCATCTCGGATTCACCCTCGGCATCCGCATCTTCCATAGGCGTATCTTCAGGCACCGCATCGAGAATGCGCCCAACGGTGGACTTGAGATCTCGACCATCGTCGTACTCCTTGTCAGCGAGGTGCAGACAGTCCTGAATTTCCGGATTTTCCGACTTCAGGCACTTCTCCAGTACCTTTTGGATTGGCGCGATGTTCTTTTGTATCCACTCATCTGACTTGAAATTGAGAAGGATGCGGACAACCTGCAGGGTATTGATGATGTTCGTAAGGAACTTTTCGTCGTACTTCTCCTTGTCGGCAGGGTCTGCGTTGAGAGCAGTCTGAGTCCTTTCGTGAGCGAGAATGACATCTGTGACGTTGGGGAACAAGTCGAGGTCCAGATCCCCCCAGCATTGGGGTTGCACGAGATTGTAGAGCAGCGCCATGGCTTTCTTGCAAAGCTCCGTCGTGGGCGCGGACACCGGAAGCGCACTGGCTGGAGACCCACGGGGTTTGGCAGATGGCAGCTGGTATCGCTCATTAAGCTGTGCGATAAACTCAACCAGATATTTCACCATCTTTTGACGGAAGAGCGGCGGGATCAGATACTCCGGTCTATCTGGCTGGTCACTGTCCAGCTTTCGCTTCTTGGAAACTGGAGATTCCGAGAGCGCTCTTGCCGTGGGGAGGGATGATGGTTTGCCCTCGATCCGCCACTGCTCCCAGGTCCAAATCAGCCACATCATGTTCAATGCCAGCTTCTTGCTCTCATGAGAAGGGTTTGGCGGTGCGGCAACCTTCCGCAGAGAGGTGATGATCAGGACGGCGTATTTGTCTCTGGCATCGTAGAAGAGCTCAGGGTGTCGCACAAGGAAGTGGAAGATGCTTGTCATCTGTTGCATGTTTTGTTCGTCCGTCAAGATGCGGCGCGGTGCAACGGCCCATGGTGTGCTCCTATCCCCGGGACCGTTACCACAGCGCTTGGGGAGAACTGGAGCAATAAGCTCCAGAGCTTGGGTCACCAGAGCCCGGCCCTCGTTGGAATTGGTCTTCAACAGGGACAAATATACCTGGCTGACGATTTTAGGGGGCGTTTCGTAGTGAGCAATGAAATACCCAATCACGACATACGCCGCGTGCTTGTTGATGATATCATCCAAGCGAATAAAAGTCCAGCCAAACTTAATGATGTCCTTTCGCGCTTCCTGGAGTGTGGCATGGTAGTATTTGACAAGCATTGCTGATAGCTGCAGCACTTCAAACCGGATATGATCGATTCCTGGCTGGGCCGAATCGTCTGGAGTCATCTCAGGATGCACTTTCCAGATCTTGGTGCTCACGGCATCGATGATTGATCGATCCATCAACCTCTGAGTCCGATTCTGTTCTGGTTGATGCCAATTCCGCATGACATCTGTAGCAACGATGGGGTTGACGATGTAATGAAGCAGGAAATACTTGGTCTTATTCGAGGCTGTCTTCCCGGAGTACGTTTCCAGGCAGCGCAGGAATGTCGACTTCCAGAACTCCATCGAGTCGCTGCAGATGATCTTGTTGTAGATGAAGGAGAACAAGGGCTGCGTCGAACGCAACTCTTCGGCGGCAACAGATTCTACTAGACTGAATAGAGCATCCAGATCTCTCGGCGATCTCTCCAGGGACTTGACGAGAATATTCATCAGCTGCTCAGCGGCTTGGTAGCCGGGCAGTCGAACAAAGGCCGGGAGCGAATAGCCCCGGATATTGGCTTCGAGGTCCTTTCCAATGGCTTTCAACCACGTAAGGTGCTCTTTCTTATCCATCCAGGCGCTGGAGGCGGGGTACTGGCCGAGGGAGTGGAGGATGTTGATCGTATTGACAATGGCAACGTATTTCTTCTCATTGTTCAGTCCGACAATCTCGTTACATTTGCCAATCAATCCTTCCAAGTTCTCCACAGCCGTCTCCCTCAAGGGCGTGCTGTCGGGGTGTGAAAGGACTTGGGCCAGAAGTCGACCGTGCTTTAGGTCATCCAATTTGCCGAGCAGATAAGCCCAGATCTCTTTAGGGTACCGGTTCAGGTAGAGAAACATTGGCTGTCGGAATGGACTCTGATGTGTTCGTCGAAGCCGCTCCTCGAGTCCGAGGAAGCAGTCAATCAAACGGTCCTTGAATGCTTCCGCTGGAGCGGGTAGGAGGTGGAAGATGTTCAAGATGGCGGTGATGACCTTCATCTGGGGATGCTGCTCGAAGAAGGTGAAGGAAATCTGCTGCCAAGCATTGGGCTCGACGATGGACTCAATCTGGTCTAGCAGACGAGCGCCGATCTCAACCTTGAAATAGCTTGTGAGGAGCTTCAAAAGCCTTGACAAGTTGTCCAATCCATGAGTGTTGAGTCGCTTGGGATCCGACAGACTCTGCAGAACAGGGCGCAGACCGCTCTGCAGCAGATCCTTGGGCAGGCGCCTGTCAACCGCCAATACTGACTTCAGAGCATCGTTTGCCGCTGCAATGGTCGGCTTTGATTCGGAATAGAGGCATTTGAAAAACACCGAGAGAATCTTGCCCTTGGTTGGATTGTTTGCGAATTCCTCAAAGGCCATCGCAGTGCTGAGAAGCTTGATGCAGGAAACGCGCAAATTGACGATATGCTCATGCGTTCTGAACTCCGCAGGTTTGTTGGCCAAAGACTCGTCGTTTGCATCGGCCAACGCCAGTGATTCCATCAGCAGACGATTTAGATTCTCGTCGAAAGTGACCCAGTCGCTCTTGAGGCCCATGTGATACGTCATGGCATTGATATATCCTATCTGTATCGGGAAGGGAAGTGCGCGAAGGGGCTTGGCGTAGATGGGCTGGAGAAACCTCTCCTTGTACGGCTCCACGAGCTGCCATACCTCACAGCCAGCAGCTTTCGCAATGAGCTCCAATGAGCTCTTGGCTGTCTCGCGGACAAACTTGTTCATGTGGGACAGCTCGTTGTTGAACTGCATGCAAATCTGGGCGAGGCGGGGCTGCTTGGCCTGCGGCTGGCCTGGCTGCTGTGGGATTGGCAGAGCATCCTCCTTCTTGATGTTCTTGGTGATGCGCTTGAGAAGGACCTCGAGGCTGGTCTGGGCAAGACACCTTGTCTTTTCCGGGAGATCCAGTGGCATGTCCTTGATGACGTACATGAGCGCGCGGATGAATTCGGTCTGTTTGGACGTCACCCAAGCGTCGCCCAGGTCGAGCTCCGTGAGCAAGAAGTTGATGCCAAGGCTTCCCCCTGTCTTTGTAAACCACTCTTCTTCGTAGCAGCTGTGGCAGAATGTGTTGCTGAGGTGGTTGAACAGGTGAAGGCGGCCGACGTTTGCCTCGGAGCCAAAGATGAGGGCTGTACATCTGTAGAGTTCCCGGATCGCCTGTTGCGCCGCTTCACGAACGTCTGGATGGTCAGACGCTAGCGACTCGACGATTGCATCGGACAAGACACGTGTGTCAATGGTCAGCGGGCCTTCGCCCGCCTTGGGGTCAAAGGGGTTATAGGTACGCTTGAGATCGATCAGAGACCTTCCAACTTCGATGAGAACGAAGTGCCGACACACATCGAGGAGGAAGGCACTGGATTCCTGCTTTACATCTGGAATGGACTGCGAGAACATGACCGCCTTGAGCAGCCTCTTGGTGACTTTGTCCTGCTCATCCTTCTTCGGAATTGACCTATCGCGGCTCGAGACCTCAAACGGCGCAAAATTGATGTCCATCTTGCGATTTAGGAAATCCTGCGCCTGGAGCCTGACAATCCTGGGGTAGTCTTCGGGCAGCTGATCGAACCCGATGCGAAGCTTCAACTGGGTCTTGATGAAATGGATGGCCTGTTTCTTGTAGTAGTCGTCATACTGCCGATTCTGAGCATTGAGCTTGTTATGCCGCGGTACCTCCATCAGCTTTTGTATCGCGAGATCGATACCCAGGTCGGCTGGGAAGGCTCTGTCCTTCTTGGAACCAATGAGCCGTAGGTCGAAGCTTGAGGCATCGTCGGCATAGTTGGTGTATGTGAGAGGAACGGCGCCCGTCATGAACTTCCGATTTCTGCCCCCCAGCTTCCCCAGAATGCGCATGGTGGTGTGCGCATGAAAGTGGCTATAAGGGTGGGGTTTGAGATGGTCGAAGAGGGCAGTCATCAGCTCATCAATGACTGGTGCCATGATAGGGTCCAGATAGTCCGCTGTCAAGTTGTCAACACAGAGCTCCAAGGTTCGCAGTCCCTGGCCGACAAGATCCGTTCCAGCCCGAAGAGCCACGACCAAAGGACGCATGAGGAAGCTCAAATGCGGCAGCAGATGGCTGAGACGTGCCGGGACGGTGAGGCACAGCTCGACATAGAGATCTCGCTCTGATGGTTTCCGCGCGGCCATCAGAAGATTGTTCAGGACATCCAAGAGCATCTCTAGCAACGGCAATATCTGTTTGTAGAGTTGCTCGAATTTGCCACCGCCAATGCTCCTGAAGAGGGACCGCAGAAGCAGAAAGTAATTCATGGGCTCCTCCGCTTTGGTAGACAGCTCAATCGACTTCGTGACGATGTTGACCACATGAGGCAGCAATACCTGTTCATTCTGCGTGGCAAACAGCGTGACTGCCATAAAAGCAAGCTTGAAGAGCCGCAGCAGAATGGAGGACTTCTTCACGTCTGCCGAGCCAACCTCGTCGATTCGCTCCATCAGAAACTGCAGGAGCATGCCGCAGAAACTCGGGGACGTCGCCTCGCTGGCTAGGAAGAATTGAGGGATATGCAGAAGAGCCGTGTGCTCGAAGATCATGTCGTAAAGGTGCGGAATCTCCTGCTGGAAGACCTCATGAAAGGTGGCTGGGTCGATGCAGTGAAAGACTGTGGCGAACGTCTCAAGGAGATCCTTTTCCTCCTTGCTGCTCGATACCATGTAGAAGTTGGCCATATACTCGACAGGCGACACGTACTGATTCTCAGTGGCGGGCTTCTCGATCTCATAATACCTGAAGACATAAGCGCCCTCCCTGAACAGCTTAATAATGACATTGACCTCTTCAGCCGTGAAGCCGTACGCAACCTCTTGCCAATGCGGCGGCGCATTGGCAGGGTCAATTGGCGTGCCAATGTTACAAGTTCTCAACTGATAAAACGTGTTCTTGAGTCCATTCATCAGGTTTCTAAAGAGGAACTTGTTGTCCCCAACCGGGTCGGCTCCCCTGTCTCTTGGGTTGGAAATTTTGATGGGCACTGCTGAAAAGATGTCTGTCTCGTCCCAGTCAGGCGGGTGCTCCTTATCGGCAAGGTATGATTCGGGGGCACCAGCCTCGGCCTGCTGGTGATAGAGCTTCGAAAGTTTGACAGCGTTTGGGTATTGTCGATTCATGGCGGCGAATTTGTCTCCAATTGCGTTGAGAATCATCATCAAGTAATGCCTTGCGTCCACCTTGTTTGGAAGCTTCGCGATGCACTCGGCCATATTAAGAAGCAGTTTCGCGCTCATGGTCTGGAAACTGGTCCCAGGGAAGTTGTCTTGAAGATTCCTGGTATACACCTCCACCGTCTTGCGAATCTGCTCCGGGGTCAATGAGTCGCGGACGTGGTGAATAAGGTCTGCCAACATGCTATACGCCAGAGGCCTCATCGTCTCGTAAACAGTAAGGCCGTCTCCTGTCAATGTGCGCTCATCCAGGAGCTCGTCGATCTTGGGAAGAAAGATCTTTCGGAAATTGTAATTAATAATGTGCCGAATAGCAATCAGAAGCTCCTTTCTCGTGCCCGACTTCTCCCGTGGGCAGTCTTTCAGCAGCCGAATCACGATATCGGGCAATAAGTGCAGAAAGTCCTTAAGCTGAGAGGCGTATTGGCGGAGAAGGTAGGCCAAGAAGCTCATAGTCTTGATCTGGGCCGTAATAAAATCGCCAAAAGCAGCCCGGTTCTTGATCCCTGGGCTCACACCCGTGTGTATGTCGCCCCTGGCAGCAGCCTCCTCGTGGGCCTGCTTCTGAGCGCTTGCTTGGAGTGATAGGAAGCCCTTGATAAGCGGCACAAACCTAGGCACATTAAGCTGGACAGTATTGCGGTAGACTTGAAAGATGGAAACGACGATGATTGGGCATTCCGAAAGGACTTTGAAGGATTGCATTCCCTTGAGAAGTGGTCGATTCTGCTGCTGGGGATCTGCGCCAAGCTCAGTCACTGAGGCTACAGGAGAGCCCGGTCGAGGGGACTGGAAGTTGGCTTGTGTGCTGCCTGGCGTTGACGGCGCACCAGGCTGAGGATTCGGGGCGAGAGAGGCATTGTCGAGCTGCTCGTGGACGACCCTCTCCATCTGATCGAAGAGCTCCTGGATGAGGGTCAGGAAAGGCTGGACCTTGCTCTGTAAAGTCTGGTGCTGATGTCGCATGATGTCGGAGATGATCTTGACACATAATGTTGCGTTATCTTCGTTGTCGGTTCGAACTAACTGCATGAGCAGATCGACTATTTCCTCGGCGTAAGGCTTGAACGGCTCGGGAGGCGACATGCCCGTTGGCAGTCGGTGAAGCACCTCGAGGATGCAGTTGCGGAGTTTCTATCATCGACCGTCAGCTATACCCAGCCCCAAGGCATCATGCAAAGTTCTTACCTGCTCCGGGGAGTTGCTTTGAAAGATGCATGGTCCACGTAGAATGTTGATGAAGATGGGCATCAGCCGTTTCAGGAAGGGTTCGTAGATGGGGCCATTTGTGTAAGCGTCCAGGCTGTCGCGCAAGGTGGTCGCGGCTTCCACCTTGAGTCGGGTCTCTGTTGATCAGCAGCAGGTTAGCATCGGAGGATAGGATGGAGGCATGCGACAAGACGATGGAAGCGTGGCATGGGATAGCGGAGGGGCACAGCGGCATCGTCGTACCTATATCCGAGGTGCTGAGTCGCTTTACGACATCGTCAATAGTAGTTCCCGACATGGCTGCATTATTGGCGTCCGCGAGACGCAGCTCTGGCTTCCATCCGAGGAAGCGATGGCGAGGCGAGGCCTGAAACGTCGATTCGCGGCAAGGCTGAGGACGAGGCGGGACCGGGACGCGCCGCGAGAGCTCACGAGTGCGCTGCGGGACGCTATAGACCTGCGGTTAAGGGAAAACCCAACAGATAAATCCCACCTGGCCAGATGCAATACTGCCAAAAGTTCGCTGCGCAGGTAGGAAGAGGCGTTTGGGCGGCGGTGGTGGTGGAAAGGCGACCGCAGGATACGGGGGTTCGCAGCCTTGGGCGGCTCAGTCTCAGTTTGCGAACGAAGCTTGAACCGTGACGCCCGTGAATTTTCCAGAGTTCGAGCAGAACTGGGCACCGTGGTCGCCAAAACCAATTGCGCTAGGCGACGTGACAATAATTTTCCGAGCGCTAGCAAATGCACACACCCCTTATCCGCGGTGTGAGAATATCTCTATCTTATCGATAGAGATCTTGCACCGAATTGGGAGCCTCCTGTACCTTCAATTGTACCAACTTCGAGCCCCCTTTGAAATCACTTTTGTTGGAGAAGAATAAGTTGAAGTTGCACGATCATCGCAAACTTACAACCTTAGTAGTAGACCCGCAAGTAGGCATTATGGCAGATTTGTTTCAACAACACGCATGAATTTTATCACTGCATCTGACCCGCGTAGCAACCCCAGCTAGAAATCATATAAAACCATCCTTCAGGGAAAGGCACTGAATTCTGACTCTGACACCCTGTCTCCAGTGCCGTTATCGTCTTTCTTGGCCTCTTCTATTTCCTCATCCCGCCTCTCCTTCCTTCTATGTTTAGATCTCACATCTGCATCTTTTCTGTGACACATCTGTCGAATCAACAAACTCAAGTCCTTGAGTTTGTCTATCCCAGTCATCGTCATAGTGCAACCAACCTAAGGTTTGCTTGTCGTACATTCCATGAACAAACAAGTTCCGCAACCCCACCACTAGAAGCTGTCGAAACGGCGGGGAAGTTACTAAACACAGCCGAGGAGATAACAAAGACGGCCGATATCAAACAGACAACGAAGCAGCTTTGTTCTCGAAATAATTCATCTTCCATTCTCACTTTCTGCTTTAAAACCAGCATCACGCCGAAGTTTTTCAGTTGAACTTCTTGTTCCTCAGTCAACCTCGAATCCCCGGAGCTCGAACACAGAAAGCTTCATTTCGCAGTGCATCCTAACCTAGACCGCTGGATGTCCGATAGCGGCAACGAGCAACACAAAGCAACAATCAGCATACCTGATACAAGATGAGTGGTGAATACGCAGCTTTCTTCTATGGTGGGTCTCATTTTGTTGGCTTTGATTTTCCTTTTACGTTCTCTGTTAACAGAATGGTGAAATTGCAGGCACTTTGGTAGGAAGCTCCTTTGACTCACAAAGGGTGACGGAAAGCATATTAACTGCAGCAGATGGCGCCAGAGGTCTTCTTCAGCGTTTGCTACGCTGACAAACAGCCCCCAAAGGCTATTCAGGATCTCCACACCTTCACTCCGGCCATTCTAGATGGCTACTGCCGCCACAGGGTCCAATACGCGGACTATCCAGCCATCGTCGAAGAGCCAGGCCACTGCGTGCGAGGCATGTATGCGACTGGATTGACAGAGGCCAACATATACAAGCTGGATGAATTTGAGGGCGATGAGTATAAGCGGATCAAGGTCAACGTCAAGCTGTTAAAGATGGAGGACGAGAAGGAAGTCGAGGGAGAGGTCAAGGAGGCGGACGTATACGTCTTCCTCAACCCCGATCTGCTGGAAAAGCGCGAATGGGACTTTGAAGAGTTCCGAGAGCAGAAGATGAAGATGTGGACCCGAGGCGACTGGGCGTTTTCAGAAGGTAACTCCCCGGGCTGCTATTATGCCACCTTTGGCAAGTTTACTGATTCGAGATTTAGAGGAGAAGGCAGTTGTTGAAAGCAACCTGAATCCTTAAGCTTCGTATGCTGAGCTACTACAAAATTAGTTGGTGTGCGTGTATGTCGGGCATTCATCACTCGGATGGTAGGCTGACGGATAGACGGATACTTTGAAGACTGTGGGCATTGGTCGTCAGAGGGGATATTGGCGCGTTAGATAGAAAGACAATGTACGTGACGATAGACTCCGACTGTTATCCTAGCAATGCAGGGACCATCGCCGTGTCCCTCTCGTTTGAATGTGGCGACACAGAGCAATCAAGCTTTGAGCTTTCCCTTCTTTGTGCTGTACTCACTGCTGTGTCAATGGAGCGTCAGCGCCTAGCAGACATTTACTTCATGCTGCTTGATCATGATGCTGTGGTATGATGGTATGACGATTTCTTGAACTGATTTCCGGCAGCTCATCTTCACATGAATTGCTTCCAGACATACTATAGTATTGTCATCAAAATGGCATTTTTATTTGGTATATACACCTACAGGACTGGAGATTGAGTGCTTATTGTGCCACAGGCAGGGACAAGGATAGCAAAGCAATCTTCCAGAAACACACGCCATTGACGAAACTAGAAGGTAGAAAACGACAAGAAAACACTGGCATTTCGGGCCTGATGCCGAGGTAGCTCGCAGTTCATGACCTGCCCCAAACAGTGCAAGACTCATAGAAGCTTAAATGTAGATTAATCGAGATTGCGAGGGTAGAATCGATAGTATGGCTTCGGAGATATAACCCTACCGCTATGGAGTTGATAGGATGGCCAAGCACATTGCAATATCCGGATGCGCTTGCGATGAGTCCTCTAGCTGAGTTGAGAAGTCTCAGCCGACAGCCTCATCAATAGTCGGGATGGATGAGGAGCCTGTGTGGTGTTATTGTGACACTGAGTCCGCGGTCAACTAAGGACCACAGCATTGATTGCTGCCGCAGAGCGACGCCAAGCACAGGGGCGTCTGGCATTGAGCAATCAGAGAGATTCATGCAGCGGTCCCGCAGAACCTGGGCCTGTCGGAGCCGACGTTCCAGCAATTTTATCTTCATTACAGCCGCCTTGGCTCTCGTGCGACTGTATCTTGTTTACCTAACATTGGGATATTGTATGAGTTGGAGAGCGGCTGGAGAGGAGGCCATGTTGCTGCTTCCACATGTAAGTGCTGGTACGTTACCATCAATGCAACCGGACCCTACCTATAATTGATCGACGAGAGAGGTTGCATTCGAGTGACAAGTGCTCCGTACCAACAGCAACCACCATAGCGGCCTTGCTTACCTAAACAAGGTAACAGGGCGTTATGAGTGTTATTAGTAACTGATCTGGAATAATCGAGCCTCTGCAGCAGTCAATTACTATCACGACAACTTCAACGTCAGAAGTGGGCGCACGTTCCTCCGTCTCCAGCAGAGCCTCAGGCGGCTACTGAAGCACAGATGCGCCGCTAGGATCTGGAGCTATCGAGATGGGTAGGCGCTATGGACCGCTATAGGCTCAACAGCTTCCCAGTTGTTGGCCTCGAAGCTATTAGGAGGAAGGTGCAGCTTGGATCTGGCGTAACGAGTCACTGTTGGGCAGGCACGAAGTACGTCAGAGCCCTTCCTGCAGCTGAACAGGTAGCTCGAGGCGGTGAGAAAGCGGGCAACGGCACCGACCAACCAACCACCAGCTCGCTCACCTCGGGCATCAACCCCAAGGCATCACGGCATCAGCAGCTCCGACTGGTCTGCAGCTTGTCGACTTGCTCAAGCCTCAGCGCCTACGACGTGTGGACTGCACTAATAAACGTCCAAACGAAACAAAAAAGACCAAACAACCTGCAGCCATCACCGCTAGCCTGCTGCAAATCCGCGTCCGGTGCCAGAGTTGCCGCCCTGCGATTCAGTCCGTTCGCCGCCATTACGAATCGTGATCAAGGGTCATCCCTATCGGTTGTCGTCTGCGGTGTACGGAGTACGGCAGAGATGACTGGCAGAAGCGTTCGAGTCGATGGAAGACGGCACCGGCCCAAGCCAGAACAAGACAAGAGGTAGAAAAGAAGATGCTGACCATGAAACGAGCCTTTGTTTCACCAGAAGTCGATTCAACCCCACGGCAAGAGAGGCTAGTTCTGCATAGGTAGCCCTGCTGATGAGGTATTAGACACCCCTGCCACCAGCCCCCCTGACCCTGCATGCCCAGGGAAGACGTTTTAGAAGAAGTTTTTCCGCCAGCGTCGCATTGAGATCTGGAGTAGGGACGATTGCTCACGCAGACATTCCGCCTCACTGAATACGCGTCTTTTTCGCAGTGGCGTGGGATGGCATGTCAGAGTGTACATATGTGCGCTACGACACGATGCCATTTACGAGTACGACGCTTACAACCACTGCCACCTACATAGTGACCACGAGGTGGCGAGCGCCCCTTTGCCTCGTTCAGCGCGGCAGTGCAGCCTCGGCTGGGCAATTGACGGACTCCACGGCTTTGACTCGTCCATCGCAAGGGAAAGGGCAAAAGGCACAGACATGCGAGTACCCGAGCCTTGCCATGGACTTCAAGCGATTCATAGAGCACGCATTGATATCAAATTGAACATCCGAAGAGCCAGCGCTTTGGAACAAGCAATTGCCATCGGGCCAACAAACCATTACATCCCGGGCCGCGGCCGATCCCAATGTATCCTGGCCTGTTGGAAGACCAAAATCCTCCGTGCAGTCCCCACATACCAGGCTCTCTGGAAATAGTACCAGCAACCTCGCAGGTTCGCGGCTCAGCAAAACATTCATGATGGCTTGAAACGCAACAATATCGCTTTCGTCTCCCTCTCCGTCATTCCTGGCCGTTGGCGGTTAAAGCATGAAGCGGCTCTCTTGACGCGATGCCGACTTCCGGGCACTATGAAAGTGATTGGAGGCAACTGCCCGTACCTCATACGAGTACAGATGCAAGTACATACATGCTACATACTGCTTGCACTGACGAAGTGACATTCCTCGGTTTGGTCAGCTTTGCCTTCGGCGCATCTACCCCTGTTGCTCCACCACCCAGAGCAAGATGTGTGGCAATACGGATACAGCTTACAAGTATGCCTCGTTTACGGCACAGCTCCAGTTCGTTCCTGCAGCTGAAGAAGCTCAGGGACGCGGTACATCACCCCTCGGCGTCAGCGCAGGATAGCAAACGAGGTACTATTACCTTATGCCGGCGGCTGATGCAGGGAGAGCATGGCGCCTAAGCAGCTTCAGCCGTCTGTGCCGGAGCACATGGAGATCGATGGTGCGAGGTGCTCTCACTGGTTTTCACTTTGCCATAGCTCGAAAAGGCGTGGCCAATTGTGAATGATGGACCAGGGAGAGCGTGACGATTGTGGAGCCTACCAATGGACCACGAGGGGCAGGCTCGTGCTACCGTTTGGTGGCCTCCGAGGATCTCTGAACCCAAGGGTTCGGCTTGGCCCAATTGGTGGCCATGGTGTCACGATGCATAGGGAGTACAGCAGGTACGAGTACTACGTACAAGTGCGGGCAGGGTAGCACTCTGGATTGGGGCCTCCCTCCGCATTCGAGAGTGCCTGCGCACCCACTCCTTTCCAAATACTACCTAAGGGTGTTCTATATTGAGCACGGGAGTATGACTTCAAGTACACCTGCACGTACGTCGGTCAGGCCGCTGGATTCACGACAGCACGCACTTGCAATCCTTAAGCGGGCTTCCGCCTTCAACGCGGCTCATGTTGCTTACAGAACATTATATGATTCCTGGACTGAAGATCAGGCCCTGGCAAGCTTGGTCCACCTTGTGCATAATGCTGCCCACAGACCACGGACCAAGAGATGTCTGACCCCTGTCCGGGACAAACCCGGTGCGCATTCCTGTCCGCGGTATGTGCTAGCCACAACGTCGCATTGAGCAGCAGGTGGTGGCAAACTTGCTTGTGAAGGAAGGGGGAAACAGAGCAAAAGAGGAAGACAGAGGCCAAGCAAAGGTTATTCAGGGGTTTCGACGCTGGCTGATGCTAGCTCTCTTTGGCTTCTGGGGTTTTCGGCTGATGCCCACTCTCCTCCGTCCACTTCGGGCGCTGCTCTCGAGATTCTGAAACGACGACTCTAGCCTATCACCGGGCATCCAAGGGCACTCCCTTCGATGGCCAGCCCGCACTAGCGGTCCGCCATGCCTCGAAGCCGCGAGATATTCAGCCCACAGCTGTGCTTTACTGGATAGAAACCCCCTTTCCCCGAGGGGCTGCTCCTCCGTGAGCGTTCCGCCGGCCGCTGCTGGAGCGCAACATGCGAGCCATCCCATGTCCCTGTCTGGGCCCCCTTCCCTGCCTCGCCAATAAGTCCTCCGCCGCTCTGTTCCTGCAGCTGCATCGTGCAACCCTTGTCTGCTCTGTGCTAGTCATGATCTAGGGGTACGGCAGCTTGGACCAGTTCTCCTCCACCATGCCACTATGCGGCACGCAATGTATAAGATGAAGGTCTCATCCCAACCTTGCCCTCAGTTTCCCTTGTTCCAGACATCTCCAGTCACCCAGTCCTTCCTTCAAAGTGGTCGTCGTCAAGACTCACTCTCCTTCATTCTTACACGAGGCTAGTCCTTGTTTTCGTTCTTCATTTTACTTGCTCCATCTCTCAAGCCTTCATTTGCATACGCCAGCCTGGTTGCTCGCTATCCATCCCTGAAGCATTCAAAACTCTGAAAAAAAGAGAACAATAAGAATCTGTGATATCTTTTGTATCACGTTTCCTGTTTTCGAGCATTCTTTCTCATCTTGACGACAACATATACCACTGCATCACACAAGCCTTCTTCGTCTGGTACGATTTAGACTTTGATATCATCTATACTCTCTTTCAGAATGTTCTCCAAGCTTTTCACCATCACTGCGCTGGCTACGGCCGCCAGTGCCCACGTGAAGATGTCCAACCCCGTCCCCTACGGCGCGTCGACTCTGGACAACTCTCCTCTGGACGCCACTGGCCTCAATTTCCCTTGCAAGGTCGGATCTGGGTTTCCCGCTACCTACAACCTCGAGGGTGCCAGCAACGTCTATGCTCAAGGCAGCACTCAGCAGCTCGCGTTTATTGGAAGCGCTGTTCACGGCGGTGGTTCTTGCCAGGTCTCTGTCACTACTGACGCTCAGCCCGACAAGAACTCTGTCTGGAAGGTCATCAAGTCCATCGAGGGTGGCTGCCCTGCACAAGACCAAGTCGGCAACATGGGCGATGACGCCGCTGCCATCGATCCCTACAAGTACAACTTCACCATCCCCAAGGAGCTGGAGGCTGGCAACTACACCCTTGCCTGGACTTGGTTCAACAAGGTCGGCAACCGTGAGATGTACATGAACTGCGCTCCCTTGACCGTCACTGGATCAGGCGGCTCCGCGGACTTCCTCAACACGCTCCCCGACATGTTCGTTGCCAACATCTTCGGCGACGAGAAGTGCAACACCCAGAACGATAAAGACCTTGAGTTCCCCCAGCCTGGAACGGACGTCGTCAAGATGAACGGAGCAACGGAGGCCTTTGCTCCCGCAACGTTCACACAATTCTGCCCAGTCGGCTTTGGTAGCACTGCCAGTGTCCCTGCTGCCACTGCTGCCCCCCAGCCGACCTCTGCCGAGGCTCAACCTTCGAGCGTTGCCGGCGGCGTGTTCATCACCAAACCCATTGGCGGCCAACAGTCAGCTACCCAACCCGCTGTCTCTCAGCCTACGGCAGCTGTGCCTGCTGCCTCCCAGCCTGCCGTCTCCCAGCCTGCTCAGCCCGCTGTCACCTCGGCAGTCAACCTCCCTGTCCAATCTCAGGCCCCTGCTCCCACCCCCTCTGCCGCTCCTGCTCCTGCCACCCCTAGCTCCGGCTCCGGCTCCGGCTCCAGCGGTGCTTTTGCCGCTGGAACTGCCTGTTCCTCCGAGGGCCAGTGGAACTGCATTGGCGGAAGTCAGTTCCAGCGCTGCGCCAGTGGAGCTTGGTCTGCTGTTCAGCCCCTGGCTGCTGGCACTCAGTGTGAGGCCGGACAGGCCGATAACCTCAAGATGGTCACCAAGCGAGGCAAGAGGTCGATGCGCCGTGCTAAGCGTTCGTAAATGTGCGTGACGCGCCGCATTCTTTTTCTTGTCCTCTCCGTTGCACACATGGAGGTGAGGACTCTTCAAAATTCAGGGGTTTGAATTTGGTCAGATTGGCGATTTCGTTGGGTTTGCTTTATTTTGCATGTTATTCACGGCACCGGCTGGTTTGGATATGGTTTGGTGATCTTTCATTGAGCTTGTACATTACTTCACTTTCTTTTTCTGCTTCATTTCTTCCCAGGGTACCTTGAAGATGGAAATGGGTTGACATCTTTACTCTCTTATGATACCGCATATATAGATACCCCAGTCACAAGAGGGGAGCTCCTGTCATAAATACATACACATGTTGGGCATTCATTTATTCAGTATAAAGCACTTTGTCTCGTCTGATTTCCTGATTCAGTGATGTGAACTCCGTTTCTTGTCTGGTTTCCTAATTCAGTGATATGAACTTCGTCTCTTGTCTGCTTTCCACTTCAAAAACATGTGAACTTTGCAGTGAATGTTGGGCTCGACGATTTGGTCTGAGAGATATTATCTGCCTTGGTTCATTTGTTCATTTGATTCGTTTAGGAAGTGAACTACTCTATATACATCTAAGCACCATCTTGTCCTTATAACCAATTTCCTGTCTCATGCCCATTCAACCTCTTCTCACCCATCAACCTCCTCTTCAGAAACCCCGGACCCTGCCTCGTATCTCCTCTCTCTAGGGAGGTCGGATTCACCGGCACCACCCTGTCTGAATAGTCGATGCCGATATGCGCCTTTCCGTCGCTGCCGACAAATCGCCCGAAGCTGTACTTCGGGACCACCTCGCCGTCCTTTACCACGTCCTCTTCGCCCTCGCTCTCGCTCTCGCCATACTCGCGAGTCAGCTTGCTGGGCGCGATATACGCAATAAGCGAACCTATGTTGGTGGGCATCCGCGGAAGAAAAAACGTGACGCCCCATCCATAGAAGAAGAAAACCATGAGGATGTAGAGGCCGAGAATCGTCGTGCTGGTGATGAACGCCGTTGACGAGACGAAGATCCGTGTCTCGGTTACTGTCCGGTTCCCTATGACGGTGGTTCCATTCTCTGCATCCGTAAAGACGTATTGGTTGAGAGTTACATGGATCACAAACAGCGCCTTGTAGACGCTTGTCAAGGTGTCCAGGTACTGCTCGGGTTCGGGCGTGGGCATCGCAGGATCAAAAAGCTCTGCGTTTCCGCTGAACAGCTTGATCATGTACATTACCCACCCATGGGTGACAGAGTCGTTGTGCCAGCGAGAGCCTGTATCTTGCAGACGACTGAAGAGATCGCTAATAATTGGTAGGTGTGTGTATGAGTCTGGGTATGGTATCGAAGATGTGAAGTCGCTGACTGGTGTTGCATTCTTTATGTATCCCGCACTGTCGAATATGACTCGGAAGTCTGCCACTTTGTATGCTGGGTGGCACACGACAAGAGACGTGTTCAGCGTCCCAGTGGAATCATTCGTGATATCTGATCTGGAAAATCCCACAAGAAAAGACTGCAGGCAGTCTGTTATATTCGAGCCACCTCCACCTGAACCAGTTTGCATGCTGCTTGCAACCTCCGCTGCTGCCCGTCCCGTGAAATTGGTGAACATTGTGTGGTTGAGTGGCAAATTCTCTATCACGTACTCTTTGGCACAACCTTCTGGTAGGGGATCTGTTCGGCCAAACGACGTATTGACCGTTGGTGGCACGTCCTGTGTGATTATGTTGCCCATCGATATACAATTAGGCTCAACACCAAAGCCCGTCGTCACGACGGTATATTCATCGTCGTCTGATGGTGGGGTGTCGGACGTGATGTTGACTGGGAGATAGGTAAACTCGGAGGTCGTCCACGGTGGTAAAGGAGCTCCGTAGGACATGTTCGCCATGATGTTGTATTCGGGGTCTTCGTAATCAGTCGGCACCAGCTGGACCTTGCCGTGGTTGAAAGAGTTCAGCCCCTTTTCATCCAGCCTTGCTTGCTTTTGAGGCAACATGACCACGGGATACACTTTTTGGATGGGATTGTCGTTGAATATCGCACCAAGCCCTACTGCTAGAACGTTGGCCAGGAGAGCAATTATGCAAATGGCACCTAGGAGGAGATGGCCGGATCGGAATGCTCGCCAGAGAGCAAGCTGCGGAGGCAACGCGGTATATCGAGCCTTAATCGTTCGTCTGGCGGTCCCGCGCCCAGATGTGAGGTCGTAAAACGGCTGTAAGAGGCATAGGTATCTGTTCAGCATCACCCAGAATGGCTCGACCAATGTGGAGAATATCGTGGGTAGGTAGCTAGTCAAGAGTTGATTGACTTCGAAATTCGGTGAAGGGCGCACAAGACCTGAAAATAAGGGATGAGTCTTTCTTCTATTGCTTCCGATGCCGTTTTGTTTTATGCTTACCTCCTAGGACGGTATCCTGATGTCGCAGATATGAGAAAACGGCGACAGCTGCGCATAAGCACACCGCAAATAAAACCCCAACAACCTTCCGCAGAGCAAATGGCTTGATTGGCAGATAATGACCTGTCTGGTCTGACCCAGCTTGGCCGGAGTTCGTCTGTGATAGTCCTGTCTGTGCTTGACTAGGTATTTCCAGTAGCTCAAGCTTTGTCGCTCCAGAAGCATCTTGGCATCTACACGTTAGCTTAAACGTACAGTCACCGAGCTGGTCTTTGAGTTGGTCGGCAGTTAGGTTTCCTTTGCCGTTGAACTTGCTCAGCAGGCGCGGACTCTTCTGGACCAGAGCTATAAGTGAACCCAACGACGCGGGATCCGATGACAGCAAGGTTGGGTTTCCATGGCAGACCCATAACAATACCAGAGTGAGAACGGCCACAAGAGCAAGCCCTCCTTCCACCAGGGCTGTGAAGACGCGGCTGACGATGATGCCATACTTCACCACGAAGGCGTTTCCGTCTGCCAGGTGCGGACTCGTATTATTCACAAGCATTGTGTGAAAGGCCATAGAGAACATCATCTTGTGAGCCGAGCGGTACGATTCTCCCATCAAGGTCGTGTTCCGGTATGCATCGACGGTGTAGTTGTTCATACCGACCATGAGTCCCATCATCGGAGAGAACGGATAAGGCAGTCCAAAATCGGTCAAACGAGTGTAAAAGTCCAGAAGATGCGAAAACGGCCAATCCCGAGGCACATCGACTGATGACATTCCATTTCCGACGAGGTATTCGAACGCAGAGCTGTTGAACTCCGTCACCTGAAGTGGCTCAGGAGGCGATAGGGGCGTAATCTGATCGTCGACGGGAACGTTTCCAGGCAGCAGAACCAGGGCTGACACATTTTGTTTATAGTAAGAAGTTTCGCAGAACAGTGCTTGCATGTCTCTTGCGCCCGTGATATTATCGAATCGGCCCCAGGTTGCGAGGAATTGATTGAACGCTTTGTCTGAGCAGGTCCAGCTGAGTGCGAGCTCCCCCCAGGCGCTGTCTTGATAGCCAATGTACATCATTTGGTGCTCGTTTCTTGTGCTGTGGGCGGGAATCGAAGACGCATTACATCCCATGCCGTTGATGAAGTTGTAGTACCCGTCAACCATCTTTGGCTTATGCTCTATCTCAGCTGGCCAGCACTTTAAATCCGTCCAATACTTCGTAGTAATGCCGGAATAGTTGGCTACGTTACCTTGAACGGACTCTGCTGGCTGAAATGGCATCAATGTATAGTCGGGGGTCGTGAAGGGGGGATAGGACCGTTCGAGCCAGGCCATAGCGTACCCAGAGTTCATCACAGACTGGTCCATGTAGGTGGCTTGTGTCAACGAGTCCATGAACATGGACGGTGCCGACATGGTGACCGTTTTGTTCATCAGCACGGGGCCATTCCCTAGAATTGAACTCTGAAGGGGAGTGATCATCCAGAAGATCAGAACCATGACAGTTCCTGAATAGAAAACTGCCCAATGCCTATTCATCGTTTAGTAGATTATCACAACCCAGGCTGCTATATGGAAGACGTCGGTATATACCTTTGTTTCGCAGCTTTGAAGGGAACGAATGCTACAAAGTCGACTGGATAGTCTAGAAAGACTGACCGTCGACCGGTTGCACCATCCGGCTTGGACACTTCTGTCCACGGCTGCATCCGCTTGACGTCGAGATCGATCCAGCTCCACACCAAACTGTAAAGGACCGCAATGATGGTAGGGAGGTAGAGGTAGGTGAGATTAACGGCGGAGGGGATTTCGTCGGCTTCGTCAACCAGAGATAGGCCGCCCAGCTTTTGGCTTCTCTCTGCAAGGAACTCGAGTAGGGCAATGATGACGACTGATGAGATGGCGAATGAGATCAGGACAGGGGCCTTCATCGTACTCGGCTTCCATCCATGTGCGCAGGAAGAAGCATCGCCAACTGAGGTTTTGGTGAGCATGTTTTGGGCAATTGGCCGTGAGTGTGTATCCACTACTTACCTTTCTTTGAACTTTTCCATTTTGATATCCATCCCGGAGAAGGTAACTTTTTTTTCGGTTCATTTTGCCCCTGATGTGTGTATGTGAAGTCGTATGCTGTCGGCTGCTCCAGACCCGTCGAGGGTGAGAGAGGCTCAAGCTCAGCTCGAGACGCCATTATTCGATCTTGTTTCGTTGGGTATCTTCAAACAAAGCACGCTGTACAAGGAGGACTGCGATTCTCGGTAATCGACAAGAAACGAGAGGAGAGTAAGAGACCGCAGAAAGGACCGGAAGCAAGAGGAACAGAGAAACGGAATGAGAATGAAGGGACTGCGCCGCTGGGATATCCACGAGAAATCAAACAACCGAAGGAAACACAAAAGAAAAGAAAAGTTGATAAGAGATGGAATTCAAGGCTGCAGCCCGTCCGCGGGGGCATATCTTGTATATTAACTGCAGAAAGTGGTCCCATCTGGTGCAACCCATGAGACGAATCTGCAAGCCCATGAAGATAGCTTAATCCAACGACCAACAGCAAAGATACTCCCGTCTCTAACACGCACTCACCTCTCCCTCCGCATGAGGCTGTTATCACCACATCTCCCAAACCCGTTGGCTGCCAGCCCGGCTCGGCTCACCCTTGCTGCAGACGAGACGAAACCCGGCCAATCTCCACCTGCGACGGCAGCGTTAAGCGCCAGCATCTGCCTAGCATCTTGCCTCACGCAGCCAATGGACGCGGCTCTTGACGGGCAATAGCCGCACAGGCGGGCTGGCGGGCCCCGTGGATTTGTCCCAGAAGGGGCATCGCGAGGCTGTTTCGGCGTGTGAAGGCTGCTGCTGCTGTAGCATCGCGTAAGGCGCAGAGGTGAAAGGCGAGGCGAGCGACAAATATAGCATCGCGAGGGGAAGAGAAGCGAAGAAGACGAGGCTGTCCCATCACATCACATTTCATCCTGTGCCTGAGGCAACGAACCTGAGAATAAGCTTACCTGATGAGCAAATTGACAACGGGAAGGCAGGATCCAGATGAATCTTTTACTACTTGGGCAAGAGCGTGTACCCTGCCGAAACGGATAGATACCTATTTCCAATTTAGGAAGTGCGTCTGCCGCTATCACGGGCAACAGTCCTCTGGGTACCAAAGGTAGTATATTGTGTCTTTCAGTAATTCTAGTTGCTCTATTTAATTGAACATGATTCTTACAATATCGTAGTTTCTTGAGGTACGTTGGCCGTAGGAAGTGTATTCTCATGATCCTCAGAAGGCATGATCTGCAGCTCCGGCGTCCCATAAGCGCCCTGATCCCTGATCCCTGAAGAACCCCATAAAGAAAAACACTTAGATATACGAGCAATCAACGCTCAGCAATGATCGCATACCCATTGTGACAGTCCAAATCTTACCAACAACACCCTTCAAAGCGCTAATTTGACATTCCTTACATCAAGTCCACAAACCTCAACCATGTGCTCAAACTGCTCCCTCATCTCTTCATAATACTGAACAAGCTTGTCAATGCTGCTCTCGAGAAGACTCCTCTGATACTCGCCCTGCCCCAGCGCACTAACGTCAATCCCGAAGCTCTTCAAAATGGCATCCTGCTCGTCTGGCCGGAAGCTACCGAGTTCCATCCCCATGACATCTTGACAGATCACTGCCACGATGGCCTTTTGAGCTTCGTCAAAGGCACCCGCCATGTCCTTCAGATACTGCTTAACTAGACATGCAATGTCAGGAAGGGATTACTAGAGAGTATGAAGAACTTACATTTTTTGATCGCTTCCACCTCCTTGGAAACCCCCCTATACGCCACAGCAGCCGCCACAGCCCCTACGCATAGGAGCGCAGCAATCGTCCAGCCAAGAGGACTCGAGGCCAAAGTCCCGTAGAGGATCGCTCCACCGGTACCTACGCCTCCGACCCCGGACGCAGAACCCCCAATCGCAAGGTTTCTAGGCGAGAGCGTCCTGCCGTCGTATTGCAGAAGTTGCTCGTCGAGGTAAGGCCTCAAAAGGTCGCCCGCCCTGGAGAGCATGATGCCGCCTGTACGGAGGTTCAGGCCAGCCATGTAAAGTACTTGAGGAGTGACGGCTGATCGTAATCTCAGTTAGAACCCTAAAAGGTTTCCATAACAGGAGAGAGGAAGAATATCCGTACATATGCCCCTCTTTGGCTTCCGCTGGCTGCCCAAGTCTGTTTTCGCCAGGTTGACTAGTACACCCGACAGTTCGCTTTGGAACGCCCGAAACGGAGCGACAGCTGATGCCCATTCGACTGGTGCTGCCGACAGCTCAGCCGCTGTCTGGTTCAAGTTGGCCTCGTATAGAAATCTCAACTGCGTCTCGTCAGACCGCCTGCTTGCCGAAGGCTGGATGAGGGATAAGAACAATACGTTTTCAGCAATTGTTGCTAGGGGCTCGACATTCTCGAGGCCGGTAGTCCGCAGATTAAACACACTCTCAACATCTTGCGGATGCATAAATGAGAATTTGGGCTTCGTCTGTGTCTGGAAGAGCCGGAATACGGTGAAGACCTCGACAACCTGTGATAGCATTGGCAGGCCGTTATCGACTGTCGAAAGCCTAATCCATGTAAGCAGTGACATCTCAGATTGATGGCTGAGGGTACGAAGCCATACTGAGTCACAATGTCCTCTAGATCTGTCACTTCAGGGGGTGCTGATAGTTCATCGACACGAGTATTTAGCTTATTGATGACGAAAAGCTGGCAATATCTTGCTCTATAATCGGGCAACACATTACGAGCAACCAGGCTCATCGTATGGGGCTTTCTGCTGATGCTGAGGAAGAAGTTCAAGATGACCCCCGGGGCTATACGCCTGAAAAGGTCTCGAACATGGTTCTGAGCTCTGCCGTTGGGGTCGTAGTTGGTAATCTCTCTGTGTTCGAAATCGACCTTGGACAGTAGAAATCCAGTGTCAGACATACTGCTCTGTACGATGTATTCCAAGTGTTCTTGCCTGAATGGGGACAAAGTCGTCTCGATCAGCTTCGTCATGTGGCTCGACAACGTCAACCGTCCGCACACTCCAGTTGTCTGGTTCCGCTTCCTCAAACGCCACTGCCAAAAGCTCGTTCTTTTCCTGCGATCTTCCATGGCTGGAAAAGTACCATACTTCTAGCCGGACCAGAAGCTTAGGTGCTGCGCTGGAGATGTCGTCGTAGTTTGGGGGCGGTCCATCCATTCCAAGGAGCGGCGTGTAGATGCCTTGATGGCCAGATATTGGAAGACAGTGAGGGCCGGTGTGTAATTAGGAGCCTTGGTGTTGAGTAAAAGACTGAAGAGAGTCTATCCAAGATAGAACCCGAGCTCAAACGGAGACCCTATCCTACATCCTCCCTGTTCACTTGCAATGGCGTGACATCGATCCAGAGCACCATCAAGGCCTTACCACCGGCTGATGCAGAGCCCTACCTCGGCTACCCATATCCAATTCCATCAAGTCCACTCAACCAAACGTCACGTCACGGCAATGCGAGAACTGCTCTGATTGAGACCCAAGATATGCCTCCGAGGCGGGGTCTGCGCCCGCGGATTGGACCTGATGCATGGACGAACACGTAGCCCGGGATGACTGGCGAGGGCGCTTCTCTACGTGTGCTGCGGGGTTGTAGCCAAAGAGCTGGCGAGAACCATTTCCTAGAATGCAACGTCTTTTGGCGAACGTCTGCCGTGAGCTGGGCTGTACACACTTTACGCCGGCATGTCCAAGCCTGCATACATGTATATGCTCTGCATGTCGTCGGAATCATGCTGATGGGGCTTCCGCTTCCTCTCTTCTACACATGCGAGATGATTCTGCAACAACTCACGAGAAGAAGGTTACTCTTATATCGCTCTCGACAACATGCAAGTAGAGAGATCACAATCACCCTTCGAGACGACCAGCCTCATCCAATGCCCGAATCCATCTCCATACCACACCCCAGCCTCCAACACATACATGTTCGCACCCAACGACAATCATGACTTCAACGAAGCAGCAAACTGGATAGAACTCGAATCAAAGAAACGCTCCGTCCGATACCATCTATCAGAATGCATCAAATACCAAAGCTTCCACCACGACATGGCCTTTGCAACTCCAATATACGACAACAACGACACCATCATCAGCTACAACAATGAAGCCGTGTCTACAGACAAATGGCGAGTAAAAGTCGCCTCGGACATGGCCGTCTCAGGCTTGCTCGCCATGACGCACATCCTCGACCTGCTCTATGACAACGGCAAACGCGCCGCCGGCATCATCCGCGATCTCACCATGTGGTCTGTTTCCCCTTTTCACCATACCACTTTACATCTACACCACAGCTAACATCTTCATATCGAATCATCCAAGGTCCCTCCTCATGTCCGCCTCCTACGCCATCCGCACCCTCCACTACAGCGCCCCCCTCGACACCACCGCCCACGCAACCCTCCTCCTGTCAAGCTGCCTCACCCTCCGCTCGACCTGCCAGCTCTTCCACATCGGCATCCGCACCCTCGTTATATCACGCTGCCAAAACATCGTCACATCTATCCACGGCCGCGTTCTCGCCGGCGTAAAGATCGACCAGCACGACGTTGATTCGCTGCACCATTTCTGGTTCCGTGGACTGAGTCTGTTTAGGGCAGAGGAGGAGAAAATCAGCAGTACGCATGTAGGAAGAGAGGTTGAGGCGCCTCGGGGGTGGTTAATGGAGAGGAGCTTGCCTGCTTCGGGATACGTCATTCCCGAGGACGATTGATAGATGGGACTGACTGAGATGATGTGATGAGAGCGAGTCTGAGTCAGTGCCTCGTCTACCTAAGCACACCTCGACGTGGCAGCCCTCATTTCCACCCCTCAACTGAACCATCCACAGTCAAACGACTGATCCAAGTCATGAATAGCAGACCTGTGAAAAAGCAAGTCAAAGGCCATAAATACAAACAGCTACCTTGGCACTAGTGGCAGCGGCAGCCTCTGCCTCCCGAGCCGCCATCTGCTCATTGGCCCTCACACTCAAAAGGCGTCGTCCACAACAAGCCACATACACGCCACCAAAATACTTCACACATCACATACGAAACGTCAACTCGAGTTGGAGATTATTCTTTCCATTCATCCTCAACTACCCATGACAAGCCCATTTTATCCTTCTCATTACCAGTAACAGTCCAATGCAGAATAAGCTCTCATAGTGATACAACTGCAACCACAACGCTTCGCGCATCCGCAACCAGCCTCCCTCATCACACACAGCAGCAGTCATATTAGATAACTTCGTGCCAAACACGGTCTTTGCTAAACCATTGCCCACAAAGCAATGAGGCAACAGCCCGCTATAACTTCGTATGCTGGTTTCCTCTGCTGCTCTAATGCTCCGCCAAGCGCTGTACATCTTCAAAAATAGAGTGTAGAAGAAACAAGAGAAAAGAAAAAAAAAGGTGAAAACTCGAGAAAGGGGAAAAAGGAAGAGAGGAAAACAAGCAGAATGCTTATGACGAGCCTCCAGCGGCCGCCATAACGCCACCAACGCCCAAAGTGTCTTTTTGTGTAAACGTAGAAATCGACGCGTAAACGGAGACCGCCCTTGTCATCGACCGGTCTGCAATAACTTCAAGTCGTGCCATCATGGTGTGTGCGATATAACTCAGCAGCTCCTCTCATACTGCCGCCCCGATTCGTTATGCGAAACCCCGTCTAAATCTCAATGTCCTTCATAGTATCATCAATCACAACCTCGGGGGTCTTGCTGTTGACTTTGGGAGCCTCGACCTCCTTGCCCTTGTCCTTGGACAAGTCTGCCGATGTCCGCTCCACGGTCGTCACCGTCGGACGCTTGCCTTCCTCGCTGTTTCGCGGGGATTCGTCATCTTCCACGTCAACCAGGGTGCTGGGCTCGATGATGGCGTCGGTCAGCTCAATCGTTGCCTCTTCTGTTACGCGACTGAGAAGAGGGGCCTGGGGCTTGCCGTTCCTCATGGGACTGGTAAGGGGGGCGGAATCGCGGAGTCGCTGCATCGAGCGGCCGCGGATGTCGCCCGTCGAGTCTGAGGGGTTCGCATAGGGCGAGGCCGATCTGGAGCCCAGAGGGGAGTTGCTCTTGGAGGCGGCCTGCGAAGGCCCCTGGGACTGACGGCGAGCTGCCGCGACCCGGCGACCATGCTTCTGGTCCATTCTCCAACGGAGGATGTTGAAGTAAGAGGGCTCAACTCGCGCGTCTTTGAATTCTCGGAGTTTGAGCTCGTTAGTCTCCTCATCCACGAACCACTTGCCGCTGTTGAGATCGTCGGCGACCACGGCGAGGAATGCCGCCCACGAGCGAGCAACCACGTATTTGGTGTCGTAGTCGCGACCGAACAGGATAATCTGACCGTATTTACCCGCGGGTCCAGGGGCCAGGTCGACAGCCAGGTTGTTGCCACCCCAGTCGCGGACGAGCGGGATCCAGCCTGCGTGGGCATATGCCTTTTGGACGGTGTTGGGCGGAATGCAGGTCTGCTTGGCCAGGAGATTCTGCCTCCATTCACCAGGGCCGTTGGAGGACGAAGACGACGAAGGTCGCTGCTTGGAGGAGGACGCCTCGCTGCTCGATGGGGTCGGCGGCTTGTTGGCGGCGGCGTCAAGCATGAACTGCTGGTTCACCTGTCGCCACGTCTCCCACTCCTGGGGAATCTCTTCGCAGTCCATCAGCATCGAGCCGAAAATGATACCCGTCGGCATTCCACCTCGCTCCTGACCATCGTGAATCATGAGAGACTCGCGGACATCCTGAGGCAGCGAGCAGTCCAATTGATGTTCCAAATCGTTCAAATCGTTGACCGTGGCACCCTCGCACAGCTGATCAAAGAGCTCTGGGTAGTTCTCCTCGGCCCACGCGTCTATGCGCCTCCAGGAGTGTGCAACAGGGGGAGGCGGGGGGAGGCCGTTCTCGAATGACTGCATGGCTACGTCACCAGGCGACTGGACCTCAAAACCGTCCTTATTCACATTCTGAGATCGAAGGCCTGGCGAGTATCCTCGGGTTCCGTTGGTAGGGGAGCCTTGCGTGGAAGGCGCAGCAGAGTCGTCAAAGTACGGGCTATGGATGTCGGCTCGAGAGTCGGAGGCGGTCGCGATGCCCGTCATGATGTGACGGCCATTCTGCAGCGGAACATGGCGACCGGTGCGCTGGGGCGAGTCGTAGGAGGAATCTGAAGGACGGCGCAGTTAGCATGGGCGGGCGACGGCCGAGTCGACTCGTGCCGGAAGATGTAGGGTCCAAGACATACGCCGGTCATTACTGGTCATAGTATGCCAGAAGGTGCGAAAAGCATCTCCAATCCTGTCGGTCAAACATCCGTTAGCTCGCCGGTCATGGCAATTGCCGCATCGCGCTGGGAACGGAGGGAGTCGACTCACGCGTTGGCCATTGTGTATTCTGTCGTGGGCTGTCACCCAACCGGAGCTGCGACGGCGCAAGGAATTGAGGAGGCGTTGAAAGGGGGGAAATAGGGGGAAAGTAAGTTTGGCGCGTAATTTTCAGCAACAGTGCTGATTCAACCGCTTGTCCAGATTTGCGCAGCGGCGGTACGAACTGAAGTTGAGAGCGAGCAAGCAGCAACCAGGCCTGTGCTCATGCAAAGAAAGATTCTGCTCAGCTGGTCGAATGCACGTTGCGCCTCTGCGGAGACCGAGTCGCGGGATTATCAAGAAAACAGGCTGCCGTGAATGGGATCTCGATTCTCCAAACGCGAGGCACCAAAACAGAATGAATGGGCTGGAGAGATTCCGATGCTCCAAAAAAAGAAACGCGGTTTGGCTGTGGCGGACGGGAGGCGTCTTGCGTCTGTGTCGTCGTTGACAATGGACTTTGTTGACTGTTGACGCCACAGCTGTTGAGCTCTGGCTGTATGCAGGTCTGGCGGCGATGACTTTGCTCTGACGACAGCAGCGAATGCAATGCTGGTCACCCGACTGGATTTTGCAAGATCTTCGGTGGGTGGGCGCAGATCACACACACTTTCTTGCTGGCTGCGTAGGTATGCGCCTCTGGGCTGCTTCTGCTGCGGAGAAGCGGCGCGGTTTGCAGGGAGCCGAAGGGAGAGACGCTGCTGATGCTGCGCTGGGCTGGATGCGGTAACAAGGTTCAATGGTCGCAGAGAGGCCACTGGCGTCTGTCTGTCTGTCTGTCTGGTCTGCTGTCTGAGTTGGATGCGAAGGAGAGGAAAGATGGCAAAAGACACAAACGAAGGGAGCGCAAGAGACGAGGGCGGGCCAAGCACAGGTCAGGTCGAGCAGGAAGCGGCCAAAGGGGGGGAGAAAGGGGATCAACTTAAGAGCCTGTGCGGACGCCTGCTACATGTACTCGGCGCGGTGCAGCTGGCGAGGCACGAGTACCGCCCGTCCTGTCGCCAGTGGTCCTTGGTCCTGCTATACCGCTTGGGCCCAGCGCGCGTACCGGTACTTGCGCGGTCCAGGCCTGGCGCTGCAGCTGCTGGCTGTTGGCGACGGGGGAGGGGCTGCCCGGCTGCAGCGCGACGCTTTCTAGGGCGTTTGGGGCCTCTGGGGGCCTGCAACGGGGCGCCTACAGGGGGTCCCAGGGGATCCTCAGGCCGTACCTGTACCGGCGCTAGTACTGCTACCGCCCAGTGGTTCATTCCCGGCCGCGGACCGGCGCCACCACAGGGCCAGGCACAGGTACCGCTACCTACTTGAGCCCTCGCTGTGCTCCTCCGAGTCTGTGCCTGCCCAGTCTTGCCAGTGGAAGCCGCCCACCTCCCGCCTCAACCTTTTTCCCGGCCGGCTCCAAAGCGTTCCTTTCCATTGCCTTGGGACCCGCCTCAGGACAGGAACTTGAGCCCATTCCTGCTGGCGAGAGTCGGAACTCGTCCGCTCTCAGCTCTCCACCAACAGACCGGCCTGGCCTTATCTGGGTATCCTTCGGAGGAGAATTTCATGTGGGAAGCACAGCAGATGCAGACGCAGATGCAGATGCAGATGCAGATACAGGGCCTGCAGCGGCACAAGTAAGGCACGTACCACCTCCAGGATGCAAATGCCTGCTTCTCTGTGCCTGTCTCTGCACTGCAGTCAGATGCTTGGTGCATCTGCTTCCGGGGGCCTCGTCCTCTTGCTTGCCCTCCGACTGGCCCTCGCCTCTGCGAACTTGGACTCCAAAAAAGAGCCGAAGTCTCGCGGGGGGCCACCAATCCAAGCAGCAAATCCACCCAAGAAAGGGGATGAGCCAGGGGCCGCCATCCAAGCAGCTTGAGACTCCGACAGGGGCACCACGCCACCCGTCGAGATAATTGGTTACACTGGCCAAGGCAGAGCCACGGGTGGCTCCCCCAAGTACCGCACTAATGCAGGAGGCAAGTCATCGAACTTGGCTTTGGGCCTCTGCCAGAAGACACTTCGGGAAGCTCCATCGGCCTCGAGAAGCGCATAGTCAGGCCCGAGAAATTGCAGTGGAGGGCCAGTCAGTCGCCCTTTCGCCCACGAGTCCTGCAATTATCTACTGCCGGGCCCTTCAGAGAAGGGGGAGCTTCAAGCCTCGCCGGCATGGCCGTGCACGCACAGCATGGCACGGCATCTGTTCAGGTCGCCAGAACCTGTAACCGGCCTTGGGCAAAGGAGTTCAAACAGGAGGCGTCGATGCATTTGAGCTTACAACGCACTTGTACAGGGCCGGGCTCGAATCGTGCAGATTATCGTGCTACCGAGCATTGCAAGCTGCTGCCACATGCCACGGAAGGATCACGAGCAGCATTAGCATCAACGGTTCGCAACGCCACACGGCGCTATCGGGCGAATCTCTTGTGGCTTCATGCCGCATCTCTAGGCTGCTTGGCTGGCCTCACCCAGCGCAGACGGCAATTTTGGGGCACAGTGACATTTCAGGATCCGTTTCGCCAGTTCAATCCATGGTGCTGAGCAACGTACGTACAGGCACAACTTCTATTCTGACCTTCGGACCCCATTGGCCCATCAACTTTAGCCGGGTCGACTGGCCTGTCAAGCTGTGCTCTGAATCGCAGTTCCACATGCGCTAGAAGACGCCGTCTGGAGGTCAAGAGGGGCCTGGATGATACCGGCGGCGTCCCCTGAATCTTTCGGAATCAGAGCCTTGGCCCCGTTTTCCAGGCACATCCATGCGCTCTTACTGGGAGCATCAGCCGTCCTAGGGGTCCTAGACGTCCCACATGAAGAAGAGAAAAGAAGCAAAGAAGCTATGGAAAATGCCAGAATACTATGTAACAAGACCGAACGTCGGCGTATCTTATCTTGCTTGCGTCTTGCCACTCATAAAGTTACCCGATTTTGTTTAGCCGGCATTGACGTTATGTTGGCCGTTTCGTTAAGGACATCCCCAAATAGCATGTCGGTTCCCAGATTGCCATGCAAATGAGTCTTCTCTCCAAGACTCGGCTGCATGCTGCGCACGGAACATTTGCCTGTTTCAACGACTCTCGGCCAACAGCCGAGACAAAGTTAGAGGCTGTTGGTACTCCTACAAACAACACTTTGTTCCTGCCGCTGCGATGCAGGAATGTTTCGGATGCTCTGCTCTGTGCTTGTACTCCGTTCAATGCTCTCCCTGCACTCGAAGAGAAGCAAGCGGCACCCTGGAATCGTGATGGAAACATCTCGGCCTTCTGCCCGGTTGTCGCAATTCCACGTTTCATGTTTGTCAAACACGGAGAGTGCAATCACAAATGGTAATACTACTACTTTTCACTCGATGATTGGACTGGACACAGTAGACTTTGCCAAAAGCTAATTGGGCGACATATGGATGACTTGGGCTTCACGTTCATAGACGAGCGTTGCCATACCTCAGGTAGCTGACTAACCCAAGACATGCATGAAAGCGAGACCAGCCGCCCAGGCATATGCATGTCATCAATGCTCAGCACTTCTACCTCATGGAATGTCTCGTATCGCAACGTCCAAGCATATGGGTGGCGTCAAACTCGGCATTCAGATCGTTGAAACGACAGCAGTAAAAGTGCAGCAGTAGCCCGGCACTAGGACCAGGTGGAGACAGCCTCATCTGAAGGGCCACTTTACCCCAAGGCCTAGGAGCCTTACATAAGCCGGCATGTCTGCACGTGCCACCTTCCAAGCTGTTGCCCTGCTTGTTTCATCGAGGGCTCGTCCAGCCTAAATCCGTCAATATCATCGAAGAGACAAACTCATGAGCCTTGCCATTCGTCACCACCATCTGTGAGCACCGCTCGGTCTGCGACGACTGTTAAGGGCGAGAAGCCGACGATAGACATCAAGCGTTGCGCGCAATTGCCCGTCGGTTATGGCACGCTGATCCTGCCTCTGCCCTGCCGCTTGACCTCAGAAATCCTGCTGTTTTGTTGTTCCATGTCTGCGACGTCACCAGTTTGGCACGCTTTCAATTAGCAACGCCATCCACCACAGCCGCCACCAGCACCACCAGCAATGGCCTTCCTCGAGGACCCGCGGTTACGGCAGCGCTGGAACCAGATCACACACGATGCAGAGACGGTGACTGAGAACGCCGCCGCCGGCATCTGGACCTTCCAGCACCACTACATCAACCCTTGTCTGGGGTCGATACGCGGGGCCATTGAGCAGTGCACCACCGTGTGCCTGGGCGATCCCGAGGAGAGGCTTCGGCGGCAGCGAGAGCGTGCTCGCGAGAGGGCCGAATACAGCTTCAATTTCTACGATGACTGGGACCGCGAAGAGGAGAGCGGCGGCCTGTTGGGCAACTGGGGAGGCGAAGACTGGGATCGTCTCTTGGCCGGCTCGGGCAGCCAGAGGAGGGCCGAGACGGTTGAGCAGCCCCGGCGCAAGAGGGGCATGAGCTACGGCACGCGGGGAGTCAGGAGGAAAAACAGCGAGCAGGATCCCACCATCATTCCCAGCACCCAGCCGATTGGCTTCTTGAGCAAGCTTCCGTGGAAAATGGGTGGCACCTTGCGATACAAACCTAGTGCGGCTGATCTGCAGGAGCACCCCGGCGCCAGGAAGCATGAATACACCGAGTCACAACCGCTGCTGGGAGCCGAGGACGATTCGGACCATGACGGGCTGTTACAGCCGACCCAGTCAAGGAAGCGGAGCGGCACGACGGGGTCGGGCGGGACGTCGGATTCCTACCGCTCCCGTGGTGACTTGTTTCCGAGCGATGGAGAAGGAGAAGAAGACGCAGTGGCACTTGATGGGGAGGTGACCTACGACATGATTAGGAAAGACGACAGAAGCAGCGCCAGAGGCGGGACAACGCCGAGCAGCAAGGGAAAGCGACCGGCGCATACCGTCTCGAGGACGGTGTCGAGGACGACACTCGGCTCAGTTGCGTCTGGAGACTCGCTAGGTCTTGCGATTTTCGGCGCCGTGCCTCATGATCCTACTCACGATGCCCAACTCTTACCGTCCTTGAGAGACCTGGAGATGGAAGAGGAGCGTCTGGGAAGGGAAGAAGATGAAGAATTGGCAAAGAAGAAGGAGGCAGCAGCTCAATTGGCGGTGGAGCGAGGTCTGCAGACGGAAACAGAGCCGAAGCCGGCAGACGCGGCAGATGAAGAGTATCGGGCAGAAGAGCCGCACGAGATTCACCTGGATAACAGTGAGGACGATGATGATGGTGACGACGAGCATCGCGATTCCGGGTTATCCGGAGGTGACCTAGAGACGCGGGTGAAGGATGAGGGATCGCCTGCTGCTCAAAGCGTCTTTGTACCCGCGCGCCTCCCACATTTTGGATAACTACTGTCATGATTCTGGCACGGCCGCTGGATGGTCAAGGTATACTTGGCCTTGGCGTCATTTGCTTTACTGACGGGATCTAGACGCACACTGCTTACTGTTACTATGATGGGTTTGGGAGTATGAATTTTAGGCGTCTGGGAGAGGGTGGTTACGACGTGAAGCAGACAGATGCTTGGAGCGTCGACCACATGATGAATGACGAGAGATGAATACAATTTTTTTGGACCACATGATGAGAAGCCAATTCATCAATCTTGGGTGATTCCTCGAGAGCCATGCCAATAATGCCCAATGCAGTAATATCTGTCGAACACAGACAACTCGCACTTGATACCTCGGTATGATGGGCCACTTCCCCGCAAAATGCCTCCAGGGCCCCCCGCGGGATCGTCTGCCGCAGCGATAGCCGTCTCGGGGACCTTGCACGTCTTCGGCCAGCGAATACCCGATCTCTCATATATACGACTCCGGTTCATTCAAGTCTTTACCCATTTCTCACCTGTTGTCGTCTTCTTTTTGCGTTTCTTTAGCGATTGCCAATCCCACTTCATCATAATTGAGTACCAGCGATTGGTTACGGCGGTCGGACATTGTGTCGATGCTTCGGCACTCTCTAATCAATCAATCAAACCAGCAGTGTTCCATCATACCTAGCAAGCATCATTCTTCAGGTTCGCTTCACAAACTCACCACCATGGCACCAACCGGCCCCATCACCACGCCCATCACGACCCTCCTCGGCATCCAGCACCCCATCCTCCTCGCCGGCATGGCACGCACGTCCGGGGGCCGCCTCGCCGCCGCCGTCTCCAACGCAGGCGGCCTGGGCGTCATTGGCGGCTTCCAGTACACGCCCGACCAGCTGCGCGACATCATTGCCGAGATGAAGGCGAACCTGCGGAGCCCCGACCTGCCGTTCGGCGTGGACCTGGCGCTGCCGCAGGTGGGGGGCAACGCGCGCAAGACGAACCACGACTACACGGGCGGGAAGCTGGACGAGCTGATTGACATCACCATCGAGAGCGGCGCGAGGCTGTTTGTCAGCGCGGTGGGCGTGCCGCCAAAGTACATCATCGAGAAGCTTCACGGCAAGGGCATCCTGGTCATGAACATGGTGGGACACCCGAAACACGCGGTCAAGGCGCTGGATCTGGGCGTGGACATTGTGTGCGCGCAGGGCGGCGAGGGCGGCGGTCACACGGGCGACATTGCTAACTCGGTGCTGATACCGGCGGTGGTGGACGTGGCGAGGAGGTACAAGCCTCCGATGCTCAAGGGGTCGCCGGCTCTCGTCATCGCTGCGGGCGGGATTCGCAACGGACGCAGCTTGGCCAGCTCGCTGATGCAGGGCGCGGTGGGCGTCTGGGTGGGCACGCGGTTCGTCGCCTCGGTGGAGGCGGGATGCAGCGAGGAGGCCAAGCAGGCGGTCGTGAGCTGCGGCTTCGAGGGCACGGAGCGGACGCTGGTGATTTCGGGGCGTCCGCTGCGGATGAGGACGAACGAGTATATCCAGAGCTGGCACGATCGGCCGGGCGAGATCAAGGCGCTGTGCGAGAAGGCGATCGTGCCGATGGAGCATGATCTGGACGAGGGCAGAGATGTTGATATGCCGCACTTGATGGGGCAGGTTGCGGGCGCGATTGACAAGATCCAGCCCGCGGGAGAGATTGTTGCTGAGATGGTGGAGGAGGCGGTTGAGATGCTCAAGCTGGGGGGGACGTATCTGACGGCCAAGAGCAAGTTGTGAAGAGTAAATTCATGATGGCTGTGAATGGTGCTTGATAATATGAACCAAACGAGAAGAGATCGTCTGCTCACGCACTATTTTCTGTCTGACGAGATCATCAAGATGAAGAAGAGTTCATGTGTATGGGTTCAAGCCTCCAACTTTTGATGAGCGTTGTGTGTAAGAGGTACAAAGTACATGCAACTTGCATTGCAACTGTGGCTAGTGCAACCAGCCCCATCGGCAACTGTGGCGCACCCCACCCGATTTTTCGCAAATCGCAGGCTAAGCAACTTTTTCCAGCAACTTTTTTTTCCTTATCGGATCCCGATTGCTGGCGAAATATTTCTGCTGCTTGAAATCTGCATTACTACCATTGAAACTGCCCGCCCATCGCCATCGTCCTCGAAACCAGCAGCATAACCTCGTCTCAACCATGGACGCCGCCACATTGAACAACAAGCGCAAGCGGAAGCAGGGCGACGCCGCTGCCGACGGAACCAAGAAGTCAAAAAAGCTCAAGAACCCTCCCCCGGCAGAGGTCGAGCGGGAGGAGGAGGAGGATGATGAAGTAGAGGAGGAGGAAGAAGACGCAGAGGTCGAAGCCGAAGCAGCAAACGAGGGCAGCGACGACAACGACAACGACAACGACAACGAGGATGGACAATCAGAGGGCGGCTCGGACCTCGAGGACCAGGCCGCGGCCAGAAACGCCGATGGAGATGTCATACCCACCCAGTCTGCGCCCATAGTATCGACGATGGCAGACTCGCAGAAGTTTGAGGACCTCAAGCTGTCTGAGAAGACGATGAAGGCGATTCAGGAGATGGGCTTCACCAAGATGACCAACATTCAGCGCAGTGTTTGTCCACCTACTCGATCTCGCACACTCCAATGGCACATGGTTTATACTGACTTTGCTTCCCACAACAGGCCATCCCCCCTCTCCTTGCCGGCAAGGACGTCCTCGGTGCAGCCAAGACAGGTTCCGGAAAGACGCTCGCCTTTCTGATCCCCGCGATCGAGATCCTCAGCTCCCTGCGGTTCAAGCCGCGAAACGGCACCGGCGTCATTGTCGTGTCCCCGACTCGAGAACTCGCACTCCAGATCTTTGGCGTCGCGCGCGAGCTGATGAAGTACCACTCACAGACGTATGGCATCGTCATTGGCGGAGCGAACCGGAGGGCAGAGGTTGAGAAGCTGACCAAGGGTGTCAACCTGCTGATTGCGACGCCCGGTCGACTGCTGGATCACCTGTTGAACACCCAGTTCGTTTTCAAGAACCTCAAGTCGCTGATCATCGACGAGGCGGACCGTATCCTGGAGGTTGGTTTCGAGGATGAAATGAGGCAGATTGTCAAGGTCTTGTCAAACGAGGACCGGCAGACTATGCTCTTTTCCGCGACACAAACAACCAAAGTTGGTGAGTAGCACTCTCTTCATCTAGTCGAGTCCGATGTCACAAGGCGCATGTTGCTAATATGACGTTGCAGAGGATCTGGCCCGAATCTCCCTGCGACCCGGACCGCTCTACATCAACGTCGACCAAGAACAGCAGCACAGCACCGTCGACGGCCTGGAGCAGGGCTACGTCCTGTGCGAGGGCGACGAGCGCTTCCTCCTGCTCTTCTCCTTCCTGCGGAAAATGCAGGCCAAGAAGAAGAAGGTCATTGTCTTCTTCAGCAGCTGCAACAGCGTCAAGTACTACGCCGAGCTGCTCAACTACATTGACTGCCCGGTCCTGGACCTGCACGGCAAGCAGAAGCAGCAGAAGCGGACCAACACGTTCTTCGAGTTCAGCAATGCGCCGCACGGCATTCTGATCTGTACCGACGTTGCCGCTCGTGGTTTGGATGTGAGTATTGACATGTTCTTGGTATCTTAAAAGAGGCCCGTTGTCGCTGACACAGAGTAGATTCCCGCCGTCGACTTCATTGTCCAGTTTGACCCTCCGGACAACACCCGCGACTACATTCACCGCGTGGGCCGAACTGCCCGAGGTGCCAATGGCAAGGGACGAAGTCTGCTCTTCCTTCAGGTACGTTTCTCATCCACAACGTGCTTCATTGGATTTTCTCTCTTCTAACGCATGTGATGATAGCCCAACGAAGTCGGCTTCCTGTCCTACCTCAAGGCCGCCCGCGTCCCCGTCGTCGAGTTCGAGTTCCCCCGCAAGAAGATCATCAACGTCCAGTCGCAGCTGGAGAAGCTCATCGGCAAGAACTACTACCTGCAGCAGAGCGCCAAGGAGGCCTTCAAGTCGTATCTGCACGCCTACGCCAGCCACAGCCTGCGCTCCGTCTACGACGTGCAGAAGCTGGACCTGGCCAAGATTGCAAAGAGCTTCGGCTTCCCGACGCCGCCGCGGGTGGACATTACGCTCGGCGCGAGCATGGGACGGGACAAGGTGCAGGGGAGGAGGGCGTACGGCAGCCAGCCGAAGCAGGTGGGCAAGTACAAGAGGGATAAGAGGAATTAGAGTGTAATGTACATACATGTTTGAGAACGGGTGGTTTTTGTTCTGCGAAAATAATATGGCGCAAGGTATTTGTTCGCTTTTTTAGCATATAAGTCATGGTCTGATCGGCTCATCATATTAGTGCGTGATGGTGTTCGTTGTGTGATGCTCTTGTGGACGTTGCATACTCCATGACTTACACCCGTGGCTTCTGTTTCCCAACGAGATTGAAAATGCATCCAGAGACAACTGACATCTCCAATGGTCGCCATTCTTCCGAACGAGCTTTTTGATCGTCATCTTGCTCTGCATGATCCATGCATGTGGCTGTGTCACAATACGTAAGCAGGCGTAATTTCCAACACGACGCCAAATCTCATCTTCAATCATCTCCCCTCAACTAACACTCACTCAACGTCTCAATTACCATCTCGTATAGACTTCATTTTCATCCTCAGCGACTCCAATTCTCACTAATGCCATAGACCACTATAAAAAAAGCATAAACCCCCAAAGCCATGGAAGCATCCCCAGCCATGGAGGCCCACGACAAGGCCGTCTCCGCCATCTCCTCCCGCGTCAAGCACTTCCACCACCTGCAGAAGCCCTTCCGCATCTACCACGGCGCCACAAACAGCACGCGCCGCTCCCACCGCAGCGCGGACAACACCATCGACACCAGCCAGCTGAGCCACGTCCTCTCCGTCGACCCGGCCGCCAAGACGGCCGTCGTCGAGCCCAACGTGCCCATGGACGTCCTCGTCCGCGAGACGCTGCTGCCCCACGGCCTCGTCCCGCCGGTGGTCATGGAGCTCCCCGGCATCACCGTCGGCGGCGGCTTCTCGGGCACCTCGGGCGAGAGCAGCTCGTTCCGCCACGGCGCCTTCGACGCCAACATCAACTGGATCGAGATTGTGCTGCCCGACGGCGCGGTGGCGCGCGCGTCCAAGGCGGAGCGGCCGGACCTCTTCTGGGGCGCGGCGTCGGCGTTTGGCACGCTGGGCGTGGTGACGCTGCTCGAGGTGCAGCTCAAGGAGGCCAAGGAGTACGTGAGGCTCGAGTATTCGCTCGCGAGGGGCGCGCAGGACATGCTGGACAAGATCCGGGAGGCGTGCGCGGTGGAGGACAACGACTATGTGGACGCCATCGTGTTTGCGATGGACACGGCGGTTGTTTGTACGGGGCAGCTGGCGGATCAGGTGCCGCAGGGGACGAAGCCGGTGGGCTTCCTCAGCCGGAGCGACCCCTGGTTCTACACCCGGGCAAGGGACGTCGTGAAGCAGCTCAAGAGGACGGCGGCAAAGGGAGGAGGAGGAGACGAGAGCAAGTCAGCGATTGTGACGGACTTTGTCCCGCTGCAGGACTACCTCTTCCGCTATGACCGCGGCGGCTTCTGGACCGCCGTGTACGCCTACCGATACTTCCTCACGCCGTTTAACCGCATCACGAGATACATCCTCGACCCCTTCATGCACGCCCGCGTCATGTACCGCGCCGTGCACAAGAGCGGCCTCGCGGACTACTACATGGTGCAGGACGTCGGCGTGCCGTACGACAGGGTCGTCGAGTTCCAGGCCTGGCTGGACAAGGAGCTGCACATCTACCCGCTCTGGATCTGCCCGCTGCGCATCCGCCGCGACGACCCCGACTCGGGCCACGGGCTGCACTCGGAGTTTGCGCGGCCGGACGCGCCCGACCTGATGAACTTTGGGGTCTGGGGCGGCGTCAAGGGCAGTCGAAGGGAGGTCGTTGAGAAGAACCGCGCGCTGGAGCGCAAGGTGCAAGAGTTGGGGGGCAAGAAGTGGCTGTACGCGCACGCGTACTACACGGAGGACGAGTTCTGGTCGCACTACGACAGGAGCTCGTACGATGCGCTGAGGAAAAAGTACGGGGCCGAGTACCTGCCGAGCGTGTACGACAAGGTCAAGGTGGACGTGGAGGGCGAGGAGAGGGCGCGGAACGCGACGTGGAGGACGAGGTGCAGGGCGCGGCTCGGGGATCTCTGGCCGTTGGCGGGACTGAGGGGGTTTTATAGCGCGGTGAAGGGGGGCGATTATCTGTTGCAGAAGAAGAGGAGAGGGGGCGAGGAGGTTGTGAGGGATGAGGTGGAGGTCGGGAAGAGGGAGTGATTGGGGATGTGTTGAGTTGTTATGATACCCGAGTGGAGGAGGAGGAGGATGAGAGCTTCGAACTGGGAGATGCGGCTTACTGGGTACTTGCATAGCATGGGTTGCTCTGATATAGATGGATTGAGTGTTAAAAGGTATTTATTTTCGTGAATTCGTCGAATGATGCGATAGTCCATATACAGTTTGATGCTCTCCGTCCTCCATAATAATCGTACAACCAAAGGAATGATTTCCCTTTCTCTTCATTTGTTTTCCCCTTCAACAGGTTCCAATGCTTTTCCGGATCCTGCTCACTTGGCCAGCCCCGGACAGAGCAGACACTCCTCCCGCTCAGTCATGTCGAAAGCCGCCCATCTCCGTCTTGTTCCTGCCGCTCATCTCGCCGAGCGTCTTGTCGCGCTGCTGCCGCGCCTCGTCGGGGTTCTTGTAGATCCAGTTGTAGCCGACGAGCACGGCCAGGGCGGCGCCGCCAATGACCATCCTTTTTGAAACGTCCATGTTAGCCCAACCTTATTCTATTATCTACATATCCGACCAGAAAAAGTTTGTTGAAGTAATTTAGAGCATGATAGGGAGATGGATCACAAAGACGCACCAGTTTCGGCGGAGAGCTTCGGGCCCGCCTGGGTTCGGCGGAACGGGCTGCTGGCCTCCCGGGCCGCCAATGTCCTCCTTGCCGCTGAAGGCGGAGCCAGCGCGGACCGGGGCGGTGGTGGTCAAGGGGCGGGAGGAGGCGAGGAGGAAGCCTGGGCGGACGGTGCTGCGAAGGGCGGTGATGGATCTGAGGGCGGACATTTTGTGTTGTATTATTCCAGTTGAATGAGCTGAATAAATTGAATTGGATTAGGTATTGGAGAAAGAGATTGGTTTGTCGTAGATTGAGTGTTTTGGGCCCTTTTTATTGTTGAATTGTAGACTAGGTGCTCATACCTAGGTAGTATTAGCTGAGCTGTGAGTTGCCGTGTCGATGACTTCAGGCGGGTGGCGGATATGATGTGGGCATGACGTGCGGGCTGGGGTAAGGGCAAGGAGGGACGGTGGCAGTGGGTGGCCCGCATTCTTTTCGGGTGAGTAAAGGGTGAGATGGGAGAACTCAGATCGGAAGGCAAGCGACTGAGCAGATCGAGGGGGGGAATACTGGGGGATTCTCTCGATGGAAGGGGTGATTGTGGCGGATGCTGTTGACGATGCTATCCGGCTCTGTAGGAGGAAGAACTTGTGCACCACGCGAGGCGTTTCCAAGTTTGACATGCATTAACGGAGAGTCCCCAACACACGCAAGTGTTGACAAACTTTTCGATCAATTCGATTAGATCAAAGATGTATTGACCTTTTTTCATATAGTCATGCTCTCTAAATGTTGTTATATTTAGGAGTTCGGCACGCTGGAATCTGACCGCTGTGAACAAGCTCAGCTTCCAAGTCTAGCTAGCCATTGGATGTCATCGACGCCGATAGTCAAATTACAGCGACAATTCATGTCTAGATATTCATACTCCATCGTACTCGGCTCAATGAATTCGCATTGCCAATTCAGATATGGCTTTGAAACTACAGACCAAGAAAGACCGACGACGTGCAACTGGAGCGGATAGGAGCACCTCCAGGCTTATCATCAAGAGGTGTAACAACACAATGTCACAAGCGCCGCGGGCACGATTCATCCAGTTGCCTCATCTCCTAAATTCCTCCTGGCGAATTCGTCTTCATGTCCGTATTCTCCTCCTGTCCTTTGCAGTTGTCAAGGACCAAGTTCTGTCAACACCGTCAGCTCAACTTGGCAGAAGGATCACCAACATAACCTAGCGCATCCTTCGGACAGGCAAACGCTCAGCTCTTCCTCCTCCAACTAACGCCTCCATTGGGCAAAACCAAGCGCTAAACGATGACTATCATGCATCGTCAAAGGGCCAGCCCCAAATGCCATGCGGCTTCTACATCTATATAACAACCCTGTTTACTCCTCGCTCTCGAGGAAGCTTCCTTTACAGCCCCCTCAAAGACCAACACATTTGCATCGTTCACTTGATACATGCAAGACCAACACAAGATGGGCCAACAAGCATCCGCCCCGCGCCAAGGCACCAAGCTCCGCGTCATCGGCGCCGGCCTGCCCCGGACCGGCACCGCCTCCTTCAGCCGCGCCCTCGAGACGCTGCTCGACGGGCCCGTCTACCACGGCGGCACGCAGGTCACCCTCGGGCCCGAATCCGACGTCAAGACCTGGCTCGAGCTGTTCTCCCAGTGGCCGGCCGAGGACGAAGACACCAAGCAACGAAACTTGGAGCTCCTTGGACGACAGACGGAGGGGTTCGTTGCCGTGACGGATAACCCTTGTCTTTTGCTGGTTCCGGAGCTGATGGAGCTGTATCCGGACGCGTTGGTCATCTGCACGACACGAGATGTCGATGCATGGGAGAAGAGCATGCAGGCCGTGTCCGACGCCGCGACAATGTGGTTCCTTCGCTTCGTCCTGTTTCCCCTCCCAACGATGCGCTTCTTCCCCCGGTTCATCGACTCCATGCGCCGCGTCTGGCTGCATCAATACGGAGAGACGGAGCCCCCGACCAGGACGACGTACAAGCGGCACATGGAATGGCTCAAGGACGTCGTTCCGCCCGAGAGGCTGGCGTTTGTGGATGTCAAGGATGGGTGGGAGCCGCTGTGCAGGGCGTTGGGTGTGGACGCTCCGAGGGATGTGCCATTTCCGAATGTGAATGATGGCAGGGCGATTGAGGAGTTGGCGAGAAAGCAGGTGAGGAGAGGGTTGCTGAGATGGGGGTTGCTGGTTGCGGGGGTGGGTGTTATTTTGGGCTTGAGGAACTGGATGCGGTGATGCTTTGAACATATGTATCATTAGGTCCCAGAAGAGTATATACCCAGACACGTGGTGTTTCTGTTGTGCTCTGTTGTGCTCTGTTGTAGTTTTGTTGAAATCATCATGTCTGGTGTGTAGGGTACTGCACTTACACGGCCACTCATCAGAATAGGTGTATCAGACTCCCATCGCCAAGCAACCTCAACGGGTCACCTTGACTACCAAACCGGGCAATCGGCATCAACATTCACCTTCTTTCACCGATCCAACCATTGAGGAATCTCATCTCGGCCCATCGTCTTTATTGCCGAACAGTCCAATCTTATCAACCCGCTACAGCCAATAGTCACCAGATCGCAGCGCCCATAAAACCCGTCGGCTATTTACATGTAGCAGCCCCAGACCAACGTCCGTCGGAAGCTTCTCAATACCAATCGGACGCTGCCAAACACGCCTCGCTTGCCAGAACTCATGATAGGAAATCCACGGTGAAATGCGCATCTCTTGCTTCGGACTATTACCCGCCACGCATTTCTCTCCCCCGGGACCTGCAAGATGGAACTGCTTTTCGGAGATTTCCACCTAATCTCATGCTCCCCTGGCGGAGAATCCTAGCCTCTCCAGCTGTCTTATCTCGACGTTTATATATCGCCATCAGCCGCAAGCCAGAGTTGGTAAAACTCATAGCTCCCATCATCCCTTTCTCGACCATCTCCTTTCACTCAGCCGGTGCTCGCCAGTCACTTGTCCAATCCAATGGGTCAATCCAAGTCTACCCCTCGCTCGTCATCACAGCACTCGGGCTCTCGTAACGGCTTCCTCAAACCCTCCCAGAAGCCCCAAATGGTTCAGAAACAAGCGCCCCAGGCCGTAGCGGCGCCGTTGTCATCGCCCGAACCTGTCCCCGGCGGTCCGTTGCCGCTGAGCGGGAAAGTATTTGCCATCACTGGCGGCGCGAGCGGGATCGGCCTGGCGACGGCCCAGGTGCTGTCAAGACGAGGAGCGACTGTCTGCATCGCCGACGTGGACCACGAAGCGATGAAGGCCGCCGAAGACTACTTCAGCTCTCGCGAGGTGCCTTATATGGTCACCAAGGTGGACGTCTCCAAGCGGAAGGAGGTTGATGCCTGGATCGAGTCGATTGTCAAGGAGCATGGCCGGCTGGACGGCGCTGCCAACGTGGCGGGAGTGATTGGAAAGTTCCACGGCGTGTCTCCCGTCTCGGAGCTCGATGACGATGAGTGGGATAGAATCATCGGCGTCAACCTTACTGGAACCATGTACTGCATGCGGGCGGAGCTGAGAAATGTCGTCGACCGCGGGTCCATTGTCAATGTCTCTTCCATCCACGGCCTCAAGGGTAAATTACCGTGGTCCTTCCCATATCAGAGACGTCGTCCGCGACATTGCTAATTCCTGTGTCATAGGCTTTGCAAGACATGGCGCATACGACGCGAGCAAACACGGCATCGTCGGCCTGACACGAGCCGCCGCCCTCGAGAACGGCGAGCGCGAGATCCGAGTCAACAGCGTGGCCCCCGGCGCCATCTACACGCCGCTGATGCAGAAGAACTGGGACTTTTCAGGCCGGCCAAAGGACGCCGCGTTTGACGATCCGACGGCGTTCCAGCGGCAGGGCACGGCGGAGGAGACGGCCAACGTGATTGCGTTTCTGCTGGGGCCGGAGAGCACGTTTGTGAGCGGGAGCGTGTATCGGGTGGACGGCGCTTGGATTTGAGTTGATGCTGATGCTCCGTTTTTTTTTGGGGGGGGGGGGGAGAGTGTCGATGGCTTGCATTGTTGCGGCGTTATTTCTTTTACCGTGGATTGAGAGGCACTTTGTTGTTTGTTTGTTTGTTCGTGTTGAAAGTTGTGTTCCGCCTTCTGTATGGAGCGTGGGAGTTGTTTTACACCAGCTACATGTATATAGGCATGTCACCAACCTGTTGGACGACCTCCAACTCGCCTCGACACCAATGGTTCTGGAAGCATTTGTTTTCCTCAATTGGGCTAGAAGCTATCACTCCTCAACAATTTCTTCTACTACCACCTCGTATTTGGCGATGCACCTCGGCCTAATTTCTGCTTCCCGGGCAGGCCATCTCGGTGCTTCTCATCGTTGGGTAGCCATTGAGAGGTGGCGGCAGTTGGAAGGCCAACGGCTGACTCCGCCAGGGGCCCATGTCATGTCGCCGTGTGCCGCCACTCTGCATGCGCATTATTACTCGTACTACTAGCACTTGTAGTAGTTCCTGTCTTGCCCGTCCATGTTCTTGCAATGCTTCTCCGCATGTGTGAACGGTGTCCGCCATGTGAAGCCACGATGGAGGCGCTGGTTGGCCAATTCTGCCGACGGAAAACAAGCACCGCCCGCGTCTGATTGGTCGAAATCAAGGAACAACGAGCGGCCGTGCGCAGTCGCATCGCGCCTCTCCACCTCTCCAGTCCCCCACTCTCCACTCTCCTCTCCACAACCCACAAACCCCAGCATTTCTCCCAAAAACCTGGGGAATCGCGCCTTTTTTGCTGCTTTTGTCCAAGCAGGATGACGGGTGGCTGCCGGCACGAGGCAAAAGAACGGGCCCTGCTTTCACCATTTACCGGCCGCCCTGACACCTGAAGAGCCACCGACTGACAGCCAGAGTGACCGCCAAGAGCGACAGACAAGCAGAGTCTGCCCGAATCCAGACAAGGGCAGATGGCTAAACTCAAGGCTGCAAACCTCATGCCATGACACCTTTTTCTCTCGCCGCGTCTCCCCGCATTTTCGACAAGCCAGGCAAAGGGAGGGCTCAGGGACGAAAGTACTAAATGAGATACCACCAGCCGGCAAATCTGGTCTTTGGTCCTTTGCCCTGTCCCAGCTGGTTTTGCCATAAAAGGGCCACCAGCTGTGTCTCCTGTCCCGGTTGAGCCCCAGCGGTATCCGCATAGTGCATACCACTCGCCAATCCGTCGGGTCTCATCCTCAGCTTCACCCCCTGAATACGGGACACTCTCTCACTTCTCTTCCCATTGACTCGTGGCCCGGATATTTCACCCAGCCCCGTTCTCCATTCTTTTCTCCTTATGGGCAGATAGCGAGTCAATAGTGTGGATATCCGGATCCAGCCCTGCGACGACGCCAGAGATAACGCACGCAAAACGGAACATGGCAGCCGAAGCCGACGGTCAAGAGCGGCATCGCCGCGGTTCTCTTGTCGCGTCAGTGACGCAGCGCAGTGAGACGCCCGACACGGAGCACGCCCGGCCGAGGAAGCGGACCCGGAGGGCTTGCGACAAGTGCAGCGCCTCGAGGACGCGGTGCGATGGCGAGTGGTGAGTTGTGCCGGTCCACGGGTTCTGCAGATGAAGTCATGATGTCTAACTGAGACATGTGCGCGCGTCAGTCCTTGCCGTCGGTGTGAAGGTAAGCAGCAGCTCTTGTCTCTTCCATTGTTCGCTTCCTCTCCTGTCTCATATCCTCATATCATTCCCATCATACTACTTTCTCTAACGTGCTGCCTCCGCCGCTCAAGACTACGGATACACCTGTCGTTACAACCGCGAGGTCAAGAAGAGAGGCCGCCTACCAGCCTCGGCCACGGGCAACAACCACAGCAACATCAGTGCGCGCAGAGACTCCTGGCCCTTGTCAAGTCGCCGAGGCAGCATCCGGAACGACCCCCACCTGGACCGCAATGCCAATGGCAACAGCAACTCCAACAGCAGCAACGGCCACGCCATGGGCAACGGCAGTGTCATCTCGCAGGCTTCGCCCTCTCCGTCAGCCACTTCACCCAGCATCAGCTCCAGTACGGTTGCACAACATCCCTTTGCCGGCCCAGCGGATGCAACATCGGCCCGTCCCGAAGGTGTACCCTTGGATCCGAGGGATCGGGTCACCATGTCCGACGCTCGCCAAGACGTGCTGCATTCCATCAGTGCGCCCTTTCCTCAGAGCCGACCCGCTCCTCCGCTCAGCGTCCCGTCTCTCACCCAGGTTGGACTCCAGCCGCCTCCTGCTCAGCGTGCTTCCATAAGCAACCCCCTGTCGGTGAATGTGTTTGACGGGCAGTACGGTGACTCCGAAGTCATCCTGTCCGATGAGAGTGCTGGCTACCCGTCACCGGTCAACACCCGGCCCCATGCCGAGGTGAACCGCCAGCACAGGGCATCTTTCAAGTCGACGCACAGCCATGAGCGGAACAGAGAGTCGTTCAGCACAGCAGCAACAGCCAGCCATGATGCCGGGGGCCTGATGTCGGATTTCTTCCACAAGGCTCCCAACGAGGACTGCTGGTACAAGTTTCTGGAGCCCATCTTGCCATACATCCGCAACATCATCCCCGCCTCTGTCGCCTGCGATTTGCTCGACATTTTCCTGACGGACCCGGGGAGCTCGCTGTTTCGCGTTGCGTCTCCGTATATCTTGACCAGAGTCTTTCGTAAAAAGTCTATCGTGCACCCGACGAACCCCAGATACACCACCCCGGCTCTGCTGGCGACCATACTCTGGTGTGTAGCACAGACTGCTGATGTCATGATGCTGCACGTCCCTGGCTCCAGGGCCAAGGTTGTCAACGACTTGTACGACCTGGCAGTGTCTCTGATATCCGAGCGTGACCCAGACCGGTGGCGACGAATCCACGGTAGGCAGCTGCTTTCCTTTAAGTGATGATATGACTTTGATACTGACAGATATCAGGCGGCTTGCGAGCAGAAAATGAGACGCCTCATCCTCGGCTTCCCAACGCGCCAACGGTGCCGAAGACGACTGTCAACAACGAGCCGGCGGGCGAAATCGACGATGTCCTCACCTTCATCCTTCTCTCTATTGCCGTCTCGGGCTCCGACTTCAAGTCCGACTGCTACAAGTGGTGGTCCAAGGCAACGCGGCTGGCCTTCTCGCTAGGCCTCAACCGGGAGGATGAACAGTGCGCCGGGCCCGTAACGCCGTGCGCAAACCCTCTCTGCTCATGTCGAAAAGAGCAAGATGGTAGTCTGTATAATCTCGAGCTGCGAGAAGAGCGCCGAAGAGTCTTTTGGCTTCTCTATGCCCTGGACCGGCACCTGGCCTTGTCTTTCAACTCTGCTCTCACAATTCCTGACTCGTACTGCGAAGTTTACTGTAAGTTTCCAAACATTGCTCTAACCTGTTCATTTGATTACTCCCTTCTAACTGACTTCAGCCCCCCTCCCCGAAGCCATCTGGGAAAACCTCGACACGATCCCACCCAGCGAGATTCCTGCCCGAACAATCGGACCGCCGACGACTGCCTCTGGGTCTGCATTTTTTGAGTACTTTCTACCCCTCATGGCGATACTGGGCGACATCATAGAAGTTCATCATCGGCGCCGTCATCCGAGACTCGGAGGCCTCGACGATTCACACTCTGTAGCCGTAATCCAGGGACTGCTTTCGACCTACGAGTTGAGTCTCGCCGCGCTTTCACCAGACGGCGACGACAACGGCACCATGCCCCTGCCTATTCACACACCCAGGGGAATAGTTGCCGGCATGCCTTCGAGGCCATCCATCTCCCATCCACATCCGTCTGCGGCCCCATACAACGCAGGTGATCCCTCCAAGATGCGGCTGGCAAAGGCTTACAGCACGCATATTCTGCACGTGCTGCATGTCCTGCTACACGGCAAGTGGGATGCCATCTCCATGCTGGACGACGGCGACGATTGGATCACGTCCAAGAGGTTTAATGAGTGCGCGTCGCATGCCATTTCTGCGTCACAATCCGTCTCGACCATTTTGACTATTGATCCCGAACTTACGTTCATGTCCTACCTCTTTGGGATATATCTCCTGCAGGGAAGTTTCATTCTACTGCTCTTCGCGGACAGGATGCCGCAACTTGGCCCCAATGAGTCGGTTGCGCAAGCGTGCGAGAATATCATTCGAGCTCACGAGGTGTGCGTTGTGACGCTGAGTACAGAGTTTCAGGTATGCAGCCCCTACTCTTGTGCAAATTACCTGCAAGATAGGTATTGACGCTCAGACAGAAAAACTTTCGTACGGTCTTGCGATCTACGCTATATAGTGTTCAAGGCGCTGGAACTACCAACTGGGACGAGCATCGCTCACGACGGAGAGCTTTGTCGTTGTATAGATGGACAAAGGGGGCCAAGGGACTGGCATTGTAACGATGGATAGGGGAGGGGCATGACTGATGATGCGAATGGGCATGAACATAAGTCACGATCAAGGCAATTCTTAATTGATACCCAATTCTCTCCCCATAGAAAATAAACAAGGTACGGCATGGTTCACACCACATCTCGTCTTTATCCTCATGAGGGTGTCGAGACGAATTTAGCCGCCAGGCAAAGGAGGTTTCTGCATCATCACGTTCCGGAATATGCCCGAGCTGCGTGCATTAGGGCATGGGAATCTTTGCCTTGGGGGATGCATGAATGAGAAGATGAAGAACCTGGGGTAAAATGCGGGGGGAAAGAATTGGGATTTTGTCTTGGGGTTGTGAAGAGCCGTGTTTGAGGGTGCCGCTGATGAGTAAGGCTTTGGTGCAATGGGTTGGTGTTAGGGGGTCGTGGGGGTCGAGCTATTTGCCGACGGGTGATTGACGTTTTGGTTGATAGAAGTGTTGATTGTCTCAGTCGATGTGCTGAGACTGTAGTAGTTGTTCACCTGAAGGGGATTGGGCTATATGGAGAAGCAATGGCTCGTATAGATGGTGTTGTAAATGATGTGAGTGTCGAGCCTATTTGCTGAATTCTGGATCTTGCTTGGTTAGGGGGAGTACGGGGCTGCATCGTAAATGGCATCTGCATAGTTTCTCGGTCAATTTAATCTCAATTGATTAATTTTGTATTGCATAGAGATGAAGTTGCCATCTCATCTTGGATAGCAATGGTGTCAGTCGTGTTGCAATACACTTCGTGCGTTAGGTGGGTAACTGCGTAGTGTAAGGGTGCGAGCAATGTTGGGTATCTGGATAAGGGATTATGATTACGAAAACCTACCTTACTCAGTGACACTATGACTGATACAATATACCATAGTAATAAAAAGCATCTCTTTTCTGATCCCCAGACACAATTTTTGGCTGCCGTTATTGTCGTCTTGAAGTTGCATCTAAACCTTAAGCACTACTGACTTAGACGTACGGCTGCATCAAGAACTCGTGTTCAAGCACAGCCTCATCGGATTCTTTCAGACAAATGATGGTCAATTGTTGATCATCAATTATTGATCATCAATTAGTAGATTTTTCAGTATCTTCAACTCAATTTCTTTGCTTTTGCACTCATTGCCAAATCACTTGTGTAAGCGACAGATGAAGCAAGCCATGATCCTGTACTCGGCACCGGAGAAAGATTAATGCACGCTCAATAGCGCCCCACTCTCAACACTCGAAGACGCCGAAATGCCAGCCAGCGTTTTGAACTGCAGCGCCTCCATCCATCCTCGACGCACCTCCGCAACGGCTCAAGCAGCGACACCGACACAACCGCCACCATGGTGTTGCAAGACCTCGGCCGCCGCATCAATGCGGCCGTTTCAAACCTCACGCGCGAGCAGAATCTCGACGAAAAGGTAGGCAGGACTCACGGCGGCTGCCCCGCGATGTTCTGGGGGCGAATCCCGAGACAACAATGCATTTACTGACTGCGGGCTCCAGGCCTTCGACTCCATGCTCAAGGAGATTTGCGCCGCCCTGCTCGAGGCCGACGTCAACGTGCGGCTTGTGGGACAGCTTCGAAAATCGATACGCAGCACCGTCAACTTCAAAGAACTCCCGCCCGCCGTCAACAAGAAGCGCCTGATCCAAAAGGCCGTCTTCGACGAGCTCGTCAAGCTGGTCGACCCCCATGCCGAGCCCTTCAAGCCCAAGAAGGGCAAGTCCAACGTCATCATGTTCGTCGGTCTGCAGGGTGCGGGCAAGACGACGACGTGTACGAAGCTGGCGCGACACTACCAGACGAGGGGCCTGCGGGCGTGCTTGGTGTGCGCCGACACCTTCCGCGCGGGTGCCTTTGACCAGCTGAAGCAGAATGCGACAAAGGCCAAGATTCCGTACTACGGCTCGCTGACGGAAACGGACCCTGCGGCTGTTGCTCGAGCGGGTGTCGAGCAGTTCAAGAAGGAAAAGTTCGATGTCATCATTGTCGATACCTCGGGCCGCCACCGACAGGAGTCTGCGCTCTTCCAGGAAATGATTGATATCCAGGCGGCAGTCAACCCCGACGAGACCATCATGGTGCTCGACGCATCAATAGGTCAGCAGGCCGAGGCTCAAGCCAAGGCTTTCAAGGAAGCCGCCGACTTCGGAGCCATCATCATCACCAAGACGGACGGCCACGCTCATGGCGGTGGTGCCATTTCCGCTGTCGCCGCTACACATACACCCATCGTATTCATCGGTACCGGAGAGCACATGCTGGATCTGGAGCGGTTTGAGCCCCAGCGCTTTGTTCAGAAGCTGCTGGGCATGGGCGATATGGCTGGCCTGGTCGAGCACGTGCAGAGCCTCAACCTCAATCAGAAGGACACCATGAAGCATCTCCAGGAGGGTATCTTTACGGTGCGAGATCTACGAGACCAGCTGTCCAACATCATGAAGATGGGACCCCTGTCAAAAATGGCCGGCATGATTCCTGGCATGAGCGGCCTCATGCAGGGTATGGATGACGAGGAGGGGGGCGCCAAGCTGAAGCGCATGATTTACATCTGCGACTCCATGACGGACAAGGAGCTGGACTCTGACGGCAAGTTGCTGATTGACGAGCCGACGCGGATGACGCGTATTGCCAGAGGATCCGGCACGTCGGTGCGCGAGGTGGAAGACCTCTTGACGCAGCAGCGCATGATGGCCGGCATGGCCAAGAAGATGGGTGGCAACATGAAGAACATGCAGAGGGCGCAGCAGGCCATGTCGGGCGCAAACAAGGCCCAGCAGATGGCCGCCATGCAGAAGCGACTACAGAGCATGGGCGGTGCCGGCGGCGCTGGAGGCATGCCGGACATGGGCTCGCTGATGAAGATGCTGGGCGGCGGCGGCATGCCCGGAGGCATGGACATGCAGGCCATGATGCGGCAGATGGGCATGGGCGGCGGCATGCCTGGCATGCCTGGAATGCCGGGGATGCCTGGAGGAGGAGGTCGTGGACGGAGGTAAGGGGGGGAGTTTGGGTCGATGTGTCGAGCATTTGATTTCATTGTATGTTTGTTTGCGGAGCTCCGGTAGGTTGGGCAAGCTATGGATGACGGCTGGTTGCTAGAGCTCATGTGCATGGGTATCGGCGTTTGGGCAGTGATGAAGATGCTTCAAGAAGAGGAGCGTCGAGTCACACAGATTTGACAGATGATGCAATGTCCGCTTGACGTTGCTTTGCTTCTTTTGAGACTGTCATGATAGTATACCAGAGAACTATAAATATGAGCTTCTAATTGATGTCTTGATGCCTTGATGCCTGACAGATGGGGTTGTCTATCAAGCTGGCAGTTGGTTTGAAGCATATCCTCATCATCTGATGATCGGGGAGGCCTACTCCGGGAGGCCTACAAGAACTAGCTGAGTCATCACGGTTCCATAGCCCCGCACGCCTGCGTTTATTAGCAGCTGTCGTCACCTCCACTTTCGCCCTTCTTCCGTTTCCTCAATCGTCTTCGTTCCCCGCGAACTAACTCAAGGGTTCGGCCCCACCAGAGCTCGAAAAGTACCTTACCTTACCCTTAACCTTGTTACAAAGCTATCTAGTACTACCTTACTGCACTTTGCCCTTGTCAGGGGCATCGGCTTGACTATGTCGTCTCGCGGCAGAGGGAGAGGCGGAGGAGGGATATCAGGAACGAGGAGGGTCGAGGGGAGGCGGAGGGGGAGGGGGTGGGTATAGAGGAGGAGGGGGCGGAGGGGAGAGAGGTGGAGGTGGAGGAGGAGGAGGATATAGAGGAGATCGAGGTGGTGGTGGAGGTGGATATAGAGGAGATCGAGGCGGATTTAACAGAGGAGGAGGGGGAGATCGAGGCGGAGGTGGACAAAGGGGTGGACGAGGAGGGCCGGTCCAGGTGTTCTCGTGAGCATCACCGTTTTTCTTTTGTGTCGTCGTTCCCTTTTCTTGGAAAACCAAGGGTAGTGGTGGAAAGCAAAGTCCAGGCACTCATCACCAAAACTGCTACAGTCCCCCAGGCGGAGTCCCGGCTCCCGACAAGAAAGTCACCCAGACTGAAGATGCCCTCCTGGCTCAGGCTGCCAAGGGCCTCGACCTCAGCACTCTCGGCCTCAAGGAGGCGTTTCCCCGAAGGCCGGCTTACGGCACCAAGGGGACCGAAGTCGTCCTGTGGGCAAACTACGTTGCCTTGACGGCCTCGCCCAAGCTCGTGCTGTACCGCTACGATGTCTCGGTCACTCCGGCGGCTACCGGGAGGAAGCTCACGCAGATTGTGCGCTTGCTGCTGGATGCTCCGGAGCTGGCTGCGTACAAGCACGACATGGTCAGCGACTTCAAGTCGACGCTCATCTGCCGCCAGAAATTCGACGACCAGGCCATCAAGATCACGTACCGAAAGGAGGGCGAAGAGGAGCCGGGCGCCAATGGCCCCGTGTACGAGGTCAAGCTCCAGCTGACGAACACTCTGGCAACCTCAGAACTGATCGGTTATCTTACATCGACGAACCCGTCTGCCCAGTATGACGATAAGCTGCCTCTCATCCAGGCCCTCAACATCTTTCTGAACCACTACGCCAAGTCGACCAACAACCTCGCTACCATTGGGTCGTCCAAGATGTTTTCTTTGAGCCAAGACTCTGATACCTGGGACCTTGGGAGCTGCCTCACCGCCATCCGTGGCTTCTTCGCCAGTGTCCGTGCGGCTACGGCTCGTGTCTTGGTCAATGTCAACCCCAGCCACGGTGCCTTTTTCCAAGAAGGCCCGCTGGAGCAGTTCGTTCTTCGTCTAGGCTCCGGAAAGGGGCTTTACAGGCTGCAGCAATTCATCCAGAGACTCCGCGTCAGGACCACTCATTTGAAGGCCAAGGTCGACAAGAGTGGCAAGGCGATCCCGCGCGTCAAGACCATCTGGGCCTTGGCCAACCCAAACGATGGGCACGGCCTTCCGCACCCTCCTAGGGTGAGCGCATTTGGGGCTGGGCCCAAGAATGTCGAGTTCTGGCTTGACAGCGGTCCCTATAGCCAAGCCCAGCCTGGACCTTCTTCCGGCAAGAAGAAAAAGGGGGCCAAGGGTCAAGAGGGCGGGAGATATATCTCTGTCTATGACTTCTTCCTGAATTGTGAGTCTCTACCATACCGCGCCAGAGGATCTATCAATGTCTGGCTGACTATTATGCAGCATATAATGTGCGTATCAACGATACTCGGCTGCCCGTCATCAATGTCGGCAATCGAGAAAACCCTGTATACCTGCCCCTCCAGGTTTGCTATGTGCTGCCTGGCCAGCCCTCCAAGTCCAAGCTGGATCCGGGCCAGACGCAACAAATGATTCGGTTTGCTGTTCGGAGGCCAATGGAGAATGCCACGTCCATCGTCAACGACGGGCTGCGGACTGCTGGCCTATCCCCTGACTCGAACCCGTTGTTGGTAAGACACCATTGATCCCACCCTTTCCGCTCTGGCAAAAGCGACTTGCTGATTTCCTCCCAGCCTCAATTCGGAATCGAGATCTCGCAGAATCTTGTCACTGTGCTAGGGCGCGTCATTACCAGCCCAAAGGTGGGCTATGGCCAGAGCCGACAAGTAGCAACTTTTGGCGGGAGTTGGAACATGGTTCCGAGAGGAGCCCCGAGCCTCAAGTTCAGCACTTCGGGAAGCATGCAGAAGTGGTCTTGTGTGTACATCGAGACAGCCGACCACCCCAACGCCTACAAGTTCAGCTCCGAAAGCCTGGATGCCACTATGCGCGCCTTCCACACCGTGTTGAACGACACTGGCATCGCTGCGGCCGTGCCCCTGAGGCCCTTTAGGCGGCTGCAGCTGACAGGCGACAACGATCCTGAGCTCGAGAATACGATCAAGAACGCCGCAGCAACGCTACAGATGCTTTTTGTCATCTTGCCGGCGACCCCCATCACATTGTACAACCGCATCAAGTCCCTTGCCGACGTCAAGTACGGCGTCCATACCGTCTGCAGCGTCGGGACCAAGATTGCCAACCCCAAGGGTCAGGATCAGTACTTTCGCAACCTTGCGCTCAAGGTCAACCTCAAGCTCGGCGGCAACAACCAGCTTGTCGAACCCGCGCACTTGGGGTTTATCTCTGAGAACAAGACGATGATTGTCGGTATTGATGTCACGCATAAGTCGCCCGGCACGACGGCTCCCAGCATTGCTGGCATGGTCGCCAGTATTGATCAGAAGCTTGGCCAGTGGCCCGCAGTTCTGAGCATCCAGCCTCCGACCCACTACGAGATGGTTGCGGAGCTACAAGAGATGTTGAAATCGCGTCTGCACCTGTGGCGCTCAAAGGGGAAGCACGCGACTTTCCCAGAGAACATCATTGTGTATCGTGATGGAGTCTCTGAAGGGCAGTACCAGACAGTACTGGACGAAGAGCTGCCGCTCCTACGCGCCGCCTGCAAAGAAGTCTACCCAGCGGCCGACCAGCAGAAGGGTCTGCCACGTCTGACCATTGCGATTGTCGGCAAGCGTCACCATGCTCGCTTCTACCCGACGGCAGTGAACGACGCCGACAACACAGGCAATACCAAGCCTGGCACGGTGGTCGACCGAGGCGTCACGGAAGCCCGCAGCTGGGATTTCTACCTCCAGGCGCACACGGCACTGCAGGGAACCGCTCGGCCAGCGCACTACTTTGTTGTGCTGGATGAGATTTTCCGCCCACGGTACGCGAAGGCGCCGGGGAAGAACATTGCAGACGAGTTCCAGGATCTGACGCAGAGCATGTGCTACACGTTTGGCCGAGCCACCAAGGCGGTGAGCTACTGCACACCGGCATACTACGCCGATATCGTGTGCGAGCGAGCGCGGTGCTACCTCAGCCACCTATATGATACGCCGACGCACTCGGCAGCACCGTCGGTGGTGGGAGATACGCAGGGTGGCGGAGCTCAGGGGGGCTTGAAGCAGGATGTGCAGATTCACGAGAGGCTCAAGGATACCATGTTTTACATTTGAGAGGGATTGGATATGAAGAAACGACCTATTATTGATTGGATTGCACGGAGATTTGATTTTGGTTGAGCGAGTTCAAGGTATGAGATTGGGTAACCATGATACGAGAATATGGGAATGACATAGGAACGAGAATGACACGATGAACTTGACAATGATTGTGTGAATGGCCATTGGTGTTGAAAGTACATGTAGTGGTTGTGCTCGGTCAGATTCGGTGAAACGCCAGCAAGGCACCAGCTCGGTGAAGCAGCCCGAAAAGTGGATGATTGGCGGGCCTGGAACAGGATCTCGATGGCCATGACACGCGATGACGTTGTGATTGGGCTTCTGCTCCCCCACTCGGAACAGAGATGCCGTGCTTAAACAACGTTACTGCCAAGCTTGATGCACGAATTTATGCTTGTATGACGCTATTCACGGCTTTGGCTTGGTCTCATTTGCGGGAGCGTGCAGGGGTCTCGAATCCAGGACTGGGCTTGTCGTGAGGGATGACCGTGCTTTTGATTGTTACAGGATGCGAGTGGCGATGACGAACGTTGGGTTTCGACGAGGTTTGGATGGACGGTGTTGACGTCAGGGGGGGAGACGATCCGGTTTGCTGGATGGAAAAAACTGCACTGCATTGGTGGCACTGGATTGGTGTTATGGTATATTATGATGAGTGAAGGACGGCGAAGGTGTTGGAGGTGAATCTGTCTTGCCAACTCCTCATCCACAGTCCAAGTTGCTCCTGCCCGTCCTTTGGGAGAACGCTGGGCCTCGTCACGGGTCATCCCTCCTGCCGTTCTTCTCTCTGGCGAGTCAATACCTTAACTCTCCCAGCTCAGCTCAGCTTCTTTACACAAACACCAACGCCAACGCCAACAACAACAACAACACCAAAACGGTCCATAGACGACAGCCATGGCTCTCTTTGGCCACAGAGCTCGCTCTCCAGCGAGGCCCGCCGCGGCGGCTGACAACACGACGGCGCCGACGACAAAGAGAAGATGGGGGCTTGGTGGCAACCGCGGCAGGACAGCCCAGCCTGCTGCGTATAGCATGGCCACGCGTCCGAGGTTTGGACAGTGGTTGAAGGTCACTTGGCTGGACATCCTGACCATGGTGGCCATGGGTGCAATCGGCCTCGGTGTAAGCCTCATCTCCTCTAGTGGACTCTTCTTTCACCCAACACAATAAACTGACTGTACCGTGATAAACAACAGGTCTACGAAGCAAAGCCCGCTCCTACGCGGTCCTTCCCCGTCACCTTCTCCGACGGCGAAATCGTCTTCCCCCAGTTCGGCTATCCCCTGCGCCATGAAATCATCCCCATCTGGCTCGCGGCCTTCCTCGCCGCCGTGATCCCCATCGTTGTCATCCTGTTGATGCAGATCCGTATCCGCTCCTTCTGGGACGTCAACAACGGCATCATCGGCCTGTTGTACGCGCTCATCTGCGCCGCCGTCTTCCAGGTGTTCCTCAAGTGGTTGATTGGCGGTCTCCGGCCGCACTTTTTGGACGTGTGCAAGCCCGACCTGAGCCGCGTCACGACGTCTGCCCTGGACAGGGCCGGCTACCAGCAGATTTACTTTACGCGCGACATTTGCACGGGCGACCCCGACCAGATCGATGACAGCCTCGAGTCCTTCCCCAGCGGCCATACGACGGCCGCCTTCGCTGGCTTCGTCTACCTCTCGCTGTACCTCAACGCCAAGCTCAAGGTGTTTGCCAACTACCACCCGGCCATGTGGAAGCTCATTGCTGTCTACGCACCCATCCTCGGCGCGACGCTCATTGGCGGTGCACTGACGATTGACGAGTTCCACAACTGGTACGATGTCTTTGCGGGCGCCGTCATTGGCACCATCATGGCCTTTTCTGCGTACAGGATGCTCTATGCCTCCATCTGGGACTGGCGCTTCAACCACATTCCCCTCAACAGGGGTGTCGCGTTCCCGTATACCGTTGGCAACGGAGATTTGTTCGATGCCACCTTTACGAGGAGGGTCGGATGGGGAACGGAGAGCTTTGCCGGGGCTGGATATGGAGGTGCCGGTGGTGTTAATGGAACCAACGGCGTGAATGGTGCGGGTGCAAAGTATGGTAATGGATATGGCAACGGCTATGGTAATGGATATCACCACAATGCGGCCGAACCGGCAGTGCCCATGAGGGCTGCTGGGGCGCAGCACTATCCTGAGCAGATGGTGTAATGTGTTGGCTGATGAAGGGGCTTGACGCTTTTCAATGAGCTTTCGAGAGAGTTTCCTTTGTGAATCGGGGTGGATGGACAAGGCTGAAAGCTCGGGGTGGTTGACGAGGTGTGATGTGGGAATGGGTAATGATTGATGGTTATGAGGGCATGGGCTTTTCCTTACTACCTAATTGCATAGTCAGTATACCCCAGATTATTATTGTTTTAGTCAACAATTGAATGTTTCGAGCAAAGAGTGGCAAGTTTTCAACGAGAATTGAAGCCTCGTGCGTTGATGAATGAGGACCTTTCTTAAAATATACAGTTGAGTTATCATTCTCATTCTCATCTCCAATGGAAGTAGGGGGTTATAGCGTACTAGTGTTGCAATTCGCATGTGAAATGCTTCATGTAAGCCTAAGCATATCGAAACCCCCCCCGCCCTCCCGATCTCGGCGCCATGCGTCACCCTCAGAATACACACGATAGTAGTATTCTCACCTTTAACCACAGGAACAATAAGGAGAAACATCCAGCCATCATGCAAGCTTATCACCGATATTCGTCCCAGCATACAAGATTATGTGATGAAATCACAGGCTTATGTGATGCAAATATATAGCAAATAAAGCCACTGGCGGTCCAGAGGGCTAAACAGCCCCGGAGTGGAGCAGCAGCCGTCCCGGAGTCTAGAAGCTCGAGCTTTGGCGCTGTAGTAGCCCTGTGAAATTCCAGCTCCCAAGAGTCAGAAAGACGCCAAACTCGCCGAGCGAAATCCGGGATGACTCTTTTTTTTCTGCTGTGCCGTGTTCTTTTAACCAGCGTGGCGTCTCTAGCGTTTTTGATTTCCTCTGCTTCGGTTTCGCTTCTTCCCTTCTTTCCATTCCTCTCAATTGACAGCTGTTTGTAGCTTCTTTGCGATTCAAATTGTTGCTCCTCGACTCAACTCGAGATCCCCTCCCCGTCATATAGATCCATTCAACTCGACAAAGCCGCCACCATGTCCGGCCACATCCTCACCCTCAGCTGCCCCGACAAGCCCGGCATCGTCCACGCCGTCACCGGCATCTTCGCCTCAAAGGGCCACAACGTCCTCGACCTGCAGCAGTTCTCCGACCCCGTCACCAACAGCTTCTTCATGCGCGTGCACTTTGGGCCGGCCCCCGACGCCGCCGACCCCCTGTCCACCGAGCACCTCGAGCCCGACTTCCAGGCCCTCGCCGCCCAGTACGCCATGAAGTACGCCTTCCGCCCGCTCAAGCGCCGCACGCGCGTCCTCATCATGGTGTCCAAGATCGGCCACTGCCTCAACGACCTGCTGTTCCGCATGAAGACGGGCCAGCTGCTCATCGAGGTGCCCATCATCGTCTCCAATCACCCGGACTTTGAGCCCCTGGCCAAGAGCTACGGCATCGAGTTCCACCACCTGCCCGTCACCAAGGACACCAAGCTGGAGCAGGAGGCCAAGGTGCTGGAGCTGATCCAGCAGCACAACATCGAGCTGGTGGTCCTGGCGCGCTACATGCAGGTGCTGTCGCCTAAATTGTGCGAGGCCATGTCCGGCAGAATCATCAACAGTGAGTTCAATGCAACCCTGAGCTGCTCTTCTCCTCTTCCACGCCGGCGTACTGACTGGTGCGCGCAGTCCACCACAGCTTCTTGCCCAGCTTCATCGGCGCAAAGCCCTACCACCAGGCCTTTGACCGTGGCGTCAAGATCATCGGCGCGACCGCCCACATCGTCACGGCCGACCTCGACGAGGGCCCCATCATTGAGCAGCGCGTCACGCGAGTCGACCACAGCATGGACCCCAAGAAGCTGTCTGAGGAGGGATCCACCGTCGAGACGCAGGTGCTGGCGGCGGCGGTCCGCTGGTATGCCGAGGGAAGAGTCTTCTTGAACGGACACAAGACGGTGGTGTTTTAGGCGCTTGAGCTGCGAATGAAAGAGAAAAGGAGATCAAAAGCGTCATGAGTATATACCTTACCTGCGATGGATTAGCATCCGTACACAAGTCCAAATTTAGCATCTCTCATCAATTGCCCCTCACATGTCAGCTAGGCCACCCAGTCTCGCGTTCGATGGTCAGAAAACAGGATTGCTATATGACACAGTGACGTTGGCGATCGGTAAGACCTAGAAACCGCCAATTCGTCCGAACGCCGATATTAAGCAAGACAATCATACCGAGTACGGAGTAATCCCATGGGGTTTTCCCCTCTCGGCTAGAGCCTGCGGGATATGGGATCTAGGATCAGGTGTGGTTGCGTCTGCAAATGATGAGTGCGCCCGGTGGCATCGCCGACTTCCGAAGCGAGAGACTACGCTTCTGGTCCACGAAGGAGAGAAAGGTCAATCTTGCTGAGCAGGAAATTGCATAAACGCCATCAGGGTAATATATGATAGTATAACCATCTGCCAAGCGCGTCTGTTGTGAGACATGCGGGCGTCCAAGCGGCAAGGCGAGGAGGGCGGCGTTGTTAAGGGGCAAGTGTACGCAGAGTCGTCGTGGTATAGCACATGGACGAGTGCCGCCGACGGCCCGCTGATGCGCTTCTCGGTGGTATAAGTGCAGCCAGATCCCTCGGTCGCAGTGATCCGGCGCTCAATGCGGTCAACGCCGTCGGCATCGACACTTTGCACAGTCAATTATTCGCAGCTGTTGAAATGGGCGGAGTTCCCTCGATACCCGCCGACCGGTCGCGGACCGTGCAGGTCATAGGCGCCGGCTACTCCCGTACCGGCACCGTGTCCATGGCGCTGGCGCTGGAGAAGCTGCTTGACGGGCCGGTCATGCATGGCGGAACGCAGCTGTTTGGGCGAGAAGACGGTTGGTGCAGCCCTTTTCGACACTTACAAGTGCCATGCGTGCTGTGCTTTTGCTCATGCTGATGCTCGTCTCTTGATGGACAGCCTATGTCAAGCTCTGGTGCGACATATTTGCCAACCGCGACAACAAGCCCGTCCTCATGAAGCTCCTGCGCGAGGCCACCGCGGGCTTCGTTGCCGTGACCGACACTCCCGGCAACGCCTTTATCCCTGAGCTGCTCGAGCTGTATCCAGAGGCCAAGGTGGTGCTGGTGACGCGCGATCCGGACCGCTGGTTCAACAGCATGCAGGGGCTGATCAAGGACGGCATTGGCGATTCGATGGTGATGCTCAAGGTGCTGCTGTGGCCGTGTCCTGGATGGAGATGGGCGCCGCGTTGGTTGAGCCAGCTAGGATTATAGTACGTCGAAGCTGCGTTTTCAGCTTCATGTCTGTACGCCTCACTAGACCCCTGCTGATCTTCAACGCAGTGAAGAAGCTCGTCTTGGACCAACATTGACCCGAGGTCGGTGATACCTCTCAGCCCCTGTGATCTGTGGAGGGCCTGCTGATCGTTGACAGACTCCATCCTCATCCACAACGAGTGGGTTCGCAAGCATGTGCCCCCAGAGAGGCTCTTGACCATGGAGCTGAGCCAGGGCTGGGGGCCACTGGCCAAATTTCTGGACATGCCGGTCCCCGATGGGCCGTTTCCTCACGCCAACGACGGGGAGGCCATGGAGAAGTTTGCAAAGAGCGTATTTCGGACTGCGATGCTGATTTGGGTGGGCATCTTGTCGGGCACGGGGATGCTGGCGTGGGCGGGAGTGGGCGCTTGGAGAAGAAGCCTGCTGGTTTGATGATGAAGCGTGTTATGTGTTGGCATCGACCTTGGCTGCGGAAATGAACGAATACGAGGAATGACAATAACTTCAAGTGATTGCAGAATTCGTGATGAATAAGCCATGTGATGATGAAGGTCGACGGTCAGTTTGATGCCTGGGAGGAATGACTTGCAGCAATTGAATGAGACGCGTCACGTGAGATGACACAACATGAAGCTGCACGTCAATCGATTGCATCTCGTGAGGTTGGCCAATGAGAAGGTAGAGACAAGATAAGCGAGGATGTATGTAATCACGTAGTAGTACTACTATTCCTTTCGACTTGAAGAAGAGCTGGATGAAGATGATTGCGATTTACAATTGTCTTGTCCTGTCTTTTTCATTCACACGGAGTGGCCGAGACAGCTCGACTCCCGCACTGGCTGGATCCAGCCAAGGGCCGGTGGCTCAGGCACACAAAGGACATGGTTCAGCCACTCCGCCGATTGCTCGATTGTTGATGCCGTTGAGGGCGTAGGACGGCGCATGTGATTGGCCCGGGCGAGGGCGTGCCTGGCGCTGGAATTGCCCTGGAAATTGCTGCTCTTTTACGATACAACTGCGGCGATGAATGGGAAATAAGCACAAAGTCAATCGTGTCAACAAGAGCCATAACAAGCTCTTGCTAGGTAGTAACAGGAGAAGCTCTACATGATACATATCGTAGCAATTGCTGACTCGTCATATCGAGACAAAACACCAATTCTATACTAGACACAATAATACCGACTCACCTCGATACTACTGACATCGTCATCTCCTCCTCCTCCTCCTCCTCCTCCCCACGTCGTCGCTTGCCGCACCCCTGCTCGCTCTCGACATGCCATCAAATCTCAGCTCGTCACGTCACGTCACGTCACGCATCGCCCTGCCACCCCCCCCTTAAGCCTTAAGCCCGCTACATGCCCGTCGCCGCTGGCTGGGCATCAGCGGCCTGTTAGTGGTCAGCAGCGCCTGCATAGCGCACCCACAGGCCCTCTCGCGCCCGCTTGGCTGCTGTTAGGCCTCAAAGCTTCGCTGGAGCTCCAGGCGGCTGGACGCCGGGCTGCGTGTAATTCCGGCCCGAGCCTCGCAGTGCCAGGCCCAGGTCCAGCAACACAAACCCCTGCTAGGCCGCTTCTGTCTCCCGCTCCATCTTCCCTGCTTGTTAACCTACCTGACTCTCACCACCCCTCATCAGTCTGGGCTACGGTACTATTCCATACTATTTGCCTATACTCTCCACAGACTTCAAACTCGCCAGCTCTGAAGCTTCCGTCCGCGCCGTTTGACTTTCTCACCTTTTGACTTTGACCGGCTCCCGTTTCCTTTGTTGTTCCACCGGCTGCCGCTTCCCTTCTTCTCCTTCGTTCCCTCCTTTCTCGCCTCTTGGTCCTCCTCTTCCTTGTCTTGCGCAGCCAACCGTTTGTTTGTTTGCTGACTCCGACCGACGCCGATTTCGATCGACCACTGATACCCTCCACTCGAGCTGCATCAGATTCATACCCGACGAACCATCCATACAGTCGCCCTGTTTCTTTAGTCCAATCCGCTGCTTCTTCTGCTTCCTTCTCTTCATATCCAAACGCTCGTCATTCGCCAGCACCCCGCCGCCTCTCTCTCTCCCTCCCTCCCTCTCCCTTTGTTCAGCCTGGATTTGTCACCCAACACCACGCTTCACCCAGACGCCGCCGCCGTCGAGACCTCGGAGATGGACATCTCCCAGCAGCAAGAGTTCATCCCCGCGCACGACGCCGACACCAGCCTGGGCCCCGACGACACCATTGCCGGCTTCGACGGCGCATCCGAAGCCGCCTCCAGCAATGGCCTCCACCACCAGCAGAGCCACTCGTTCGACCATAGTATTGCCGGCAGCCTGAGGCAGGAGGAAGACTCGCCCAGCCGACACACCCCTCCGGTCTCTTCGCTCTCGAGACCGGCTAGCGGCCTGTCCAACCCGGCCCCTCCGCCCGCCTACAATGACTATCGGCCGAGTTCGAGCGAACAATCGAACGGCCGGAGCCACGTGGTGATCAAGGTCGGCATGGTGGGCGATGCCCAGATTGGCAAGACATCGCTCATGGTCAAGTACGTCGAGGGTAGCTGGGACGAGGACTACATCCAGACGTTGGGTGTCAATTTCATGGAGAAGACGATTAGCATCCGCAACACCGAAATCACGTTTTCCATCTGGGACCTGGGCGGCCAGCGCGAGTTTGTCAACATGCTCCCGCTGGTCTGTAACGACGCAGTTGCCATCCTGTTCATGTTTGACCTGACACGCAAGAGCACGCTCAACAGCATCAAGGAGTGGTATCGGCAGGGGCGAGGATTCAACAAGACGGCCATTCCTGTCCTGGTTGGTACCAAGTACGACCACTTTGTCAACTTTCCGATTCAGGACCAGGAGGAAATTTCCAGCCAGGTACGTGCTTGAGCAGAGCTCAATTGCCTCGAACGCTGTGCTGACTGACATGCAACTCTGCAGGCCAGACGGTTTGCCAAAGCCATGCGGGCGTCTCTGATTTTCTCAAGTACAAGCCATAGCATCAACGTGCAAAAGGTATGACTGCATTTTTTCATCCCGTGTACTGCGAGAGAGGCTAACGCAATGCCAGATTTTCAAAATTGTCCTGTCCAAAGCGTTTGACCTCAAGTGCACCATTCCCGAAATCGAAAACGTCGGCGAGCCGTTATTACTATATCAGTCTGTGTGAAGACTCTAGCAGCACTTGCTCTCCATTCAAGGCTGGACTAGATTTATGCTTTTTTTTTTCTCGCCACGCGATTTCTTTACGATATACATTTTAATGGGTGGGTGCCGCGAGCCGTAGCTGCGAGCGGCGGCGTCTGAAGACCACCTGCATCAAAACTGATGGCGGAATGTCAAAGCCTTTGCGGGAGACGAACAGCATTGCTTCGCAGAGAGGCGATTGAACGACGTGTCGTACACTGGGAGGAGCCCCTTGGAGATTGCCTCTGCCACCTTTGCTCAGGTCGTACCTTTACAATTGAGCATGAAAGCCATTGTGCTGCTCATCCGAAATGGTGAGACCAGCTCTTGCAAAGTAGACGGCATGAGGGGGATGCCGTGACAGCTGCTCAGTTATACCCTGAGCCTGCAACTATATTACAGTCGACTTTGGTAGTTTGGATTTGGCGAGATGCTTACAAGTAACAAGGAGAAACAGAGATGGTACCTGTACTTCTTTTATTCTTTTTTCCAAGGTCGTTCTTAACTTATATTTTACTCTTTTGATTTCTGATGGGAACAGGCTCGAGGGAGCAAAGCTCAGGAGAATGATATAAAAGGGATCAAGGGTTTCCTAAGCGCACAGCCTTTGCGAGAGGCGAGGTTGAACGGAGGGAAAGGGCATGGCTGGGCCAGGTCTGATTGATTGTTAGTTAATGAATGGCCCATGATGTGCTCTTGATGATGTGCTCTTGATGATGTCTTCTTGATGATGTCCACATGGTGATGTCTACTTGGTGATGTCTACTTGGTGATGTCTACTTGGTGATGTCTACCTGGTGATATATCTGCTGTTGAGACGCTCAGACGTGGCATTGTCTGATACTCTGAACTCTCTACACTCGCCCCTTCTTTGTACGGGCCATATCGACTTTTCGCATGGCCGGATGATTATGAGCTTGAAATACCAAGTTGACTACCTAATCTATCTGCCCGCAAGCAGGCCATCAAGCAACAACGAAACCCGGTAATCGCTCTTTTCCAGTGTTCAGTGCCCAGTTGTTGTTCCCTTTGTTCCCATTTCCGTCAAGTCCCCCCCTTTCCCCCGTGTGTGTGTAACCCGTACATTGATCAACTTTGCTCAGACGAAATTGCTTTCATCCGTCATACGGGCAAGAAAATGACCAGAGAAGAAAAAAAAAACCTAACCTCCATGTCCCCTGAACTGAAACAAAGCCGAAAAAGTGGTCGATTATGTTGCAATTATCGTAGTGGATGAGATGAGATGTTTCCTTTGTTTGGTGAGTTTCTGATAGTTGAGATGGTCCATGATTTTTGTGATTTTGTTGGAGGAAATTCGACAAATCCTCATTCATGATACAACCCCCACTTTCGTATATCTCGCCGCCAATTCACCTTCAGTCCACCTATCCTCACTCCTTGAGAAAAACTAACGCACCAACACCACACCCTGCCCAAGTAAGGTCTCCTTAATCAGAGTCGCTCTCTCCGATGGATTCGGCCTTGGGCTTGACATAACTGTTGGATTGCGAAGCAGCACCGGCCTCACGACGATGACTCTCGACAACCGGACGAATCGTTGCGGTGCTGCCATGGCCCCAGGTGCGCACGGGAGGCGGCGTCTGCGGGTACGGATACACGCGCGGGTGCTGCATGTTGAAGTTGACTTCCCTCGGAAGCTGCGAGTAGCGTGGAGGAGCTCCGTCAGAAGAAGCCTCCATGCGCGGCTCGGGGTTGTAGTCGGCCAAGCCGAGGGCGGTTCTCGCTGCTTGATAGCGCGCGTCGGTGAGGGTGTTGGTGGAGGGCAGCTGAGCACGCTCGTTGCGCTGGTAGCCGATGTCACGGCCAGACGAGGCAGAGACAGAGGCAGAGCCGGTGCCTGCTGAGCTGGCGGTGCTGAGAAGATCGTGCTGGCGATAGTACTGGAACTGGCCTTGGGTCTGGGCAGATCGAGCCAGAGACTGAGACTGGGACTGCAGCCGGGGAAAGGCAGAGGTTCCGAGCGTCTCCTCCGAGTCGGTGGCCCAGTACGCCCAGGCATCAAAGTCCTCGTCCGTCTCGACGTAGCCGTTGAAGACGGTGACCTGGCGCGCGCGCGAACCGTCGACGTAGACGGATCGGAGACTGTAGTAGCTCTGCGCGGTGTAGGCGTATGCCTGGGGACGACGGTAGCGAGCGGCGCGGAGGGCGGCTTCGTGAGCGGAGAAGGGGGGGAAGCAGAGGTCGTCTGGGAGGAGAACCCAGATGGCTGCCATGAGGATGTTTAGGAGGAATAGGACGGCCATGACGACGGCGATGGCGAACCAGACGGGGGAAACTTCCTTCTTATCGTCCTCCATCTTGGGAGAATTTAGGATGATGGTGATTATGACGAGATGAGGCTCTTCCTTAAATGAGCGTGTTTGTTTGTGTGGTGATGAGGGGTGAAGGACTTAAATTGTGGTGTTGGCCTCGACGAAGCGCAGAGGTTTGGGAAGGGGGAAAGGAAGGTAAGGCAGCTGAGGTGAAGAAGAGAAGAAAAGGCGTCATCAAGCTGATTCTGCCATTCTGTTCTTTTCTACCTCTTCTGCTCTTATTGACTAAGCAGGGCCACGAGGTGTTGCCAGTTGACGGTCGTTGCCTGTGGCAGCTGGCAGCCAGCTGGCGAGGCGCTCCTGCCATTTCTTACGTTCTTTGGCGGGTTGGTTTTCGAGATGCCTGACAAAGCTGGCAAGGAGAAGCTAACTGAACAGAAGTAAGAGAAGGCGGTGATGCTGTAGATTCATTCCTTTTTGAAGAATGTAAGGGCTCTCGGCAAATGGATCGCGAGTGTAGTCTTGCTGTGGTGTTGTGAACGCGGGGTGATGTCTGCTCGATAGAGCTGGCTTTATCGGCAAGCTTAAGAATATATTAGTAACTACCTATAGGAGGGCGAATGAATGATGAGAGTGAATATCATAGATAGGACGGTGCATATATATCGCCAAATCCATCCATTCCATCAATCTATATCAAAAGTTGGATTATCAGATCTAAACAAAATAAGCAGCAGCTAAGTCCTATCAATCGCCATCTCAATCCAATCAGTATCCACCCCCAAACAGCCCCACTCACCGCACAAAGACTCATAATTGGCCACTCAATGAATCCCACAATCACTTCCGTTCAAAATACGTGTATCGCCTTCCAATCTCCATATTTTCCCTTCTTTCCTTCCCTCTACATTGAAAACTTCGGTATTTTCAAGTTATTATTAGAAGCTTGCATACGTCCATACTGCTACTAGTACGAGTAGTACTGGTAAGGTGCTATCTACCTATGTATTACGTGATGCCACTGCAAATACGTGTATTCATGCGTCCAGCCAGAACCTCACTCGACTTCGATCACTCTGCCTCGCTTCAATTCACTCACTTGCCACCTTCAATATACTACTCGAGATTCAATCGACCTCTGCTAGATCTGCCCTCTGTTTGGGCATCTTTGTTCATCAATCGCGCGACTCATTCAATTCTTCCCCAACGCTATAATATGGAGCCCGCCACGACAATTGGCGGCAGCTCAATTGCGTGCAGCATCACGCACTCGTACTAGTTCTACTAACCCACAGTCTTCCGCATGCGTCCATGCCGCGCATTTAAGCCATGCGAAACACCATCGGTGAGTGTTCTGCATCTGGCATATGACAGCTGCATTGCAGACTTTATCATTTGATCTGACGGAATTGAAAACAAGAAAAGAAAAAAAGAAAAAGAAATGAAAAAAGAAAGTCATCACATTGCATTGGCAAATAATATCCCATCAGCCCAGAAGCACCCAGGCCACCCAAGTTTGAGGTTTGCAGCCCCTGACTGGGGTTGTAGCGCAATGTAACACGAATAGCCCTCTTTCAGCACCAGCACCGAAGCAAACGGACCAGTCACACCAAAAGAGAGCAAAAGATTCTGGGATAGAGGAACGAGAAGAAAAAAGTTATACACAGCACGGCTTGCTTATGTGAATAATAGACGGCTGCTCTGTGTTTGACACGCCTGCTTTTATGTATCCCTTATATAGGTAGCTGACAAAAAGCAAACCTCCGCTCTAGACGAAGCACGATTCCATCCAGTCGTATTTCTACCGTATATGAGCTCCAAACATTGGGGCTAAAATCCATACAACTCCATTAACGCCCGGCTGTAACATGAAGTCTCCTTCACTCTGCTTCCAAAGGGCCGTACGCGATCAAAATGAGCATCTCAATAAAAGAGGAACAGAAAAGAGGCACAGCGTCCGTGATAGAGCGGGGGTATCTCGCGCGTCCCCGTCAAAATCTTGATCAAAGACGAAAAAGTTGCCGGCAGGAAATCCGGCGTCAAAATGAAAATGTCAGGGGTGATACAATGTGTGACCGATGACCAAGGTAAACGAGAAACTCGCAGAGAAAGGTTGTACTCGTGTGTGGTCGAGATTCTGGCCGTTGTATGGCCTGCGGAAAGAAAAGGGTCGTGCGACGTTTCGTCATCGGGAGCATCTTCATCTCTAGGAGAGCATGTTTGTCTTTAATCGTCCGCCTTCTTGCCCCAAAGTGGTGCGCCGAGCGGCTTGCTGATGCCAAAGCCAACACTGACCGCGACGCCCACCACCAGCACGATGATGAGGACCTTGACAAGGATCTTGTTGCGAGGGCTCAGTTTGGCCATACAGGTGCAGTTGTTGCGCTGCATCTTGGCCTGCTTCGCCTGTCTCTCCCAATGGTCCTTTCCGGGCCAGACCTGGCAGTCCTTCTTGGCATCCAGCGTGATGCTTTTCCGCATGGGCTTGTCGAGAGAGCTGTGCGAGTTGAGGGCCTCAATGTCGGCGTCGAAGGGATTGGTCGTCGTCTTGTCCGAGTGAGGGTTCGATGTGATGCTGGTGACCGATGTGGCGTTGGTTGGGACGGCATAGACGCCCACGGTTGGGGTGAGAGCCTTGTCAGGCACGGAGATCTCGATGGTCACCTCTCTGGTAAGGCGAACGCTGGCAGTAGACTGCCTCTTCTCAGGAGCAGACTCCATGGCGAGGATTGTGAAGGTCAAGGCAAAAGTGACGAGTGCGGGAAGGTGGCCGAAATCAGAATCTCGTCACTTCAAGTGAAGAGAGAATACCAGGTAGGTTAGGTACTGAGAAAAGCGGCAAAACAAAGCCTTGAGGAAACAGGTTCTCCTACTGGATGGAGGTCAGCATCTTGAACATATGCAAGGGAGGGCGTTGAAGGGAAAGGCGACAGCGAGATGGGAAAGAAAAATAGAGCAAGGTTAAACAAGAGAGACAGAATTGTCCAGAGCACCTGGCACGGACCCGGATGGCACATGCAGGTGCAGAGACAGAGCGAATGGAAAAGTCATACCTTTGTTGCACGATGGCACAATGGACCCTGCACAGCCTTGGAAAGTTTGCCTGGTACCAAGAGATCGGCTTGGAGTGGCGACGGGATTGAATGTCTTGAATTGCTCGTGGCAAAAGGGGATACGCAAGTGAGTGAAGGAGAGAAAGAGAAGAGTAGAAGGTTCAAACGATGAGATTGGGAGAGAAGAAGAGAGAGTAGAGAGAGAGAGAGAGAGAGAGAGAGGCGGAGGAGGAGAGAGGGGGGGGAAGGGAAGCTGTGGTGCTGAGCAGCCACGAGGGATGAAGGCAGTTTAGATGGCTGGCATTGGCGAAGCTCAGACCTCTTTGACGCCGCAAGAGAATTTTGATCTTGAATCAACCGACTTGATCCAATCCAGCTGCGCCTATCGATCGGACTGTCGTCGTGAGGAGAAGACGTGAAGAGCTGGGTGTTGAACCGAGAATATGGGGGAGTCGAGGACGAGAGCAGCCGGTCGAGATAGCCTGATATTGGATCGAGAAAAGAGGGAGGGGAGCGCCTGTACCTGTCTGTACCAGCAGGTGTACCAGCGCCTGTACCTGCACCTGGCCCTGGCCGCTGTTCAAGGTTAGAGCACCTGAAGCTGGAGGCGTTTGCGCAGAGAGATTGGCGCTAGTGGGTACCTAGACCTGCGCCTGCGGGTACTTGAGGGGCACTGCTGGCTGCTTTCGAGAGGCGAGCAAACGGCATGGCCAGTCCAGGTCGCATCAGCTCATCTCGCAAGTACCTACATAGGCGATGCCGTATGCCGTAGCCACTTCTCGTTCTCTCAACAGCCCATACTGAAAAGAGCACCAGAATCTGAACGGCTCATGTTCCACTGCATGTCCCTTGTATCCAAGACCAGGGGAATCCGGCGCAGCGAGATTGCCCTCTTGCCGCTCGGGCCACTTGCAGAGCCTAGACCAGCCCGGCTAGCGCTGCCAGGGCCACTAACGGCTGCCAGGCGCTGCACGCTAAGCACCCTGCGGCATTCAATTAGTGCCTGCAGCCGATGCAGGGGAACAAAGAAGCTCCGGGTCCTCAACTGCTGCTCGCAACGTGGGCTCTCGTGTGCTGAAATGACGGGCCCAGATGAAGGGACCGCGCATTAAAAACATGATTTTACTTGGCATCGGCTCATGTTGCGCTCTCGACGGAGCGGCTGTCGAACCGCTCGCTTATCATCGATGACATTGAGGTGACGACGATAAGAGGTCCGCCTCAATCTGTCTCTGCTTCTTCTCTCTTTCTCCCACTCTCTCTCTCTCTCTCTGCCCTTGTCTGTCTTGCCTTGCTTGTCTCAATCTCTTTGTGCTCAGCTTCTTGTCTCCATTGACGGAATACTACCCAGTAGCTTCCCTTGGGCGAGTACGAAAGAGCAACAGCAGCGTGTTACAATATATGATGATGCTTTTGGCCAATCGATCTATTCGCACCGGTATCAGCAGGGCAATATCGGTACGCGCATCGTCGTCTGCAGCCCTGACCAGGAACTGCAGCTTGATGCTACGACGGGTTACATCCTCCCACAAGCCTTTTTCTTCTTCTTCAGCAGCAGCAGCAGCAGCAGCATCATTCAAGCCAGACTGCAGGCGAACCGGTCCCCGCTAACGCCAACCCGGCCGTTGTGCCGCTTGGGAACAACCTTGTGGAGGCCTTTCCGGGATCTTCCCCCCTCTCCCCGAGTCAATCCTGGCCACCACGCGTATGCGCCGTCCACCCATTGGTTCGTCCTCCCTGCCATCTGCCATCCGGCTCCCAAAGTACGAGTACGAACGGCCTTACTTGGTGTCCTTAGTCAGGTAGCACTCGAGGCGCCTGCATGGCGTTGCGATGGCATCAGTTCGTCTTCAATGGTTTGCTGGACGCAAGAGGGAGCTGCCTGATTGAGAGCATGTCGTCGAATGACTGACTGGCGGCACTACAGTCGTCGGCGCGGACGAGTCAGCACTTGACAGCGTTCGTCTCTCTTCCTCGTTGGTCCTCCCCCTTTAAACGAGACAACCCCTTGCCGCCGATGAGGATCGCCACTGGCTCAAATGACGGCGATGCAGACAGGTCGATACGCGTTTGGCTGTTGGCAGCCAGGATCCGGGCAACGTGCATCAATCCCGGAGTGGAATTCCGTACTTCTGCGTGCGTGTAGAGAGAACCAGCATCAGATAGCGCTATTGATTCCATAGTCGCAGCAGTACCATGCTAGATTGCTCGTGGCTCAGCAGCCCATTCTGCTCAGGGGCTCTTCTCCAACTGCTAGCCCTCCCCTCATCGCTTCAAGGCATCGCCCGACAGATGCTGTGGCGCCCAGTGGAGGCACTCGGCCCAATCCCCGCGTTTCCCTGTGCCCATTTCGGCAGTTTCCATGAGCTCTGGCAGACACTGCTCTGGCTAGCTGTGTTAGCATCGCGCATCATCAACTTTGAATGTTCTCGGCATCTTACCTATGTAGCATACAAGACAACCCTATCAAGTACCGGCTGTAAATCATAGCTTGCGGCCACGTATGTTGCGCATTGTTATGCTTCTCTCAACAGCATGCATGAAGGTCCTACATTGCCGACCTAAAACATATCCGTAGACCTCCTATTGCGTTGCTGAGAATGTGAGGCACGATGACTCCCCGCCGAGCTGAAGCTGGCAACACCAGCGGATCGCATAGAAGCGCCATCGTCATTCTTAGGTTCCACTGGCCGAGCACCCGGCCCAATGTCGCGTGGACTTGAGAAGTTGGCGGCAGAATACCAGCGCTCCTCTTCCATGTGAGCGAGCCATGTCTCCAGGCGCAGTTGCCTAGCGTACGAGTACAACGTGGTCTCGATCGGTATGTCTTCCTTCAGCGCAATCCATCGAGTCCATGAGTTCCCATATCTGAAGCGGGTGATCAAGGGGCCAGGGTTCGCCCCGTGCTCCTCGGCAAGTTGCGCGTGCGTAAACAGTTCGAATGTAGCATACGATAGCAGTGCTGGATAGTCTTCCAGTAATTGTAGCTGACCTGCACCAGACGAGTTTGTGACAGATTCGCAATTGGACTCTTCCAAGCATGTAGTCCGAGCATAAACATGATCATCCAACCACTGAGTGACGTCTATGCCCGAAGCGTGGTCTAATGATTTTAGCATCTCAAAGACCGATACTTTCTCTTTTCTTTCGCCTGGTGGCCAGTCTTCGCCCGACCTACTGGGTTTCAACGAATTGCGAAGAAGAATCGGGCTTGGGTCCTTCCGACGGCTTTCAAGAGTGGCTGCATCAATCCGAGCCTCAACGAGAGCATCAAGCTCTTTGATGTGAATGTAATCCAGACAAGTGGTCATTATTGATAGGTGGCCGTTGCCGATTGGATTTTGCCGTAAATGCGGGTCAAGAATAGCAAATCCCCTGCCTTTCGCGAAAAAGTCACGCACTGTTTCGTGTATAACTTGGACGAGCCTGGTATCGCCTTGCTCGAAGTCGAGCGAACCTGCTCTTCCGTGTGTGGAAATGACTTCCATCTCTTGTGTATCGACTTCCCATACCTTCTTTACCTCTACCAAGCCTCTAGACAAACTCCGGATTTGCTTCTCAAGCTGTTCATCGCTCTCAGTGAAATGGGCCGATTGACGACGCCACTCCGTGAGTGACCTAAACGCAGGCTTCGGATCCAGTGTACTGCGCCGTTTGAAGAAATGGTGTGGCTCCCCGAGAGACTCAGACGCGGGCTGCCGAATGAAGGCCATGATGTGGTGCCACTCATGGAGGCGAAGGGGTTTCGTGGCTAGAATAGCCCACTGGAAGAACCTAACTGTCAACTGCTTGGCTTCTGGTTCAAGGCCAGAGAGCATGTTGGAAAAGAGGGTTTCCAATTTTTCTGGCACATTCTTCACCTGCATGGTCAGGGACGGCAATTCGCTGCCATTATCCCAGTTCTTCAGCACATCCTCCACTACAAGGACGGTCCAAAGGAACACACCAGCAGCCTTATCAAGAATGGTCCTCCTCAGGGTTTCCCACTGTAATCTCTGAGTGGACATACAGACGTTCAGTTTTTGATCCACATACTTTGTAATGTCATCACTGTTGTGTTGATCAACAATGACTTCCGCACAATCAGTCACGGTGATGGTGGGGAAATGCCTGCTAGAGACACAGACATTGAGATCAAATCCAGCCTCGTAGGCGTATATGGTTGTACTCCGCCAAAGATACGCCAATGATCGTATGCTGCACTCATCACATTCATCGAGAGCGTCAATGAATATGAACGTCTTCTTTGTCTCACTGTCGACCAATGACTGAAAAAAATACTGCAGATCGTCGTCTCTCCAACTCGTGCGGTGAGGTCCATCGCGTCTTCCAAATTCCCACGTATCGTCCGCGAATGTGCGGAACCGTTGAAGAGATTGCTCGTCCCGGCTCAAGATCTGGTAGAGTAAAGACCTGAAGAGGCCAAGAGTGGAGTGTTCAAGTTCATCTCCATTAGCGTTGAAAAAGTAGGCGGCAGTAGTGTAATCTGATTCGACCTGCCCCAGCGCGGCGCGGCGGAAAGCCTCTTTCATCAAAGTCGACTTGCCTGAGCCTGGTTTCCCCTTCAACCATAGGAGTCCACGATACTCATGTCTACTCCTGCCGCTGAACCAGCCCTGGTATGTTTCGTGCTCAAACAACCATAAACCGGTCTGAGGGGCGGGATTTCTCACGCTCCGGAGCCGAGCATATATAGCAGGGAACCACAGAGGTATGAGATAGGCATCGGGAGGTTGACTATTGTCAACTGCATTGGGAGGCCCGTGATAGGAGACGGCACTCACTTCAGGCCCATGAGTTCGTTGGAGATGCCTGCTTGCTGAAATGTCGACAACTCTGAGCCGCGCAATTGAGTGGTATACCGAACGAAGCTCTCCAGATACTTTGCGGTAGTTTGGGTCATCCGGTCCTGAAAACCGACACATCTCCAGATGATTGGCTTGCAACGTCTCAGCATGTTCGCGATGGTCACCAATCAACGACGAATAATCGGGAACCACTTTCCTCCCAAGCTTCGATAAGCTAAGTCCTTCTTGAAACGTCTTGACTTTGAAGTCGTATTTTTGCCAGACCTTCGAGAAACCCTCTTGCGCCCGTTCTAGATCAGTAGTCTTCATGCGAAGAGCATCAAGGATGACGGGCGTGGTTTCCATGCCCAAGGAACCAACGAAAGATCGCAGCACTTCGCCGAATGTTGCCACGCCTTGACTACCGCGGTGTGGTGTGCCAAGGAAGACTACAGCCGCAGTAGACTTGACGATCTCGTTGTGAAAAGCGCCGGGGGGGGATGATGATTCCGCAAGCATCTAGAGAGAGTGTTAAGAATATGAACAATGATGTGCATTTCGATCTAAATATGGACTTACTTGCTTCACGACAACCCCGCCGAGGCTGTGAGCAACAAACACCAACGGGCGATTAGAACGCCTTTCTCTGACCAAATCAAACAAAAGGTCTTTGCTATGTGAGAGTATGCTGTTCCAGTTTATCGCGCCCCGTTTGTATTTCGTTATCTTGCTGTCATACCCGAACAGCAGGATACGTGAATTCGGACAATCCTTTGAGATCAGATCGATGGGCCAGAATACAGATGCGACCTGCTCATCATTTCTCTGGGATAGTGTAGAAGCGGCTACTTGCGCGCCGTTTCCAGATGAAGCCTTGAATCGTTGCCCAAACGAACGGAGTATGACACCTCGAATGGCATCTCGTTTCTTTATCCTACCGCTTTTTGCGGCGGGCGCTTTGAGCCCTTTAAGGGTCCTGGGGTGGTAAGTCCATGTCTTGTATGGATGGCCATGTAGGCCATGAACGAACACAATGCTGTACACCCATGATTAGTTGGCATCCACTTTCCAAAGCAAACGCCGAGGGGGAGGGGGGCATTTGTATGTAAGGACGTACTCGACGACTGCAGAGCAGTCATCTGGCTCGTAGGCAACGGATAAGCCGGTATCGAGGATGCGATCCATCACGTCTCATCCGAAGTCCGGATTCCCTATGTATGTGTGAAGGTTGGAGATTCTATAAAATAGATGGGGAACAGGCATTTAAGTTTCATTTGACCTTCTTTGGCTGCACTCATCCGGGGGGGGGGACTTCCAAATTATGCGGCTGAGTGTTTGGGCGCAGAGGGCTCCGCTGGGTAAGGCTGCACGCGCGGTGCAGGGCAGCGAAGGCGTGTCTGCCTCCATGCTGCTTTGTGATCTGATTGGGAGGAGCTGGTATTGGTTGGGCCGCCACGCCGCGGCAACTGCTGTAGAGCCGCCTGGGGTATCCTGCTTCGAAGTTGAAGAGATCGATCACCGTTCGAAACTGTAGGAGGAACTCATGGTATTGGCGGGACGCCCGTTTCTTTCCTTTGCGCTGGATCGGCCCCGGCATGGTTTGTTTCGATGGCCGCCAACTTGTTCGCAATCGACAAGCATTGTCCGGTATTCGGTGAGACTTCGTATCCGACACTGGAAAAGAGAGCCATCCATTCGAATTAAGATAGAGAGTTGAGGCAGTTTTTGGGGTTCTCTCTTGTCCGTGACTGATGAGAAGGACTTGGGGGAAGGATCTTGAAGCAGTTGATGTTCAGGCTATCAGATGATCTCGGTACCATTCAGTTACAACGCTTGATTGCATGTTTCTGGGCAGTCCTACGTAGGTATTCAGCAGGTACACATGCATCTCCTTGTACAACGGAAGTTACGCTGCAAAAAGTTTAAGGCAGCGACTTCCTCTCAGTCACTTACCCTGTCTTTGTCATCGTTCCTCCTCCTCCACTTTCCCTCTTCACATGTTAGAATCTACCTGTACTTCCCACGTCTATTTTCTTCTTGTCCATTTCGATGCTGTTTTCTCTTCACCACAACTCGTCTTTACTACCTTCAGCTTTAGGAGGTCAAGCATCAGCTTCATCACGACCTTCCCTCCTCAAACTCGGCAGACGATTGCCTTCACTTCCATACCTTTTCTTGGACCACCATTTCGGTACCAATCATCGACTGCTTCTCGACTATGGATTGGATCGCAGCACGGCATCATGAGTCTTTGCCCGACGAACGAGGACTTGGAATTCACCTCGCTACGCTGCTCTCTCTGCTTGCAACTCTGCAACGCCACACCCAACTTCAAGCCGCCCGAAGAACAAGCATCCGAGTGGCTGGTAAGCCGGTATGGCAGAGATGTCAATCCCTACAGCGAGCTGACGTCCAACGCGCCGTGTGGGCTTTGTGCCTTGTATGCTCGAGCGTGGACTCGCCTGGAGCTGGCCATCTGTGACCAAGAAGTAGACGACTCCAGACCTGTTCCTTATTGTTTAGCGGATGCGACAGGATTTGGAGCTTGTTTGCCCCGTATGTCAGATAGCACACGAGACGAAGCTGCAACTAACGCCCTGTGTAGTGTTTGGATGCATTATCGGATCACTGCAGTATGCTGTCCGCAGCTACTTTGGCATCAACGGTACGAAAAAGCAAGATTGCGCCGACGGCTGTTGCGCCCCCCTTGTCACTCTGGTGAGAAACGAGCAAGAAATAATACTCCGTGAGAATCTCCGGAGAGCCACGGAACGGGAGCAAGCCAAGCAATACGTCTGTTACGCCCCAATGGCCTATCCTACAACCAAGCTTGCCCCGCGTGCGGTTCGAGCAGCTCAAGTCCAAGGCTCTGCCAGCGATATCAAGGCGCCGGGCATAATTATGAGAGTCCAGTCCCCGCATGAGGATGTTTCCCAGCCATCAAAAGGCAATCGACGAGTCCACGGCCTGGAAGATGACTTGACGGCTCCGGCCAGGACGAAAAGAAGAGAACATGGTCTCCACGAGGACATTGAAACGGCGACTCCCCCAAAGCCTGTGCCTCACGACCTGGGGGAAACAGTATCGTAAACTGGGTCTTTGAGAACACAATATCGTGGACTCTAGCGGTCTAGCGGCCCCTAAGCCATGTGTTGTTGGCGTTGCTTGCTTTCTCCAAGTTGATGCCATGGGCAAGAACTCTCCAAGCGTCACGCGAGTCTCCTTTCGCCGTCCGCATACACCTAAGCCACTATTTCACACATTGACACGGTCGTTCAAAGCATTGCGGAATTCTCAATATGCACTAGAAGGGTCAAGGGAATCCGGCGGTCAAGCTTCCGTATCCCCCATCGAGCCGTACGGCGGAGAAAGGGAGGCTGATGACCAACGGATGAACCCCGACACAACCTCACGATGATCCTGCTGTTGACTTGGCTCGAATAGAACTACGAATAGTCTAATGACAATTATCTTTAACTCACGCAGACTGTATCCGAATCGCTCGGTGAGCAGCTATCAAGCGTCCTTGCCCTCTCCTCATTGGTTGTTCCTTTTCTCCTTTACGCATTGCTACATTATATTAATATTTGCTTTATTGCTTGAATGAGGGTAACACATGTCTCTTGTAATCAACGAAGCAGAATGTCAATCACTTGATCTTCTCTACCTTCTACAGCCTCTCCTTGCATAACACCATAGACGAAGCATTCGCTGTGAAACGTCAAGCTCGGATCGGACACTTGATTAGAAGCCTTTGGCAGAGGATTCAAGATGACTGGCACTCTGCATCCGCCAATAATCCACAGCTCCTGTGCTGGTCTGACGTTTGGCGGTCCAAGGCCAATCTGTCCGTTGTCAGTGATGAAGATGGCCTGTGGTCGAACCATTTGCGTCACCCATGATTTGAGGTCGTCCTCGTCGTCCGATTCGTCTGCTGCCAAGCTTCCCGTGATGAGGCCTAGGAAGGCTGTCATTCCGCCGTCGGAGAGGCCGTCTGGGGAAATAGTGTGATATTTCGACAGGAGCCTTCCCCATCGGTTGCCATATGCGCGGAAAAGTGATGCCACTGGGCCCTTTTCTGGCACATCGTCGGCTGCTGCTTCATCTACGAGGGCGACGCGGCCAAGCTTGAGACCGCAAATGCGAAGGGCGTCGCCGTTGTCCTCGACTCTGAGGCCCTCGCCAACGCCAAACATGCCGCGGTCCGCTGTGAAGCCGCCAAAGTGCCACCAGTGACGGTGGTCCCAAAAGTTGGCTCTGCTGCGTCGGGACGGGTCCTCGACGCCGCTCCAGTCGATGGCCCACGACGCGAGGCCGGGGATGTCGGAGCCCTCGCCGCCGCGGCCAATCAGGGGCTGCAGATCCGTGCTCATGTTGATGAGGTCGACGGTGACGTTCTGGTACAGCGTGCGCACGTCGACGGTGTAGTCGCACCTCCGGACCGAGGGCAAGGCGATGTCGCTGCGGAAGCCCAGCAGGCCGTAGACCTTGTCGCGGGGGTCCGTGGCCCGGCGGTAGCGCCAGCGCCAGAGCATCTGGAGGAGCTCCTCGCCGCGGGAAGCGCCGAGGCCGCGGAGGGCGGCCTGGAGGTCGAGGAGGCAGCCGTTGTCCCAGAACTCGTCGTGGATGGCCGGCGCGGAGCCGTTGAAGAAGCTCTCGGAGGCCTTGTCGAGGATCGTCCAGGGGATAGCGCAGGGGCCCCAGTATACGGTTGCCGTGGGGGGCAGGATGGCTTCCTGGACGGTCCAGATGCGGCTCCACCAGGATACGTTGACGAGGGTCTTTAGGGCTGCGCTGGCGGCGAGTCTTTTGCCTTCGTCGGCGAGCCAGGTGGGAGGGTCTTGTTCACCCGCGATCCAAGAGAGGACGTCGAGGGCTGCTTGGGCGTCGGCGGGAGAGGTGCTTTCGAGGGAGCCGAGCCAGAAGGCGCCTTGGGTGCACTGGCGGTAGATGCGGCCCATCATGGAGACTTGCAGGGATTTTTCGACGTCATCTGCCTGGTTTATGCATAGGGCGTCGGCCCAGATGTTTCTCGTCTCATTGGGGAGACGTAGTCTTTGGAGGGCGTTGGCCAGGGAGGGAGTTACGCCAACTTGGGTGTCTCCAAAGAAGATGCTCTCATGGGAGTCGGGGGCGTCGTTTCCCCAGGCGTAGGAGAGGGCTTCGTAGGGGGTGTCTTGGTTGTCGAGGGAGGTTACGCGGAAGTTGCATTGTAGGGGCGAGGAGGGTGGTCCGGGAGCGATTTGGAGGATACGGATTTCTGAGTTGGAGGAGTTGACTGGGGGGAGGATTTTGTCGTGCCAGGAGACTTTGGAGGTCATTGTGTTGAAACTCAAGGTTCTGAGAGTTTGGTCCTTGGTGTCAAAGAAACTTGAGAGGACTTGGAGGAGATGGTGTAAATAAAACGATAGAGCCCTGGTGCCTGGAACACCCCCGCTGAGACGCGGATCATGGTCTGATGCTTGTAGGATTCAGTCGCGATGTAAGATATAAGCACAGTCATTAGCCGCAATGAGGAAGTTGGTGAGCTTCGCATTCGGGAGCGAACACCGTTGACCGCTCGGAAGCGAATTTAGGCTTGCCGCTAAGCATGATGAACATGCTTTTTCCCTGACACCGGTGGGCCTCGTTTTGGTCTGGTGATGGGGATTACAGTCATCCGGTAGCAATAGGGGGGGAAATACTTTGGTGTTTGTGAAGATTAGGCGGAGTTTGGGGAGATGAAGTCTTGGTGGGCGGAGTTCCGCAATCCACATTTTGCGGCTCAAAATCTCTTTACACTGCATTCTAAGCGAGAGAACGTGATGGAGGAATACACCAGGTCGAAATATATACATTTTTGCTGTTTTTGGCGGAGTTGTGAGTGTTGATTTGGCCTGATTGAGGTGATGCTTGGTTAACTTGCTCGATACCTTATGCGCAACGACATGATGCCAAAGCATTACCTCCTCCTCTCATTTTGACAACATTTGACAATCGATGTATCTACATGTAGCTGGCCTAATGAATGAAATATGGGCTGTAAGCTCTGTAAAATGACTTATAAGGGAAAGATTGGCGAATGAAGGTGCAAAAAGCATATCGAAGATCACATAATCGGCTGCGGATTCTCGCCTCGCGCTGATGAGCTTATTCCATGCTTGCCATGTTCAAACAGACCTTGTCAAGTCTGGCTTGACCAAAGCTTCAAGCTGTTTGTATTGGAGAGAAAAAGAAGAGTAACAAGGAAGATGGAGGTGTAGATGGAAAGTCATACAGTAGAATACCTTCGCGGAGGAAGTTGTCGTAAAGGAAGAAACAGTACTGCGCGCTCAACTTGGAAGGAATAGTCATCTTACAGAAATACTACATGATTGATGATTCTGTCGTATGTTACGGGGAACCCTCTGCGTAGAGTCCAACCCTATCTGACCTCTAATACCTCGATACTAAACCCACGTCATCGTACAAGCACTCTAACAAAGAGTGGAAGCCCTTCTTGCTCGACAGCTTACAAAAAAAAGAAAATCCCCAAAGAAGACGATAATACTCATCGGCGCAGAGTTGTCAACTCCGAACGATTCATGACCCCCATCTTCTTTCAGCTGTTCTTGAATCCGAAACCTTCCCGATCAGGAATTGCCCACATCAACCTCTACCGCTAACCAAAAGCGCCACAACAAGCCATCAACACGCCCTCCCGAATACTAGCATGCGCCGTCAAGACACCCTCTTCCTTACCGCCCATGGATGTACACGTATGTACCCAAAGGTGTGGCAGCCTTTATGAGGCGCTGGCGATTGGAGTCGGGCGAATTATCGTGGATTTTCCTTGAATTTCAGATTGACGAGAGGTTGAAGAGTGTGCCACTATGGGGCGGCCCGTTGGGACGGCCAGGCGCATTTGTGGATGGATGAGATTTGGGGGCCGTTATGCATGGCTTTCTATGCTTCCTATAGGTGCTTCTTACGAAGAGATAGATTTGAACTGGATCGCATTGGATGCCGTGGATCGGGTGTATGCTATATATGGCAACAACCAAGTTCTGCTGAGCAATATCTAGTGCTAGCACGTCATGGCATATCGGGTTACAATGTCCCATCTGCGAGGCCATCACCGCTTCCGACCTCACTTACACGACCACCAACCACCACTTCAGCCTACCTATCAAACAAGAAGCACCCGCACAGCTACACAAGCAACCACCCCCCAATCACTCATAAGGCACCGGCTTGTTCACCTCGATCCACAACCTCTCCCCCTCCGTCTCCCTCTCGGGCGGCGTCAGCCCGTTAATCTTCCACAGCCGCCTGTCCGTCTCGGCAATGTGAAACTCCCAGTCGTACCCCAGCTCCGCCATCCGCGGCGCCAGCACGTCCCGGAACGTGTTGCCCGCGGCGCGGATGGCCTTGTCGTCGTCGCGGGGGAAGTTGTGCGCGATGTGGTCGGCCGCCAGGCGGACAAAGGGCCGGTCCGAGGCCGAGCGGGTGACGCCCCCGATGTAGGTGTTCTCGAGGGGCACCTGGATGAAGTTGACGACGACGTAGAAGGCGGGCAGGCCAAAGGTTGTGTAGACGGAGGTAATGGTCTTGACGAGGGCGTCTTTGGCGGAGGGGTCGGTGTAGGCGGTTGGGGGGTGGTAGATGAGCCAGAGGGGCATGGTGGCGGTTGGTGATGTTGGAGTGTCAACTTTTGGTCTGCAATAGATGGCGCGATTGGTGTGGGTTTGAAGGAACTTGGATTGGAAGAGTATATAGAGACGTTCTCCGGGACTCTGGCCGCCCTTTAAGCGTCAGGGCCAGCCAGAGGTTAAACGAGGTCCGGTGATATCAATGCCGGCATCGTGTCCGGCAAGGCGATACCCTCGCTACTCTTTGATCCAGAGATCACGGCAGAGACCACGGATGCGAACATGTCCCTACGAGGTAGCAATCCCTCGGCAGCAGTTTGGAATCATGTCGCCGGGGTCACTCTCACCCCAGGCCTCAAAATGCGGGTCTCCTGGGTGATGCACAATCGGATTGCGTGGAGCAGCGCAGCGGTCCCCTGCTTCGGAGGCGATGAGCTAATCGCGGATTCTCGACTTCAAGATGCAGATAATCAACTATAAGAGGTCGTTGACTGATTCGTTGCGCGCACCCGGCTTCAACGCTGGCAGTGGCTACGATCATTAATCAACCAAGTCGATGCAGGAAATTGGTAATGCTCTCCACAATCTGGTTACTCAACAGCAGCCTCGGAAGACGAGATGTAGCATTATATGTAGGCGGTGATGGCAGCGTTCGGTTGAAAGAAGCAACCGTTCCGACCAGCATAGCAGAAGAGGGAAAGATAGAATCAATAGACCGAGAGCCCATTTTGAAAATGTCTTCGAAACTCGCCTTCATCACCGGAGCCACGGGCTTCATCGGCGCCCAGGTTGCCGCATCGGCCCTCGGCGAAGGGTACAATCTGCGATTGAGCGTGCGAAGGGCAGAGCAGATCGAGAAGCTCAAGGATGTTTTCCGCAACGACGCCGATAGGCTTCAGTTCGTTGTCGTGTCCGACATCTCCAAGCCCCACGCATTCGACGATGCTCTGGACAAGGTTGACATAATTTTACACATCGCATCGCCAATGCCCGGAAAGGGGACCGACCTTCACAAAGACTACCTCGATCCGGCTGTCAGGGGCACGCTGTCCATCCTGGAGTCCGCCCAGAAGGTGTCCAGCGTCACCAAAGTGGTGGTCATGTCATCGATGCTGGCCATTGGTCCCGTCGACTTGGTTATGAACACGGACCAGTATGTCCCTGGTGGGTTGTTCACATGATGCCTTCACGCAATGAAATGGTAGCTCCAGGCTTATACTGACGCCGCGGCAGCAAATACCGGCAAAAGACAAGAACTCGACCTTGAAGCGCTGTTCCCCAACAACACGGGTCACAGCAACGTCATGTACGTGGCCTCCAAGATTCTGGCCCATCAGGCGGCGCTGGACTGGATCAAGGAGCACAAGCCGGCTTTCAAGCTGGTCACGATCCACCCGGGCTTTGTGCTGGGCCCTAGCCTGATCCGCAAGACGGCCGACGACATTGACGGCATCAACGCCTGGTTCTGGCAGTCGCTCCAGCTGCCGGCGCCCACTTTCCCGCCTGTCATTGTCGACGTGCGCGACGTGGCCGAGCTGTGTATCAAGGCCGCCAAGGAGAACCTGCCCGACGGCTACGAGCTGGTTGCCGCAGGCGCGCCGACGACATGGAAGGACATGGCGGCGTGGGTGAGAAAAGAATACCCACAGCTGGAGACGAAGTTGGTGGAGGACGGGCCGGTTCCCTTCAGGGTGGACAACGACGTGCTCGGGATGAAGTGGCGGCCGCTGGCAGAGACGCTGAGAGACTTAATCGACCAGCAGCTCGCTTTACAAAAGGGCAACTAAGTGCCTGTCATCTGCTGTGCTCTGCATGTACATACTCTGTTGGATGTCTGGCATCTAGTCGATCTGCATTCATGGTAGTAGTAGTGGTCGCTGTCTGAGGTCTGAGGGGGGAGAGTCGAAAGGGTATGCATGGTTCATGGACGAGACAGCTTCGTGGTCAGAATTGCTGGGATCGAGGGATAGATTCGGTTCGATTAGATGCAGCTGAAACTGAAACGAGGGTAGAATTGCAGTCGTCGTGCTTCCCTTTCCCTTCCCGCCGCCATTGGATGAGACATGGCTCCCGAGCTGGGCTGCAGCAATGCAGGCAAAATCAATAGTCCTGGTAAGACAGACGAGGCAGGACGAGGAGGGATTAGACCTGGGCGGGAGAAGCGAGTGGCGTGCAGCCAATGGCGATCGACGATGGCGCAGATGCATCTGCCTGGTGCGACTGGGATGTCCTTTTGGTGAAGAAGAAGTGAAAGCCAGGTTTTTCATGATGGCTGGATGACGGGGCCGAGTACCTACATACAGGTGTGGAGGTTGAAGATTGCGGCTGGACGCGTTAATTGGCGATGCATCAAGTGGGATCGGGGCAAGCCGAAGGCCCCGGTCCGCCTTGGTCTGAGGTGCCTGGGCGGTGCTTGAGGTGCAGCGGACTTACAGTGGTCGCGACGTCATCTAGGGCTGTTTTACAGTGGCTGAGGCGTGGCGTTTAGCGGGAGGGCTGCCTGTAGATGGCTGCGTCTGCTGCTAAAGTCTGCAACAGCTCGCTTCTTCAGTTAATCGATATCGCTTCCATACGTACCTAGCTGCTTCAATCGTTATTGATATCAAGAACCTCATACCGTATCAACGGCATCGCTCTTCAACATCAGCATGCTCTACTCTCCTTGACAGCATCATCAAGCCCTTCAACCCCGTACACACTATACTGAGTCAAATAAATGCACGCACTTGTACCTGTCGCGTCCGCCTCGCGTCCGCCCCGGCGCACCCCATGCAATGCACCCCATCAAGCGTCTCCCGCGCAGCGTGCAGCTTACAGGCCTCTCCCCTGGTCGGCCCCGGTCACGCATCACAGGCGCATCCATGGCCTCACGCATCCCCACGCGTCCATTGGCTTACAGCCGTCCAATCGCGTCGTGCCTCGGGAGACGCGTAAAGAGACGGTACATGCAAGAGCTACCAGTGTCTCGACGGCTGTCTTTTATTGTCTCGGACCACCTCCATCTGAGGCATCCTGATGTCTCATGCTCTGCCCTCACCATGCCACTTCATTCCCTCTCCCCCCTCTACACAGCTCCCTGCTGTCAATCCCCTTCTGCAGCTCCCTCCAGTTCGTCCTCGACTCTCCTGCGCTGCCCCCCTCGGCCCTCCCTGGAGCCCTTCAGCCATCCGCTCCCCACCTCCAGCCCGTCATCCAGCATCCCAAAGTCCAGAATCCCCTTCGCCGGCCCATTTAGAGTTGTAAGCGAACGGCGACTTGAGGCGCGTCGCGACTGAGGTACTTCCGCTGGCCAATTTGCACACGGCCGGCCTTGTACCCGCGACCTGGACGAGTACCGTCGCCACCATTGCTGGCTGCCACGCTAGCCCCCTCCCTTTTGGCCTTGTTTTGCGAGACAGACTTGATAGACCACCAAGTACCGCCCCGGTAGCGCTCGCAGTAACCGGTACGCCCGACGCACCGGCACGGGCGCCTCAACGCCCGTACCGCCCTTTTTTCCCGTCCTTTTCGCATCAGATTCGCATCGCGCCTCCTCGGTGTTTATTAGTACTCCCTCTGTCCCACTTGGGCCTCGCGCTCTTCCTCCCCTCCTCATCTCTTGTTTGTTGCCATCCTTTCTCGTTCTCTCTCTCTCTCGTACACTCGCACCACGTTCGTTAGTCCTGGGGCCGCGGTTCAACCTCGACAACTGCTGCCAGACCGGCCCTGAAGCAGGAAAGGAAGAAAAAAAGAAAGAATCAAAAGATTTGCCGCTGAATTTGCGCCCTTGTCGAAATTGACGTCCCTGACCGCCTTGCTGCCCTTCGTCCTCGGTGAACCAAGTGCCAGCTGCCAGCCTCGCAGTATCAACCACACACACCAAAAATCTCTATTCTTCTTCTCCCACACCAAGTGCTCAACCAAGGCGGAACTGCGGCAACTCGTCGCAGTCGCATCTCTGCTATCCCCATCGCATCGACGTCAAATCGCATCGCCGACTGAATTCTTTCACTGTTCCACCGTCGCCAGCCATGGCCACCGTCGCCCGCCAGCCCTTTGCTCCCCTGGACGGAGCCCGTCTTCAGTCCTTGACAAGCCTAAAAAACAGACAAAACGGTATGTTTATATCCTGTCTCACGTACTGTTCACACAAACGAAAATATGAGACTAACTCGACGCAGCCTCCGTCTCTCCCAAGCGCAAGGCAGAGTTTCTCGAGATCGATAACTGTGAGAATGTCGATCCGCTGCTCTTTGCGAAACGCTCCAAGGGCGGCTCAGCCACCCCTGCCAAGGACGGCCTCACCAAGCCGGTCAACTTCTTCCTCACTCCCAAGCTCAGCACTCCTGCCGCCAGCGCGCGGCCTCTCCCCGGCCCAAGCAAGGCCGCCTCCACGCCGCGGCGTATCTTGAATGCCAAGTCGAGCTTGAGCAAGGCTAGTGTCGAAAACACTCCCAAGTCGTGCCCGGCAGCTCCCGCGGGCCGCTCGCCAACTCGGGGTAAGCGCTCGGGAATCCTGTCGGGACGGCGCCGCGCCACTCGCCTGGACCCTCCCTCTTTCCACCAGGGCTCTGCGCCCTTCTCTCTCGACGCAGCACTGAAAGGCACAATCGCGGGATACACTCCGCGGCCATCCACCAAGAAGCCCGTCGTCCCCAGCCTGCTTGAGCCTGAATCCAAGGCCAGCTGGTTCTTCGATATCCACGAAGATACCGCTGAGCAGGAGATGACCAACCTTCTTCAGCACAGCACCTGCACACTCGACATCTCATCAGATGAGGAGACTGAGCAGCGCGCAAAGCGAGATGGTGCTGAGGGCCGCGACAAGGAGAACATTCCTCCCGCAGATGACGTCTCTCAGACTTCCTCCCAAAGGACCATTCAGGCCAAGGCCGACGAGATGGTTGTTGAAAAGGAGCGAATTGCGCTGGGCGAGATGAACGCAGCCGACTTCTACGCCGAGGGCTGCGACGAGACATCTGTGATTCTGATCCACGAGGATGAGGAGCCAGAGGCCCCCGTCGCTAGTGTCTCAAGCATACCCGAAGAGCCGGAAGAGGAGCCGGAAGAGGAGCCGGAAGAGGAAGAGCTGGAGATTCACGAAGACATTGATGCCCTCATTTCCAGAAGCGACGAGACTTCGTCCAAGGCAGCCGTTTTGCAGCCCATTGAAGGTACAGGCGAGAGCTTTGAACTCTGGGAAAGCAGCAGCGCCAAGGACGAAGCCGAGTCCGCGCCTGGGAGCCCGTAGCCAGCATCCATTGGATTGCGTTGGCGAACGGAGTATAGAGTGTACGGTTTGAATGTCCGGTGAGGAGCGAGCGTTGTGCAATTTGGGTTCTTGTTTAGTCTTGTTCTTTTGGCCGGCCTGTTTGTGATTTCTTGTCTCGTTACCTTGCTTCATCTCTCTTGTTCGTTTTCTTTTCTTCAAAAGTCGTGATCGGGCGCATCAGATTTGCTTTCCCGGGGCTGGGGCGGCGTTTCCGGGTTGGGTACATTGTAGGGAATGGGTATACCAGGAGTTGTTGCTTGATGCGCCGGTCTGCGGCTGTACTTTGTCGTGTAGAGCCTTTTCAAGTACAAGAGTATCGTGCACAGTTAATGGTATTGTTTGAATGCTCTCATATTTCTGGCCTTGAATATGACTCGTGATAGTCGGTATCTGCGCCCAACTGGGAGATCCCTGGAGAGCCCAACCAGAGCAGGGACGCAGTATGACAGTATCTGGAGCACTGTGCAGATCGCAGCCACGCGGGTTTCAGCCACAGGGCGTCACAGTGCGGGCGGCCAATCTTATCATGCCATGATGAAAGCTCATGCATGCATCACACACAAGCTGGGCCTGTCTCCTCGTCTCCCCATAGACCTCGAGCCTTGCCGTCCTCCATTGATTCTCGGCGTTATTTATCGCTCATTGATGCACATTGACACAGTATTCACCGATTGATTGATCTCCTCCATCATCACAAGCCAAAGCAATAAAGAGGGACAACGCGCATCATGTCCTCCATCCACGACCTCGCAGCTGCAGCCGTCGCCGGCACCTCGTCTCCGCAGCCGGCAGCCGCAGCGGCAACGGCAACTGCAGCGGATGACGGCACCGAGAACAAGAAGAGGGGCGCCTTCATCGTGCTCGAGGGCCTGGACCGGAGCGGCAAGACTACGCAGGTGAAGCTGCTGGAGCAGCGGTTTGTGGAGGAGGGAAGACCGGTGAAGGTGATGCGATTTCCTGGTGGGCTTTCCCCCTTTTCCCCTTACTCTTCTATCTGTGACTTGAGATTCAATGCCTCCAATGCTACGCTTAACTGAGGCTTGGTTCAGTATAGCAGAGCATGGCATGATACAGATTGGTATTGACGAGACTTGTTTGCAGACAGAACGACACCGATTGGGCAGATGATTGATGGCTATCTTAAAAACCATGTCGACTTGAATGACCATGCCATTCACCTCCTCTTCAGTGCCAACCGCTGGGAAGCCGCGTAAGTCTCTCTCTGTCTCATCACTCTCCCCCCTCCAGCTTATACACCAAGAGAAGGGGGCAAATCCGCTCACTGAGGCAAATATGCATCCAGCAACCAAATCAGAGCCTACCTCGACGCCGGCATCACCGTCGTGTCGGACCGCTTCTACCACTCGGGCATCGTCTACTCCGCCGCGAAGAAGAACCCGCACCTGCCGCTGGCGTGGGCGCGCGCCCCGGACACGGGCCTGCCGCGGCCGGACGTGGTGCTGTTCCTGGACCTGGACGAGGAGGCGGCGCGGGCGCGGGGCGGCTGGGGCAGCGAGAAGTACGAGAAGGAGGAGCTGCAGCGGACGGTGCGGGAGCTGTTCTGGGCGCTGAGCATGGGCGGCAAGGACATCAAGGGGCAGGACCTGCTGCAGCAGCTGGGCGGCATCGAGGGCGCGGCGTGGAGGCAGGACGAGGAGGACATTGTGGTGGTGGACGCGGGCAGGACGGTGGAGGAGGTGTCGGAGGCGATTTGGAGAAAGGTCAGGGCGAGGGTTGACCGGGTGGAGGCGGGCGATATGGGAAAAGTGGTGAGGACTGCGCTGTGATGGGGGCGAGAAGGAGGAGGATGATGGATTCGAGCTACATCTTCGTCGGCATCTCTTTTCGAACGTTTCAGTTCTGTCTGTTCCTTGTATTTCCCATACTCTTATGTCGCGTCATCAAACCACGGATACATCCGTTCTCATTCTATCTCAGCATCAGCATCATGGTCAGCATTGAGCCCAACAAACCAGCAGGCAATTCAATTCAACAAGCAGTGAACAGCATCAATTCGGGTTTGCGTCCTACCGTAGTTGTTACCTTAATAAATGAAATACCCTGCTCTCATAACCAATCAGCTTGTAACAACTCTGGGTGGTCTAGTTGGTTTATGGCGTCTGACTGTAATGGATAACATCTCATCAGAATGTCGGCGGTTCGACTCCGTCCCCGGAGAAACTTCATTTTTTGCTTTTCTTTTTTTTTTTTTCTAACAAAAAAAACGCCTCTTCAACAATTGGCGCAAAACCCAGCCCAGTTCCGCTCTCTTCCTTGTCCAAATCTTCTTCATTTTTTAACCCAGAGCCTCTTCGTTTGTTTCCTTATGTCTTCCTTATCGAAGGGTTCCCTTTCTACCCTTGGCTTGTCGTGTCATGCCATTCTCCACGTAAGCTACAGTCAAACCCACTTCAACAGCCATTTCACTCCGAAGGCTCGGAGCGCAAGAGTGACCACGATAACAGTAAATAATACCAATTGCTTCAGTGCCATGGAGGTTATCTTCATTATTGTTTCACAAACGCATGTCTGAATCGTTTCAGTCAGTTACTATTTGAAGAAAGTTGCCCTTGAGACAATCATAGCAGTAAACTCCAGGTCGACGCCTTGTATCGGGTCTTTTCCACCTTGTAGATCCAAATACCGTGACTAAGCACCCGCGGCCGTTACTGGCTTCTTCCCCAGCTTATTGGCCTGGGCTCGGTGGAGGGAAAGCACCGGTTTACGTTTTAGCGCCTCTCTTCCACTTCCGATAAGGACGAGCCAGGAAAAGCTCGGAAGGCGGGCGTCATACAAGTTTTTTCTACCTCTCTTCCCTTTGTCACTCCTCCGCCTTACTTCGTTTACCGACTTTCCTTGTCCTTTGCCCTTCTCTTCTACTCGTTGAAGAACCGACCATTCATAAGTCACAATGGCCTCAATTGCTTGCTCGCTGCGCGCTGTCCGGCCTGTGGCCATGCGCTTTGCGCCGAGGGCTGCTCCGGTGGTGCGGATGGCGCCTTTGAGGAGCTTCTCCAGCTCTCGCATGAGTATGTTGAACTCTCTATGCCACTGCTCTCCGTCTACCTTCATCTCGATTTCCTCTCTGGCTGCTTTCCATGAAACACGCCACAAGCCACAGCTACATATCCAGTATAAAGATCAAGAACTTAGCTAACTAAATGCCCCCCTCACAGGCCTCGCCCGCAAGTACACCAAGGACCACGAATGGATCGACCTCTCGGCCGACCGCAAGACGGGCGTCATCGGCATCTCCGAGTACGCGGCCGAGCAGCTGGGCGACGTCGTCTACGTCGAGCTGCCCCCCGCGGGCGGCGAGTGGACGGAGCAGGGCGACTCCATCGGCGCCGTTGAGTCGGTCAAGAGCGCGAGCGACATCAACGCCCCCGTGCGCTGCCGCGTGACGCACGCCAACGCGCTGCTGGAGGAGAAGCCGGCGACCATCAACCAGGTGCCCGAGGACGACAGCGCGGGCGGCGGCTGGATCGTCAAGGTCGAGGTGGACGAGGAGGGGGCCAAGCAGTTCGACGAGCTGATGGATGCGGCTGCGTACAAGGAGTTTGTTGCTGAGTAGATTTTTGGCAATTTGGCAAACGATTCCTTTGTGCGACGGGCGGCGGACGACTGAGAGCTGGAAGTGAGAGGGGAAGAGGGGATTCGCAGTGAGCGGGTAAACGATTAGACGAAGTTCATCGTTGAAAAGATGGGCTGATATGTGGGGGAGGGAGGATGGAGTTGGTAATGAAAATCCGACAAAAAGGGCATTTTCTTCTTCGTTGCGGAGGCAAGGGACAGGGGAGCTTTGCATGGCGTGGGAAGCAGTTCAACCTGACACAGAGGACGAGTGTGAATGGAGTCCTTTGGCAGCCGGACACATTTCAGTCATGGTGTACCAAAATCATATCACACAGTGGGTGGGCTCATATTTCGTTTAACATCAGATCAGATGAGGGTATACATGCGGGTTTGCTAGGCCGGTTTATCAGCGGCGTTCAAATATCAAAGAGCTATGATGATGGCAGCTGCTCCCTTTCTCCTCCGGTGTCCCCTTTTTCTTTTCTTTTCTCCCAGAGATTGTTGCGTGTTGTACAGCGTAGCGTCATGTCATGTCATGTCATTCCGTTGGGTCATGTTCGTTTCACGTTCATTTCGCCGGCGGTGGTGGCGCAGGCTTGTTCTTGTTGATGTCGTCCAGGATCTTGTTTGCGCCCCGGCTGACCAGATCGGCTGCCATGCGCTTCCCAAACTGCTCGGCCTGCTCCGGCGTGCCAATGGGCTCAATGGCCTCGCCGTCGACGCCCTCTGTGCCCTGCACTGACACGACCGTCGCCCGCAGCCTCAGCTGGCCCGGCTCCACCCACTTGGTCTCGACGCCAATGGGGACGCTGCACCCGCCCTCGAGCGCCCGCATCAGGCTCCTCTCCACCGCGGTCGCCAGCCCGGCCTCCTTGTCCTCAATCATGCGCAGCGCGGCCAGCACCTTGTCGTCGCCGGCCCGGCACTCGATGCCCAGCGCGCCCTGTCCCACGGCGTGCAGGATGCCGCCGTTGTCCGACTCGAGGAACTGCGAGATATGGGCGTCGAGCCCCATGCGCTGCAGGCCGGCCGCGGCGAGGATGATGCCCGTCAGCTCCGGGTCGTCGTCGAGCTTCTTGAGGCGGGTCTGGATGTTGCCGCGGTGGTCCTTGAAGCGCAGGGCCGGGTACCGCCTCGCCAGCTGGGCGATCCTGCGCACGCTGCTGGTGCCGATGACGCTGCCCGCGGGCAGGTCGGCGAGCGTCTTCCACCCGTGCTGCTCGGCGAGGGATCTCTTGAGCACGAGGGTGTCGCGCGGGTCCTCGCGCCGCGTGACGCAGCCGAGGACCAGGCCGTCGGGCAGCGTCGTGGGCATGTCCTTTAGCGAGTGGACGATGATGTCGAGCTCGTCCGCCGCGAGCCGGTCCTCGAGCTGCGTCGTCCACAGGCCCTTGCCGCCAAAGTTGTACAGCGCCGTGCTCTGGTCGCGGTCGCCGGTCGTGGTCATGCCGTGGATGGGGAACGAGTGCGTCGGCAGCACGGCCTGCAGCGCGGCGACGACGATGTCCGCCTGGGCCAGGGCCAGAGGCGAGTTGCGCGTGCCGACCCTGATGGTGGAGGCGGAGCCCTGTGCGAGGGCTGGTGTTTGCTCTTCGGCCATGGCTGTGTGTGTGTGTATGTGTGAGAGTATGTGTGTGAGGTGGGTTTATGGCAGAGCGAGTGAAGTAGTGGTTAAAGATGGATCGGAATTTTCTTGGAGTTCTTGGTGGTTCGCAACTGGGCGGGAAAAGTTCCGAATTCCGATGGAGGGGTAGGTAGTTTTGTATGTTTAGCGGGGCATTGACACTGTGCAGGCCTGCTTGAGTGCGTGGCGTACAGTTTGAATTACGGCAGAGATACTGTGGCTTGCAGGGTAGGTTGTCGGAATAGACGAGACACCTTGATGGCTGGCGACGGTGAGCATGAAGCATCTACATGTACTCTGTGCTGGCTGTAAGTACCTACCTTATAGATCGAGGAGACTGTAGGCATTCAAGCCACTCCATGCCTTTTCATACGTCACCTTCTGTTGCTTTGTTTATATCACAAGATTTGTGCAATGTTTCTCAACAGCCGATAATCCGCAAAGATGAAGCTATATATAGCCATCAGACAATATCAGACGACATATTACTCTCCAGCTATAGCCGACCACCCGTCAACTGTGGATTTCACAGTCGAACAAAACTCTGTTATGTGATATTTGATGTTTGTGTCGGATTGATGACTTGTTGTGGCCAGTGATAGGACGAAAGCAGAAAGGAGAAGAGAGTCGAGCCGAGTTGGCGTCACGATCATGACTTCTCCTCGAGACAGAAAGTCAGTGTCTCTCCGATCTCGAGACCCTGGTATTACCTGTTGAGATCTTCGTCCTATCTTTTCATGAAAACATTTGAGATACAGGTTGTGGTATAACTGGGTTATAAAAGGATGGATGGCAAACCGACTTTCACCATCAGCTCTCGACTCACCCGTCAACATCACTGCTTCAACACCGGATCAGACCATTTATCATCGCGTCATCAAAGCCCCTGCCACGTTCATGATGAAACTGTCCCTCACCCTCGCCACTCTGGTTGGGCTGGCCGCTGCCAATCCCAGACCCCAGCTTCCTACTCCCGATGTGCCTCCTCCACCTCTGACCTCTCACTTTCCTCCCGACGACGAGCATACCCTTGAGCCTACAACGACGTCGACTTCCACCTCCAAGGGCGCTCCGCCTTCAGATCCTACCAGAGCACCGCCCGTGCCAGATGGAGCCATTTGCGAATGCGGCTACACCTATTGCGCATCCGTGCTGATGGGCATGAGTACGTGCCTCTTACAGAATCCGCATCTTGGGATTCGCACTGATTTTTATCTCCTACAGAAAAGCCGTGGTCGCAGAAACAGCTGTCCGAGGCGTACTGCAACACGCCCAACGCCAGCTGCGACAAGAACGTGCCGGCCACCAACATCTCGTCGGCGCTGTACATTTGCCTCTGCGACGACCCGGACCAAAAGGTCGGCACGAACCTGGATCTTGTGTGCGGGTGCGACAAGTGTCTCAACATCGGGCCCGACTTCCGGGGCCGCTGTGAGACTCCGTGCCACGCCGGCAACTGCCAGATGCAGCTGTGGTGAGGGGAAAGTGAGCCAATGCTTGCCATGTTTGATACTGTCGGGTTTGGAGGTAATGGGTTGAATGTTTGCTTGTGCCGTCACAGAATGATGCTCATATGCTACGTGAACGTGCTTCCGTGTAGACGGCCTGTGCAAGTACGGGGGCTTTGGATGAGTGCGAGTGAGATGGTGTGGTTTTACTGTGTGTTGGGATAGGCGTTGCATGTATTGATCCGTTAGTCGTAATTGGATAATTTAATAATCTGCTCAAGCTGGCCCTAATTCAAACTCATCAATTCACCTCAAAGACTTTGCCTACATGCGAGCTTCTTGAAGCACTCAGCAGACACATGCAGTCTGCACCCCCGCGTGATCTTCACCTACATGTATGCGTCTTCAATTCCATACCTTTATCTCCCCGGTCTTCCTCTCAGCCTCCCGCCTGCATGGAATTACGCTCGTATGTACGCTCGGCGGCTCGGAGCGCCTCCCACCAGAGCCACTCAAATGCCCCTTCACGACACCCTCACGTCGCTGCACTGCATCATGCATCCCGTCCGCTCGCGCGAATGTCAATGTACGCACTCACCCTGTGCTCGAACAGGTTCCCCAGCTTTTAGCGCCGATGGTCCCCCGCAGTGGGGGATTTAGTGGCCGTGACAGCACAGGCAGACAACCCACCCCCAACTCCCCTAAGCCCCCCAATCGTTCCCCCTCACGCCCCTGTAGCCCCCCCTGTAGGGCTCGGGGAATCGCCTCTGCCCCCCTGGAACCCCGCACATGATGGCATGGATGTTAGTGGTAACGTCAGAAAAGAGAAGGTCCCTCGAGCTCGAGATCGAACGAGGTACATCGCCAGCCGGGGAAAAGCTGCCTGCGGCGCTCGTATCGCGCGTGTACATACATCGAGGCTGAGATGATCCGTACATGTTTCTTTCCAGTGTCGATGGTGATATTTATCCGCTGCTACCGTACCGGTCGTGCGACTTGGAGTCGGCCTGGGCGGGGTTTCTGCACTCTGGCACTTTTCCCGGTCTGCCAGCCAAGAGGCCACTTCTCCTCATGCGCAGGCCTTTTTCCTTCCGGATGCTGTGGTTTTCTGCGTTCTTTTCTTCTTCTTCCCTATAACTCTCCTTTGGCTGTGTCGTGATAGCTGCCGAGTCTGCGGAATCAGTTCGCCTTGTTCTGTGTTGCTGTTGCTCGCGGCGCGCATGGGCTTCGTCAGCTGCTGTTCGCATTGTCACGGCGTGTGAACCGCATCGTCATCAATCTGGTCAGATTTTGGCTCTCCGGGAGAGTAATATTGCGTCTGATTGCTAATTCCGCGCTCTTCCAGCCCCTCAAGACCAAACAACTCGCGTGTGACGGCTGGAAATCGCCTCAGATGAGGGTCGATTCGTGATGGCGTCCTCTGTGCTTCGCCCCCTGGCTACCGAGCTGTACTTGTCGCCATCTGCCGCTTCTTCTTCGCAATTTATGCGATCCCGCATTCGATTCCATGGTAAGAAGAGTGCCTTTTCTTCCATGCCCGGATTACAGCCTCGCCTTGGATATGGGCAACAAACTGACTTGTCCTAGATGTCAAGCCGTTGCTGAGCTTTCGCCGTCAATGGCACGCCTCTACCGGCGTTTCACGGCAGACGGCGCTCGCCGCTGCGGCCACCAAGTCTCTGGCGCTGGTTCGCTATGACGCCCCGGTCACACGAGCTCACGTCCTACTGCCCAAGTCGTATTCGACGGAAGCGACTGCTGCTGTGCCACCTACGACTCCCTACAGCCAGCTCACCGTGGGCGTGCCCAAAGAAACGTACCCCGGAGAGCGCCGAGTCGCATTGACTCCGGCTAATGTGGCCCTCCTCCTGAAGAAGGGATTCTCAAAGGTTCTGGTTGAGCGTGGAGCTGGTGCTTCGGCTGATTTCCTGGATGATGCATATGAAAAAGCTGGCGCCACTCTCGTCGACTCCCCAAATGGCATCTGGTCTGCTGCCGATATCGTCCTCAAGGTTCGCGGTGTCTCCGACTCAGAGATTGGTGCCATCAAGGAGGATCAAACAATCATCTCCTTCCTCCAAGCCGGCCAAAACAAGGATCTCATCAACAAGATTGCTGCCAAGAAGGCGACGTACTTTGCAATGGAAATGGTCCCCCGTATCTCTCGTGCTCAGGTCTTTGACGCCCTCAGCAGCATGGCCAATATTGCTGGTTACAAGGCTGTCCTGGAAGCATCCAACGTCTTTGGTAGATTCCTCACTGGCCAAGTCACGGCTGCCGGCAAAATTCCTCCGTGTAAAGTCCTCGTCATTGGAGCTGGTGTAGCCGGTCTTAGCGCAATTGCAACTGCTCGTCGCATGGGAGCTATTGTCCGCGGGTTCGATACTCGCCCAGCCGTCAGAGAGCAAATCGAGTCGCTGGGTGCCGAATTCATCGAAGTTGACATGCAAGAGGACGGCTCTGGCGCCGGAGGCTATGCCAAGGAGATGAGCAAGGAATTCATCGAGGCTGAAATGAGGCTCTTTAAAGAACAAGCCAGGGAAGTCGACATCATCATCACCACGGCCCTGATCCCGGGGCGACCCGCACCCAAGTTGATCACGCTGGACATGCTCCAGGTGATGAAGCCCGGAAGCGTCATTGTAGATCTCGCTGCTGAGGCTGGTGGCAACTGTGAGGCTACCAAGGCCGGCGAGATGATTACCTACAACGATGTCAAAGTCATTGGTGAGCTGCAACATCCTTTTAGACAGCCCCTGTCCTCACATGCCGTTTTCTGCTAACACGACCGCAGGATATACCGACCTCCCATCTCGTCTGCCCACCCAATCGTCTACTCTCTACTCGAACAACATCACCAAGCTCTTGCTGTCAATGGCCCCGAAAGAGAAGGAATTCGGAATTGACTTGTCTGACGAGGTTGTCAGAGGCGCCATTGTGATGCAGAAAGGAGAGATCCTCCCCCCTGCTCCTCGCCCGGCTCCTCCTCCAGCACCGGCCAAGCCTGCCGCCGCAGTCGTAGTTGAACCCGTAGAACTCACCCCCTGGCAGAAGAAGACTCGAGAAGTGGCTGCCGTGACTGCCGGCATGACGGGAGCCCTGGCTCTTGGAAAGTTTACCGGACCTCTCTTCATGTCCAATGCCTTTACATTCACCCTCGCTAGTCTGATCGGTTACCGTGTTGTCTGGGGCGTAGCGCCCGCGCTGCACTCCCCCCTGATGAGCGTCACGAATGCGATTTCTGGCATGGTCGGTGTCGGCGGCCTGTTCATCCTTGGTGGAGGCTACTTGCCCGAAACGATCCCCCAGACTCTGGGAGCCCTGAGCGTGTTGCTGGCCTTTGTCAATGTCGGCGGTGGTTTCGTCATCACCAAACGAATGCTCGACATGTTCAAGCGTAAGCTGTCCTTGGCCTCTTGCGTTCTATGTCGAGATCTAACGCGGAACAGGAAGCACGGATCCTCCTGAATACCCCTGGCTGTACGCGATTCCGGCTACACTGTTCGGCGGAGGCTTCATTGCCGCGGCGTCGACCGGGGCCGCTGGTCTCGTACAGGCTGGTTATCTCATCAGCTCTGTTCTCTGTATCGGATCACTTTCGGGTTTGGCTTCTCAAGCGACTGCTCGGATGGGCAACATGCTCGGCATTCTCGGTGTCGGCTCCGGCGTGTTGGCTAGTTTGGCTGCCGTGGGATTCTCTCCGGAAGTGTTGACGCAGTTTACTGGACTTGCTGCTTTTGGAGCCATTGCAGGCATGCTTATTGGAAGAAGAATCACGCCCACTGATCTGCCCCAGACTGTCGCCGCCTTGCACTCCGTCGTTGGTCTGGCTGCCGTGTTGACCAGCATCGGCAGTGTCATGGCTGACGTTTCCGATCTGTCGACACTGCACATGGTGACTGCTTACCTTGGTGTTTTGATTGGCGGTGTCACCTTTACTGGATCTATTGTTGCGTTCCTCAAGCTGGCTGGTCGCATGGGCTCTCGCCCAAAGATCCTCCCGGGTCGACACCTCATCAACTCTGGCTTGTTGGCGACCAATGCTGCAACCTTCGGCGCTTTTCTTACCATGGCTCCCGGTGCTCCCGCGATTGCCGCCGGGGCGCTGGCAGCCAACACGGCGCTGAGCTTCATCAAGGGATATACAACGACCGCCGCTATTGGGGGCGCTGATATGCCCGTTGTCATCACCGTGCTGAATGCCTACAGCGGCTTCGCCTTGGTGGCAGAAGGATTTATGCTGGACAACCCTCTCTTGACCTCTGTGGGGGCTCTGATAGGGGTGTCTGGTTCCATTCTATCGTACATCATGTGCGTCGCCATGAATCGGTCCCTGACAAATGTCCTATTCGGAGGCTTAGCGGCACCGTCGAAAGCACTGGAGTATAAGCCGGAAGGCCAGGTAACTGAAACGTCTGTAGAGGACGTCGCAGATCAGCTGGTCAATGCCGAGTCCGTCATCATCGTTGTTGGATACGGAATGGCGGTTGCAAAGGCGCAGTACGCACTCTCGAGCATTGTCCAATCGCTTCGGTCCAAGGGTATCACCGTCCGGTTTGCCATCCACCCCGTTGCCGGGCGCATGCCAGGACAGTGTAATGTGCTACTCGCGGAAGCGAGCGTCCCGTATGATATCGTCCTGGAAATGGATGAGATCAATGACGACTTCCCGGAGACTGACTTGGTACTGGTTATTGGTGCCAATGACACGGTCAACCCGATTGCTATGGAAAAGGGCAGCTCGATTGAGGGAATGCCCGTTTTGCACGCCTGGAAAGCTAAGCAAGTTGTCGTGATGAAGAGGAGCTTGGCGAGTGGTTATGGTGAGTCGATTGCCTCCAACGATGGGCATTCTTTGAACTGGTACTGACAAGGCCAACAGCTGATGTGCCGAACCCAATGTTTTACATGCCGAACACCAAGATGTTGTTTGGCGATGCAAAGGTTTCTTGTGACGGTATGTATCTCCTGATGATTCTTCCCACTCAAGGTCTCTTCTATTCACTAACACTGTCAATAGCAATCAAGTCAGCTGTAGAAGGAAAGTTGCAGTCGTAAGATGGTATGTGAGGCTGGTTGTCGAATATTGTATTGCAGGGCGTAGGATTTCTGCTTGATTCGATCATTGGTTGCGCGGCAATAGATGGGGTTAGACGGTTCGAGTCTGCCTAACAGTCTCGCCTTGCTCTATGAAAGACTTGACCGTTTCTTGATGTCGAATGAGGCATGCTTCGTGTTCTCACAGTAGAAATGTATGTGTCTGTGTCTATTGTTTGATTTGTTTGCGATTGTTGCGCGATTTGAATATGTACACCAGCCGTTCCCGCGAAAATCTCGAAAAGAAAACCACTCATACCCGATCCTTGGCCACCGGCTCCCAGGCGTTGATCTTGGGCTTCGTTCTGCAAACATGTGTCAGCACTCCAATTCACCCAAGGCATCATACCGAAGCCACGCCTCCTATCACGACGGCAATCAGATCCAGCAGTTTCACACTCACGTGTTGTACGTCTTAAAGGCGCCCCTCGTCATGGTATAGTTGGGCTTGGGCAGCGCGGGCTCAAAGTGCCTCGTGCCGGTGGCGATGAGGGGGTCCTCGGTGGGCGGCTTGTCGACGGCGTAGCTGATCCAGGCGTGCCAGCCGGGCTCGATCTGGGCGGCGTCGTAGTCGTGCTTGGCGTAGTCGACCCAGCGGGTGCGGAGGGGCAGCTCCTCGGTGTTTTCGTAGAACTTGTTGCCGGCGCGGTCCTGGCCGATGAGAGTGCCGTGCTTGGTGTCGCCTGTATTGCTCTCGGGTTAGGGGAAGACTTGAGGGATGGAGGATGGAAGGGGGCGTACCAATGTACTGGGGTGGAAGCGCGCGAAAGAGCGCTGTGCGTTAGATGGGAGTCGTTATAGGGAGGGAGGTTGGAGGACGAACCAGCATCTGGCGGAAGTATTCCTGTTGTGAGGGAAAATGGAAAGTTAGCAATGCTGTGGACAGCGATTGAAGGGGGCCGTGATGATGGGTAGGCGTACCTTGATGCCAATCTTGCGCAGATTGCCCAGAGTCCTCGTGAGGGTCGACATGGTTGCGGGCGGACGGGCGCTTTCTGCTGCCTTGAATCGTTGGATTGGAGTTCGTTTGGGATGAAGCCGGCGATGGTTGAGGTCGGTTGAAGATTCGCGGGCGGCAAAAGGTCGGCTGAATTGTCGGTTCACCGGCGCCACATGCGAATGCTGTCGGCAGCTACGATTTTCGATTTCTTTCAGCTTTCGACACCAATTACGGATTGAATTCTTCGATTTCTTCATCTTTCAGCGATTTCGTCCAAAGGCGCAAAATGATCGTGCGCAGCTGCGCCCGTTGCGCCTCGAGGACCCGAGTTCTGCGGACGAAACCCAGCATCTCGCCCCCGCGATACCAGCTCCGAAGCTATGCGACGCCTCACGGCGCTGCTGCGGCACAGGCTCACGGCGCGGGAGCCGGAGCGGCACCGGGGCTGCTGGCGCCGATTGTGAGCGAGCTGGATCGCATGGCGCCGAGCTTCGACGTCCGGGGCGACCAGATCCGGATTTTGAAGACGCCGGCCGAGTTTTACGAGACGCTCAAGGTGCGAAGACGAGACGAGGACGACGTTGCGGTTCTACAGAAGGAAGAATGGCTGGGGCTGATGGTAATGAAATATTGTAGGACCGGATACGGCATGCTAAGAAGAGGATATTCCTGTCGACGCTGTACATTGGCAAGTCGGAAGAGGAGCTCATCCAGACGCTGCGGGAGGCCCTGAGGCAGAACCCGGAGCTGAAGGCGAGCATCTTGACGGATGCGCTGCGGGGGACCCGAGAGTCGCCGGAGGCTTCGTGCGCTTCGCTGCTGGCGCCGCTGGTAGATGAGTTTGGGGCCGATCGGGTGGAGATTCGCATGTATCACACGCCGAATCTGACGGGGCTGCGGAAGCAGTACGTGCCAAAGAGGATTAACGAGGGTTGGGGGCTGCAGCATATGAAGCTGTATGGGGTGGATGACGAGATAATCATGTCTGGGTACGCTGTTGCCGAGGATGAGGTCGATGCGGGTGATGGATGCTGACTTTATTGTGTAAAGGGCCAACTTGTCGTCAGACTACTTCACGAATCGGCAGGATCGCTATCACCTCTTTTCGTCGAAGGAGGTGACGGACTACTTCCGGAGCATTTACGATGGCGTCGCCTCGTTCAGCTTCCTCGTTGAGCCTTCAAAAGAAGATGCTGCTGGCTACACACTCTCCTGGCCGACGACAAACTCTGCGCCATCGCCTCTCGAGAAGCCGCAGGCTTTTGTCAAGAGCACTACATCTACACTCCAGGGCCTCATCGCTGCGCCCGAGAAGCAGCCAGACAGTGACATTAAGGATACCCGCGTATACATGCTCGCGCAGATGTCCCAGGTTATGCGCCCTGATACATCAACGGAGCTCCCCGTGCTGTCGCGCGTTCTCGAGAGTTTGTCTCGGCCGGAATACGCTGGGTCATCGTGGACATTCACCGCGGGGTACTTTAACCCTGCGCCGTCGTTGACGAAGTTGCTTCTTGAAACGGCTTCGAGCAACAACGTCGTCATCACGGCGGCGCCGGAAGCCAATGGGTTTTACAAGTCAAAGGGAGTCTCGGGGCTTTTGCCGGACGCCTACGTCCTTCTCGCGCGCCGCTTTCTCTATGCCGTGCAGCAGCGCGGTCGTGAGGGGGATATTACCTTGAAGGAGTGGCGCTTTGGAACGGCTGGCCAGCCTGGCGGGTGGACGTACCACGCAAAGGGGCTGTGGATAACGATGCCCGGCGAGGCGAATCCATGCATGAGCATCATTGGCAGCTCCAATTACACAAAGAGGAGCTATTCGCTCGACCTCGAGGCGGGAGCTTTGATTGTGACTCGGAACGAAGCGCTCAAGGCGAGGCTGGGAGAGGAGCAGAGCTGGCTGCAGGATCATGCGGCCAAGGTTACGATGGATGACTTTACGAGGAATGAGAGGAGGGTGAGTCTCAAGGTGCGGATCGCCATGTGGATTGTGAAAGTTGTGGGAGGTGCTTTGTGATTGGGAATAGACATAAGGGATTGCGTTTTTCGTTTTGGGCTTGGGGGAATATAGATATGAGATACCCAAACGGGATGACATGGATGGATTATATAGACTGGATGAAGTGAACTCATACTGGGCGATGAGAAGTCATGATATGCTTATTGCATTCACTACTACCTATAACACGTCCGATCGCCGAATCGGCAAGCGGGAAGAATCGCAGTACGCTTGATTGCAATACGCTTAATAGCAATACGCTTATTGTGACCACATCTACATCACACCCGACTGCCGAAGTGGCGCACGTGAGGAATCCCATGGGAATTTAAGTCCGAGAAAAGGCTGAGCCTTAACCACGGATTTAGGAAAGGTGAATTGCTCATCTGACATCCTTTGAATCTTATCTTGCCATAGGTGTAAATCCTTCAGCCATGGATATAAGAGAGGTGAGCCTCTTACATCCATGACAGTCTCTGAATCCATCTTCCCCTGCGCGCTCAATAACCAGCTTATAACTATTATCGTCACTTTCAGCATGGCTCCAGAAGAGAAACCCATCATCCTGTATCACTATGCGAACTCTCCCTTTTCAATGAGAGTGTCATGGTATCTTGCCCTGAAAGGAGTCAGATACCAACAATGCGTACGCAACACCCTCAGCTCCCTCCCCAAGTGTAGAATGCCAGCTCAAGTCTACAATAGATCCAGCCTAAAATCATGCCCCGTCCAGACATTCACCGTCTGGGCGTAAAATACAGACGCATACCCATTCTCACCATAGGCAGAGACGTATACTTGGACACTCGACACATCCTCACGAAACTCAGTGAACTACCCCCCGGACGAGAAAATGCGCGTCTTTCCATTACTACGACTCCCGAACAGAGGGCCTTGCAGCATCTTCTCAATGTCTACATCATGGACACCGGCTTCTCGCGGCTTGTCATACAACTTGTGCTCTTCAGCCACAAAGGTTCAGCCGATCCTGCATTTGTAAAGGATCGTTCCGAACTCGTCGGCAGCACTGCGTTCTTCTCGCCGGAGAGCTGGGAGGCGACGAGGCCGGAGGCGATACGGAGGGTGAGGGCCGGATTCGAGTTTCTGGAGACGACGCTGCTGTCTGACGGGAGGGAGTGGCTCCTTGGGACTGCGGGGCCGAGTCTGGGCGATATCGAGGTTGCGTGGTCGTTTCTGTGGTTGGAGAGGGTGCCCCGTGAGATCCTGGAGGAGTGGTGCTCCAAGGAGATGTTTCCAAAGGTGTTTTCTTGGATGGAGAGGTTCAAGGGGGTTGCTAAGGAGGCGGAAGAAGAGCTTGGTGAGGTGAGGACGGTGAGTGGGGATGAGGCTGCGGGGGCGATACTTGGTTCGGAGTATCATGAGGCTGAAGGGCGAGTTGACGAGGATGATGTCCTGGTGAAGCAGCTGGGGTTGAAGAAGGGGGCTTTGGTAAGGGTCTGGCCGAGGGATACGGGGGTGGACCACAAGGAGGTGGGGAGGCTGGTGAGTGTTGATGGGGGGGAGGTTGTTGTTGAGAGTGAGGCGGAGGGGGGAGGGTCGGTAAGGATTCACGCGCAGAGGCATGGATTTGCAGTTGCGCCGTTTGAGGGGTAATGGGTTGACACTTGTGCAATGGTTAGTGATATCGCTACTCAAACGAACGAAGATGGCAAAGAGTCATCCTTCTACACTCAATGTACAAAAATGGAAAATCTACCACTTCTATCGATTGCTCAATGAGAGGCAGACATGAGTACATTTTTGTGAAAAAGATAGGAGTCGTCTGCGTGTGATATTCGTTGACAGATATCAAGAGTTCCCATAAGCATTTACTGTCTGAGTCTTCCTCTACGGTTTGATATGTGTCTGTAGGCCTTTCTTATACCTCATGTGATATCAAGTCTGTGACTCATTTTTCTTTCTTACATTAGTAGGCTGTATGGGCTTATGCGGGGAATTGACACATCTGATCCTAGAGCACGCAAGTTCTCAATGACTCAGAGCTGCAACATCTGTACACACGCATAGTCGTCAGAGCTGTTCTCCTCTCGGGCGTGTTTTACCTCCTTCTATTAACTGTACTGATCTTGTATCTGTCTCTTATTCTTCTTTTACATTGCCATTGGGTACTTTGAGTTATTGAGTAACTTTCTCAGTTTCCGTACGTTTTGTATAGCATGGCACCGCTCAACGAGGAAGAGGAGTATGCCTTGGCTCAACAAGTCCTCCGCCAGCTTGCACAGACAGAATATGCCTGTTCAGCCTTGACAAAGCTTAGTGGCGGAACAGCAAACTTTCTCTACCGTGGACTCCTTCTTCAACCGCTCGAAGGAGAGGCAGATACGGGAGCGGCGCAGACTGTCGTGATCAAACGTTCGACTGGTTATGCTGCCGTAAACCGGGAATTTCCCCTTGATGTCTCGCGCTGCGTCTTTGAAGAGACTATGCTCCGTGTTCTGGATGGTCTTTCACATATCGTCATCACCCCTAGCGGCTCTACGGTGGTCTTGGCACCGCGATGCTACATGTTTGACCGAGATACACACATTCAAGTTCATCAAGACTTTCCTGATACTATAGACCTCATCAACCTCTTACAATCGACCAAGCTTGATCACGTTCTGCCTGGACCCAGCAGCCAATCAGTTGGTTACGCCTTGGGTTCCTGGCTGCGCTTCTTCCACAACTGGACCTCCGAGCCAGCCCAAGCTGAACTTCGGAGAAGAGTTGGGCCCAACGAGGGCATGCGTCGGTTGAAGTGTCTTATTACGTACGATAGCTTCATCGAGATTCTCGAACGTCACCCTGAGACGATAGAAGGTCATAAACAGACGTTGGAAGCTGTCAGAGATGCTATGAAATACGAGTTTAAGAGGGTACCAACTAAAGGAGATAGGATTCGTGGTATTATTCACGGGGATTTCTGGGCTGGCAAGTAAGTCAAAGTTCTTACACAACTCCATTGCTCTCCTCAGCATAGACTATGGCAATATAGTATATTACTTCCAAGCAGTTCATGGCCCTAACCAAAAACACAGCGTTCTACTACCAGACAGTCCCTGGCATGAGAAAACATCACCTCAAGGACCAAACAAGCTCGTCATAATCGACTGGGAAAACGTCCAGGTCGGCCACCGCGCCGTGGATATCGGCGGAATGCTAGCCGACCTTTACGAACGCAAACACTTCAAAGACATCGCTGCGAGTATACCCATCATGCAAGGCTTCATCGAGGGTTATGGCCCGCTGAGCGAAGAGCTGGCATTTAGCACTGCCGTTTATGCTGGCGTGCATCTTATTTGCTGGTATTATCGGCGAGATCGGAATGCTCCTTTGCCGTATCCGTTGCCAAAGGTCTTGGATGCCTTGACTTTGGGGAGAGACTTTGTCCTCAAAGGCTGGGCTAAGGACAGGGAGTGGTTTGAGAGTTCTGTATTAGCGGCCTTGTTTATGAAAAAAAAGTAGCTCACATGTAAGAAGCAGCTTACATAGAGATAGAATGCTCCGCTACTTTGAACATGCCGCAGGACGCCCTTTCCATTGCCCACAGTTGTCTGATAGAGGTTGAATGACCTCTTTACATATCTCCCCCCACAACTCGTTTGTATTCCACTCCGTCCAGCGTTTCATAGATGCCCCGTAGACGCAATATCTCACGGCTTGTTCGTATAACGGTAATAGCGTGTTATAGTCATCGTCTAGCCACTGAGCAGCAAGAGACAATCTCGTGAAGTAATCTGATGAAATCTGATTTGTCACACCGGCAAAGCGATGCTCCAATGTGGTCTGATGCCATATCTCGAGGAGCAAGATGCCGAGTTCCAGGAGGGTAGACTTGGGTTCGGCGGTATTCACTCCGTTCGCATCCGTGTCCTCGATCTTTGCGCAAACGAAAGGTCGGTCAAAGTCTGCAAGCGATCGTTTCCGCTCACTCTCGGGGTGTAATAGGAATGATATCGAGTCTTTGGACCACGCTTGGCCGAACCACCGTGTTTGAGCATATTGAAGTAAGCTTGAGGCGAGTTTCGAGGCGAGTAGCATGGCTGATTGTAGGGGAAGCCTTGCACCATATGCCCCGGAAGTTTCCGACAGAATTTCTCGGAGAGAAATGGTTTGGTAATTGTTCTTCAGGATTACCGTCTGCTCCTTGGAGGTGATGAGGCCCATTCTATTGCTCGCATGTAGGATAAAGGCAACACGTTGTGCCTCCTCATGAGCCGTTACAATAGCCGAGCAAAAGTTGTCTATAGGGACAAACTTCGATCGTAACGGGTCGGAATCCTTGACTTCCACGCGATGTTGTCCAGAGACTCTCACTCGTGAAAGCGTTGGTACCAGTTCTTGAGGGCTCGCATCGCTCTCATCTTCCTGCATATACTTGACGGAGAGCTCATGGCATCTCGTTTGGATGGGAGCAAGAATCTTTGCGGCGAAAATCAGCTGAAAGGCCAAGATCGCCCTTTCCTCATCACTCATCTGTTTGGTAGAGCGAAGAAGTCTAGATGCCACGTCGACTCGGTCTTCAAGAAAGACGTGCACGTTATGCTCGTTATGGCATGTTCCAGTGCAGCAACGACAGAGGGCCGTGTATAGGTTCTTTGAAGCACTTTGAATACGGCGGAATGCTTTGGCAAGTCTCATGTTGCTGGATGATACTAGTGAGCTGAAGGGCCCATCTCGATTCATCAGTACGGTTTGCGAAAATGTATGGAGCGTGCTGGTGGCAGTGTCTAGCTCGCTGATGCTCTGTTTTATGGCGTCGCTCTTCAAGGCAACCTTGAGCCGAGGAATGATGTCTGCCTTGTGTTTCTTTGCCGTCTGATTTGCTTCTATGATTCCGATGAGATCTGATGGGTCATCCTATCAAAGCAATTGAGGAAACTGTCAGCCAGTTGTTTCCAACTTGTACACACCACTCATGACTGTGAGGCTGCCGTACGTACCTTGTGTGAGGGTATCAGACCGTCCAAATGCTTGGCCACTTCTTCCAAGATGCCCTGGATATCCAGCACTCTTCCGGTCAATGCTCTATAGTTATCGTCCCCGAGAAAGGCCTCCACCTGAGCCTGGACGTCGTCGTCCCTGAAATATGCAAGAGAGTCTCCGCTGAGAACCACTTTCTCGTCGTAACCGTAGCCACTTCGCGTGATGATGAGACGAATTGTTTCCAACAACGTTTGCTGATGTAGTAGCAGAGACCTCGCCAGCTTCTCGACATATTTTCGCTTGCGGAATGCGAGCTTGCCCTTGCCATAGCCATCACGACATAGCTCTGCGCCTGCAATGAGAATGGGGATTGCGTGAAGTACAATTCCAAAAGGTTCGAAGCTCGACATTTAGTAATGTCGCGTCTGCTAATTCATGCGACTGCGCTCTGGATGAATGGGTCATGGACAGACGTCTGCTTGTTGGATGCAAGGTCTGGTGGCGTTCTCACAGTGAGGCTCTGCTGGTGCGGGGGATTTCTGGTCAGGCAGTCGTATAACGACGCAATTGGTTGTATGTATGTGGGCAATGGTGATCGAGGATACATGTAAGGTAGTTAAAATAGGTAGCATACGCGAAATAGGTATGGAGTAGCCGGGAGTGCCAGAGACGCCAATGATGATAAAATACAGGGTTCGAGCCAGAATGCGTAGAGAGTGAAGCATAACTGAATGGAACGCGTAACATTGGGACGTCTGCACTTGGCTACATGTAAATACTATTGACTGCCTTCCCATACTTGGATCAGTACGGAGTACCCCGTATCAGGCTAATACTCGGCTTCCTCTCCCTGCAGCGTTGCATGCAGTGTGGCCAATTGATTGTTGGATTGCTCTTCCCCGCCTGCGGCTCTCCATAAGCCGTCATACATCCCAGTCGTTGAGCCTCATGTCCAGCCCACCGTCCTTTTGCCTTCTCTCTCCACTACTTGATACCTATGATAACGGCTTCTGCTCTGAGAATATTGAGTCCTCGTCATCAGATGCTACTCACCACTATCTCTTACGATGGAGTCCCTTGCCGATGCGGGTCTCGCAGCAATGCATCGGTTCAAGCTTCTCCAGCAGTTCGAGATCTCAGAACCAGCTCGTGATGAGTCAAGGAACTGGCCAAAAGACCTTTTTCTGGCCCAGTTCGATCGCTTCGAGCTCTGGGCGGTGAATCTTGGCGTTTTTGTAATGGGCCACGGCTCCCTGGATTACAGGATTCGTGATTCAGAACACATGAGAGAGGCAATACTGAAAATGGTGAAGAGCCTAACTAGGTCTCTCGACGAAGGTAAAGGCTTCGTCAAATTGTCTACCGATGCCCTTTCTAACATTATCTTCCAGTCCTTGACTATCTCAACGGAGATATCGAGCAAGAAGATGAAGAATCTGACATTGACTCTGAGATGGAGTCGGACATGGATCTACTTCTTGACAGTGTCAAGGATCCCATCGATCGCCTGTATAAGCTGGCTGTTTGGATCCGCAACCCAGCGGCTAGGCTGCCGTCTTCAAAGGCGAGAGACTTCCAGCAAATCGATCAAGAGACCAAAGTTGACCTCTTCAAATCCTTTGAATCATTTGACTACGATTATGTCCGGTCTCTTTTCCTGCAGTATGAGAAAGATAAAGCTTTGCAGGAAAATCCAACAGCCAAGCCTCAACAGGAAGTTGGCGACATCGATGATCAAGATCGGGTGTGGGAACCGATCAGAACGACGTTGGAGTTGAACAAGCTGAGCATTTCCAACGGCAGCGAGTCGTACCTTGTTCGCCGCATAGCTCGAGCAAATGGACGCAGGCGGCAGCAATTTGCTTACTGGAGAAAACACAAGGACAAGCTCCGCGCACAATCATCTGTTGTCATCGACGCTCCCACGCATGAGCTGCCAAATACCGACCAACCAATAGAAGGCGGAGGAAAGAATAATCCAACCAAAGCCCTATTGACCATCACTACAGCGACTCAACTCCCCTTGGCAGATGGTGCCGGGAATGAATTATTTGAGAAGAGTAACGTCCTGAATGTCGCCGTTTCCGAATACGCTCCATCAGCATGGGAGCCTAGCAAAGACACTGTTAGCTTTCCATTGCCGCCAAAAGCATCTACAAAGGATCAGTTCTTTGAGTGTCCATATTGCTATACAATTTGTCCTGCTTCCCTTCTCGCAAAAAGGGCCTGGAGGTAAGGGTTCTCCTGTGGATTTCAATTGGTAGCTTTGGACTCCTTACAATCGGCCTGAGCTAACCATCTTCCCTCTAGAGCACATCTGATACGAGATCTAAGGCCTTACATTTGCACCTTTGAGCATTGCTCAACTCCTGAGCAACTGTATGATAGCCGTGACGATTGGATCCAACACGAGACTTCGGCACATCATACTATTCTGCGATGTCCTAAGCATGAAGAAGAGACCTTCACCACGACGGCGGCATACGAAGCGCACATACATGAGCATCATCACAACCAGACGCTTCCACTCTCATTGGCCAAGTCCATTACCGATATGCATAGGAGCTGTCCAATATGCTCTAGAGTTTTGCAGACAATACAGCAACTACAAAGCCATATCGCCCTTCACCTTGAACGTTTTGCCATGTTTACACTGCCTCGCTCTCTTGATGAGATAAAGGGTTCGGACCTCGAAAGCCAGCCCGCCGGAGTCTCTTCGGCGTCTGATAGATCTTCCAATGGGTATTCAGATTCAAACTCAGAGGTTGAAGGCAGAGCTGAAGATGTCAAGATGAGCATGGACTCAATAAAGAGGGGTATACTAAGTATATGCAAAGATTTCGTGAAGTTACGCTCATCAACGCTGGAACAACCAGCACAAGATGCGACAGACTTCTTCCAAGAATTGGCCGGAATCCAAATGCGGGTGAAGCATTGCGAGAACACAGTTAGAAACTGGACGTTTGGCAATGCAACAAAACGCGTCCTCCTTGAGTTATTCAGCGAAATATGCATCATGGCTGGTATGGTAAATGAGGCTATTGCAGGACTTGAACAGTTGGAATCTCTTGAGGTGGGCTATGGTGACCGTTCAGCAAAAATACGAATAAAGCAAAGATTGGCGGATGCTTATGGAATAATCGCCATGTTGAACGAAGTCGACGAGCTTTTAAAGAACGGAACAGACATTCTCACAGAACCTGGAAAGAGTAGTGCTCTTGGCATCTTCGCTCGTACTGAACCAGGGATGCTGCACGCTGAGACGTTATGGGGACCGCATATTTGGAGAAAGGAATCAAGGAGGGCCCTGAGAGCCCACATGGACAACATAAAAGCTGTGGAGAAGTCGACAGAGAAGATGAAGGAGGTGTTGCAGCAGGAGGAGGCTAAGAGGAAGTTTAAGCACGCTGTCCGCGAGGCGGTTGAAGCTGAGAAAAAAGCTGAAGAGGACAAGAGGAGACGAGAGCATAAGGCTACTGGAACCACAGAGGGTCCGTTTATTCCGGGAACTGGGCATATATCTGGTGAGGAGGGTCATATCGCATCTGGAGCGGCCAACACATCATCAGAATGGACCGTCAGTTCATCAAAGTCGGAGGTCACGATGACTAGACGAGACGGCCTGAGTCATAAAGAGGGTATCAGATGGAACCATGACGGAGACGAAGGCTCCCCAGCGGTTCAGAAGTTTAACTCGGGCTTTCCTTCACCGCGCTTTGTGTCGAGGGTTCAAGGGAATGCAATTGAAGAAGAAGCAAAGCTAAGCCAACAAGTGCGGGAAGACCCCGAGATGGAAGAGGAAAGAAAGCAAGTCGAAAGAGAGATCCGGATATTCAGACTAATATGGCACCCGCTGTTGGTTGCTGCACAAACTGAGAGACTGCAAGAGGAAAAGGAGTCAAAGTACAAAGACACGAGAGTCGATTCGGCTGCACATGTGCTGGAAATGGAACTCATGGCATTTCAAAAAGACGTCGAAGTGCTCGAATATCAGTTTCTTGCTGAAGCCCAAAAATCAGAGAGAAGGGAAAAGGCTCGGGTATTGGTGACTAAAATGCAATCATTCAACTGGAAAGCTATTGAGGAAAGATTGGAGAAGATGCAAGCTGAGAAAAGGAAACGACGAATTGAACAAGCACAACAAGAGTTACTTGACAGCTTGCAACGCTTTCGAGCACCTCTCACGCAAGAGCGAGAACAGTCCCTGAGTCTGCTTTTAGATGAGGAAGATGCCTCTCAGCCGGGGAAAGGGAAGCAAAAGCAAAAGTAGCCCGAGCACAACTACCTAACTCCAGAAGCGCAATCGAATAGCGGTGAACTATTGGGAGAAGCTCGGGGCTTTTTTGGACGGCGAGGGGAGACGATACAGTGGAAGAATGGGAAGGTCCTGACGACAATTAAGTCTTCCGACCCTTCTCTAACTCCGTTCCATTCCTGTGAGCTAGGATTCTCCGTGAGGGAGATGATTTACTACGAAACTGTAAAGAAGGCCTCAGATTCAGGGGTTAACTTGGGATCCCCCCTGCTATATTTTGCGATACTCGGCAATGTCAGGGCGGGTCAGCTTGCTATGTATTCTCCGTCTATGTATATATATATCTCACGAAAATATCTCTTTAGCATTCTTAGTATGCCATTAGAGGCTGCTTGAGGAACACCCACCCATTTCTTCACTGGGATGGTGTTGTGTACATGCTTTGCGGACTCTGACCAAACTGCTGTGCATTCGGCTGCTGCTGTTGCTGCCCTGCCAGAGGATAAGCCCCAGACGACTGTTGCGGTGGCATTGAACGCGGGACCTGCAAGGGGCTCTGTGCCGCAGTAGGGCCCTGAAACGAAGCGTTACCCGGAGTATCATTTTGATGATTCCAAGTTTGGGTAACAGAAACATGCTGCGGCTGCACCTGGCTGGAACCAGGATAGACGGGCTGCGGAGCAAGAACGGTTTGGTGCTGATAAATCTGCTGAGGAACACCCGCTTGCTGGAAAAGTTGCCGTTGCTGCGAATCATGCGGGGGCTGGAACCCCTGAGGATATTGAGGTTGCTGCAGGACGTACTGCTGTGGTGGAGGAGGAGAGTTTGGCATGAATACTTTTTGCTGTGGCAGCGGCCCTTGTGTTGCCTTGAGAAAGGCGGCCATTTTATCTTGTCCTTTGTGGCTCATTCCGGTAGTGTCGACGACACAGTTGTTCTCGTCAATCCAGACGGCTCGTAGCCTGCCCTCCTTGGCCCGTTGAGCAGCTCCGGTGCCGTAGAGCGTGTTCATGTAGCTGGTAAACTCGAGATAGGCGTTTTGCACTGTTTGGAAATGCGCCTCGCTCAGGTTAATTACAGCATCCGGCTTCAAGATGGCTTCGTGGCTGTTGCCCTGAGCTTCGTATTCCGCGAGGGCCAATGCCGTTTGACAGGCGTTGCGGATCTGCCGTCCGTTCCAGCGAGCCTGTGGGTGTTCATAGTAGTGCTTGGTTGCAAATCCTCGGATACTTGACCGGTCAATGTGTATCACTCTGTTCTTCTTCGCAAAACGGCCTTCAATCATAGTCAGGTTGTTGTCGAAGATTTCGAGAGTATTTCCAGCGTCCAGCTCTGGGTAGTATAAGCTGACGTGGATCCTCGAGGTGAAGGCTTCGTCAAAGTCTCCAACACGGTTGGTTGTGAGGAAAAGAATTCCAGCGTAGTACTCCATAACTCTCAAGAACACTGTATGGCTGTTTAGTGAATGTAAAATGGCAATAAAGATGCTTCAAGTGAGGATGACGCACCTGCTACCAGCCCATTCCGCTGAAAGTCCTCTTTAGTTCTCTCAGCCAGAAAGACGTCGGCCTCGTCAAGCAGCAGGATGCAGTCCCATCGATTTGCCAATGCAAAATTGGTTTCCAGGGCCATTTCGACTTCAGCTGCCGTGGTTCCAAGATCCCCTAGAAGTGGGAACAATTACGACCAGTGTTAGCTTCAGATGTAGCGAAAGGGGATGGCAAGCATTCACGTACCGCAGGTGATTTGGAACAGCGGCTTCTTGAAGAGTTCAGCTATTCCTTCTAATTTGGAGAACATCCGTGTCAGTAGACAAACATGTTGGAAGAGACGTATGCCAATATCACAAACCGGCGGTAGATGTCTTGCCCTGCAGGTATTGTATCAGTAGTGAAACACATGTCAAGAGAGGATTCTTTGCTACTCACCACTCCAGGCGCGCCGTGAAGAAGCAAGATCAACCCCTTTCCTGTGTCACTGTCAGCATATTCTACATATTAATTTCGTTTGCTCGACTCACCTTTTCCTTTAACAATGTCAAACTGTTGTTGGTGGCCGCTTGTCAACCTTTTGTCTCGAAAATGCTGTGCAACGAGGGACACAATCATGGACCTGTGTTCCTTCTTGATGACCAGGCGATCAAAGGCCGTCCTCTGCTTTTTACTGCCGGTAGTATTGGGCGCCTGCTCATCAGACAGCACGTCTTCGATATCGGGTGCTTGTATGGCCGTCATGTAGGTAAGGTCTAGTTTGGCTACGGATATTATATCAGCAATGAAGCACAAGTCGATGAGGGACCTCTTGAACAACTGACCCCATTTTCTGGTACGCAAGACAAAGCCGAATACACGATACGACATAATGGCCAATTCGTCGTCTGACACACTAGTAGCGTTGGCACTGCTAGCTCGCAGCTCACTCAATGGCCGTGGCAATATGGCGACTGACGGCTGCTCGTCCAAAGAGGTCACGCTGGGCAAGAGACTGTTGATGTAATCAGTCTTCTGCTGCTCGTCCATATCCAAGTCGTCATATACAAAATCGTTGGAACAGCATGGGCCGTGGCAAGCCCTCAATTCGTTGTCATCTTCTACCCCTACAGGAGGATTCCCGATGAGCGTCTGTAAGTCCGGCTTCCACGCCTTCTGCGTCTCGTCCTCGACGGAGAAGGCTGTTTCAAAGTCGACAACGACTTGTCCTTCGACATCGTCTCGTGTGTCCAAGGTCGGCCCGGCATAGTACATGTGCTTGATGGTCACCACATCGAGAAACATGGCTCCTCGGCGGATCAACTTCTGTCGATATCGTTGGTCTGGAGGAAGCGCCTCGACTTCAGCCCACATCGAGTCGTCAAAGTCAGACCGCTTGACAGGATGAAAACGAAGCGGATAGACTTCCAGCAAAGTTACCTCTTTCTCGCCCTCAAATTTCTTGAAGTAAAAGACTTTGGTGACCGGGCCGAGATTCTTGCCGTCGAAATCGATATAGATGCAGGTGATGTTGAAGGGCAACGACCTGCGCTTGTCTTGGGCATTGCTGTACCACCTCTCCCACGGCGACGCAGCTCGGTGATTTGCGCTGGAGACGCCGATGACTCTATAAGCCTGCTTTCCATCGCTCCCAATGACCTCCATTCCCGGACGAAAAAGGAGCCAGAGGTCCGAAAATAGAATTTTGCGGCACTGAGGCCCGCTGAGATATTCAAGCCTCTTGGAGATGTCAGACTCTATAAAGTCCAAAAGGCATCGTAGGTGGACCAGTGCCGTCGGAGACTTTGTGATGTCGGTACTCCCCTTGTCTTGCTCTTCCTCCTCTTCTCCCTCTTCTTCTTCTTCTTCTTCGTCTTCGTCTTCGTCTTCCTCACCCCCGTCACCCTCTTCGGCGGCTACATCTTCCCTCTCGCCGCCAGGCCTGGTACCACCCTTGACGCTGTCTTGTGCAGCTTGCACCGTCTTCATGGCCGTAAATTCTTTCGCAGAAAAGCTTTCAACTGCTGGAGATTCTTCAGCCAGCGACGGATCCGGACCATGTCCAGATGCATGAGTGTCAGGGTTTGATACAGTAGACGGCTCCTCTGGGGCATCCAGGTCGTTCTTCTCTGCCTCAGATACGGTTCTCAACTTCTTCTCGAGTGCGGTGTACCAATCTTGCAACGCCCCTCTGCAGTAGAAGATGGCCCTGAATGGCCTCACAAAGACGACCGTAGAACTAAAATTTACGTCGGCCAAGGAGCTGTTCGCCTTTGATCCAAGGATTTCTGCGAGTATGTATCGAAGAATGGATGAGTGAATTCGAATCCTCTCCGGGAACGGTGCCAGACCAGCTTCGTTTGTCTCTTCCGCCTTGCGATTCTGGACATTCTCTCCCTTACGGGGCCGCTGGCTGGAACGGCCATACCACCGATACTCCCTGAGATCTTCATCGATGGTAGGCTCACCAATGAGAACATCAAGGACATGCGACTTCTCCTCTGCCACAGAATGCAGAGTTTTAAACACGGGCCATCTTACCCGATTTTGCTTGGGTATAACGTACGTTGACGGTGAAACGCTACTGGAATCAAGCCGCTCCTCCTCCTCCTCCTCCTCTTCGGGCGGGATGGGTTCAGGCGGCCTTTCTTTTTCCCTCCTCCTTCTGTCGGCTTCTTCAGCCAGGTAAAGACGGTCCAGGTCCCACTCGAAGTTCTTGCGAAGCCGTTCACGGCGGTGGCCGTAGTCAATCTCGTAATCAAAATCCTCATGGGCGCCAGTATTTGCATCGACTTTGGTTTCGCCGCAATCATGAGTAGGGTCAAAGGGATCCGGTCGCTTGTACTCATAAGGCATATCGAGGTACGAGTTGCGGTAGTTTCTCCCGTCCTTATTATAATCGCAGGAAGCCCAAAATTTCCAATACGTAGGTGGGGATTGAATCTCCCATTCTTTTCGATGCTTGTAGAGGCAGCCTTCCATCCGTTTGTACTCTTCTAGATATGCCCTTCTCTTTGCCGATTCCCCTTCCTGCTCAGCATCGACCGGTGCGGCGCCTTTCTGTCTCTCTTCAAGTTGCTGAATCATCTTCTTGAGATTCGCAATATCGTTGGTGAATCCGGCAATCTCTTGTGCGGTCGATTTCGCGTTGCCGCCGGTGCCACCGTCAGGTCCTCCGCCTTGATTCGAGCTCAACAGCGTCGAAGCCATCGTGGTCGATGCAGGATCGCCAGTCCGGGACTCATTCGTCCCCGACTGGAGGTCGTCAGAAGTCATTTGCGTTTCCCTTTGAAGCGTAAGTTGGATGATGAAAGAAAATAGCTCTGTAGGCTCTATCTCTCTTATATCCTTTCCCCCAGTTTAGGCCAGTGTCACGGCCGTACAAACGACTAGGAGGGTACAGCTGGTCAGTTCCAAAGAGAGATTCCAATACGATGTCACAAATATGCAGAAAAAATCAGCGTGGATAGGACTCACGCGGTTGGTCACTTGGAGTATATAAATAGACAACCCGAATCCCAACTTCTTGTCATGGTCCGTCCTCGCATACAGTTGGTGCCCAAGGCGGTCCGCGGTGATTCCGCGCAGATCGCTGATTTGTTGTTGTGAGCGGTTTGTTTACACTCTGCGCCCTCTTTGAGCCTCCAAAGTGGGATCGTGTAAGCCAAGAGCCTCATTATTACTGCCGGTTACCGCTGAAAGAGGATTGTCAGATGAGGGGTAAAGTGATGATTGGATGCTTTTCGAAGACTCCAAGTACTGCGAGTACGGCGTACGGGACAACTCCCAAGTTACGGCTGTGGACTATTAAGCCGATTACCGCGGCATCCTTGCGGCATTCATGCATGGTCAAGCCAATAACAAGATAGGTGGAGACGATCTATATGCAGAGGCAGGAAGCAGTCGCAGGATTCTGCCTCGCCATGCGATAGACGGACATGGTAATAAATCAGCGCAAGTCTTACTATATCCACTCTCAGAAAGGAGTGGTTGAATGTTGTCGGTAACGTCTCAGTTCGAAAAGGGAGAAACTATCTTCGTCAATATAACTTTCTTCAAGCCCTAGGAATGAGCCAATCCAGCCCCATCAGGACGAGCCTCGGTCATCGCCCCCCCAGCGTGGCCTTTATTGACAATCGCCTTCCAGAGCATCACCAGATGTTTGCGGATCTTTCTGTGCGTTATGATCCGGTTTCCGAAACCTATGTGCCTGCTATGGTCCAGGAGGACGATGCTGTTGCTATGGCATCGCGACCAGTGTTTACGGACATCAACGCGATGAAATTCTGGGAAAGCATCCTCCCCAGAGCCATGTCAGAGCTGAGCTCAACACCGGAGCCCAAAGGGCGGACCGAGACAGCATATAGCATCCGGAACAAGACAAACTGGTATGCTGTCTTCAGCGTGCTCGAAGACGCGAGGTTCAAATATGAGAACAGAGAGGGTCCAATAAACAAGCTGCGTGACATGCGGCGAAAGGCCGCGAACAGAGCCGGGCCGGTGGGAAGCGTGGTTGGAATCGTCTCAAAGGTTATCCCTGAGGGCACCTGTGCTACGCCTGTGCTAGGCGCGTTGCAAATTCTCCTAGGCGTAAGACGAGTGAACTCACAGATGTCGTTGAAAAAACGCTGAATTGGTTGAACTAACAAGAAGAACTCGATTTAGGCAGTCAAGATTGCTGCGAACCTACGTGAAAAGGTCCTGGGAAGTTTCGATGACAACATAGCCATCTTCTCGGACGTCGAGTTGTTTCTTGGGACTTTTCCAGACGATGCAAACATTATAAATGCATCAGTGGATTTGACAGTGGCTGCACTCAAGGGAGTTGAGCTGGCCATAGGGTTCTTCATAAGCAAATCATGTAAGACTTCACGGAAGAGTTGTGATAATGCAAGAAAGCTAAGCAAGGGAATTTCACGTATAGTAAAAAGAGGGACCAAGGCTCTTCTATCAAGTGATGACTACGAGAAGGGTCTGCTTGAAAGCCTTGATTCGATCAAGACGAAAAGCAAAAGCCTCATGGAAGAAGCTTTAAAATCACATATATACGAAGTCCATATATGTAGGTACTCCTCAGTGTAGTTCCTCAAGGGTCGCCAGCTCTACGGGGAAGATGGTACTGATACGCCCTAAGACTCTCAAGAGACGCAAAAGCTCTGTAGAAACATCCAGACTCTCAGCGAAGCAATGGACAGGAAATTGCAGAACTTGGGAGAGGGATTCAACTCTATGAATCTGCTATTGACGGAACACGTCAAAGAAAAAGAGAGTAGGTCGTCAAGTCGTCCAGTCATGGGTTCAAGGAGACGCTCGGAGAATGATCTATGTACTACGGCTACTGACGGCTTGTTTACAGAACTGCTGGAAGCTGCTCGCCAGCAGCTTGAAGTTGCCTACCGCGAGAATCATTTTCTCAGGGCCGAAAACAACACATTGCGTGCCTATTCGCCGCTCAGAAGCATATCACCATTCCAACCGCCGCCGACGCAGATATTGGCGGCACAATGGTACATCAGCCAACAGGATCTACGACAGCTATCGGACCAGTTTGATGTTGATCTTGTTGACCTTGCCTTTGTTGCGGACAGAAAGGGCCAGTTTCCTCCCAAGCAACGACTACAAGCTGAGCAAATCGTCAACACGGGGCTATTCCGCAACTGGGTCATATCGCCCACTTCTTCGAAGCTGCTGATCCATTGGGACAATCGTCCTCCGAGGGGCGTTGCTGGTGTCTCGCCTCTGTCTGTCTTCTGCATGACCATGACGCAGGCATTGAGAGCCAAGCATCAGTTTGTATCTCTTGTATGGTTTTGTGGACGACATGCCGAAGCAGCAGATTCCGGAGGTTGCATTGGTGCGCGTGCCATGGTTGGGAGCCTGATTGATCAGTTGCTGAAGCAACACACATTTGACGCTCAATTTTTCTCTTCTACGTCCATCAACGTTGCCGGGTTACAAGAGGGCAACCTCAACTCATTGATACAGCTGCTATGCTATCTCATCAGGCTTCTGCCTCCGACTGTGTCGGTCTTCATCATCATTGACAACTCTGTCCTGTATGAGCGAGACGGATTCGAGGAGGAGCTGCTGCAAGTCTTTCCGATCTTGATCCATCTCTCCCAAGACAAGACAATGCCCGCGGCTATCAAGTTGCTATTCACAAGTACACCCGGCACCACGACTGTGAGAAGTGCCTTTCAGGATGAAGACCTAATATTGAACGTCGATAACTTGCCGCACATGACGTGGGCACCAAGCGAGGAGCGCATGATGAGGGAGCTTGAGGGAGGGTTTGATTGATACCGAAAGAGAGTCGCGAGGTTTCTCGAGCAGACCGATCCAACCGCGTTTTAATGGCTGGATATGTAAAATCGCTGTCTGATATACGACCTGTGATCAGTATTGTATTTGGATGATAGTTCACTAAGAGAAGTATGAAGGAGTGGCTACCCGATATCGCAGCGAACCTGCTCGTTCACGGTAACATACGCTTCTCTTCTTACCCGGTAGAGAGAGTATGTACAGACCACTAGGAATTTCTATGACTCTGTATGAGCTTACGAGGATTGCTGGTTAGCCACTTCTTATCTACGGTAAACATAGCCGCTACTCAAATATGAACAATCGTTTTTCAGATCATGTCAATTTACAAAATATCTTCAAACAAACAACACAGCAGACAAATCACAAAACCACCACTAAACACTGTGGAACGCTATTCTCACTTATTTTCGCAGAGCAAATTTTTTTCGCCACTAACTCACATATATAACCGCCGTCCTCCCAAATCCGCCTCTTCCAAGGGAGAAACGGGCCTAGATCGACTCAACGACAAGTCCCATCAAAGACGGGTGAGAGAATGCTTTCAGCTTCCCAAGCTTCTGTGGTTGAGTGCTCTATAAACTTTGATTTGACCATTTCATCCTCGAAGCCCCCGTGGTGGAGTGGTTACCACTTAACTCTTATAGATCCAACCTGTTGGTCTTGGAGATATGTTAAGGTCGCCAGTTCGATCCTGGCCGGGGGCACCAATTTTTTTGCGCTTCCGCCATTCATTCTACGTAAAGAAATCTATTTACCGAGCAGGCAAGCAAGAAAAGAATTGATTGACTGGGTTGCTTGGATTGGAAAATGATTGTGCCAGTTGTTTTGTTTTTTGCATTGATTGAGTAGACAGACGGAGGTGTTCGTGCTCTTTGGTTCCTTTCCCTCTGAAAACCTTCCTCCATATGATCCCTTGCATGCGCAAGACGTATCCCACCAAAGTGATGAATGAGTATCTACGACCTGATATACCACGGCTGTTTCAATACGAGGACAATTTCAAGATCATCTCCATGACCTGGTATACGAAAGAATATTATCTGTTGAGGAGGTCACTTGTCACGGCTTTCCGCGAAGGCCGGAGGATTCGGTGGCTGCGGGGTCAAGTCAAGCTCGGTGAACAAGCAACCCGAAGTCGGTCACCAAATTCCCCAAAAGTCGAACATCTTGGATGTGAAATCGAGACTGGAACCATGAGAATGGTCTGACCCGAGTCTCGTGGTGATGACTAGATACGATGCAGCTTCGGCTTTCACAAGATCAACGCTCGTATTGGGCTCCTCGTTAAAGCAGCCCGGCTGAAAGATCGGAGGCGGCAGTTCCACATCAAGAAACTCCGGGGTTTGGGTCCGGTTTGTCTTGGGTTCGGAGTCGAGAGCCCCGATATTAGATCACGATGGCTATCTGTAGTGCCGGCATCGTTCCATGCAAGCGTAATCACTAGCTGTCGGTGTGACTCTTCGTGGAGGAACCCCAGATGCCAACCGATTGCCCAGGACATATAAGTCATCCAGGATCCTTATCTACCTACCTTAGACAGCCAGCTTGTCTGGGGCATCTCCAGCATCCTTCATAGTATGGTAGCATATTGAAGCTGGCGAGCACATTGGGCAACATGACGTGGCTAAAAGCACCGCCCTTCTACGTATGGGTCAGCCTGGCAGCGTCCAGCGTGCCTATTCTCTTTGGGTGCGTCACGGCATATCCAGCTCTTTGTCGCAGAGTGTGCTAACTGGGTTCTTTCAAGGCTGGATACGGGCAGCATTGGTCCTGTGACGACGATGCCTGCGTTTCGCAAGACCTTTGGAGACTTCTCGCCCACCATACACGGAGTGATTGTGTCGTCGGTGCTCATATCCGGTGCATTCACGGCGCTCATCGCCGGAATTCTCGCTCACCGGTTTGGCCAGGTCCGCATCTTCTCGATAGGATCTTTCGTGTTTGGCGTCGGAGCCGCTATCCAGGCGTCTTCTTCCGCTCTCCCCGCTTTCATCGTCGGACGACTTATCCAGGGCATAGGCGAGGGCCTCTTTGTGAGCAACGTGTACGTGCAGGTCTCGGAAATGTCACCAACCAGAGTTCGGGGCACAATGACTGCGTTGCCGCAATTCAGCATCGTGGTCGGTGTTGTTGCCGGCTTCTTCATCTCCTACGGCACTTCTCGTCTCGGCCCATCAGCATCACTGAGCTGGCGTCTCCCACTGGCCATCTCAGCCGCTCTTGGCTTCTTGCTATCGGCAACGTACTGGCTCGTGCCAGCCTCTCCCCGCTGGTTATTAGCCAAAGGTCGAGTGGATGCAGCGCGTGACGTTCTTATTCGCCTTGGATTCGACGACATCGAGCGTGAAAAGCTCTTGGAGGAATCCATGGTCCAGAGCCAGGCTCAGAATGCTGCCGATGAGACCCTTTGGCAGGGCTTGAAACAGACATTTGTAGGATTCAAGGAGGCCTTTTCAGCACCGTTCCGTGCCCGTACCATCTTTGGCTGCTTCATCATGGGCATGCAGCAGCTGGCCGGAATCGACGGCGTATTGTATTACGCGCCGATCCTGTTCCAAAAGGCCGGGCTGAGTGGTGAACAGGCGTCGTTCCTGGCCTCTGGCGTTTCTGCACTGGCAATCCTGGGAATCACCATCCCGGCCACCTTTCTGGCAGATAAATGGGGGAGAAGAACGTCGAGCTTGCTGGGCGGCGTTCTGATTACAGCGCTTATGCTGTTGATGGGGTCTCTGTATGCGGCTAACAAGGTGCATGCCGACAGAGGAGCCGGCAAGTGGGTGGTTATTGTGTCCATCTATCTGTTTGCCATTGTCTTCAACGGGACGTGGGCCATCGGCTTTCGCACCTTTCTTATGGAGAGTCTGCCGAGGAAAACGAGGAGCAGCGCGTCGAGCCTTGCTCAGAGCGCCAATTGGGTATATATCGCGATCCTTTGGTCAATATTACCACAGAAAGCTAACTGACGCAGTTCTCGAACTACCTCGTCGCACTCATCACGCCGGTGCTCATCTCAAAGTCGACGTTCGGAGCCTACTATCTGTTTGCCTTTTCCTCCCTCTTGACCACTGTCATCGTGGCGTTGCGAATGGTTGAGACAAGAGGCCACAGCTTGGAGGAAATTGAGCAGCGATATGTCCAAAGCAGAGGTATTTCAACAGGCATGTCGTTGCCGATGATGAGGATACGGCGAGTCCAAGCAGCTCAGTAGGCCGCAGCCATGGTGTTGCAGAGAGCTAAAGAAATGACCGTTTGTTGCCATTGAATGAATCATGTCCCATAATATAAATCATAAATGCTCTTGCCAGATATGTAAGCTCATCATTGACAGATTGACCATCAATTACTGGAAATAGAAGAAGCAAAAGAGTTGAGTTGATGCAGCTGGAGATCAGAAGAGGGAGGATACCTCCGCAAGCACGAGAGAGGTCATGTGACTCAGCACGTGAAAGGTAGCATCGACTTTCCATCCCGCTGTTCTCACCAGAGAAGCGCCGGTACCAAGAAACCTGCAACAACCAGGCTCCACTCCAATTGCAGGCTGGCGTCGAGATTCCAAAATCGTTTGGAGCTTCTTTTTTCCAGCGCCTCAACCATCATCACTCGCAGACTCTCACGCTTCACCCCGAGGCACCAGAGCAGCGACGACGAGGCTGAGGAACCCCAGCTCTTGTCACCCCAGAACCCAATTTTTTGAGCAAACAAGAGGACGCTGCGCTCGTAGCATCTCATCGCCAAGATGTCGTCCAACAAGCTCGGCAAGATGGTCAGTCTCTCTCCTCCCCGCCATCTTCGTGGAAGCTGTTGACGTTGACATGGTTAGACTAACGAGACGTGATTTTCTTCTAGGCCGGCTACGTACGCACATACCCTCGATTCTCCCATGGCATGCCTGGCCTCAGAGACACTAACGAAGCTCGCAGATCAACTACCGGATGCGCGTGACGCTCCAGGACTCGCGCCAGCTCGTCGGCCAGATGCTCGCCTACGACCGCCACATGAACCTCGTCCTGGCCGACACCGAGGAGTTCCGCCGCGTCAAGCGCAAGAACAAGTCGGCCGCTCCCGGCGGCTCGTCGGCCGGCCAGACGATCGTGCAGGAGGAGAAGAGAACCCTGGGTCTGGTGATTGCTCGCGGAGCTCACATCATTTCCCTGACCGTCGAGTCGCCTCCTCCCGCCGACCCTAGCGCTCGCCTGGGCAAGACCACCACCGGCGGCATCGCCTCGACTCTGCAGGCTGGCCCTGGCGTTGCCCGACCGGCCGGTCGTGGCGCTGCGGCTCCCATTTCTCTGGCTGGCCCGGCTGCTGGTGTTGGTGTTGGCGTTCCTCCTCCGGGATTCCCCTCTTTCCCCGGTGCTCCTGGTGCTCCTGGACCCCCTGGCTTTGGTGGCCGAGGTGCTCGTAAGTTTTCACTACCCCGAGCTATGGCGAGCGGAATTGGTACTAATGTCCTTATGAAGCTCCTCCTGGCTTCCCAGGCCAGTTCCCTCCTCCCGCGGGCTTCCCAGGCGCTCCAGGCTTCCCCGGCGCTCCTGGATTCCCTCCTGGCGGCCCTCCTCCCCCGGGCTTCAACCCCCCTCCTCGACGATGAGAGGCTGTATAAAAGCTCTATTTTCTGCGATACCCACGCGCGCAATCTAGTCCAAAATATGACGTCCCGGGGAGCAAAACAGGAGATGAATATTTGTGGCCTTTTTAGAGAAATTGGAGTATTGGAAATACTTCACTAGGAACCGCTGTTAACTGATCAAGGGTGGCGTTTGGTGATGCTAAGAATGACACTTGGCCCGTAATCTAGCATCAACCGGGTACATGAAGCATGAATCGGATTTGTTTTCTGCATGATATGGAGGCTTTTGGCCGAAGTTTGCTAAACTGATTCAAAGTGAAGTCTTATTCGTGTCCTTACAACATGCATCAAGGCAGATGCGTGCTTATGGCGATGAGACGTGATATCGACAACGATTTCGTAGAAACTGTACGGTTTCAGCTCACATACTTATACAGATCATGTTTCCTAGCATTCCGGGACACATAGATCCACGACTAATATACATCTATTCTGCACACATCTTCCGCATGTCTTCCCCATCACCACTCACAACTCCTTCTCTCCCAGAGGAGGCCCACCCTTGGGAAGCCCATTGACGACGATCCGGCTGACCAGATCACTCTGGTGCTGCTCAATCATCTCCCGCAGCACACTCCTCTCCATGACCACCTTGCCCGTCTCCAGCAGATCCTTGACGTCCACGTCCTCCAGATCGAGAGCCCGTCCCTCCCACGGCACCTGCTCCATCGCCTCGTACAGCCTGTCCCTCCGATCTCCCGTGACGAACAGCGTGCGGCCATACTCCTTGCCGAGACCCAGCGTGCTCAGGACGCCGGACATGTACTTTTTCAGATACGCCTCCCGCAGGCCGTCCTTGAGGTACTTGTCCGCCACGAGGTCAAAGTCCTGCGGCATCGCGAGCTCCATGCCGTCCTCGCAGATGATGAGCTCGCCCCGTCTGTACCGGTAGCTCAACGCCGTGCGCCACGCCTTGTCGTACACCTTGCGGTTCAGCCGGGTCCCGAAGTCGCGCGGGTGAGGACCAAACGTCTTGCCACCGCCTCGCAGGACAGGGCTCTGCTTGCTGCCCAGACGGGCCCTGCCGGTGCCCTTTTGCGGGCGCAGCTTCCGGTGCGAGCCGTGGACGTCGTAGCGGGTCTTGGAGGAGGCGGTGCCCTGGCGGGTGTTGTCGCCCTCGTAGACGACGGCGAGGTGGAGGAGGTCGCGGCGGAGGGGGAGGTAGAGGTGCTGGACGGACCACTGCTCGAGGGACTGGGGCTCGAGGGAGGGGAAGCTGTGGATGGTGATGGGGACGGTTGAGACTAGGAGAGGAGGGTTAGATTGGGCATCTTGGGAAGAGAGTTCAGAGGGTTTGCTAACTTGGGTTCCATGACTGCATGAGGGATTGTGCGGTTGCGGCTGGTTTCGCGGCCTCTTTAAGCGGTGCTTCGGTGGCCATTGATCGTGTAAATTGCCTGCTGAAGGTTGTCGTCGCCGGCTTTTCAAAGAATTAGCATTTCACAGCAGCATTAACCAATCAAAGGAGAAACAGCAGAGTGTCTGATCTCCCGCGCTCGCAACACACCTTTGACGCAGATATCCTCAGCGCAGCCATCGCCTCGCCGAGGCAACCCATTCCCTTGGACGCCATTTTGACCGTCAGTCTTTTCAACTCGCAGCAATTCTTCTCTCTCTCTTCTTTCGGTCCCTCTCCCTATCGCTCGTGTCGTACGATTGAGAGCGACAAGAAAGCAAGTAGAGGGCCGTCGTTGGTGGTGCAAAAGATCGAAATCACCAAAAGCAAAGCGGCGTTTTCCGCCTCCGGCCGCCGAAAAAATTTAGCGGGGCTTAGTTTTGCAACTTCCAGAGAGCATTTTGCAATCCCACCACCAGGACATTTCGGCATCACGAGACTAACCAACTTACACACAGAGACCCGCGCACATTGAAAACAGCACAATGTCGCGGTGTCAGGCTGTTGCCAGGCCATTGGCCCGGCAATTGCGCCAGCAATGCTCCATCCGGCCCTTCACCACGGGCGCCGCCCGCGCCGCCGAACTCCAGCAACAACAGACGTCCTCCTCCTCCCCCTCCTCACAGCCGAGTCCCCTCGACCTCGACCCCAACAGCGTCCTCCCCGAGTTCGAAGCCCCCCTGATCAAGGCGGGCAAGATGCCCGTCGGCTCGCGCAGGCGGCGCGTCGCCCTGCGCACCACGGCCAGCATCCCCTTCGAGCAGCTGCCCTACCAGGCCTTCCAGGAGGCCCGCGCCATCCTCGCCGCCGACCGGCAGGAGAAGGTGGCCAAGATCCGGGAGCAGCTGGGCAAGATTGCGGCGCTCGAGGCCAAGGACGCGGCGCAGGTCAAGGGCGGGGAGAAGATGAAGGAGACGAAGCTGGCGAGCTTGCGGCGGTCGGTGGAGGAGCTCAAGATTCTGGCGGATATCAACGATCCGCTGGTCAAGAAGCGCTTCGAGGACGGTCTGGGTATGCTATCACCGTATCTTCTATCCACTCAATAACAGTTTATGCTGACGGATCATACTCAGGAGACATGAACAAGCCCATCTACCGCTACTACGCAGAGCGCAAATGGCGCTCCTACGACTACCGCCTCATCACCCAGCGCATCAAGCAGTTCAACATCGTCCCCGACGTCCTTCCCAAGCTCGACCCTGTCGCCGACGTCCAGCTCTTCTTCCGCCAGAACAAAGTCGCCCCCGGTGAGGTCGTCAACTCCATCGTCAGCGAGAACCCCCCGCGACTGCGCGTCCAGGTCTTCGACGCCGGCGAGCGCCTCGTCTCGCTCGTCGTCCTCGACGCCGACGTCCCTGACGCCGAAAAGGACGGCTTCTCCAAGCGCTGCCACTTCCTCGCCGCCAACATCCCGCTCGCGCCCACCGACACCTCGCTCCCGCTCAGCCGCATCAAGGCCGCGGACCAGCTCGCCGTCCCCTGGCTGCCCCCGACGTCCCAGAAGGGCGCCCCCTACCACCGCCTCGGCATCTACCTCCTGCAGCAGTGGCCCGGTGAGAAGCTCGACGTCGACGCCCTCAAGCAGCTCTACGCCGCCCGCGACGGCTTCTCCCTCAAGTCCTTCCGCGACAAGTTCTCCCTCACCCCCGTGGGCTTCAACATGTTCCGCTCCGTCTGGGACGAAAACACCGCCGCCGTCATGGCTCGCCACGGCATTCCCGGCGCCGACGTCGAGTTCAGGCCTGCCCGCGTGCACAGTCTGAAGCCACCCGTCAAACCCCGCGGTTGGGAGGCCAAGAGACAGGGCCCTGCGTACAGGCACCTGTGGAAGTACACGAAGCGCATCAGGGGCCTGTCGAATGGTCGCGGGTGGACGAAGAGGAGGTAAAGTCGGGTGAGGGGGTGAAAAAAGGGGTGGAGTGTCATGATAATGTACGATACTATATTCTTGTCATGTGTATAAAAGAAAAACAGAATTGGGTGTGTTCAATTTGTTATGTGCGATATAAAATGCCGGGTAGACTACTGGGCACCATGAGGTATAGTAGCAACGAGAATGCACAAAGCGGCTCGCAACAGACGACATCACGTCTTGACATTCAGGGTGAGATCGATGTGATGCTTATCATGATGAACGAGCCCAGAGCCCAGAGACAATACCAGACTGTTGAACAGTACGTGACTGTTCAGAGTATGTACGATATGATATACGGACTTACACAACTACCTAGAAGTACATATGTGCAGGATTAAGGTAGGTGAGGTAGGTATGTATTCATCCTCAAGGGAGCCTGCAATTGCCCCGATTTCCCTTTACAGCGCCAACAAGAACATGATAATCATATTTCCACCCTTATGAATTTCCCTTTTGTATCCCGCCACTTCGTTTAGCAAGGGCTGAGACTTGAAATTCGATCGCAAGTCGTATATCATAGGCCGGGCATTCCTAAAGCTCATTCATGAAAGCTCCTTGCCTGTTACTTTGCTCCAACTCCAATGGTCATAACGGTACCATCGCCATGCTCCTCATCAGGATGTCCGACAAAGATGGTGATAGTATGGAGTTGCCCAGCGTAGGTGAATCATGCGTGCGCTGTGGCACGTAAAGTCCCCGTCCATTAGTTTCCTCTTTGTAAGAAATTCGCTCCACTTTGAACCTCGTTTCATTGCGAACGTGTATGTTCAAAAAGCGTACTCAGGGAAGCTCATTACTAGACGGCGTCGCCCGATAGCAGCTCCTCGGGCATATAGTCGAGATTGATGCTCTCATGCTTGGGCACGGGCGACTCCAGATTGGAAGGCTGTGATTCTGACGGCGAAGGCAGGGTGCACGACTCGGCAGCTGCTGGTTCTGCGAGCGCGGTAAGTACACACCCTGTACTCTAGAATAAGTTGCCAGCGAGAAACTCACCAGTAAGCGCTGTTGAGGGACGCCTCTCAGAAGCAGAGGCGGAAGCAGCGGCAGCGGCAGCGGCAGAACCAGAGGCAGCGGCAGCAGGGGGATCCATGCACCTTTCAACATATCGGAGAGCTTCCTTTTCTATCCAGAAATTGATGTTGGGGTCGTTGCAGGCCGCATGCGCCATGAGCTGGTTCTTGATGCGAGTCACCTCGTCGAGCAGCGTCAGGTACTCCAAGCGTAGGTTGGTGTGACGCATCTCCATGCCTGACTTGGTCTCCTCCAGCTCCATGACCCATTCCTTCTTCTTCTGGCGGCACTTGGACGCGGCGATGCGATTGCGCTCCAGATTCTTGGTGCGCTGCGCCGTGTCCTCTCTCTTAGCTGAGGCTCCTCGGCGTGCCAGTTTTCGCTTGGGCGGTGGCAGCGGCTGCTGCTGTTGCTGGGGCTCCTGCTTGATCTTGGTGGTCTGGGTCGACGCCGCCGTCTTCTGTCTCTTGGCCCGGGGCTGAGCTTCGGCGGGCGCTGCATCGGCATTTTGGGCTGCGGCCTTTCTCGTTCTTGTCATCATGGTGTTGGTGTTGGTGTCTGTATCTATGTTGGCTTTGGCAGTGTTTGCTTTTGCAGCGGTAGTGTCTGTGGCGCTGTTGGCAGTGTCTGTGGCTGTTGTTGATGCTGTATCCGGCTTGGTCTTCGTGGGCTGATGGCTCTGTCTCTTGGTGTTGTGAGTGCTGCTCCCGACGGCGGTCCTGTTGCTAACCTCATGAGGGGCAACTGTGCTGTCGATGCTGCCAATGCTGCTCCTGTGGTCGCCAAAATACTCAATAGAGCTCCCAGGCGACAGCAGCGGCACAGAATTGGGGGTCGTGAAGTGCGAGTCTGGCGGGGTGGTTCCGTACGGCGATAGCGTCAGGCCGGGATCGACAGCGATGGGATCGAGGCCCGCATCGACCGAGAAATCAAAGGGAAAGCCCGTGATGTTATCGTGGATGCCCAGGCCGTATTCGCCAAAGAGATCGTCGCTCATTGCCGCTTCCTTCTTGTCAATGGATAGCGGGAAGAAAAGCGGCGACTGGACGACGGGGAAAGGCATCAAGCCGTCTAAGTGAGGCTCGGCCGCTGGCAGCTCGATGAGGGGATCGTGGAGATGGGAGCTCTCCAAGCCGTTGCGGGGCCGTTGCACGGTATCCGAGGGCCAAGGACCAGGGGAGGAACCAAGGGGGGGCTGATCCGGGTCTGGGGAGGGGAAGCGCTGGAGCTGGTGGAGCTGGGACAAGGTCGATCGCCCGGTTTGCCAGGCACAAGCAACAAAGAGAAGAAGCGAGGAGAAATAGAGGACGAAGAGAGCACGTCGATCCGGAAGGGCGAGGCAGTCGATCAATTCAGGAGCTGATGAACCTGAAGCAAAATACCTCTGATTAGATTTGTAAAGAGGAAAGAAGATGGCCGATTTGATAGTCCGAGCCTTGTTGGAGCCGAGAAGAAGGAGGGGTGGGAAGGTGGAAGAGGTGGAAGAATGGCCGAGATGCGAGGGGCAGGCGGTTGATGATAAGAGGAGGCGAGGTGGGAGCCGACTGCTTGATTCACAGCGCCCGCAGCTGCACAAGAGCTCGGGCACCTGTTGCTTGATCGTGATGGAAATAACAAGGCGCGGTACCTACTGCCCACATACACATGCAGGTGGAGGCAGGTATAGGTACAGGATGGTAATATAGTTGGTAATGGTACTGATTGCTACTAAATATGTACAGCAGCAGTAGCAGGTGGAGGGACGGGGAAAGCAGAGCTGAGAGGCACGATCCAATCAAGCTCGGTCTCAGGTTCGGGGGAGCGTATAGCACCAGCTGTCGAGGCTGTAGTAGAGCGGCTCGAAAGCGGGAGAAAGCATTGGACTAGGTAGAGAAATAAAGAGGAGAGGCGAAAGGATATGAAGAAGAAGAGGAAGAGGAAGAAGAAGAAATAGAAAAAGGAAGGGAGGAATCCCGGAAGCTAAATGGATCGAAGATCTGCTGTTTTGCTTCGGGTTCAGTCGCACATCCAGCGATGCAGCATAACGCACAATGCAGGCGGGCCAATCCAGGTCGGCAGCGAGAGGACGCTATATAAGCAAGGCAAGGGACATCTGTCGATTCTCATGATGCTACCCGCCAGATACTACTGGGTATAGGCACTAGTCTAGAGTCGAAGCAGATGCCCGCAACCGATTGTGCCGGTGCGCCTCCAAAGCATGTTTTCTGCCTATAGCAACTAGATATTGCGCGAAGGTCTAATGATCGAGGTCCAGTCCTACTCCGACTACTCAGACCTACTACCGCTACTGCTCCGTGCCATAGGGGAGGTATGGCAGAGTAATTTTACGGCTTTGTTGTCGAGCAATTAGCCTTTGGCACGGAACGGAGGTGCGGGCGAACGCTTGCGTGACTGAGGGAGCCGGGACGCCACAACGAGCGAGCAGGTTTTGCCTTTGTGTGGTTCTGTGTGTTTGGCATGCCGTGTTTGTTGGGGTTGAAGTCTAGCAAAGGAATTAGTCGAAAGCCTTGAGTTGAGCCACGAGTAGATAGTGGTGCTCGTTGCGTGCTCTTGTATCGTGCTGGTGGCTTTGAGCTGAAGCTATCAACATCACATGTCCTGCCGTTGATGATCAGTACAACCAACATTTCGTCTTCCGGTACTTTGATCCACCCTGCATATCTGCATCCATACTTTATCTATGTAAATGAGAGCGTAAGGTAAGGTAAGAGCCACAGTCAGCTTCTGTGACAAACAATCAATTGGAAGCCAAGCTCATACGCATGATGGAGCTCCCCGTTTCATGTTCCTGCTGCCTCGCCCCTTTGTGCTTCCAGGCTCTCTCTCATCGTCCATCTTTGCGCAACATTGACCAAGATCCAGGTTTGACTGCATGTTTGTTACCTATGTGTTCCCATTGTTTGTGCACTCATATCTATCTACTGCCAGACAAACAAAGACACATGCCGGCAATGTTCGGCCGCGGCCTGTGGCGATCCCTGGCAGCAGCAGCACGGAACTTGAGAACCTTGGAACATGGAGTGGGAACGTCGGCCAGCGGGTTCCCTTTTAGGGCGATCGCGATGCCGGCCAGCGATCCACGGCCAGGCCCTCGATGTCCGGTGAGTACCTGCGGCAGGGGTACCTCGCAGGTCGACGCAGGAGCACCTGGAGTATCTCGCTGGTAGCTTCGCGACAGCAAACCGAAAGCTGCACTGAAACCCACAACGTTGTTGGTAATCAGTGGCGCAAAGCTCGAATTGGCCCAGTCAGGCGAAGGTGCCAAGTTGGCACGCTTCGGCCCTGTCCACGCAAGCAGAAGGCGACCCTTGCAGTACTCGACTTATACAGTCTCTGTACCTGCAACCGACGAACCGTTCCGACAGCTCCAGCTCCAGTGGAGTCTTACCGGTGAGCCTACAGCGCAGATGGGCTCCCTCCGCAGCCCCCAAGAACCCTCCCAGGCGGCCCCCCATGGAGCCCTACGGGGCACGCAGTCCACTAAGAGCCCGCTGCCAATGGGGCTGCAGGTGCCGTTTGCAGTGGGAGACACCTACCGGACATCGTCCAAAGGGGCTGTGCTGTGCTGTGCCTCACCTTGCAAGCTGCAAGCCACACAGCATTTCCGCCACCCAACAAGCGACCCGGATCTCGAACCTGCTCAAGCATCTTCTCGGACCGTCTCTCGCTCGACTCTTTCAGCAGCACGAATCCTGACAAAGTTCCAGTCGCCTTCCGCGGACGCCCATCCCGCTTCCCGTTAGATTGCGGCCCAACTGGCTGCTCGTATGGACGCGCAGAGCTACTGACTGCTAGCAAAAGCATGGACACGAAGCCCGAGGCCGAAGAGCCCAGCTGGAGAGACAGCAAGAGACTGGAGAGACTGTCTGGGACTAAGAACTGCAGCTTCAACACCACAAAGAGAGCTCATGCAAGACGGATATGAACAGGGCAGCCAGGACGAACAAATGAAGCTCCCCTTGTCGCCCATCGCCATCCGCATGAGATCCAGGCCCCCGCCCGCCCGTCAGGCAACAATCCGGCATCAAATCACAGCGTCGCCAGAGTCGCACTCTGTGCTGCTTGTGCTTGCATTCACGGCTTCTGCGCCAGCGCTGCTGCATCCGCGCACACGCCTGACACGCACGCTCCATGCCTGTGCCTTGGTTTGATGCATCCCGTCGGCCCTCATTGGCCGCCGCTGGCCGTGTCCACGTACCACATAGGCTTGGTCCGGCTCGCCGAACAAGGCATGGCTGCCCTGGCCATCCGGGCGGATGCTTGGGAGGTGCTGTGGCAGCAGGCAAACTCTAACCATGACCAGTCGATGAGGATGTCTGCCATCTGGCGCCGTCTTCTTGGCTGGATAGAGAAGGCATAGAGGTTTCGGTTGAGCAGCTTGGCACCGTCCTTCGCCGAAGCTGCTACTCTTCCCTTGGGTCTCCTCTGGTCTTCGCCTCTCTGAGCCGCTAGACAGCTCCGGCGAAGTTTAAGATAGCGGGCGTTCCTGGAGCTGGAGCTGAGCTGAAAACGAAAACGGGGACATGCAACATGCTCCTCCCGCCGATGGCCCAGTAGCCCCAGTGCCGTCGTGTTAGTGCACACCTGCAGCGTTGTAGCATGGCGCCAGCTAGCATCGTCGCCTCTCGGCCACGCAGCTGCGAGGGCATGGACGGTTTGGCGGACGCTCGGTAGGCCAGCCAAGCCAAGCCAGCCTCGCGAACCACGGGGGAGGCGAATTCCCCAAGACACGGCCAGCCAAAGGTCGGGGACAAGGTTTTGGCCGTTCGTCCCCAAGACCAGGTAACCAGTCGAGCAGAGGAGAGGTGCAGATCATGGCGAGGGCGTAACGACGTCTGGTTAGCTGACCAGGCCGGCGGGAGCTGGTGATGAAGACGACGAACGGTCGGTCCATCATACCACTCTGGCTCTCTTCCCACCCATGGGTAAATTCGACATTCCCATCAGTCAATTCCGGACTACTGCAGCTCTAGCTTGCACGACAAGAAGCCGCGATGACAATCCGGTCGATAGAAGCGAGCTCGCAAGGCATGCAGGCGTTTGCCACCCCTCCACCAGCTCTGGACCATAGCGGTTGGTACTTTCACATGAAATGCGATGGTGAACAGCCTCAATCAAACGTTCTAGACAATCAGCCATCTGCAGAGCATCAATCATAAATAGCCAGATGCGCCTTGGCAATTCGCCAAATCTGCCATTTCTTCAACAAACCACAAGGAATTGAACTCAATAATACACCCGACCGTGAAGCCGATGAAAAGGAAGACAGGACAAATGATATTTCAAGGGCATGTTGCCATGTAAGCCAAGGCTTCTCTGCTCTCTCCATAGTACAAACACAAGCCGCGGCGAACAGCCACGCCGACTTCGCTCCGTCCTTGTTCTTTTGCCATCGCTCTTCACCATCCCGTCTCTTCCATGCCCACATTCCCGCCTCTCAGAGTGTTGGGCAGCATTCCGGTGCTTTGCGAGAAGAAGCTTCTTGTGGCTCACGCCGGGAAGCTTCTCGCCAGCTGTCCCCGATGGTGGCAGAGCAGAGGCCGAAACAGAAAGATTTAGAAGAAAAACAGGTATTTATTGCATGTAAGATCCAATGCCGTCCCCCGGCTCAGTGCCTGGCGCACAGTCGGCGCCAATGCTACCTAAACGTTATCAAAGGAGGGCACCAATCATGTGCCCGCGACGAGACGCAGGTCTGCGGGAGTTTGAAGCCGTCGGGCAACGAGATGGAGGGTGGCCGCCGTGAAGCTTCGGGCAAGGTGTCTCAGTAAGCATGGCATTTGATGGCTTTGCAGCATACATACATGTAGGTTGGAGGCCGTTAGCAGATTAGCTGCCTAGATGATGAAGGCAGCCAGTGGTTTGCAGACAGGTGTTTATACGTGGGTGCGTGCCATCTAATCATCAACAGCTCGTGTCCAAGTAAAGGCATTGACTGGCATAGTGTAAGTGGAAGTGGACAGGCCTTGGATGGCCCGGATGATCTACTATCGTAGACCCCTTCTCCCCTGTCTTGCCGCATCAGCGCCTGTCACAGCCATGCCCGGCCTGTCCCATCCCTGCCTGGGCTATGATCTGCAGCACCGTGTTGGAGAACCAAGCCGTCGGTGACCGGATCCTTGGCCGTGGGATAAGCCAGGCGAGGGACGCCGGTGGGATGTCATTGGTCGCGATGGCCGTGGTGGCATTGGGCTGGGTGAAGAACTGTCTGTATTACATGACTGTAGTAGGATGTGCCGGTTCCCTCTGATTGAGTTCCTGAAGAGCTTACAAGTAAAGCTTGGAAGCCACAAGGTCTGGAATTAGAGGACTAGATGGGTGAGACCGATGGCGAACGATTACTGCCATGAAATAAGTGATCGCCAAGATGCTGTGCCAGACAGTAATACAGACTCACACAGACCGTGAAACTCATGAGACAGTGCAGAAGGAGGATCAGCAGGAAAAAGCCGTAGCACGTGACAGAGCATGTCGTGTCACCTGATCTCGCGATACCACCCACGCCGACCGCGACTCACACAAACCCCGTGTAACGCGCATTGAGGGGCATCAGCAGATCTGCATTGCATTTTCTCTCCAGTAAACCACAGCGAGATTTTGACGATTTGCTGATTCACGACAACCGTTGGTGTGCATCTTGGCACTCTTGATCTTGTCATTACAGTATAGACGACAGACTCGACACGACACCACTCGCATCAGAAAACACAGCTCGTACGAAGAAGCAGAAACAAGGCATCATGTCTGAGCAAATGTCCGCCCCCCGCATCACGGCGTCGTACCTCGACAACTTTGTCGGGCGCGTCGTCACGATTGTCGGCACGGTGACGCAGCTGCGCGGGGATCAAGCGACGATTGACGCTGATGGGATTGTCACCATCTTGCTGAACCGGGTATGTTTTTTTTTCCCTTCCAGGCTCTTCCCTTTTTGGGCCCTGGATGCAGTGGTCTTCATGGCGACTTTTGCTGATGGAACTTGTTGCTGACTTTGTTTTGGGGTTATGTAGGATGCTCACCTTGTGAATGGGAATGCGGCACAGATCATCGGCAAGGTGAACCCTGACTTGTCCATCAAGGCTCTGAGTACCCGCGATGTCGGCTCCGGCGTTGGTACGTCTCCCCTTCCATCCCTCCTACCAGCTCTTCTTTCTTGGAGGCGTTTCCCTCTCACCAAGAAAATCAGCGGAAAGGAGAGACACAGAGACAAAGAGTATACGCTAATCAACCAACAGACATGACCCTCTGCTCCGCCGTCGCGGAACTCACCCACCGCCACAAGGAAATCTTCATCTCCGACAACTGACGGGTTCCGCCAGCCCATGGCGCGAGCAACTACAAGTACAGTCACGATCACGAGCCTCAGCACCAAACGCACATTGCCATGGTCTGGCCCGCAGCTGAACCCGTTCGAAAACCGCCTCCTCCCGTTGTTGAATCTTCGTCGTCGCCTTCGCCTTCTTCGCCTTCTGCGTCGTCTTCAGAGTCTTTGCCATTGCATTCGCATTCGTTTCAACCACAACAGCGGTACCATCGCCGCCAATCCGCCAATCGCCCTCCTCACAATCACCACATCCCGCCGGCCAGTCCGAGTCCCAGAAGTCCACCCAGTCCCAGTCCCAGTCAAAGCACCCAAGACTGGCACCACCACCGCCAACAGCAGTGGCTCGACCGCATCCCCTACGACCTCCCCCCTCAGCACCCCCTCCTCGAGGAACCCTCCTCCCAGTCCACGATGTCATCCTCGATGCCGTCAACGGCTCCCCAGCCTCGTGGCTTCATCAACATGCCGGGATCATACTACTCCCGCTCAAACTCTCCTTCCTCCGAAGAACAAGCCATGTTCCACCACGCGCACGACGACCCCTCGCCTCCATACCAGCAACCTACCAACTCTTCTTCTTCTTCCAACAAAAACAACAGACTCCTCTCCCCGCCACCCTCATCCTTGTCACCATCCCTACAAGGCACCTTCCCACTCATCCCCTCAGCCCAACCCCGTCCCTCCATTCCCTACACCTCATCATCATCTTCATTCTACGAACCATCTCCCCCTCCATTCACAAACATATCCGACTCCACCCAAGCAGCAAGTTCCCTCCCCTCACCACCAACCTCCCAACAGGAACAGCTTCATCACCACCGTCCCGCGTCCCCCGTCTCGGTCGCAGACTCTCAGCCTACCCTCCGTCAAGGCGTCCGCCCAAGCCAAGATTATTCCGAATCTTCATCGCCAATGAGTCCCATTCCACGACCTCAAGTTCTGAGCCACTTCCGTTGTAGCCATGGCCATGGTCGCAGTGACAGCGGAAGCGAAAGGGGGAGCGGAAATGGCAATAGGAGATGTCCTCGAACCGCCGAAGAAACCGAGGCGCTCGCGCTCAACGCCGTCGTAGAGGGTATAGGCAGGATGCAAGTCAACATGAACCTGGACCAGGCAGGCAGGTGGAGGATCGCTCGTCGGGCCGACGCGCCTTGGTAGAATCAGGGTACGGCGGCAGTGGCGTGGCCAAATGGCAGTTCGCGGAGGGAGATTATGAGCGTGTACGACTGGCTTAGAGACGTTGACAGGTTCAAGGGATCGGTCAAGATTGTACAGAGGCATTGGTGAACAAAGGCACAAAATACTTTAGTCCCTGTGAGACGAATATCATGATTTTCATTGCCTATCCTAAAACTACTACTACCAACAAAGACTTTGGTCCTTTCCTTTTTGTACCTGCTACAACTTGATGGCTTGTTTGCCTCATAACACATTGCTGACCAAAAGCCTATTCCAACAACCAAACCATCATATCCCTTTTTACCCTAACTCCGTATTTATTCCTCCGACAGAAAAGACTCAGAAAATCTACCATCTGTCGAAGCCGTAGAGATATCGGGCGTGTGGCCCGACGCCTCCTCGTCCTCCATCATCAGCAGCTCCTGCGTGGCAACCCACATGGCCATGGCCGCAGAGCTCAAGTCCATCGCGCCTCGCCCTGCCCCTGCCAGGGGGCTCACCACTCCGTCCAAGCTTGTATGCAAAGCAGGTAAGCCAGGCGGAACTGGAAAGGGAGCTCCCTGCTCGCTCGATAACGGCGTTGCCGTCGATGGTGATGTCAACTCTTGGCCATCGTCCACCTCCTCAACGACAATCTCGCCTTCAGTCTCCGTGCTTCCACCAGCAACAGGGCCAGCCTCCGTGCTCATGGCACTCGAAGACCCAGCTCCATCTGCCAACCCCATATGAAATCGTACTCTGTGCACGCTATACGACCCCTCCGCATCCTCGCCCTTCGTAGAAACCGTCTCATTGGCATCACCGCTGACCCGCGATCCTTCGCCCACGGCAAGCGAGCTGTGGATGCTCCTGATGCGCCGTGTAAACTTTTGGAAGATGCGCGCCTTTTTCTCGGCAGCCTCCGCCTTTTCCCTCCACCGCTGGGCCTCTCTGACCGCGACGTTCAGCTGCTGGCGAAGAGCGGCCGTGTCAGTATCTGTCTCTTCCAGCAGCGTGACTCTCAGCTTAAGCTGCGCGACCTCTGCCGATTTGGCATCCACCAGTCGGTCCAGCTCCTGCACTGTCTGCTCAATCTCCAGAACGGGCCTGACAAGGACCGATGTGTCTTCGTTCAAGATCAAACTGTCTTGACCTGCGGCGGAAAAGATCGAAACTGGCCCTGCTTCATCGTCTTTTTCCGTCTGTGTGGCCCTTTCATGAGTATCAACGCGTAGAATCCCGTCTTTGCTCCCACTCGACTCTTGTGCGTCATCCTATTTGCCGGCCGGAGACCATGGGATTGCAGACGGTCTGCGATTATAAACTGCCATGTCGTGCAGTTCCACATCCGGAGCAGCCTCGGAGCGGTGGACAGGCTTTTGTGAATCGCTCTGACTTCGCGATAGCGCGGGCTTCTCGTCATCTGCCCCTTCAGCTAGGTTGGCATCGTTCAACCAAAGCTTCCGAGCCGCCCCCGGAGAGTCATGCCCTTCAAACATGGCAGCCAGGGCCTTGACAGATCTCCTCTTTGTCGGAGTTTTGCCGTCCAAAGACTGCTTGCTATTGTCGGCCTCCTGGCTATTGTCTGACTCAATTGAAATCAAATCTGGCAGCCGAGCTTCATTGTCGCCTTTTTCAGGTCCCGAGGGGTCGAAGGCTTCCGTCGATGAAGTAACCTCAAACGCCCTCCTCTTCTCCTGCACCCTGTCCGATAAGGGGGATCTGATAGTACGGTGAGCATGTGCCTTGTTCACGCCTGAAGTCCCTGACGGAGGCGTCTGTTTGATGTTCAGCTCTGCTTCATCATTCCCAGGATCTGGCATTCTTGTAGGCGTGGCACGACCGCGACTGCCGGTGCGGGAAGAGAGCCGCGGTGGGATGGCTTTCATGGTTGTGCTCTGGCTAAAGCTGGCGGTAGCATTGCCAGCAGGCAGACGGCTGCTTTCCAAGCAGCTACAGGATCGCATCACAGGCACGCTGCTGCTCCGTCGAGCTCCAGAGACTCCACCAGTGATCTCCTAGATCAATGGCTTGGAGACTGGCGTGGCATTGCCCTTGGCTGCGGGTGGCTGGTGAGCGGCGTGGAACATACGGCGTCCGCGATCAGCCTCTCCCTGATGGCCTTCCTCTAGGGTCGGGCTTAAATGGGTGGCAGATGTCTGTCGTCCGCTTCCCTGTCTTAATAGCCGCGTCTTGCCTGGCTTAAGCGATCCTGGAGAAGCTCCCGGCCCAGGGCTGCCTTCGTGAGCTGCAATCGCATCCGAGTCGGCGGCAAGGCTGGCCGTCAGCGATACAGCCACGGATGCAAGAGGAGCCTGCGTCGACGCAGTGTCCTGGTCAAGGTGCGCGCCCAAGGCGAACATCTGGCGAACGACATCTCGCCAGTTGGCAATCAGCATCTCGGCAATCTCGACGGCCACCATGGCTTTGTCAACATCGTGGTGACCAGCTTTGGGGTCCTTGGGCTCCTTGGGGTCTTTGGCATTCTTTGCTTTCTGTCGATCTCGGCGCTTCTTGGGTGATATTGGGACGAGTAGCGGACCAGAATCTGGCGTGGTCTCCTTGACGGTATAGCCATCGATCAGATCTCCCACCAGCAGCGGACCAAAGACTATGCCGAGGGCGTTGTATCCCATGAGGTCGTGGGTTGGGAGAGGTCTGCCCTCCTCATCTTCACGCGGAGAGACTTCGCCAATCCTGCCGATCATGCTCAGCAGGCCAAACACGGCAATAATGAGCTCGCGGCGGAACTGCGACTGAACGGTGCCGATAGCCAGCGCGATGAGGCGTGCGCGAAGCCTCGTCTGCTTCGTTCTTGGGTACTCTGGCTGGCCCTTGAGCTGCGAATGAATGGCAAGAAAGGCATCAAACAACGCCAGTGATCCCAGGATCCCGCCGGGCAAGCAGGAGAGGAAGCGCTTGAAGGTGGATGCGACATCCTGGACCTGATACTGGATGTGCGTCGGGAGGGTGGCAAGATGGACGGTTCCAGAGACCTCAGACGTGTTCTCGCGGGCACTGCAGTAGTAATCGTAGAGGGTGTTAACGACTTTGACTGAGCCCGGGATACGGAAAAGGCCTCGAGTGGCGGCGTTCTGGGCGATGTAGTGAGCAGTTGCCCGCAGGCACGTTGGCAGATTCAGGACGCATGGGGCGTATTCGGGGGGAAGATGCAGCAGGCTCTTCCCGCTCAGCCGTACTATGTCTGCGAGGTCAAGAGCCTTGGATGCCTCGGGCTTGCACCGCATGAAGGCCCCCAGGTCAGACACACTCCGTTTGTGCGCTGCTCGGCACGCGGGAGTGGTCTTGTTTGGGGTCGACTGGCCGGACGAGGGTCGAAAGATGCGGAAGAACCAGCCGCGTCTCTCCGGACTCGTGCCATTCTGGATACGGCGTCAGCGAGGTCAGAGAGGATAGACATAGCAACGACATGTGGTACCACCAGGAGACGTGTCACTTACCCGCTGGTTTGCCTTGGAGTTGGAATCGTCAACTACAAGCGGCCTCACTCCGTACTATTCCATCGTCAGCCGGCCACGCTTTCATCATGCTTTGAACGGGTATCACGCTACCTTTGCCGCCAGCCTGTTGTAGTAGTTGACGAAGAGCTCTCGCTCCTCGACGTCGTCAGCATCGCCGGGGAACTTAAACCCCCCGCTGCTCGGCGTCCACGTGCGGCTGCTGGGCGGGTTTGCGTTGCTGCTGAGCAGCGTCTGGACCGTCACGCTGTGAGGATACGCGAGGGAGACGCTGCTGGACACGCTTCGGGCTCGAGGCACGGACTCCATCGTTGCGATGAATGGCGGTGACGATGAAGGTGCCTTGATAGCGGTCGAATCAGTTTCTGATGCTGCTGAGAAGAGGGAGTGTTATGCCCTCTGACTGGAAAAGGAGCTGAAGAAGGGGGCTGAAGATGCTTTGTAAATGTTGGCAAGATTACAACGTTATAGGCGTGAGTTGTGAGTGAGAGGAATGAATCAAGTGAGAGAACCTACCTTTACTCGCTTCTGTGACGATCTCAGTACATGTAGGCAGTCTCCGTCGTGCTTGAAAACTTAAGCAGAGTCTCGCGTGTTCCAAAACAGGACGGTTCAGCTGCCTCGTACACAGAATAAATAAAGGCTAAGGAAGGAGAGAGGACAATGAAGGGGGAGGAAAAGCCGGTATAAGTAGTCCCAGATCTGCTGGCTCAAGTGTGATCTCTCCAACGCTTCATACCTCACTTGTCCTGTTACTGCTATATAGTTCAGGGCAGGTCAACCCAAACGTGAAGTCAAAACTGTGGCGTTGGAGCTTCGCGGTTGAGTCATCTCTCCAGTGCTATACCTGTCCTGTTGCTGTAGCACCTACGAGAAAAGAAGTGTCCGAAAGTTAAAGCATCGTTTGAAGGCTGGTGTTGAGCTATTGAGGCGGTTTGATGGGGTCGGTATTTGGCTGACCCAGAGAGACGAGAATGATCAGTGCCTCTGATAAGACCATCTCCACAGATTCCTTTTCAACACCACTGCTCGCCTTCCAACCTTCTTCGTCTTTCCACTGTTCCTTTTCACAGTGATCATTAGCTCGTGCCTGCATGTAGCTGCAATTTGCTCGTAACAGAATAGAGGTAGCAACCCAAGAGGAAGCTGGGAGTCCATAAAACAAGCTCTGGGGCACAAGGACTTGAACAAGGTTAATCTTTGACAATATCTAGGGTACCTTCTTCACCTACTTCTACCCTGGGTAGAAATATCCCCGAGCCCAAAATAAAACTAGGTTGCCCGTGTCGACAGCCTCATATGCTATCTCACAGTAGAGATATGACCAAAGCGGCCGAACAAAAACCAGAGAGACCAAATATAAAACCCACCTTATGCAAGCTCTATCAGTTGATTAAGAATGAGAAAAGGAAAAAAAGAAATGGCACTATAGTAAGTATATACCAGAATCCTAGCAGCTCGTCGTTGCCATCCTAAAAATCATGAGTACGCCGCACCAGATGCATCCCTAAGCCCCGTAACCGTTCCTCCGTGTACAACCGCCCGTCGTTCATATCGTTTCATGCGGCGTTGCGCCACCGGCTACCACTCACGCAGAGTCATCTTCTTCGCCGTGGAGCAGCACGTACTTCAGGATGTCGGAGAGCGAAATCACACCCTTGAGTTTGTTCTCGTCGTCAACGACAACCAGCCTGTGGACGCGGCTCTTGCGGATTGTGTCAAAGATGGAGTCGAGCCTGTCGTCTTCGCTGCACGTAAAGATGCCGGGGTTGTCCTCGGGACGCTTGCACAAGGCCTCACCAACGCTGCCGTTCAGCTCGTCATAGGCTCCCCCCTTAATGCACGGGATGATGTCGACGGCTTCAAAAGCGTTGAGAACTCTGTTTTCAGAGTCGACAATGGGCACGCAGCTGATGTTCCGGTGGACCATGAGGTTGATAACCTCGAGAACCGTGGTGCCCATGCGCGCAACGGCCAAGTCTGTGTAGGTCCCCAGCCCGAGGTCGCGAACAGTCTTCTTGAGTAGGATTGTGTTGTGTTCGTTGTTGACGGCAATGAACTTGAGGATCCGGTATTGAGTGATGACCGAGATAACCGTCTCTCTGCCCGTCTCTTCATCGACGTCGACCAAGGGGATTCTTCGCGCGCGAGTCTTGAGCATGCGTCGAAGCGCTTCGTACAGAGGTCTCGAAGGATGGACGGAGACGGTTTCGATGGGCGTTGCCCCAATGGCCTTTTCAATGTCTATTCCCTAGTTAGCCTGGAATTGCCTGCGCTATAACGGTTACACAGCACGAGGGTGTCAAGAGGGGGGAAGGGTTACCTGGCAGACTAGCGAGACGGAATTGATCCAGCTTGCTCATCTCATCGGGGAACTGGCAGTGATACTGGATCACGTTGATGTAGTCGGTGGCAGTGAGGATGCCCGCAAAGCGCGAGATGTGCGAATCCCACAGGGGGGCAGACACAATGGCTACGGTAGAGTCGCTCGTCAGCATCGTGACACACTCCCAAAACAAGCAGGGTTCTGTTGTCGGCGCCTCCAAAGCGCGGGGAGCGCGGGGCAACATATAATATGAGCCGTCTGGAAATCGGTGCCCGCTTACAGTTTTGGATGAGGATATTGAGACTCTTCTTAATGAGTAGATCCGTATCGAGCACGATGAGGCGGAAGGACAGCGGCAGCACATCGTAGCTGGTGCGCTTGCGGAGGAATTCGCGAATCGCTTTCTGCGCAGAGGCAAGGGCAGGTCAGCAGGTGTTGAAGTGAACAGAAGAGAAACTTGAGGGAGCGAAGGAGAGGGATAGAGAGCTTTGAATAGAGGCATAGAGGCATAGACGCAGGCAGGAAGACATGGAGAGACACAGAACAGTAAGCAGCAAGATCAAAACGCACCAGGCCTTGTCGCTGTTCCTTGTCTAGAGGACTCAGCGGCTTGGGGTCTGCTGGAGGCGCATCGGCCATATCGCCAAAGTGAAAGAGGTACGACGCGGGGGCCACGAAGGGGGGCAGTGGTGCAATCGGCGGCCGACGAGACTTGAGGCCGGACTTGAGGCTCGTGACAGGCTCGGATGCAGCGGAGCCGGGAGTGGCCTCGGACTCGGAGGAGGCTTCGGGCGAGGTCCCGGGCGACGGCGATGGCGATGCGGACGAGGCTGCGGTCGATGCAAGGCCGAGGTCAGACGCAGCAGCAGATCTGGGCTCCGGGCCGGGCTCGGTTGGCGGTGACGGCGGAGCAATTGCGGTCGCTGCGTCGGGCGGATCGCGGCTGGAGGTGGTGGTGACGATGCTGTTATTGCTGGTGACGATGCTGCTGGCGGCGGCGGTGCGTGTACGTGCTGTGTCGCTGGCGTTGTCGATGTTGAGGCTGCCGCTGTCGTTGTCGACACTCGCCCTCGATGCGCTGCTGGGGTTGTTGATGCCTGGTCCAGATCCAGGTCCGGCTGCCCGTCCGCTATCGCTCCAGCCGTCCATCTCGCTGGCTCGGCTGCTTCCAGGCGTCTCAGCGGCCAGTGCGGGGGCGCCGCCCTGTAGCTGAGCGCTAGCAGCCTGTCCAGCAGCGCCTTGGTCCATTCCGGCACCCGGGCAGCGATCCAGTGTGATCCAAGTCAGCGGGCTCTTGACTGCAGGCTGGCGAGCGAGGTTACAGCTGGAGGCGCATTGGATGCATACGAAGTCGCTCAAGGATCGAAATCGCAAGCCTTTTGGTGTTTTGCGACTGCAAAAGAACGCAGCGGAAAAGGCGATGCGACGAAACAGGCAGTGCTGCGGCCGATCGCAACGGGCTTTGAAATTAAACTGCTGTGCAAGTGCATTATCGCGCCTTTTTAGACGTCTGGTCCTTGGACAGATACGGGCGGCTGCGGCTATTTTGCGTCCTCAACGAACGGGGGGCGGATGCGACATTGATTGCAATTGATTGATTGCCTGATGCTGCGAAAGAGCAGCTTGTGGCGGCGATCCGCTGCGCTACTGTGCACGTTTGGGGCTTAGACATGCTGAGGGCCGTGTCTTGGGTGTGGCATTTTGTCCATGCCAGTTCAGCGATATCGAGAAGACGAATCGACCATCTATGATCTGGTGCATAGGTACTCCGTACATAGCACGAGAGTGCTTGCGTGGTGTGACTCCTTCCATCTGATTTTGCTGGGAGACGACAGCTACAGGTGTACGAGAACTCATGTTGATGCAGGCTTTGACAGATTAAACTTGTGTCATCCAACGATGACAGCCTCAAAGAACAGACAGAAGACGGAGACTTCGAGCACTGCGCCTGTGGCAAACTCTCTCTCGTCAGCGCAACCCGGAAACGGACCACCCTCTTTCTTATAGTCCATGTTATCTGTCACTTTTGCGCATCAACGCCTTGAGAATCCATGGCAATTGATATCCGATAGCCTCCAGGCAGGCAAGTCATGCTATGTACTTCGCACTTGTACATCCAACTGCCCGGTTGTCTCGCAGTTTGGGAGTCATCATCACCTTAGCCGCCAGGTTACCTGACGTCACCGTGCCGGATCTATCAGAGGCCCTCAAAGGCCCTTTTTCCCTTTCAAAGGGCCTTTCTGCAGGGTTTTCCTTCGTACATACATACGGAGCAAGGTGAGGGCGATCCCGTTTGGTGCAGCTGCATATGTGTATGTGATGTCTGCCGCAGAAATGCAAAACAGCTCCTGGTTCAGGCATGATATTCCCATATTTTGGAAAGTTTGTATTACCCGTGGGAGCGATAAGATAGATAGTCAACGTGGTGGTGCATCCTCGTACGAAAAACCATCCATCCATGAAAGCGCATGCCCGCATTATCAATGGCTATCAATGGGTGGGATGGATGCCGTTTTTGATATTCAATTCCCACTGTGGGCTTTGGCTAATAAAGTGCATGTAGCATCCATGTCGGATTACGTCGGTGTGGGCTCTCCAATGCATCCATTGCTCGCTTGAGGTGAGTTCAATGTCGTGTGTGTGCGTGTGTGAGGTTGTACCGTCTCTCGCCCACCGCCCATTTTCACCCGTGTTCAGGGTAGCCGATCAAGGTGAACTAAAATAGAAGCGCCGTTGACTATCTTGCGTTGCCCATCTTCCATTGGCTTTCTTTGTTGCAACGAGGAATGTTTCTGTGCTTCAGATTGATTCATTGACTGATCAATCGACAGTCCAATGCTCCGTATCCCATGGCGACATTGGCGGCATCACGACATTACTCGAGTCGTCGTTGGTCACAAGGTGCAGCGAACATTCGAGCGCCAAGCTGCATTCTGCACATCTCCGCCTTTTGGCCCACGAACATGAACCTGCCTTTGACGCTCTAGCCGGGGCCGTTGCAAAATTTTCGAAGCGATTGCGACTGGTCGGAGATGCTCGAGCCTCTCTCATCAATTATCGTCGTAGCCGCCGGTATAACGAGAAAATGGCAAGACGAGCCAATGGGCTCCTTGACAGCTGGTCTCGCAGGACTGGTTCCGCTACATTACATACGTGGTTGCGGATCCGATCCCCCTCACTCACCCTCGCCCTCACGCACTCCAGCCCTCGCGGGCATCCACGCTCGAGACGCTGCCTGAACCAGCATAGACCGCCGCTTCGAGGCTCGCCGGCCCCGAGCGCTGCGAATAAGACGGCTGTGAGCATGAGATCCATGCACTCGTAGCCTCACAGAACCGTCTGGCGTGAACACGTAGGATCCCAAACGCTTGCTCATGGAAAGTTGAAACCGGCAAACGATCCAATGGACGCTTCGAAAGGCGGCATGAATGAAAACGGGAGTGGCCTGCTGGCCGCTGTTGTGCATTAGACACCGGCCATGCAGCGTATCTTGTACATACAACAATTGATGCGTGTTTCATCCCCAAGAGAGGCGTTGCATGAGCCATGGATGGATGCCTGACGGCAGGGATCAAACCGTCCAGAACGAAGAGCCAAAGAACCGGATACCACCTTCGCCTCTACGATCTTCTTGATTCTGGTGAAATATCTCTTCTCTAGGTCTAAACCTTGACCGTGATATGCCCACCTCAAGCCAGTCAGGCGCGAACTTACATGCAGCTCGTACCGCAGTGGACCAACACCAGAGGCCCTTCTCCCAGCATTTCTCGCCGCATATCTCATCTTTCTGAGAGCCCGCCTATCTGAGCCCTTGACTACGGCTAGGTAATGCCTTAGTGCTGCCAGCAGACTCCGTATCGCTATTCCCAATGTCGCCCAAGCAGAGGCGGCCTTGCATGGGGTCCCGTCGTCGGGGTACCCAGCGGCAGCATGCGCTCTCCATAGCGGCCGCAAGTACCGCTTGGACAACGCCCCATGTGCTTGTGACGACTTCAGCCACCCCTGCGACCAGCAAGGCCTAACACTAACCTTCAAGGTTCAACGTCGAGCGTTGCTGTCCAGTCAGTCCCTTCCAGAGCCCAGCACAGCCCTTGCCGTTTTCTTCTCCTCTTGCGGTGGAAGCGATCCGATCTTGAAAAAGGGAATCGTCACCGCATCGCCGCGAATCCTCTTGCCCTTTCTTTGCTGGCCCCTTCTTACGCACGCCCTTGCCTTTGGCTGTTTGCACGTGTGTCCGATTCTCTCTGCAAGCTCTATATTCGTCCCGAGGTTCTGTCTCGACATCTCAAGTTACGGACGCAACACAAGACAGAACAGCACAGCACAGCACAAATCAGGCCTCTCAAATCGCCATCTATTATTGAATCAGCAGGTCAATCTGTCTTTGTTATTATCAAATCATCTTACGGGGGTCTTCCGCGGGTCTCCAGCATCGTCCAGGCCTTCCAACGTTCGAGGTCCTTTCACCCTCCGCGCGACAGTACAGTGGCCACAGCAGCTTGCGCCTACCTAGTAGTAGTTGCTCGCTCTAGCGGCCTCGATCGCGCCAGCAGCCACTGGACTGGACCTCGAGTTGCTCCACGACCCGCCCTTTCGTCACGCTCCCGTTGCCGTGGCCCATCGGCGGAACCCAGCTGGTACTTGGCGCCACCACCGACTCGCAGCGGCAGCCGCGGTCTCAGCGTCGTACCCCCAACTGCCTGCGCCAGCGCTGCTGTACAAGGGTCAGGTACCCATTGTAGAACCATTAGAGGTGGCGCTAGCCGGACGGGTTTTAGCGGTCGCAGCTCCATCACCACCGCCTAAATAATAAGCACAGCAGCACGCAGCAGAAGCATCAACAAAGAATCGCCAGCCTCTGTCCAGCTTCATCTCTCTTCTGCTTCTGCATCTCCGCCCGCCCCCCAAGCCGACCACACGCCCAGCTGTCGCCGCCATGGGTATCTGCCACTCGTCTTGCTGCGGAGGTGAGCGAGCCCTCCTATCCGCCATCGTGTGTTTATTTGGGCCTCTTTGGCCCCCTTCTGACCCGGTTCTGACTCCTGTTTCTAGGGCGAGCCCGCGATGGCCTCTATGAGCCCGCTCTTGCCGACAGCGAGCGAGAGGCGGTGGCCGATCTGCTCCAGTATCTCGAAAACGTGCGTCTGTCCTGAGGACCAGGACATGCGATGCCACTGGCTGTCGTGCTCCTGGTCCTTCGTCTCCCTCTGGCCCATGGCACCAAGCTGACTTTGTCTCTCTCCGGATGCAGCGCGGCGAGACCGACTTCTTCTCTGGCGAACCGCTCCGAGCTCTCAGCACGCTCGTCTTCTCGGAAAACATCGACCTACAGCGCAGCGCCAGCTTGACGTTTGCCGAAATCACGGAACGAGGTACGCCTCTGTCGGGCAGCTGGTCCCTGCGGCCGGGATCGGGGCCTGCCACAAGGGCGGTGTCGGTGTCGCTGTTGCCGTTGCTAATACGAAAACCCTGTGCTAGATGTCCGCGAGGTCGACCGAGACACTCTAGAACCCATCCTGTTTCTGCTGCAGAGCCCTGATATCGAGGTCCAGCGAGCTGCCAGTGCTGCACTCGGCAACCTTGCCGTCAACAGTAAGCAACCGCTTCTGCCAGCTTGTGCTACCACATCAGAGACGACCGGCTGCTAACTGCTGCGTGCGCCCAATTTTGCAGCCGAGAACAAGGTCCTCATCGTCCAGCTCGGTGGCCTGACGCCGCTGATCCGACAGATGCTCTCGCCCAACGTCGAGGTGCAGTGCAACGCCGTGGGATGCATCACCAACCTGGCTACGCACGAGGAGAACAAGGCCAAGATCGCCCGGTCAGGGGCTTTGGGTCCCTTGACCAGATTGGCCAAGTCCAAGGACATGCGAGTCCAGAGAAATGCCACCGGCGCTCTCCTCAACATGACACATTCTGGTGCGTTATTCATCCTTTGTCTCTGGTTCTATCGTGACAAACCTTCATGCGGAAAAAAGAAGGGACGCAGTTGTATTTACTAACCTGCTACCTTGATAGACGAGAACCGGCAACAGCTTGTCAACGCCGGCGCCATCCCCGTTCTTGTCCAGCTCCTGTCCTCCCCAGATGTCGACGTCCAATACTATTGTACGACCGCCCTGAGTAACATTGCCGTCGATGCCAACAACAGGCGGAAACTGGCTTCCTCAGAACCCAAGCTTGTCCAGTCCCTCGTGAACCTGATGGACTCGTCCTCGCCCAAGGTACAATGCCAGGCCGCTTTGGCCCTCCGCAACTTGGCCTCCGACGAGAAATACCAGCTGGACATTGTCCGGGCCGGTGGCCTGCACCCTCTGCTTCGCCTCCTCCAGTCGTCATACCTCCCACTCATCCTCTCCGCTGTCGCCTGCATCCGCAACATCTCCATCCACCCCATGAACGAGTCTCCGATCATCGAGGCAAACTTCCTCAAGCCCCTCGTGGACCTCCTGGGCTCTACCGACAACGAAGAGATCCAGTGCCACGCCATCTCGACCCTGCGAAACCTGGCCGCTAGTTCGGACCGCAACAAGGCCTTGGTGTTGGAGGCCGGAGCCGTACAAAAGTGCAAGCAGCTCGTCCTGGATGTCCCCGTGACCGTTCAGTCGGAGATGACGGCCGCCATTGCCGTGCTCGCCCTGAGCGACGACCTCAAGTCCCACCTGCTGAACCTTGGAGTTTGCGACGTCTTGATTCCTCTGACCCACTCGGAGAGCATTGAGGTGCAGGGCAACAGCGCTGCCGCCCTGGGCAACCTGTCCTCTAAAGGTGAGAAATTTCGTGGTTTTTCAACATCTGATATGTAAGCTAACTTTACGACCACCAGTCGGTGACTACTCCATCTTTGTCCAGAACTGGAACGAGCCCAACGGCGGTATTCATGGCTACCTGTGCCGCTTCCTCCAGTCTGGGGACGCCACCTTCCAGCACATTGCTGTGTGGACGCTTCTGCAGCTCTTTGAGTCCGAAGACAAGACTCTGATCAGCCAGATCGGAAAGGCTGACGACATCATCGAGAATATTCGACGCATTGCGAACCGCCAGGTTGCCGATCCCGAGGCTGAGGAGGAGGACGAAGGCGAGGTCATCAACTTGGCTCAGCGATGTCTCGAGCTCCTGGGCCAGAGCAGCGTTTCAAAGGCGCACATTGAGGGCTAAATGCCTGTCACCCCTTTTCGCTCCCCTTCAATCTTTGACAAAGATTGGGGGTTTAACTTGCAACTGTGCTTCGAAACCGTCAGACCAGGCTGCGAGGATGAGTAGCGTGGCATGACGAGGGCGACGGTGTTTAGGCGTCTCAAGCTTTGTTCCAGATCAAGCCAGGAGGGCCGTTGCCTTCCCATCCGAGCGTCCAAGTTTGTTGGGAAACGGGCATTTACCCTCGCCGACTTTTGTTCGATTCTATGGCTTTGGTTCTTGATTTCCGTTCTGATACTTTTTTTTACCTCCCCGCTCAGCGAAGATTTTCGGACGATATGCTATTCCATGAGAGACCCCTTATTGTTTGCGCGAGCCGAAGCGAGGTGCTCTTCCACGGGACGAGTAGGACAGAGCACCGTCTTCAAAAGAAGCATTCGCCGGCTTTCTTCCCTTTGCGATTATTGCTTTTTCTGTTACCTGTTTCCTTTTCTTTTGTACAAATCATATTACGCAGCCAATGACTGCGACTCGTTCAGCATGCCTCTTGGAATGAAAGTAGAGACAACGATGATGAAGGCCGACTCGAGAGAGGTTAGGGTATGAGCAAAAGCAGATGTAATTAGACAAGGATATTTTACATGCTTGACACCCAGTTGCCCGCCCGCGAGGCCGCTTGTCGTATCTAGATGTTTTGGTGACTGGAGGTTTAATGATGCTATGCGTTTTTTTGATGTCATGTTGATATGCCGTGATGACAAGTGTTAGATGCTGTGTTCTTCCTGGCGAGATATCTCAAGACGACTTGGGAAACGATGTGCCACGTCTCATGAGCCTACTTTCTCAAGACCATTTTTTGCCCATTGACGGTCTTTCCAGGGCAGGATCTTGCCAATGATTTTGCCCTGGATCAAGGCGAGTGGCAAGGGGCCGAATTGCCTCGAGTCTCGCGAAGCGGGGAGGTTATCGCCAACAATCCAGCAATGGCCCTCGGGGACCTGCAGGAGTTTGTTAGCCTCTTCAGCAAGAAGGGCCAACAGAAAAGACACGAACGTACCTGAATCATCTGCTCCTCGCCGGGCTCGCCCGGGGTCCCGAGGGAGACATAGTCGCCCGGCATGCCGATGACGCGCTTGACGCCGTTTTGCGTGGCAAAGATGGGAATCTTGTAGAGGACGAGGTCGCCGACCTTGACGCCGCGGCCGAGGCGATAGGTCATGTCGGCGGCGATCCAGTCGCCGTCGACGGTGAAGGTGGGCAGCATGGAGGGGCCCTGGGCGGGGGAGACCTGGAGGGCGTGGGAGAGGGCGAGGTGGGCGAGGCAGGTGATTTTGAGGGTGGATATGGTGAAGCGGAGGGGGTGGCCTAGGAGGTGGGATATCATGATGCCGACTGGGGATTGTGGTTGCGTATGAGAGAGAGATGAGAAGAGAGGAGATGAGCTGTATGAGAACGAAGGGAGTATGTATTGTAATAGATTGTATGGGGAGATGACGAGAGGCTACTATACGATGGAGTTAAAATGAGGGGAGTAAATGATGTGTAAGAGTGGAATGCGAGATGTTGTTGTGTGGTGAGGTTCGTGTAGATGGAGTCGTGACTACTAGCCTGCGAGAATTGAAGATGAGGTTGTAAATGAATTACTGCTGTGAAACTATGGTAAGCTGCATCTCTACAGTGCGCAACTGTGATTGGTTGGCAATTCCCCAAATTCTGGGGGATCCATTGCTTTGCGAATTGACGCTATAATTCTCGAGCCTCTAATTCTCGACGTTTCCTCTTCCCCCACCATCATCGTCACCAATTGAAACAACTGCTTCTTGTGTAGAGTCTTTTCTCCTGAATCTCCCCTTTCCTCTGATGCCATTGGGTCCTTCCATTCGTTAAACTCGGTACACGTCATACAATGGCGACTCCTCGGTGCCTTTGCGACGCCACGAGACACTTCCTCTCCAGACTCGGCTGTCAAGCCTCCAGACAGAGCTTGCCAACATGGTCCTCCTGCTCGGTCCAGTATCGACCTGCCGCACGGCAACTGCGACTATACGCTAGCAATCTGCGGCCCTACAAAGGCGGCAACAAGGGTGGCAACAAAGCAGTGCCCTCCGAAGACCCGGACGACAAGGACCGAGGCTACGACCGCCGCTTCACCACGCAGCGCGACATTGAGAAGTCCGGCCGCGACCGGCCCCCCTGGGACCACGAAATCACGGACCCGCAGATCATGGTGATTGACAACGGCAGCGCCGAGGGCCCGCTGTCGACGCGGTACGTGCTGACGAAGCTGGAGCCGGGCGAGTCGCTGCGCATGGTGACGCCGTACGTGCCCGCGGACGACGAGGAGGGCACGCCGGCGCGGTTCGCCGTGTGCAAGATTGTCAACAAGAAGGACGAGTACGAGCGGCAGAAGGCGCTCAAGGAGCGCAAGAAGGTGGGCGCGGCGGCCAAGGCCAAGACCAAAGAGATGGAGCTGACGTGGGCGATTGGCGGGCACGACCTGGCGACCAAGATGCGGCAGATGGGCGGCTTCCTGGAGAAGGGGATGAAGGTCGAGCTGCTGGTCGGGAAGAAGAAGGGCGGCCGGGCGGTGGATGCGGAGGAGGCGAAGGAGGTGCTGAAGAAGGTCAAGGAGGAGATTGAGCGGGTTGGGGCGAGGGAGAGTAAGAAGGCCGAAGGGCAGGTTGGGGGGACGATGAGGCTGTATTTGGAGGGGGTGAAGAGGTGAGGAGAGGTCGTGTGTACGGAGCAGATTTTCTGGATATTGCCGTGTATTATAGAAGCATTGTGTGCGCCCTGATGGTGGGTATATACAGGTTGTATAGTTGTGTACTATGACATATAGAGAGCCGAGAGGGCATGATCCTCGACGAAGGCGTTCATGTCCAATTCTTTCATAGCCGCTATGGGCGTGGGCATACCGTCCTCTCTCCTCTAACTCAGAAGCCAAAAAAACGCCGATCCCATGGAAAAAAAGGTATCAAACAAACCCCGGTTGTCCTTCATATCCCTCTGTCGCCATCACCAGTCATGGCCCATTACAAAATCACATCATCATCTTCGTCGACCACCGGCGCAGCAGATTCAGCAACGGCACCAGCAGTATTCTCCCCATCAATCTCGTCATCCGTTTCCCACTCCTCCATCTTCGTCTCTCCCTCCTTCTCGTCATCATCCTCTCCAATGGCCTGCCGCAGCACCTCGAACGCATTACTCCTGCTCTCCTCCGCAGACTTGTTGATGTCGTCCCACTTCTTGGCCCGCGCCTGCACGACCTTGGCCTTGCCGATGCTCTTCTCGAGCTTCTTGCTCGTGCGCTCGACAAAGGCCTCGGCCATCTCGAGGCCCTTCTCCTGGCGCCGGCGGCCCCGCGCGGTGAGCTGGCGGCCGCGCTTGGACTTCTTGGTCACGCCTGCGTTGTGGCGGGCGGCGAGGACGGAGGGGCGGAAGGCTTCTGAGGAGGAGGATTTCGAGTTGGAGGCGGGGAGGGAGACGTCTTTGAGGGACTTGTCGGTGTTGATGGAGGGGGATGTTGCGCGGCGGGCGGCGCGGGAGCGTTTTGCGGGCGCTAAACAAATGGTTAGTTTGCTTTATTAAAGGAAATTGTGGTTGAAGGTTGACTGACGTCTGTTCTTTGTTTGAGCCATGGTGGGAATCTGGGGGTGCTTTGGTTTCGCTGGGGGTGGATTGGAGAGGCGATACGGACTTTTTTGGTAGATGGAAATTTATTCGTGATGAATGGGTAATCGATAAGAGATAAGCCCCGGGAATTTATCGAGCGGGATCGGCAAGTGGGGATTTGAGCTTGTTTCTATTTTGGGCGCTATACAAAACTTCAACACGAGCATCTCTGTCAGTTGAGGGAGGATTGATTGTAAGTCCAGAACATTATGGTATTAAAGTGTGGTGGATTGTATTATTGTTATAGACTAGAGCCTAGGGAAATGCCAGTTATTGTGCATCACCGCCTCTTTATGTTATGTACTATGTATAGGTAGGCAATCGAATGCCTCTGTATGGGGAGTCGAGTTGTTTGTTTCGTAACGTCAAGTTATGCTACATAGATGAGCTCAACCTGTTTGTTCTCTTTCAGTATTATTTGTTCTTTTTTCGACATTGCTCAAGTCAATGGTCATACATGGCTGTCACTGCCTGTCCACCATTGAAATGACAAATCGGGCTGCACGGAGCCCATGTTCCAGTACGTCTGCAGATTATCCAGCGGAAAAGGGCTGAGAGAATCGCTGCTCAAGTCGGGCCCCGAAATCGACGGCGGCCCCGGGCTCGGCGGAACATGCTGCTGCATCGGCGTCTTGACCTGCTTGCTGCCGCTGCCGCCGCCGCCGCTCCCCATAGGCAAGCCCAGGACCTCCCGCGCAATGGCCTGGACCTCGTGCAGGTTGCTCCCGGCCTGGGACCAGACGGCGGCCATGGCCTTGTGGCAGCCGATGCTCATGCGGATCTGGTCGCGCGCGACGGCGAGCTCCTGGCCGCGCAGCGTGTACCGGCAGGCGGCGAGCAGGGAGAGCGTGCCGGTGGTGAGCATGCAGACGACGAACGGCGTGTGGCTGCAGGGCTTGGTGGGCAGGGCGAGGAGGCCGATCTGGGCCTCGGCGGCGCGGATGCACTTGACGGTGTGGACGAGGCGGAACTCGGCGTTCGCGTCGGGGTGGGCGCCTGTGGGCGGGGGATGGGAGCAGCTGGAGATGCATTCCAGGGCGTCGAAGGAGCAGTTGGAGAAGGGCCGGTGCAGGCCAACCGTTGTGCTGCGGGTGTTCGCGTTAGTTGTGAGTTGAGCAAGTATAGACAAAGTAAGGGGGAGGCTTACGCGTGAAGAGCCATCATGGCTTGGAATATCAGTTCATCGACCGAGCCATCGGCAGAGAAAATGTCCCGTTTTGACTCTGGCAAAAGGAGCAGCCACCCCTCGATGATGGAGTCGACGGACTCGAGCACCCTGGGCGAGGGTCCTCCTGAGTCAGAGGCATTGGCCGGCAAGGCGAGAACTCTAGCCATGGCTGATGCCATGCCACGGACGCCACCTATCAAGTAGGCAAAGGACGAGAAGACTGTGTCTTCGGGGCTGAACTCGCGCGAGTTGAACTCGTCTAGTGTCTTGGGACGAGGAATTTCCTATGAGGGCGTTGTCAGCAATGAGATGGAACATCTTTCAATTTCAATGAAAGGGGGCATCAGTCTTACCCCTCGCTCATACTCGTCCTCCTCACATGGAAGATCCGTCGTCGCATCAACGTGATACGTAGGAAAGTCGGCATTCCGCCTGATGGCAGCGTAGTACGCATCGATGATGAACACCTGCCACCACACGCGCCGCCAGCACTCCTCCAGCACCGGATCCCCGTCTCCGTGATCGACGGCAAACTCGGACCGGTGCATGCCATAGTCGAGCGCGAGCTGGATGGCCGTGTCCATGTGGCGCCGCGACCTGGCCGTGTTGCCGCGCCAGTACATGCAGGCCGAGAAGATGGTGTGGCACGGCACCATGAAGAAGTTGAGCGCCGTCGAGGTTGAGGGCGCCCGGGCGATGGCGGAGGCGGCAAGCTCCTCCAGCTCGTGGCACTTTGGCCGCAGGGAATGCTGGTGGCTGCTCAGGTAGATGCTGCCGACGAAGCGCATCACGCAGACGAGCGGCCGCAGCTCGTCCTGCCGGATAGGATCCTGCAGGTAGCGCTCCAGGAACCGGCGAGGCGGCGCGCAGGGGTGGTAGCGGTGGAAGCAGTTGTAGTAGACGTCGATGAAGGCGTCACTGGAGATGTCCACGGACTGCAGATTCGACGACGGCATGATGGCGCTGCACACCGACCAGGCATCGTCCGGCGGCGTGTACAGGCTCGGGTCAATGGCCGGCTGCGGCGGCGGCGGGCGATGCGCCGGGGGGAAGCCGGAGGTCAGCCCGCACATGGTGTTGCTGCTCCCGTTGCCGTCGTTGCTCCGGGCGGGCGAGAGCTGGCCGCCGCCGCTGCTGTTGGCGTTGCTGCTGCTGCTACTGCCGTTGTTCTTCGCAGCGGCCAGTGCAGCAGCTTGATTCCTGCGGGCGGCCAGCGCGGCTCTGTCCAGGCCGCCTCGCCGCGACTTTGCGTAGCTGCACTCCTTGTCCTCCTCGCAGCAGCGGTTGCAGCGCGGCTTCTTCGCGTCACAGCGGACGTGGCGAGTTCGACAGGGCAGACAGGCCAGCGACACGCGGGTGCCTGTGGTTGGCTTGGGGGAGCCAGCAGGCTTGCCGGTGCCGAGGTCTGCATCCGGATCCATGGGAATGGTCTGTCTTGAGACGTTTGTGATGTGATGTCCGCGTATAATGGGAACTACACGCTTGTCTTGTTGCGGGTTTCTCTGTGTAAGGCAAAGGCAGAGTTCCCCCCCCTTGGATCGTCCCTGACTATTGGCCTGGGCGGGGATATCCTATCATCCAAAGACACTGGTGCGGACAACGATTCGTGACAGTCAAGTAGCACCGCGGGAAACAAGAGTCGAGGTGAGTTGCCAGAGAGCTCCCAGGGTCCTCGAGAGAGAGGGTCGATTGGGTGAGCTGGTGAAGCGCAGGCTCCGGGGCCAAGCGGGTTGTATACCGGTTGGGACCCCGCGGGTATCCGATCCGGCTAACCGCCACAAGATCGGTTACCCGGGCTCGAACGAGGCTTCTGGCAGCCATCCCGGAGATGCAAAATTCTGAGCCGCATGCTTTCGCCTCATAAAAGACACATCTATTTGTGGATAATTTGCCTCAAACTGTCAGCAGTGGGAATGGGGGCCTTTTCAAAGATTGATTGGAAGGATAAATGTGAATGATCCGACTTTGCTGTCTATTCTGGTCCTTTTGCTTGCTCCCCTCGATGATACGGGGCTGTAATACGTAGCGGGCAATTCTGGGGTCTCTTTGACACTGTACGGAGGTTCTGAGACAACGCAAGCCAGGGTATACTAAACAAGAAACTCGGGGCGAGATAGAGAAAACTAGGTTCAAAACTCGTTTGAAAGCTTCTTTTCATCTCTCTTCTACAGCTTAGTGCTTAGACCATCCTAGCTTTTGACCTTGGTCAGTGGCAGAAATGAGCAGGATAGGGCGGGCTCGTCTATTCGGAGACCTGGATAAGACCCATGGGCGAGCAAGCCATATGCTAAATTAGGAAGAGGGAGTCACATTCCCCTCGTCAAAGTCATTTGCTCGGCCTCGTATCTGTATCTCAGCAAGCTGTTTCTCCGTGAGATTAATCATTACCTTACCTTCCTTGTGGTTGTATTGTCTTACTTGCGTAGGGGTAGAATCGACTCACCCCCTGACTACATGTATGCGAGTCCTTCTCACTTCTCACCATACCCTCTATACAAGGTAGTATATGGCTCTTCCACTTGCGGCGACGTCCGGCTCTCGGACTCTACTATACCGGCTACGCTATCCTTATCCTTGTATCAAATCTTTCAACTGGGCACAACTCGGACTGCTCCTAGTGGCGATCCCCAGGCTTGGGAGTGGGAGTTCGGAATCCCACGAAACTCCGAGTTTCAGGGACAGTCGTGGCCGAACCGAGGGAGTTGCACGACCCTTCTCCTTCTCTACGCGTATGACGAATCAGTCAATTTGTCTTCTCTCTGGTTCGTTTTCTGCTTGGAGACTCATGACTAGTGTAGGACCAGACCAGCTGAAATCAAACCATTGACATGCCCCATCGTGAAATGGCCACCCGGGTATTCGTTTTGAGACTTCGGGAGAGGTTCAGCATGGCGACGGCTTTTCGACGCGCAACGCCGTTATGGCAATTGTAGTCGCATGATGTGATTGAGGTTGATGGCATTGCATTGAATTGATTCATGTTGAGTGGGCTTGGTTTCGACGAGATTGTCTATAAAAGGGGCCAAGTTGGATGTTGTTGTGTTTTGTCTTTCTCGGCATAACAAAAAGGAAAATCAACAGAAGCAGTCAAGCAATCAATGTTGGCACCTCTCAACATTACTAGACAAAGAATCCTCTCATCTCGTTCCTTCAGCAGCCTCAGCATCACCACCACGAACAACAACCCTCTCACCATGGCTCAGCGGATCGTCATCGTTGGCTCTGGTTTCTCGGGCCTCTACAGTGCTCTAGCCGCCAGACGTCTCATTGAACAGCACAAGGACCAACAGGGCAGCGGCTTTGAGGTCGTCATGGTTGCTCCTGAGCCTAAGCTGGTCACTAGGCCACGCCTCTACGAGGCCAACGCTGCTGGCATGGCCGCTCCGCTGAGCGAACTTTTGAACGCTACGGGAGTTGGATTCAAGCGTGGCATCGTGGACGTAATTCGTACCGCCGACAAGCAAGTAGAGGTTGTTGAACCCACTGGCGAGAGAACGAACCTCTCTTACGACCGCCTTGTGCTGGCGGCAGGCAGCCGACTCGTAAAGCCCAATATTCCGGGTCTGCGTGAGCACGCCTTCAATATTGATACAATCGCTGAAGCGGCCGACCTTGAGGCCCATCTGAAGCGTCTCAAGGCGCTACCCTCGAGCCCGGCGAGGAACACAGTTGTTGTTTGCGGCGGCGGTTTCACGGGCATCGAGCTGGCCACGGAACTTCCCCGGCGCTTACGAGCTATCCTAGGGATGACCGAGAAGGTGAAGGTTGTTGTCGTCGAGAAAGCGGACGTCATTGGCCCGGATCTGGGCGAAGGCCCTCGTCCGGTCATTGCGCAGGCCCTGACCGATCTCGAGGTTGAGACTAAGTTAGGCGATGGGGTGGCATCCATCGACAAGGGTGGCGTGGTGACGGCCTCCGGAGCGCGGATTGACGCCATGACCGTCGTTTGGACAGCGGGCGTCGAGGCCACGCCCTTGACGAAGCAGATCCCAGGAGACAAGGACAAGCAAGGGAGGCTGATGGTCGACTCTGACCTTCGTGTTCCGTCAACCCCCGACGTCTTCGCCACCGGAGACGCAGCGTGTGCGCAAACTGACCACGAGGGCAACCACACGCTCATGTCGTGCCAGCACGCCATCCCGCTGGGCCGGTCCGCTGGGCACAACGCTGCCGCCGATCTGCTCGGGATCCAGAGGCAGCCGTACACGCAGCCGTCGTACGGGACGTGTCTGGACCTGGGCGGCTGGGGCGCCGTCGTGTGCCTCGGATGGGATCGACAGGTCTTCAAGTCCGGCGGGCCTGCGAAGGAGATCAAAGGTTGGATCAACAGCTGCGTGATCTATCCTCCCAAGGCGATTGCCGAGGAGGCATTTGCGGCGGCTGATCCTGCGCTGAACACGGTCTCAGTTCTTTGAAAAGACACCCTTGTTGAGAATCAAAGGACCTGTTTGTGGGATTTGAGGAAGTGATAGTGTTCGGACAATGTGATTTGATGTTGTGGGCTTTACTTGGAGCATGGTTAGACAGATAGCGAGTCTGTTGTTTTTGTATAGACAATAGAGTCAGGAGATGTACGAGGAGGAGGAGATGGTGGTTGGACTCCCTGATAAACTCAACTCACATAGCCTGCCTGTTCGTCAAAGTAGACTGCATAGAGAATAGACTACGGTAGAGATCGGACGAACTGATGTGCCCCTTGTGATGACTGCTCTATTCTTGTCAGTCGTGTAGTAGTGATTAGGTAAGCGCCATCCAAGTGTAGGAGAAGCGTGTGACGGGCGTTTGTGAAGTGTGCCGCCAGTTAGTGACAGTGTCAGCTCCTCTTCCGTGGTGTTGATCCAATTATGAAAAGTCCAGCATGGCTCCCTTCTTTCATACTCTTCCGACGTGGAAGGGAATAACATGATAATACGATGATTAGTGTCTTACTGCAGAGGCTAGTTATTTGTGCTTGCTTTAAATCTTGAGGTTAAGTCTCCGTTTGCCACCCATTTCTGCAGCTTACGAGGCCAAGGTTCATTCAGGAGATCTTTAATAACCGATCTAGGCGCTCGAAAACATCTTGTTTTCCACTTCATATCTGGTATCCAAGATCGACGCTGTTGGGTCTCATCATGGGTCAGATAGGTATCTGGGACTTTTCACCATGGTAAACTAGCAAAGTGCGATTCGAATAGAAGCTTCACGAACGGAGCAGTTACTGCGGCTTTGGGCGGACTTTTCGGGCTTTTGCGGCGATATCTCAAACATGGTATGCCCATATTGTTCAGATCCAACCACGGCATCACGGTTCATATTCCCAATCCAGTAACTAAATAGACGAATAATATGCGCAAACAGGTTCCAATTACGCACAATAAACGTGTTGCACAAACTCGGTTGGGTAATATATGTGCCCTTGCTCCTCGGCTGAGTTGGCATACAACTTCTATAAATTGGAGTCGTCCCTCGTCTTTCCAAGAGGAGAATACAATTGTCTGCAACCCTTATTTCGCTCAAAAGTTGCAGAGCCACTTTTGGAAGCTTGGAATCAGTGTGATATACTGTGATCAATTGGCAGTTTAGGTATGGGACTATCTGTTAATCCTCCAAGTCTTGGTCGGGAAGAAAGGACTAATCGTCAGAGTCAGAGGACGAAAAGAGAAGATACTTGCCTCTCTAAGAACAATGGCCATTGGTTCAGATCCCCTTAAAGGGCTTCCCGATGACTACGTCATCAAATCTCAAGCTTTCACCAAGGAGCTCTACCAGGACGTTTATCCCGCCATCGATCCCTCAAACGCCGCCCTGTCGCAGGACGGCAAGATTGTGATTGTCACCGGCGCCAGCAAAGGGATCGGGAGAAAGGTGTACATAAGGACGATGCCTTTACATAAAATGAGTTACTAATCGCTTTTCTGTCACTAAGGGATTTGTACGATCGTTTGCAACGGCGGAAGCGAGAGCAATTGTCCTTGTTGCCCGCAGCTTCAAGCAGCTGCAGGAAGCAGCCGAAGAACTGTCAAAGGAGTTTCCAAAGACCCAGTTCCTGCCTATCGCGTGCGACGTCAAGGATGAAACGTCCGTCAAGGCGGTATTTGACAAGATCCTGGAAGTTTTCGGAACTGCGGATGTTTTGGTGAACAATGCGGGCACGACGAACGAGGGCAAGCCCTTGAGGTCTGCATCAATGGCCAACGTTTGGAATGGCATAGTAAGTCATGCTCACTTCCCAAGTTAACACATCGGCAAAAGCTAATAGTCAATCAAGGAGGTCAACCTAAAGGGCCCTCTCCTCATGGTGCACGAATTCCTGAACCTGGTGGGCACCACCAAGCCGGCCACCGTCATCAATGTCACGTCCGCCGTGGGCTTCGTCGTGATTCCCGGAAAGGCCAGCTACAGCCTGTCGAAGCTGGCGCTGACGCATCTGTCGGGATACATTGCCGCCGAGAACCCCAACGTCCGAGCCATCAGTCTTCATCCTGGGACAATCCTGACGGACATCACCTCCGAGTGGCTGGTGCGATTTTCCAAGGACACGCCGGAGCTGGCGGGCGGGATGGCGGTTTGGCTGACGACGAAGGAGGCGGCGTTTCTGAATGGGAGGTATGTGACTGCGAACTGGTCGGTGGAGGAGCTGATGAGGAGGGAGAAGGAGATTGTGGAGGGGAAGAAGCTTTTGGTTAATCACACGGGAGAGCTGGCTTATTGAAGGCACCCAGGAACTTGGCAACTGCATGGTCTTTTGGGTTGTTGACATTCGTTACAGCTCAGATCTGATCGCTTTTTAGTCTACTCCCATGAACATAGGAGACACGGGTTGAGTCCGGATACATATCAAATGGATATTTACACCATTTCCTTCCAGACGTAACCAATATTGTCGAAGATAACTGATCTAAAGACAACTGTACCCCTAGCAAACCTTTGCTGAGAAGAGATCTGATATCTCACGTTGTCCGATCCCAACTACTCTTCACAGTGCGAGACGCACTGGAATCCTAGCGCAAACAGCCAATCATGGCACTCACAGTGAGACACCCATACCCATATAGGGACATGGCTAACGTGTGTTCCGTGTCTCTTGTTCATCTCACCGTGATTGTTTTCATCCCACAATCTCGATCAACACGAGTTTAGATCACTTTTGGGACTGTAAGTAAGAGAGGAGGATGAATACATATCTGGGCTGGGCGCGGGGCTTGCTGCAGAAGCAGCTCCCGGATTTTGCCCATTCCCAGTTTTCGAGGCCCAATCCGCCATCTTCGACCCCAGGCATCAATATGAAGAACCTCTTCACCGTCGTGATAGCGGGCTCTCAGTATCTGCTGCATCCGCAGAAGCTGGTAAAATTCGATTACCCAATAGCGAAACTCGTCAGTTAATCCTTTTCAGGGCACAATCGAGGAGACCATCAATCCCGACGCGCTTATTCCCATCACTCTCCTCACCACAAGGGAAATCAACAGCGATCTAGACGGCATCCTCGATCTATTTGCTACCGTGGACGACGTCTTCCAGCCAGACTTCGGCAGCGTCCTGGTAGAGAAGCCTGAGAAGGAGCAGCACGCCATCGGCCTCAACCGGCATCTGGACTCCCTCGGCAGATCGGTCCTTACTTTGCGGTCAACAGGTGCGGAAGACGAAGCTCGGGCTGCTGCGTTTGAAGACTTACCTTCGGGGCCGTATTTCTTGCATGGGCCAAATCTTTACCAGGCGTGGAGACTGTATGACGATGTACTGGATGCGTTTACCTTTGGAGTTATTCCCAACAGCATCAACGGTTCTGACGATGGGTAAGTCATGATAAGCCGGCCGGGGATGCAGGGAAGATGTCTGATGCGGGGTGCAGGTTTGAAGCGCTTTCGGCTCTCTCCGACAATGGCTCACACAAGTCCATTGCCGTGCCGTCACGACTTTATCACCCCGCGCCGTCTATTCGCAAGCCTTTGTCTGGAGTCCGCATTTCCATCACGGATGCCATATCGCTGAAAGGCGTCCAGACGACCATGTCGAGTCGAGCTTGGACTCAGCTGTACGGCGCTGAGGAGTCGGAGACGGCAGAGTTTGCGCAGAGACTCATCGACATGGGCGCCATTATTGTGGGCAAGACAAAGTCGTCGCAGCTAGACTCTGGCAGGGAATGGGTGGATGCAGAGGCTCCGTGGAATCCGAGAGGCGACGGGTATCAAGAATCTGGCGGAAGCGCAGCTGGAGCTGGAGCGAGTGTGAGCGGTTATGAATGGATGGAACATGCTGTAGCAGCAGATGGTGAGTGCTATGGAAGGATTGTGCATGACATACAGTGTGATGATGCTGATATTTGACGCGTCTGTGTTTAGCTTTTGAGGGAGCTCGTGAGCAAGGGCGTCGGCATGGTGTTTACTCCATCAGAGCCTCGCCCAGCGCTGCATCTCAGTCAGGATGGACAACTGATTCGGAGTAAGTCATCCAGAACAAAGGTTCTTTGTTACTTGCACGGACTAATCTGATTTATATGATGGCTGCAGGAATTATGCTGCGGTTGGCTTGTTGAGCCGCAACTTACACGATTTGCTCAGCATGGCCCAAGTCACTATTAACACGTCCAGCGACGACGTGCCCTTTCCCAAGCGCATCATCTACCTTTTGGATTATGCTCCTCCTTCTGAAGATGATCAGTCTCTTGATCACAAGTTTGTCGCCGTGCTGGAGAAATTCCTCGGAATCAAGGCTGACAGGGTGCGCTTATCGGAGACTTGGGATGCCAACCCGCCCAACAACACGAAGCAGAGTCTCGAAGAGTATATGAAGGAGGTGTGTAAAATACACGCACAACACCACTTCTGACAGTTTGCTGCGACGTGCTGATTCATAATGCAGGCGCCCTTTAGCTCATTCTGCTACGACTTCTATCACCAGTATGGAGATTTTCGTAATCACTACAAAGACAAGTTTGGTCGGCAGCCGTATATTGAGGCAACGCCCCGGTTTCGATGGTAAGCATAATCCCAGATATTCTCTGCAGAGCCTCGAGACCGAAAGAGGCATAACTGCTGTTATCCTTGAAGCTAGTCATGCAAGGATTCGGTCAGCGGTGAGTTCCTACGCGGGCAGACAACACGATGCTAATGTTCGGCGGCTGCACGGGGTTGTTAGGGGCATCGGCGAGAGTGAGACCAAGCAAGACCACGACCACGACCGCCTGCGGATTGAAGGCTTTAGACGATGGTTTAACGAGAGCATCATGCCGATAGTTGGAGACTCGGAAACCATCGTCATTGTACCCTTTGGGCCCCAGACTACAGTGCATTATCGCGATGACCTGCCACCGTGTGTTATAACCTCCGTCTGGCATACTGTTGTTTATATTACTTGCAGGATCGAGCGCATGCAGCTAACAATGACCCAGACCACCCAGCGTCATCGAAGGCCTCAAGCCCGAAGCACTCGCTCCTCTTTTAGGCCTGCCGCATCTCGTTGTCCCCTGTGAGCTGATTTGTCTCCCCTTCTCCCCTGTTTGTGCTCATGTCGCTGATTGAACAAAACCAGTCGCACAGACTCGCTACTATTCACGGGTCACCGACCGGGGCGAGGACCGGCCGTTTAGCGGCTCCATCATCGGGCCTCGCGGAAGCGATATGATGCTTCTTCAGCTGGTCAAGGCGGCGTTTGCACGAGCGGAATGGCGGTCGTCGGTTGCTGCTGGGCGCTTGGCGTTTCCGCAGGGTTACGAGCCCGAGTGACGAGGGCTTAGACGAGGAAGGACGCGAGGAGGGAGAGTAGGCGAGAGGCGAGACAGAGAATAACGTGCTATGTGTCTTGGGTTACGTTACAGACGCCGGTCGTACAACTGCCCTCTTATTGGTAATAATAAAGTGATAGATATCATCTCTCGTGCTACCGGCTGATGGGCCAGGAGACGCACGGGTCTGCAGAGATGCTGTGCGATGCGATAGAGGGCGGCATGTGGGTTCTTTTGGCACGTTTGCGAGGCGCTCAGCTGGGCTCGTCCACACGTTTCGGACATGCAACAGGGGCTTCGGATGTCTTGCCTCTGGCTTTTCTTTGGTTCCATGCGACGAGATGCGGGGACGAGCAGCGGTTCCGCATTCGAGACGGGGCCGAGGCACCCCAGGCGAGCTTCTAAGCGGTTGGAAGGGCTCCGAAGCTCTATCTCTTCCTGAAGCCACGCTGTTGGGCTGGATGGTTTGTTTGAGACATGATTGACTACGTAGTAGATATGTGCTATCAGAGCTGAGTCTACGGAGTACTAGTTGTTCTTGCTAGAGATGGATGATTCAGAATTAGAGTGACGGCGATCAACCCAATTTGCGGAGAAGACAGATTCACCTCAGGACCGAGACATTCCGAAAGTCGGGGCTGCCACGGTTGCACAAGCCAAATCGACAACAATTCGCTAAGACCGAGCGGACACGAGCCGCCGGCGGTCCCCAAATCATCGAATCCCTGTCGACGAGTCAAGCAAACCGCGAGCTCAACACGCGAGATGCCTGCCGGTTGTTGCATTGCATCTGCATTGGTGCAAGGACTAGGGGAGGAAGCGAGAAAGCAAACAAACACCCCTTCGGTCGCTCTCCGTTGTCCGATGGCCCTGCTTCTTTTTATCTCTTCTGTCTTTCGCCTTTTCGGAGGGTTTTTTGACGAGTGCTTTTGTTACTGACGTTTGTCGTTGGTGTCTGGTGTTTAGTGTGGGCGAATTGGGATCGATAGGAGGGAGACGATGTGTTGTAAGAAGTTGGATGGCTGTCTCCTTGATCACGATGTGGAGGAGAGCTGTTGCATGATATAAGTGAGGCATTGACCGGTGTCGTCACAGACACGCTCTCTCTTGCATCTGGTTGACGATATCAACCACCCCTCATCCCTCACGTATATCAAACCGCCGCACATACATACACCATCTCGCACATCCATATATCCGTACTGACATACCTATATACCTAATACTATTCATAATTCTCCAGCACCATCCACAACCATGGCCGTCGGCTCTGCACGGGAAAGGTTCCCCAACGACCTCCTCCTCGTCCAGTTCCTCCGCTCGGCAAAGCGATGCGCCAACCAGCGGGCCTTTATCCACGACCACTTTGGCTTCGAGAAGAGCCTGGAGGAGCTCATCGCCGACATCCTGCGCATGCGGGACCTCGTGCGCCAGCAATTGCCCAAATCTGCATTCACCGAGCGAGGCGTTCTGAAGGACGAGGCGCCGTATGTCGCTGTGCTGACAAGGAGCGGCTATGAGTTTATCGTTGCATTCTTTGCGGTTCGAGTACTTGGGGGAGCGCCTATTCCATTTGGTGCGTACTTCTTTTCCTCTTCAGGATCATTGTTGCGAAGGGGTATCAGGCTAATTACTTCATGACGTTCTCCAGGCTCTGGCATCCTGCCCGAAGAGGCCCGATATTTTGTCGACAGCTCCAAAGCTCTATGCATCCTCGCCGGACGAGACTGTTACGAGAAAGCCGAACGCATAGCATCCATCACCAGCGGCGCGCCTGACTCCAAGGCGATCGTATCAATACCTATCTCATGCGATGCCGAGCCGGTAAACGAGATCGATGTCACCATTGATGAGACGCTTACCATGGATCCTCGGGGTCCTGGACTGGTCATTTTCACATCTGGCACAACGGGGCCTCCAAAGGGCGCCGTCTTGCCTCGAATCTGCATCGTCTTCCAGCCGGACGCCCCTGCAAACTGCCAGACTGTTTGCTTCCGTCCGCCGCATTGGTTGGGAGGCGCCATCAGCCTGATCGAGCCCATGCTCACGGGCAAGCAGCTTCACATCCTGCGGGAGAGAGCTGGCGTGGAGAACATCTGGAAAGTGCTTCGGGACAACCGCATTACCGGCACGGGATTCACGCCTGGAGTCCTGCGCGAGATGAAGGAGTGGCTGGAGGCGCAGAGGGAGGATGAGCAGGAGGAGTATGTCAAGGCATTCAAGAACATTGGTGTGATTCACTGTGCTGGAGCTATGGTGTCACCTTCGGTGTTGAGGTTTTGGAAGAGCAGGACCGGGTTGGTGTTTAACAATGTGTATGGGTCGACCGAAGTTGGAGGGCTTGCGACATTCAAGATCCTTGATGGCACAGAACGTTCGGTATGCGTTTCATCATAACATTGGAGTAGGTTCAAAGAGCTAACATATTGGGCTGTATAGGACGCAATCGGTGTGGCATTCCCGGGCATCAAGGTCAAGCTGACGGCAGGCGATCATGGCGAGATTTGCGTCAAGAGCCCGTTTATGCTGACGCAGTGAGTATCTCTCGAAGTCAAACAAACAACTAATGACTGGAAAATCTGCTAACAACGCTCTCAAAGTTATATCGGTGATGAACAAATGACAAAAGCCGCTTTCGATGACGAGGGGTATTTCAAGACGGGGGATTTCGCCCAGCTCAGGGACGGGGAATACATTTTCTCAGGCCGCGCCAACTCTGACTGTAAGCTCTCCCTCTTTTTCGTTCCCTCTTGCCATGTCTCGTGATTCCTGGGACTAATCAGCATCTCCAGACATCCTGTTCCGCCACTACCGCATACCAAGCGTCCAGGTCGAGGTTGCACTTACAGCTCTCCCCTACGTAACCGAAGCCTGCGTCCTCGGCGTCCCCGATCACGAAGCCAAACAAATCTGCGCCGCCGTCATCCGCCTCACCCGCAACCAGGAAGAACTACAAAGCCGAAACAGCGCGCACAGGATCGACCTCGCCCGGCTGCGGAGCGACATGAACCAAACGCTGCCCAAGTGGATGCTACCCGTGCTAGTCAAGGTTTTGGAGCCGGGCGAGGAGATGCCGCAGACGGTGTCGCAAAAGCCTATCAAGAAGCAAATTATCAAGGCGTGCTTCGGCGTGGACGAGTCGTGGTCCGCGGAGAATGAGGTGCCGGGGGTGGAGTACTGGGGGAGCATGCCTTCGCCGGAGGAGGCAGACACGAAGCCCTGGGACTGGCAGGGCCTGCAGCGGGCTGACTTCAAGGCCGAGGCGTGAATGTGAAGATAAATCGAGTGAGAAAGGGGGAGGGGGAGGGTGGCATAGTCATGGTCCAGCCATGGTTGGGGCTCAAATGGATGTGGTATATCGCAGCGCAGCCGTCTGCCAGATGTTGTAAGTTATGTTTTCGATGGCGTATTTGGCGGTTCACAATATGTGCTGTTTAACTACAATTTTGTCAGATAGACGCTTTGTCTTTCGAATGATGATACGATTACATGATAATGAGCATCTCATACCTTCAAATACCGTAGGGACGATGAGCTGAATCATGGCTCTTCCATTTTTTTTTTGTTTTTTTTTTTTTTTCTTTCTGTTGTTCGTCAAATGGCAGTCGCTTACAGCTTGGTATTCTTGTCGGCTCTGTGCTTCGCCTTCTTCTCCCAGTCCCACGTCTCATGTCTCTCGCGCCTACACAACCACTCCTCCAGGAGATAGCTAGATGAGCCTTTCCCAGACCTGCGTCTCCTCATCAGCGGACTTGCGCCATCCTGAATGCTCGAATATGAATCTTACTTTGATGATCCCTGAGTCTGCCTCTGGGCAGATTGTCCACTTGTTCCCTGCCTCGGGTCCCGGTTGGAGGGAGGTTGTCCAGACATGGTGATTACAAAATGCGAAGGATTGTTTGTACGGGTTTGTTGGAAACAATTTTAGGAAGAAATGTCAGAGACGAGTGTCAAGTACATGTCAAATGCAGGAGATTCTCCGGACTCTACAGCCACTTTCTTACGTCGTTTTATAGACGTTGACGCGATTAGCAGAGCGATACGATTTGGAATGGTCTTTACACAGAAGTGGGTGAGGCCTCTCCTACTTGCCAGTCCCATCCCAGGGAAATCTGCGAGTATTCACTTGACGGATGCCAGGTGATGTGGTTTAATTAATTTTGCTCGAAAACTCTGACCTGTTTGTGCCAATCGAGGTGTAAATAGTACGAAGGGAAACATTAGATGGCGGCGCAGGCGTGGCTTTGCTTGCTCTATCTCCTTGTCCATAAGGTGAGAGTGGGTTTCAAGACAGGCATCGCTTGCTTCATTCGGTCAATTTGTGGCTTGTCTCTGCGGTTTCCAGAGCTATCGGAAAACATCTCGGAGTCGGTGTGGAAGATGGATAGCGGTGAGATGCTTTGGCTTCACGAAATCATATCACCTGGTGCTTGCCTCATGCTTGCCTCATGCTTGAGAGGCTTGAATTCGACGAACCATAGCGACGATCTTATCTGATCGTGAGGGTGATGACGCTGTGGCTGACACTGCCCCCTTGTCAACTATCACGCCCACCAGGTGTAAGCCTACCTGCACCGCAAGGGACAGCACGAAATTCTATCCTGAAGCTGCGATATAGTAGTAGTATTGGAAGATGGAAGGAACTAAGGAAATATTTTAGGGTCTTCAGCCACACTTGGGTGCCTGGCTTTTTGGGATCTCGAACGCGGTGAGAACGGGGCTTGGCCAGGCTGACCGAAAGACTTACACCGGGGCATTCAGGCCAGGCAGGCAGTTAGTTATGAGACGCCTTTTTCTTGCCTGAAAGACGGAAATAGCGGCTCATGCCTTAGAGGGCCTCCCGATTGTGACTCTGTGTATTTTGTCAATCGTACCATGGAGATCACTGCCACGGGTTGTCAAGGGCTTTCCATGGTCAAAGGAGGCTGCTTGAAGATGGACGTGGAAGGATCAAATATCGTCTGGTGGCATGGGCGGAATTCAGATGGATGAGAGCAAAAAGGCAGGCATGGCGAAAAATAGAAAGAAAAAAGATTATTTCCATTCGTTTGGTTTGTGGCTTTGTATTGCGGCATTTGGTTGATGTCGAGCCATAGCATGTCTGCAACATCTTCCACACCACTTAAACCGTGGTCAACAGCCGTACTGGCAACGATTCTGGCTATTGCCACAGCCAACCGAGCCGGCAGAACGCTGCAAGCGGCTTCAAAAAAGGTAGCGGTGCGTCCCTATTTTAGCAGAATTATCAAGACATTACCAGCTGTCTTGATGAAGCTCTGTCACGGATGTAACGCTCACGGGCGTGCTTCGTAGTTGAATTGATTACCTCACGGACAAGCTTGGGACTGGTATTTTTGGCTGATTTTGTTCCACAGCCTGTTGCCAAACGTTTCTGAAGCTACCATGAAACGCCATAGGAGCAAGTTTATTCAGAATCGCTGAAATGTAGGTGTTTGGGGTGTTCCGAACCAATGGTCTATATGATAGAAGAGAACAAGCGCCGAGGCTTGATAGGAAGTGTCTTTTTGCAGAGCCAAATTCGAAGGGAAGGTCTCAGTAATAATATTAGTGTCGTAGACGTTGTCGCTGTAGCCTTGAAAAGCCCATCGACCGCCGCTGTGGTATTAGACATCATTCCGATATGCACCAAAGATAGTGGAGACTGCAAACATATACAAACAAAAGCTACATGAAGGAGAGAAAAAAAAAAGGTCCAGACTCCGACTCCTCAAGCCAGGCGGCTGCTGTTGATATCGGCCAGGTGTTGCCGATTGGTAGCTCTAATATGGTAATCCATCTGACGCAATGTGCCTAAGACTTCATCGATGATGCGTCCTTGAGCTATCTCGCTTCTTCCTTTTGATTCTGCCTGAATTGGGAGGGCTATTGTCGGTTGTTCGGTGGCTTCGTGTGGCGGTACGGCGCCGGATGGCAGCTGATATGGCTCTATATTCTGCTTCATAGTCTCCAGGTTCCCTGAAATGGGGGCTTGCGAGTATGATAGTGTACTGAAGCTCTCCAGGTTGGGTGGCCCGAAAACAGCAGCCTCGGGTGGCCACAGGGGTTGGAATACGTTGAGGTCTTGTTGTGCCGTTACAGTCTCGTACATCGATGGCTCGGGCTGGCAGTTTGGTAGCCAAGCGTCCAACGAAGCACTTTCGCCTTGGGACGTGACCGGGAAGAGGTATTCCTCAGCCGTAGCAGGGTAATCCATCATCTGAGGCTCCATGCCTGAGACTGGGGGATTTTGCTGCAGCATGTAGAACTCGGCGGCGGCTTGTAGCGTAAGATATGTGTCTTGGTTCGGTGTTGCCTGGTCTTCGGCGAGTTCGGCCGCTGTCGAGGTCGGTATAGTCCAGTCGTGGGCCACCTTCAGAGATTAGAGGATGTATTGCGGGCATCAGCAGCTACTGTGACAAACCTACCTTTCTGGCTTTGAAGGCTGGTTGTAGTGCTTCCGAGGATGCGGCTCGAGTGAGAAGGAAGCTGGGCACTGACATGGTGGTGAACCCTTTCGCTACTTAAATCTCTCATGTGCTGGATGGAGAAAGTGTCCACTCCTCACTTCTCAGCCTTAAATATGCTCCGGCGAAGGAAAGACCAACGATCCCATGCCGACCGTAGCTCAGGGTTGCCAAGCCAATAACATGATCTGGAGTGTCCTCCGAAAACAGGGGCCGGGCGTCTGTCGATTTCAATGCGTACATGTACAGGCAGTGTGGTAGCCCTAGCCGCCATCAACCTCGCCCAACTTTGTTCCAATGACCTTTGTGGTCCGGAGAATTCGTGCCTTAGCTTCTGATGAATCGTGCAAGCCGCCTCCCCTTGCCACCGGCTAGGATCGAGACCAAGACCCTGACGCTACGACGTGGCACCATTTCTCCCCAGATTTGGAGGATGGTCTGAAAGTTTCCGTTCCTGTGCCGTGTTTGCGTGGCTTTGCAATCAATATTGATGGGGCGATTGTGGACATAGCACATTCTAGAAGCAGATCATGACCCTCTCCTGCCGTTGTGACAGCGGCAAGGATCAAGACGTAGAAATAACGAGCAGATAGACATCTACTATATCTCACTGTGAGTTTTTGTGGAAAGCTTCTCATCAAACCGAGCCTAGCAAACTCGACTTTGTATCAACAGCGTCGGATATATCATCAATGCTGCAGCCACGAGCTCGATGCTAGAGCCGTCATTCTGACAGATGATGGTGATCTAACTCTACGAATATGTGTGGGTAAACATCTGAAATTTCTGAAGTTTCTTTGCAGATCAAGCATGGACAAGAAAAAGGGTCATGGGCTTGACAGATCACAAAGGTCTGTCACCGCCATAACATTCATACACAGGTACGGACCATCCCCTGAAGTGCGAGGCAGGAAGGCTCCTGAGCATTGCTTCCGACGGCCTAGTGCCTTGCTTATTCCCATGGTGTGTGTATTGGATCTCCTAGGAGAAAGTTGACGTGAACTAGTCCTAGTGCGCGGAAAGTCGCCTCCCATTCTTCGCCAACTTCTTCTAGACTTCCATGTGGCTGAGCGACTTCACCGGAGGTTGCTCCGTATCACGTCTATTGGCCGTTCGCAATCAATGTTTGTTGGCCATTGATGCTATTATCCGAAACATTTCCGTTTGAAGGGTTTGCACTGTGATTTGCGGTCCTGGCGATGCGGAGCGCCACGCAACGCTGGGCTTCAAGAATAAGCACATACCAACGACTCACCATGATGGGAAGCCGATCCTTCTCTCCTTTTCCGCTCCTTGACGGCTGCTCTGCGATGACGATCCCGCGGACTCTCAATCACCGGAGTGTGATGTCCGGCTGCAACAGCTGGACAGCTGTCGCTGGACCAACGCTCTGATGTCAAACGAGGCGGCTGCACGCGCCATCTCCATGGAGTTGCAGACGGACCATCTCCTCCTAGATTCCCCCCGGCCTAGTTGTTTCGGATCTGATAAATCATACGCATGATTATTTATTGTTTTCGAATACTAGTGAGCTCGGTGCTATTACTACACAGAATACGGGGCCTGCGTGAATCATGGCCCAGCGTCCGGCTGTCGATCCTCAGAGCTAACATGAGTAATAGCACATGTACAGCGCCGGTCGACCCCAGACATCCATATCAATTCTCTTGCATCAGGCTTCTGCAATGGCGCCGAGGGGACGATGAAAGAAAAGTCAGGCTCGCTTCTCAACCCGGCTGCCGCCCGGTTGCTAAGCTTGGGCTTTCATCTGCTCCAGGGGAGAGATCACGCTATGCTGTCGTACTCATCACAGGCCAAGATGGCCATGAGATTGGGTCCATTTGGGGTCAAAGATAGAAGCCGTGCAACGTCTAGCATTGACAGGTTGACAACTGAGACATCCAGTGCTTACCTGTGCGCTGCGTGGGGGTTGTTCAGCTGGGTCAGGTGTGTCTCCCAAGCCTCACCCACGGGACATGGGATTTCAGTTCTGGAGCGTCTTGGAGGAGGTCACTCTAGCGTTTGATGATGGCCAATCGACCCTGAACAACCATGGGACCTTGTGTTTTGCGGAGCATTACTTCCGCCAGCTGCTCGCGTGGAGCAACACTCTCCCGTCACGCCTCCTGCGCACCAACCAGAATCCACATCATGTCCTCTTTTTAAGTGAGGTTCTCGGCCTCTCTGGGTCTCTTTCGTGTTCTTGTTTTGTTGGATTCATGTTAGCTTTCATGTTCTTTTTCGTTTAAAAGGCTGAAAGTCTCCGTGGGTGTAGCGTATGGAATGTTCTCTGCCTCTCCGACTGGCGCATCCAGGAGTTCAGAGAAGCTCACCTTCGGACCCTCACCAGGAGCATCATCTCCCCATATATTGTTTTTGTCGCTTTGATTGCTCAGCTGAAGGAGCTTACCGTCCGCCTCACACTTCATTTTGCGTCGTCCAAGTGTACCTCACCAATGAGCCAAAGGACGATGAGTGGCTCTTCTACTTCTTGGTCTGTGTTTGCGGCTCTCAACGCCACGTCAGTCCTGGCAGGTCACCGCGTCCATCTGAAGCGCACTCTTGTCCAGGGCCCGGAAAAGGGACATCACAAGCACCACAGATCGATGAATCCTGGAATATCTTCAAACAGACAACTTACACAAGGAATCGGGCCACATCAGGACAATCTCCATGGCGGATTGCCCGTGGATGAGTCGGGTTCGAGCTCTACTACTGTTGAGAAGCAGGCCGAGAACTTGAGCGCGATTGTGCGTTGAGAGTATATACGAACGTATACGATGAAGATGAGGTAGGCCGGAAATCTCACGCCTCCATACGTTAGATTTGAGTTTGAGATGACTCGTACCATTGCTTTGAGATGGTTAATCGACAGAGGCTATTCTTTTAGGACGCCTCCGCCTCTTGGCATGAATCACCTTGTATAAATCATGCCGTTGGATGAATCCAAGCTACAGATAATGACCATGCGAAGCCACGAAACAGGTCTGCAGAGGCGTACCGGGTGGTAAGGCTAGCAGCAACAGTACTGCCCTACCTAGCGGGCTATGATCGAGAAGAATGCGCGGCTCAATGAGGAACAAAAGTACATGAATAGCCAGGAGAAACGACTAATCACAGTGAAAGACAATTATATGCTGATCAACTCCGCAGTTTGGGTTAATTTGTAGGTATCGAGTAAACCGAAAAAACCACGAGCAACGTCACACGACCACCACAACTCCATTCACTGCAGGAAGTGGGAACCACCTTCTCGGGATGGAGAACCACGATCCTCATCAACAATAATGACTTAGATGGACTCGTCGGTGTACGTCCTTAACACGAAGAAAACTAGCATCTTCGGCTCAGTGATCTCGCCATACCCCGGTATACATGTAAGATGAAGGCATAGACTTAGACCGGGGTGATGGACGATGCGATGGAGCATCAAGAGCTCAGAAGTAAAGTTGATGGAGTAGGTAAGCCTTATGTGTAAGCAAGATGTGTCTCTCTGGATACCACCGCCGGCAATGCTGGTCGAAACTGCCAGGTGAGCGATAAGGTAGTATGCAGAAGCTTGAATGCTACCGACTATCTATGCCATAGGAAGACGGAAGCTTGCAGATTCTCATAGCTGGCCGAAATCACTAAGGTACGATTCACTTGCGAATGAATCACGTCCCAAACGATCATCTCGGAATAAAAGAGGATATGGACTATGATTCGATTTCCCGTCGGAAGCATTATATACAAAGTGCAACTCACAAAAGAGTAATACCAGTAAATGCTCGATAGTCATCCGAAAAGATGACAGTCTTGTTCTTCCCATCAAGATCACACTGGTAGATGCGGCCACCCAGATCAGTCACATACAAACGGTAGTTCTTGGTATCCAACTTCAAGCCAATGCCCTCCTTGAAATGTCTGGTCAGTACTTCATGGCCACCCGGCGAAGCAGTCTTTGCCACGAGTCCAGATTTGTCCAATTGCAGCCTATTGAGAGAATTGCCGAATGGAACCTCGCCGCGATCAGTCCAATACAGACTGTTTGTCTCTTCATTCACTTCAAGGTCAACTGGTTCAGGCAGGCCCTCCGCGAGGCAGCGGACATCATCCCTCGATTGCGCCGACTGACCTGGTGACATTGCGATATTGGCGCAAAAGATACGTCCCTTGTTGCCCTTTGATGATCCCTTTTGGCTCCAGTAAAACTTGCCCAGCTTCGGAGAGACAGCGATGCCAACACACCAGTTCGTGGCATCCCGCACGTCTACCTCGTGTTCAGAACTGCCATTCTGTATCAATCGCTCCAGGTCGCAGCCGTCAAAGTTGCAGCGGAAGACGGAAAGGCCTTCGCGATCACAAAAGTAGATCTTCTTGCTCACACTCTCCACTGTCAGTTGCTTGGGTGTGTTGATCGTTCCAGGGGCGATAATGGTGCGAACGTCTGTCCCGTCAAGATTGGCGGAGCAAACAGATCCGTCAGGGTTTCCCGGAATGCCCATGTTGGTCCAAAACATACGACCGCTTGGATGATCGATGTCGATGCCGTCCGGTAAATCCTGGTTGTCAACAAGCACCTTTGGAGGCTTCCCATCCAGGCCGAACTGCAGTATCTTGCCTGAGTTCATCGTCGGCTCAGCAGCGGACAGGCCAAGATCCAAGACCAGAAGCTTGGGCTCGCTCAAGACACCGTTGCTGGCAATTGCATTGTATTTCGAAGGAGGGTAGAGCCCGCCCTTGTCACACTTGGCGCCCAATTTGCCGTGATCCAAGTAGTACTTCTTTAAGAAGTCTACTGTCTTCTCAGGGGACAAGCCAAGCTCTGCGATGTAGTGGTCCTCGATGTAGGCTATCGTATCAAGACCAACCACTAACGAATCACTCGTCAGTCAAGACTTTTCCTTTTCCTTCTCTCGATCTCGGACGATGGATACACTTACGGTCCATGGTCAAGCAAGGCAATAGACGACCGGTGGAAAACATCTCCTTCCACAAGGCATCGATTTCCTCCGGAACCGACACCCCTTCAGCAAGAATATTCAAGATCTCGCGCTTGATCGCAGCCCAAAGGCGATTGATGATGAGGCCAGTGGATTCCTTCCTTGCAACGTACGGTATTAGTGCTGCTTCTCGTAGCCGTTCGACCACGAACGGGATGATTCCCTCCGCCGTGTAGCCGCATGTCATGACTTCGACCAGCATGCATTCCGGAGGTCTAAAGTAATGTGTGTTCAACACATGAGTCTTCCTAGCGGGAGAAACTTTGCTTATCAGATCGGAAGACTTGTAAGACGATGAGTTTGTTGCAAGAATGCAGTCAGCAGGCGCGAGGCCATCCAGTTCGGCGAAAACGTCAATCTTCAGTTCAAGCTTCTCCGGCACGGCCTCTATGACCATCCAAGCATCTGCGAGAGCGTCTTCCATGTCTTCAAACGCCATCACTTTGCCAGGTGTTTTGCCAGTCTTTTGGGCGTATGACGCCACATTCTCTTCGACGTAGGCAACGCCTTCATCACGTTGCTGTTTGCTGGGGTCCCGGATCTTGACATTGTATCCTGTCGATGCCCATACACAAGCTATGGAGTTGTTGTTAATGTTGGCCTCTACCATAGTCATCATATCATCAATGATGCATACCTATTCTACGTCCGAGGACACCGGCCCCGAGAACGGCGACAGGCCGACTGCGATAGTTGAAAGGAGGCTGCCACGCAGTAACCATTGTGTCAGTCTCAGGAAGGCCCTGATATGCTACTCGGTCTGCAACGACGATGTTCTGCGCCACGGTCAGAGAGAGGACTGACGGACAGAAGGCTTCCCTCAGAGCTTTATACCTTCGCTCAAACAGTACCTGGACAACCACATCAACTTGCCTGCTACGTCAAACACACCTGCTACACCGCCAATTTTCACTTATCATGAAGTATGATCGACTTTTATTCCCGCCAAATCGGCTCTTACTTTCCGCTACGTCTCTCGTCATCCCGCCACATAAGACTCCCCTAGCTCTAAAGCCCGGCGGGCTTTGGGGACGCTGCCACTCTGGTACGGTAACGAGTGATACGGCTCGGTCAGAGCCTCGGAGCTGACATGTCGGGATTACGCAAGTTACTGATCTGGAAACGTTGATTCAGAGGTGTATTTGCTGCCAATTATATGAGGGTCGTTTACTGTGCTCCTGGCGCTTGTATGGGTGCTATCAGCAGATCAAATCAGCGTCATCAAACAGCTGAGTCCTGATAGGCCAATGAAGAAGTTGATGGCCCTCGAGGTACTCATTGCCGGAGTCCAAGTCAATCATTGCGGAAAATTGGCTTCACTCCGGCCTTGTAGAAAGCAAGTCATATTCCTAAACTCTCGGCTTCTCCGGTCTCGTTTGAAGAAGACGACTAGCCACCACATGTGATGTGAGGGCGGCCCCTTGAAAAGCTTCAGCCTATCTGCAGGCTCTCTCAGCCCATGTACGATGTACAATAGATATAAAATATATCTATCCAACACAGAAAGAAATTCCGACAGCCCCGGCAAAACAGTCCGACTCAACCCAAAGACGACAAACCAAGTGACTTCGGTTTCACAAGACGAGCCAAGGTCGGAAAGAAAAATCGCCGAAGGTGCAACAACACAACACCGACCTCCTAAGGCAACGCGTCGCTCTCCTCGGTAAGTGGGTTTCATCCTATAGCACAGGAGCTGCCGGGGCCATTGACACTACCCACTTGATCTCGAACTCGATCATCCTCAGGGCTGCAATTGTTGACTCTCATCATTGAATCCGATACTGATATTGAATAATCTAAAGGCGCGATAGAAAGGAAAATGGGGCGAAAAGCTCATGAGGTCCGATAAAAAGCAAGCAAAAAGTCATATATACAGCGCAGAAAGACTTCAACACCATATCCCAGCTCTCCAAATCACCAACAGCATGCCATCTAGCCTCTCTAAAACTTAATCGTTGGCAAATCCGACATGTGCACCTTGGCCCCTCCATACGGCACAAGCCTGTACGACGTCCTCTTCCCGACGCACGTTCTATTCAAAGGTGGCACATCCGGCGTCACGCCAAGATACAGCGGCCAGCTGATCTCGCAGCCGTCGACAGTCATGTAGTTCGGCGGCGCGCCTTGCTCAAAGATGGGGTCGGGGAGAGTCGCAGAGTCGCTTATGGGGTGGTATCGCAGCGTCGAGGGATCGATAGCCACGTTCCACGGCTTCGTGCTGTTGACATAATAGTCCCGCAACTCCGTAAAGGGCAACCCAGAGATTCCAGGACCGCTGGGGTCGTAGTACGCGTGCGGAAGAGACGAGGACTGCGAGAAGCCCACGTCCAGCGCATAGAGCAAGTTGCCGGCAAACACAGCAACGCTGTTGCTAGGCCGTGGCTCGGTCCTCACGTTCCCAACGATAACGTACGTGATTGTCGTCTTTCCGGGGTTCACAGAGATCTTGGTCATGCCCGTCGTCGGATCGGCATCGGCAGTGAGGCGGGACGTGGACGCGCCGGACTGAGACAAGGTGGACATTTTGCTGTTGGACCACTCGGGCATGCGCAGGTACAGCGTAAACGGCTTGGCCGCCGTCACCGTATATCGAAGCACGTTGCTGAAGGGATAGTTTGTCTCGCACTCGACCGTGACCGCGCCCCCGTTGACGACCGTCGTCACCGTCGAGGGGCTCAGCAGGGCGTGGGCCAGGCCGCCGTTGTACATCACCCAGCTGTTGGAAACGAACTTGGGATATCCCTGGGGGTGGTTCACCGTGCAGCAGGGATACAGCGGCTCCATGCCGAACGTCGTGGCCACGCCGCTGTTTGCCGTCGTGAAGACCTGCGGCACGCTGCCGTCGGGGGCGATGGTGCTGAGGGCAAACGGCTGGTTGGGCTGGTCCATGTACTGGTGCGCCCACTTGTCGCCCGTCAGCATCACTGGAAACGCGTTGAAGATGGTCCGCTCGGCTCGGTCTGCGTACGAGTTGTCGCCAAGAACCTGATACATGTAGGCCAGGGAGTAGCTTGTCTCAACGGCCGTGCAAAGTTCGCTGCCAATGTAAGGGGCCAGGTCGCGCTCCCTCTCGTCGGCGAGGACGGATCCAGAGGCCGAGCCGTGATACTGAAAGGTCCAGTTGACGGCGTTTTGACTCTTGACGAGCATTTCGTCGTCTCCAGTCATTCTGTAGATGACGGATGATTGTTTGAGGCCTGTCACACGGTATGAGCTTCCAACGCAAACGTCGCAAGACATGGAATCGTCGGAATACACATACCTTGACCGACGTTGACGCCGTGGATGTACGGAAAGTTGGATGCGTTGTTCGGATTCACAACCTCCTGAAACACCCCCTCTGTATACCAGTCTGCCCACTTGTAGTTGGTCTGCGAGTAGAACAGGTTCATGTTGTCCCACAACAGCGAATCCTGGTCGGACGGATACTTTTCCAGCAGCCACTGGATCGTAATGATGAGGTCGTGCACCCTTGCCTGTCCCCAAGTGCAGTCCACGGAGCTGGCGCAGTTTACATGCCCCTGGCTGTTGTTGTGCAGCATCTTGTTCGCCAGCGTCATGAACCGGCGCAGCGCCGTAACGACTCTGTCTTCCCACGAGCTGTTCGCCTCGACCAGCTGGGTCAAGCCGAGAAAAAAGGGCGTACGTGCCCAAAAGTTGCGCGCATCACCCACTTCTGGCCCGATCCATCCATCCGGCGCCTGGAAATTCAGCACGGTGTCGGCCACATCGTCGACCTGCGCCTTGAGCCTCTCATCATCGAGCTGATACGCCAGCGGCACCAGCCCGTTGAACCAGTACGGCAGCGCCTCGTTGAGCGAGCTGTACTCGGAGCCACCCTTGCCCGGCGTGTTGAGCCAGCTGGACTGGTTGACGTAGACGTAAAAATCGTGCTCGTGGCCGGCCTCGCCGTTTGCCATGGCCGTCATCTCGCCGAGCAGCCATCCGGTGGGCTTCACCGAGCCGAGCGGCAAGGGGGAGAATACCCATGGCCGGACTGTGTGAAGCAATAAGCAAAGTGAATCGATTAAGTAGGGGACAAGGTGAACGATAAGCAACTGAGAGGCTCACGCGTTGGGGTGGCAGCACCGGCAAGCGGTATCTGTGCTACTGCTAAAGCAAAAGTCAACTTCTGGTTCAACATAATTATTCGTTATTTGTCGTCCGAGCAGGACCACAACGAAAAGGAAAGGAGACGATAAAGTAAATAAAGAAAAGGAAGGGGATCGGCTGTGTGTCCTTACAGTCCCATCCGGAATGCATCTCCGTCGTGTCTCCTTTATCCGTTATACGTTGGTATTTGTGGTCATATGCGCTTCTCCCTCACGTTATACACATTCGCTGTGACTTTCCCTCTTTCTTCCTCCTTTCCTCTGTTTGTTCCTCTTTCTTGTTTTCGGCTTCTCTTTCTGCTGCTGCAATCTAATATCCCGTCCCCTCCACTCACACATACAACGTCAATACAGCAACCCGGCTTCAGTTCTTTTAGGTCCTTTTTCGGCACTTCTCGTCCTCGCGTCCTCGCCTCTCCACGGCGTCTCGGGACACCAGCAAAGCAATCACAAGAAAGTATAGACGTTCCTCTCCGTCAGCAGGCTACATCCCGTGACAACTCGCAACTATCGCAGGCCGTCGGAGTGAGCCGCAGGCGTTGATTGGCAACGAGGCTCGAGATGTAAGGGGAGATGGTAACATCGTGTCTCCTGTGCGACTGTTCGCGGGGTTTCTCTGGGGCCCTGAGACGCCGTCCTGGGGCCTAAAAGCAGGGAGGCTGGGCGCGGAGAGGGAGGGGCCAATAGCGGAAGCCGGCGGTTATATGGAAGGGCTCGAGTCAAGTGCTCAAAGCGGTTTGATCTCGGGGTCTTTGACGATCGGCAGACGACAGAACAATATCATCACATGGCAAACAATGAGATGCTACCTTATACAGGTAGTTGAGAAGAGCTAGCTTATGAGATATATGCAGTACCTTGGCTTTAAAGTGCAGCAGGGCCTGTATCACCACCATCGAGTTAGAGGCTGCATAGACACGGCAGCTGACGAATGGTGGCATTTCTCATCTACCGGCCCCATGGTTCTAGAAGCGACAACGCTCGTAGACTGTATCTCGTTTTCGCAGTGCTAGCAGAGATGAATGAACCGAAACTGCCCGGCACTTCTTGAGTTCCAATCAGATCAAGCGCCATCAACACCGAGATGCCATTATGGGAGCTCCTCGCTCGATGCTACGTCATGGCATACCTGCACATCCACGCGCAAGCCAAAGTACAGTTACCCTGAACTTGAGATGGGTTCTTGTACAGATACTTGTCGTCTCGACGGGCACGATACGAGGAAGCTTTCAAGGCTGTAAACATGCATTTTCGAGGGATGCTGCTTCATGCAGAAAGTCCACAAAATCCCCAACCCATCCCAACAAATAGCACCCATCACCGTCACCAATGTTCCCCATAAGCCAAAATCGAACGAAGCTTGCGCCGAAAAAGATCAAGACGCGGGGAAAGCGGAGCACCCAGACAGACCTGACATCTGATGGAGCCGAAAGGAATGGCTAACCGAGTACCTAGGCAAGCAATAAGCATTCAACGTAGCACCACCAACAAGCACCAACAACATCGGGCGGGAGGGGACCGCTTACTCCGTACATGCGCCCTCATTGCCTGTCATTCGCACAAAAAGCTTGAAGCCATCCAGTCTCACAGTCACCCATGCCTCGGAAACCAATAAGTCGTCAAAAACCATGCAAGGAAAGAACATGAATCTCGTGCTCATTCGTGCAGCTATGCTCGGGCTCTGACTCCATTTCCGCTCCAATCCGGAGCTGCCGTCTCCATTCGGCAGACTGTGCTTGTAACCAGTCACAATCCCCCTCCCAAAGCGCCTCGTAAAAAGCGACTCAAAACACCGTACTGAACCAACATGCTTGTTTCCCATATTCTCACTTGCTACATGATATCGAGAGTTCGTAAAGACAAGGCGCAGCAGTTACAGATCTGGAAGGTGATGCTTCCCACACGTAGCCGAGTACCCGAAGCACCGTATCTACTGGATATTCGATGTCAACGCTGTCAGACAGCGGTGTATCGGGGAGTTTAGGCCATGCTTTCCCCAACGTCGTCCTCTTCCGCCTGTTCTTAAGTACAAATTATCAATCCTGGTTACAAACGGGCCTATATTTGGGTCTGGGCCGATTACACGGGCGAAAGCGATGCATCTTGCCTCCGCCCGGGCGCGTCGAGAATCATGTACCTCGTACGAATGCAAGCTACAACAGGACATTCGAGTGTGTGCGAATTCTCCGGACTCGTAAACTGTAAGAAGTACATCACCGACGATGAGCACGGTGGTTTCATGTAGGCGCCATACAAATCCCGCTGCTGCGCAAACTACACTCACCCTGTAAACTGCCGCTTTTGGCAATAATCAAAAACTTACAAATTTCACGGAAACCAGTCCATTTCAGACAGAATAAGATAAGGAAACAAAGAATGTAAAAGAGAAAAAAGAAGGCCATGCAGATTCACACAAGCCGACTACCCCTCTTTTCCCGCCGTCCCAATCTCGATACCATTCAACTACACTTCAATCTTCATTGAAAGCCACAACTTCAACTCACCGAAAACGGTCGACTTATGCTGCGCCATAGTTCCAGAACCAAGAAAGTCAAAAAAGGAGCGCATCCTGGAACTCGATATACCTACTATTCTCCCAAGGCAAGACGAAAGTACACAGTACTTGTTCCATTTGACCCTCAGTTTCCTTCTCCTCTCTTACTGAGACTTCCGTATCATTCGTCGAGGTACCGTACGCCCAACCTCCGTTTCCACACAAGCCCCTATTCTTCCCCACGACATCGTATCCTATCGCGCTCACACGGAGTCCACCTGTTCTTCACCGAAAGATATTGCACCTGTCCATCATTCTGCAATGTGTGAAAAGATAGTTGGTCATCCGTAAAGGAGGTATCCAGAAACCCCAGCATCGCTCCACGGAGACGGAGAATATCGAATCCACCATCACGAACGTCAGAACGAGGCCGCATAAGAATCAAGGAAACAAAGAAACAAGATCTAGTTAGACCAAGCATACAAACCAGCATTCCCCTGTTCACCCACGGTTGTTTCATGCGTGGCTCACCCAATCTGACACGATCGGACCCAGCCCGTCCGCCTGCCTGCCTCGTAATGACAGTCTCATCTGTCTCATCAACCCCTATCCCTTCTCATCCCCCTGAATTCTACCAGCTAGTATCACATCTTGGTATTTCCCGGGAGGGTAACACATTCCCTCATGTCAAAGTGCAGGGTGGATCACGAAATCTGTCAGACTAAAAGTGTGCTTGTCTGTCCTGCCTAGAGCTGCACAACATCCGGATATTAGTCGATGTAAGCATCTATCAGGTGTCACACTCCTGCTCCTGGGGACCGAGTAGCCAAGCCAAAAGGTTAAACAAAGCCATGTGTTTGACCCGAACATTCCGTGTCTTAGACTTGATCGCTGGACCGTGTTCACCTTTCTTGGCCTTGAAATCATCAGTTGACCTGCACGGAGATCAAGAAGTAAAAGTGACAAAGGAAACAAAGCCATTATTATAGTGAATATTGATCGCTTATAATGAGTGTAGCTCATTGTTCGCTAGGTACATGGCGGGTCGCGCCGTATTAATCTATAGTAGCAATAGGTATCGTCGACCGGTGTCGAGTATGTCCGCTGCATTACCTTGGTACTGACTGTCCAGTCAAAACTATTCACGTATCTCCCTCTATGTCCATCCATGAAACCATGCGCCTTTTCAAGATCTAATGACACACAAACAAACACATAACAATCCCATAGAACCCAGTCGTTCGTCGTAATCCTCAGCAGCCATCAACATCTTCAATACACATTAAAAGCCCGCACTCCGCAGTCGTGGAGGCCGAGACACATTGGAATGTGCATTGTGTCCCTGAGACTTTTCTCCCCTCGTAACGCACTTAGAAAAGGAAAGATGCGACAAAAATGAGACACGTATATAACGTCGAGAAGGTATACTCGAATTCGAACCAGGCAGCCTGACCGCCAAATGCAATCTTTTTGCTCTGGGGTGTCGGGTGAGCGACCTTGGTCTGGGGATCGCGCACGAGAAGCTCTTCCCGGTCCGGCATCTGAGGAGGATCGATGGCGTAGCCAATAGGCGTCCAGAGAGAGCTGCAGATGAAGATGAAGGTCAGAGGTGGCCAGAAGGCGTGTGTCACCAGGCAGATGAGAATATCCCGGACGCGGTGGCTCTCCTGGAAGAAGCAGCGGTACGAGACGAGGGTGGCGGCGACCAGGGTCAAGTAGACGAATGCGAAATGGAACAAGGCCATGTAGTTGAAAAGGATGGCCCACAGGCGACGGAACATGTTCTTCTTGAGCTTGGGGTCACGCTCATTCAGGGCTGACGAGAGCGAACCGGTGGGCTTGAAGGCCTGCGTCTGTCCACCCAGCCACTTCGGCAGGACAAAGGATCGAATGATGCAGAGGGCAATGTAAGGCGACATCCAGAGCTGGTAGCGAGACCCGCGCTGGCCAGTGTGATAGCCGGCAGGGATGAAGAGGACAAATTCGCACAGGCGGTTGGTGATGGTGTTGGCAAAGCAGGCACGAATGAGCCAGCGGAGCTGCGTGTCGTTGGCGTAGGCAACCAGCGGCTTGCCCATGATCAGGATGACGGGAATGGCGAACAGCGAGATGGACAGCAGGATGGTGTACAGACTGAGTGAGGCGTAGAGAAAACCGGAGAAGCGCTGGGCAAACGTCATCTGGCGAACCTTTTCACCCCACAGGCAAAAGTTGAGCTTGAACGACGTGTCCACAGTACCAATGGCCCATCGCGTACGCTGCTTCAGGTGGCTGCCGTAGTCTTCGGGAACGGTTCCAAACTGGAGGGGCTCATGAACGTAGGCCGTCTTCCATCCCTTGCCGAGCATCATAGTCGAGGTCGCCACGTCTTCGGCCAGCGAACCCAGGGGAAAGTTGCCAATCTCTTCAAGAGCCTCCCGCCTGGCGACGTAGCCGGATCCAGTGCACCAAGCGACACCCATGGCGTCCTTGATGGGCTCAATGACGTGAACGAAGAAATCCAGGGACTGGGCCAGAGGGTCGGAGGGCGGGGTGTTGTAGAAGAGCTGGGGCGGGCAAACCAGGGCCATCTTGGGATCCGATACCGCGTGGGGAAGCAAAGCGCGAAGCCAGTCTCGCTCAGGAATCTGCGACGATCGTTAGCCATTGCATCGAACGCAACAACCCTTCTGTGACTCTTTGATTCCGTATAAGAATAACTTACCATGTCGGCGTCCAGGGCGGCCATGTATTCACCAGCACCGCCAGGCAAATTGTGACTTTGCTCCAAGCCATAGTTGAGGTTTCCGGCCTTGAAGTGATGCGGCTGTCCGGGAATCTTGGTTCGAGCCATGTAATACAGGTTGGGGTACGTGTGCGAGAGCAAGGCGCATTCGCGCTGAAGGCCAGGGGATTTGGCGTCGTCCAAGACGATAACTCGGAACTTGTCACCGGGGTAATCTTGGTCCAGGGCGCCGCGAACGGTATCCATGACAACTTCATCGTCCTCACCGCAGCAGGTCACAAAGACGTCGACAGTGGGCACGTCGTTTCCAACCAGCCTCATCTTGGGCCTATGCCTCTTCTTCAGGGACCACATCGTCCAACCGTTGTGCATAAGCGAGGGAATGGCGACTGCCAGCTCGACAGCAATGAAGACCCAGGCGGCGGCAAAGGTGATACCCGTGGCATTTTGCGCCAGAATCACGCAGGCGATGCGAAGTCCCAGGTATACGAGGTACACGGCGGTGTTGGCGAAGGTGAGAAAGGGCGTGAGGCGGTAGAGATGTCTCCTCCAGCCCTTCCAGATGTCGGCGTCGTCGCGTTTGCGCAGAATGTTCACTTTCTCATGAACCTCACTGTCGCTGCTGCTAAGCTCTTTGCTTGGAGAACGTCCGTTCTGCGGCAGGAGAGTGGTCAGGCTCTGGAAACTTGGACTCTGCAGTTCAAAGAAAACAGGTAATAAAGAGGACGTCAGCAGCGACTTCGCGGCAAGAGTCAAGTCAAAGAAATACGAGACATTCACCCATCGCCAATCAATGGGCTAGAGCGGTAAGGGGACGGCATACCATTGGAGTCGACGACCTCGAGTCATTGTATATCAGGTGCTTGGTGGACGACAGGTGATCGTATGGTGTCGTTGCGCCGCTCCTAAGTGTCAGAGAAGGCGAGCTACCCGATCCCACAATCGACGGCGGCCATTGAGGCGCCATGAAGTCGTCAGGATGGACCTGGCTGGAGCGGTTGGAGTCCATGTTGGTGGAGAGCAATCGCGGATGAGAGTCGTCAGAGCCGGATTGATGATGGCGGCGAAAGTCTCCTATCTCGACCATCTCCTCATATTCTTCCTGATGGCTTTTCACCATGGTGGGCGACTGTTTTTATGTGGCTGGGCCACAAGCGAGAGAAAAAGGGCCTTATCGGGAGGCAAGGGTTGAGCGAGGGAGAAGCCGGTCAGCCCGGGGTGAAGAGGGTCTGTCTCTTTCTTTCGCCAATGATGGATAGCAGTACTGGATGCCGTAGTCCGTATTACTAGTAGCGATGGAAGAGGCGTATCCCTGGGCCGTCGTCACAAAGGCTGGAGATTCCACCAGAGAAACGAAGGTAGCAGTAGAGCAGGCTGTCCCGGTGGTGTAACGGGAACGTTCGCTGGAGGGGATGTTCGGTAGAGTTCTTTTCCGGTAAGAGGAAAAATGATATGTACTAAACGAATGTGAGCAGCGAAGCTTCGCCGCAGCTGATGGAAGGGTGATGAGGGGAAATAGCGAAGGTTTGGAGAGCGAGAGAGAAGAGGGATGTGGAAGAAGAAGAGGCTGAGACGGAAGGAGATGAAGTGCTGATGAGATGGAAGGTGTGGCAGCGGTACTTCAAGTTCGCACCTCAGGCCGCCGGCGCATGTACCGGGTACGGCTGGCAGGTAGCGCGGGTGTTTGTACCGGGTACGGATCTGCCATGGGTGCGTGGAGTTAACTAGCGCTGGTGCGAGGACATCCATCAAAGTACTAGCACTACGGGTTCTGCTCTCTGTCCACTCTTTTTCAAGGCAAGATGCCTGCAGCCTGGAACTTGGGAGCCTCTATCCGTACGAGGTTACGAGGTACTTGGTAATACTGCGTGCATTTGACGTCCTTGGATGCGGCCGTTTGGCCCGAGAAGCGGCTGGGACGGGCGACAAGTGGGTGGGGGTAAGGAGACGAGGGATAGGGAAGGGAAGGTGATGCTCTGCCCTGCTTTGTTTACTTCTGATGCCTTCCTTTGTTTTCTGCTGGGAAATTTCCATTTTCCCATGTCGATCAGGGCTGGCTGACATCATGTTCTGGTAAATATAGCATACTGATTTGCGGGAGCGTCAAGCAGTGGTCGTTGAGACGGCAACATGAGGCAGCAGCCGCCGGCAATCAATCATGCTGTGGCCGTGCTGGCAGCGGGAGCAACGGGTGGTAGTGGGCTGTCAGTGGGCTGCCAGTGGTCACACAACGCCAGCAGCTCCCCGGGAGAAGTTGCAGTTGGGGTTCAAGACGATCCATGGATGTTCGGGCAGGTTGAGCTCAGCTGGTACGGGTACCTGCTCGCCATCATCACAGCTGGTGCCAGCTCTTTCTGGCACTTTGCACTGGACCTCGTACGGCATACTCCGTTCTTTGTAGGAACAGCGTCGACGAGGCCTGTGCACACAAGAAAAGTGCTCACATCTTACTTCGTACAGGTACTCCCGTCCTCGCCCTCGGTCAAACTGCCCGGGCTGCCAGAAGTTCAGGTCGATGGCGGTGCTGCTAGCCTGCGGAGATGCCAGCTGATGTAGGTACTCAGTACTTGTGTCAGCAGCGCTCCCCAAGCGTACGTTCGGCCGTGAGCGTCTCCAGTTTCCGCATCGTATCTTGTACTGGATACTCTTGCGCCAGACAGGGTTCCCACCATTTTTCTCGTGTTTTCTGGCGAGCGGCTTGGGCGGGATAAGGCGAGCAGGGGAGAGGGAATCGTCGTCATAGGCCGACGGGGTCGAAGCGACAGATGCAGTCTAGAGGGAACGCAAGCAACGTTGACACAAGGGCCACACCTTTTGGCTTGCCTGGTCTGGTCTCTCGTCGTCTTGCGTGCCTTCTCGTCTGCTCTTCCAATACGAGGCCGGAGTGGCGTGACGTGGGCCTGGTGTAGCGGTACTTTGTCCATCTGGTTCTTCTTTTGGACGTGAGTCGTTGCTGAGTCGTGGAAAGGGAGGTGTTTCTAATTTTGGATACCTACATGTACCTTGGGTACCTCAACTTTTGTATGGGAGTTCGACGCTGTCAAAACGTCAAGATGCATCGACGCTTGCCCAGACAGCCTTCGCATGTGTTTGACATGCAGCAGCGCGTGCCAAGCGGAGCAAGACACCGAATGACAGCGACAGGCGCAGAGCAAACTGCGAGAATTACCTTGTTCGTTATGCTTGAGAGCAAAAACCGCTAGCCTGCCGCGGGAGGCTTGACCGCGAAACCACGCCGCTGCGCTCATTCGAGGTCTCTGTCTGTCTGTTAAGTCATACGCCTCTTGTTGGCTCTGGTCCATCTCCGACGGAGCTGATGAGTTCTGCAAAAAAGGGGGCGCGTGCTGTGTCCGTATTGTATGGATGTACATAGATAAGCCATTCCTGCTGGGTGTGATTGGCCCAGAGCATGGAATTGGTCGACTGATAGCAAAGGTAAGCCAGAATCTCTCCTCAATCTCTTCCAGGTTTGCTCAACAGAGCTGGAAGGTGTCAAGGTACCCGTTCCCGCCGTCCACTTTTTTTTATTGCATCTTGTCTCACAGAGCTTGACTGCAGCGGCGATCGTCAGCGCGGATTTCCGTCGTGAGACTTGAGTCGGGATGGTGCTGCCTGTCAACTTGAAGCGATGCTTCATGCTGTGCTGCTGCCGTGGTCTTCACTTTCAACTGGGTGGTTCCTTGTTTCCAGAGGCCGAGTCCTTGTAACGGAGCACCGCAGAAAGAAAAGATGAGAGAGGGGCAAGCCTTGTCTCCACCAATCGGGATAAGGAAACTGGGTTAGGCCGTGATCGGCTTAGCGCGGATGGACCACCGCTTGACACCGGCAGGAAGAGACTCCACGAATGTTTGAAGAGAGAGGAATATTGTGGAATCCAAGGCTGAGATGGATGGAAGCGAGGCGAACACCACAGTGTAGGTCTGTCTGGCTGTATGGAAGCTCGTATGCTGCGATCATGTGCCCAGCAGCAACCTGCAGCTAGATGGTGCTCTAATATGTGCGTATCGTACTGTTGAGGGCCAGAGAAGCGCCGACGGGTGATGGAACCGCCGCGATCGTGTTTGTGCTTGTGCATGCAGGTGCATCTGCTCATGGACGATGTACCTGTACGACTGCTGCTGCAACGAGTACTGTATCGGCAATACAAGGGCGCACAGACGAGCAGACGAGCAGATAGACTAGGAGCTTGAGACAATCCCGGTGGTGGTACCTTCATCTCAGCATGCAGGTGGCTTGCATGATCATCTACGAGTTTGTCCTTTGGCACCGCCTCTCGACTCCCGGCCTCTCACAACCTGCAAATCTGCCGTGGCCATCACACTCCAATCTCCTCCTTTTACAATCGACCTGCTTGGTAGTTGATTGACCGAGACAAGTGGCTGGCGTCAGGACGATGATTGCCTACAACTGTCATTGTGCGTCACTGCGAATAGCAGCCCGGCAACATCGGCTTCTCTCTGTGACGGAATCAGAAGAGCAAATCGAGCCTTGTTCTCTGGCCATGTGCTTGATTCGGTCAGTGAGCGGTTCATCTCATGCACCCTCACGTAGCATCTTTATGCGTATTGCTGCCTTATCTGATGGAGGGCTGGATCGATGCCACCTGTGACACCAAAACACCAGGGACGGTGAGCCTGGCAACATGCACGATAGAGGAAATTCGATGTAACCGCCGCTGCTCAACGGCATCTCGACTGCCAGATCGGCACCTCCTCGCCCCAGCCTCGTCTACATGCACAAATGCAGTACTTTGTCCGTCTCCTGGCTGGACATAAACCTCGCTGAGTGCATCATCCGTCGTCACAGGAGCTCCACCGTCCCAGTTTTTGACTTTTTTTTTTCTGTCGTCCATCTTCATCTCCTCGGCCGTAATTCGTCCAGTCCCGAAACATTGGCGATCAAGCTAAAGCGAGGTTGTCTGAAGGTGGCGCCCACTCGAATCGCATCGCATCACCACAAGGCCTTGGATCAGCGCAGGCCAGGACGGCATCTCGGAGCAATCGAGCTGCGGCTCACCAGCAGCCCCGATTCCCCCCTGATCCAGCGCTGCAGCACCTCGCGGAACCGCTGAGGCGCAACCGGTCTGTGCGCTAGATCACTAAAGCCCGCCCACCGCGTCCACTAGCGCCGCTGTTGCCAAAGACGGCAACGGTGCCAACTTGCCCAAGTACCGGTACGCCACGACCTTGGCCAGCGCCAGGCACCCGGTAGGTACTTCGCACATGCTGCGTCCTGGGCGGCGCATGTACCTCGTACCTCGTACCTCACCTCTCGCCCATCCCGAGCCGTGCCTGCAGCCTTGCTTGGACGAGAACGAGGTCCTCGTATCGCTGACTTTCTCAGTCTCTCTCACCCCTCCATCCAGATGTCAAGCGACTTGACAAAACCGTCCGCATTTCTCTCGACGACGCTCGCTCGTTGACTCCCGCAGCTGCTGCGGCAAAGACGCTCGTTCATTCTTTGTTTGCTCTTTTGCTACCCTCCTTTCGTTTGCTACTCCAGTCCAGACAGCCGCGATGACGATCCGCGTCCTCGTCAACGCTGCGCTGCTGGCCATTCCCATCGCTGTCACCTTGGGAATCTTGTTCGGCCTCCAGTCGCATCGGTCAGCAACCGGACAGCCGCCGCTGTTTGCGCCCGAACCACCGCCGATTCCGACGCCCAAGCCGAAAGCGCCGGCTAATGGCATCACCAAGACGAGATACTGCCAGAAGTCAATTGGCATCACGCCCGAAACCAAGGGCCAGCAATATACCCGTATGTGCCCGCCCCCATGTCACCACCAGCCAGAATCTCTAGGATATGAAGGGCGATTGTACGATGGTGAAGCTTCACGCGGTCCAGAGAGCTTCAGGCGCATCATATGGGTTCAAGGCTCGTCATGGCGACCTGCGATAAGATGCTTTGGCGCTGTGGCTCTGGCCACCGTCTCCGAGGCCAAACCAGATCGCTCTCTTTACCCCCGAAATCCCAGCATCCATCACCACAATCCTCAACGGCCGGTTGTCAAAAGAGATCACTCAAGATTTGGCTGGCCCAGTCACTTTGCATACACCCCTACCCGCCGAGACATCTCCCGCCTGCATCAATGACCCAACTGGATGTACTGACGGTTGCTCTTCCTAGTGAATCCTAACCAGTGGAATTGGAACACCGGCGATCCGGGAGGCCTCTGCCTGAATGTATGTATACGTTGGATTTCCAGAAGTCGCGCTACGAAGTCACTTGCTGATGGGGGATAAAGGTGACCACGTTTAACAACGGCACATACGCCACAGACACTACGGCTCCCCAGTTCATGATCTCGTGGCAGTATCCGCCTGGGCCTGAAGACAACCCCGTCCACGCTTTCCCCAACATCCAGGTCGATACCGATGTATTCCCTGCAACCATCAACACCATTTCCAAGGTTGATCTCGATCTCCAGTGGTCCTATGGCATCGGCAACGAGACCACTGAGGCTGCTACTCTCGCGGAACTGACAGCGGACAACCTCAACACCAACGTCGCCATCGACATGTTCATTGACAGCGATAAGAAATCGGCACAAGACCCGTCCAAGGCCAAGTACGAACTCATGGTGTGGTTTGCGGCTATTGGCCCTGCCACCCAGCCCATCGGCTTCGCCCAGGGCTCGGTTTCCACCCAGACGCTGGACGGCAACAAGTTGTAAGTACCCGGCGTGGCTGAAACCCGGAATTCTCGCGAATCCACTGCTGACAAGGATGACCTGCAGCGATCTGTACGCCGGCGTCAACCAGCAGAAGCAAAATGTCCTGACTTGGTACACGGATACGCCGGTGGAGAAGTTTAACGGAGACATTTCTCCTCTGATTAACAGTCTCTTCAAGCTCACCGCTACCGCTGCCGACCTCCCCAAATCTGGCGATTACCTTGGATACCTGGCCCTCGGCTCCGAGGCCTTTTCCGCGGACAAGACTGTCACTCTTTACGTCCCGAAGCTCTCGATAGACATAGAAACAGATACCTCAAGTACCACTTAATAATACAGCGACCTGATTTTCTTGTTTTTTCGCGTCACATTGATCCAATCTCGAACATCCAGTGCTGCTTCGATAATTTCCTCATTTGGTCTGTTGAACCGGTCTGATTGGGCATTATTCTGGTGCAAGATTTAACCGTCGATGAACATACTCGGCTGAAATGAAGCTGCCAAGACCCTCTCTGAGTGCAACCTCCGGTGGCAGTGGCGATGAAAAATCTCCTATTTCGACGACGGTACGTCCAGCGCTTGGCAAAGAACAACAGCAATCAATCGATCGAGCAAGGGCATGGCATCTAGGTCGATCCGATCATGGGTTACAAGCGTGGTCAAGGGTTGTGGGAAGGATGGAGAGAGGGAGTATCTGTTGTGTTCACAGCGTTGTGCCAAATCGCGTCGAGTAGTAAGGGATTTGGGTTGGCCAAGTCGTGCATGGCCGTTTCAACGCTCACTCAAGACGGCGTCGATGGCCCCAACAACGGAGCTCCAGTGACATCTGCTTCGCCATGAAAATTTGTTTACTCTTTTCTTCTTCTTGTCGCACTTATGCTTAGCGCCAGGCCCTCCCGACAGCTCGGTACTAACGTTGGAAGAGTGGCACCTTGTTAAGCACGGCCACACGGAGAAGATCGTGGCAAAACTCTTCGGGTAAAAAGGCTGCGGATGGGCGGCTTAATTCATCTGGGCAGCCTTGCGATTGACCAATGAAGATGCATTCAGGACAAGGCTCATTCTAGAAGAGTCAATGCTTTTTCTTGGCCTTTTTTCCCTTATCCCTTGTCTGTGTGTCAGCCGCGTTGCCGGCCGTTGCAGAAATTTACTGCTGATTGCCCGTGCTTGCAACGGAGTCCGATCTGATAGTGTGGGTTTTCCGGCAGTTGGTGGTTCCTGATGACGAATGTATGTCTCATTGACTGAAGATTTCCGGCAGAGGAGATTGCACGTGCCTGCATGTTTCAACGCATGACAGGAAATACGGCTCCTGATCTCGATGGACATCGCGATGCTGAAATCCGGATTTGTCGTGACTCGCTTCTTCCCGTGATGCGGAAATGTTGAGTTGTCGACGAGGCGGGACGAGATGCCTACCTAGTGGTGAAGCGCTAGGCTAGAGAGGTGATGGGACGGGGAGGTGAAGAGGGAAAAAAGGCTCATATCTCACGATACCGCCACCCCGACGTCGACGGAGCCCGGGTTTAGATGGTGTTTTGTCGTGTTTAGCGCAGACTATGCCGTTGCGGTTTTCCCTGTTCCTGACAATCCTCATGAGGTTTTATGGACTTCGTGCCTTGGTCGACCCCCTGGCCTGTCACAGGATTTGTGGTGCTGTGGCCCACACCGAGAAAGGCCGTTGGTGCCAGTAAGCAGATGGGTGGATTGATAAGAACGGGAGAGCTTGCCTACACAACAACAGTTGGCCTTCAGAAGAGGTATGGAGCTTCTCGGCGATATGTTGTTTCTGGCAGGTGGACTCCGTGCTCTTTGGACGGCATAAGAAGTGATGACTTCATGTCGTGGTTGATGCCCGAGTTGAAGCTGGGGAGGTAAGCTTGTTTTGTTGTCAATGCGAAGCGAGGCTCGGTAGACGATGACGATGGATTTGTTGTTCAAATCAAGATGCCCTCTGCGCTGCTTTGGATGGGCATGTTGTACCCTGTGAGAATCTCGAGTGTTTACTTTGATGCTTGATTTGGGTGACAGAGACGGTTGTGATGTTGTCTCTTGGGAGTGGATGTGGTTGACATGGAATATGGATATCGTCATGTTGACAGAGATGCTTTGTTGTTGGACCGGGGTGTGAGACGGCCCCTGCGATGATTATTCTGCTGCCTACATGCTGAGGTTGTTGGATCGTGAAGGGAACGTGGGCAAGGTCAGTTGCGGTCTGGGCGTGGATGAGTGTTTTTCGTCTTCTCATGTGTTGCTGTCTGATCGCACGTGCATACGGTTCATGTGGACGAGGTGCTGCGTGGACATGGTAGTTGCCCTCCGACATGAGTTCACATCTCGTCCATTAGGGTAATTTGGTAGGCCATCTACAAACACGTCTGTCGTCATGTCCAGTCACTGCGATTAACTCCATATGAGTGTACTCAGGGATGCTCGATGTGACGGTGAGGGAGTATAGGGTTGGCTGAAGAATGATGGATTGCGCTGCGACAGGTGCTTATACAGAGCGACTCAACTGCTGTATAATCGCCTAATGAAGCTATTCATTGACCTCTTGTGCTGGTCAGTCCATCAGAGAGAAACCCGGGGTTTAGTTTTGCGGCACACAGGGTTTGCGATCTCTTGAGGCCACGCGGAAGCTGAAAAACGACACCTATCTGAGGAAGTACAAGTCAAGACCGGAAAACACCAGCGCATATGACCAAATATAAATTGATATACATTGGCAAAGCTGCAAGCATGATCTCAAGAAGTCCCAAGAAACCGTGTTGAAAGAACGCCTTGGCCTTTCCAACTGCCAGCCGTGACTAATATTGACTGACTTTGAGTTCTTGTTCTACCAAGTCGATGGCCTCGAGATATGCTCCTGCTCGCCGTCAGTACGTCGTCACCATCGCATGACCAGCTATTGCTATGTACTCACCCGCAACATTCCATCTACGATTCGCCTTCCGTAGTAGCTCCAGACACAGCGACACCTGCGCAGTGTACCCCGATGCATCCACAGAAACCGACGTAGCCGTGAGATAGACGAGATTCGCCAGGCACTGGTAGATGCTGTCCACGAACCAGGGCGACAGGCTGGCGAGATTCTCGATGGACTCCTGGTCCTGCACCATTTCGCCGAGGACTTCCACAAAGGACATTGCCTTGGCGATGCAGTCCTTCATGATGGCTTGACAGCGGAGGGCAATCTCGCGGGCGAGGGCCATTTCGGTTACGTCGAGGGCTCTGTCGTTGTATATGGCGAATGAGTCGCAAGAGTGATGATCACAAAGCTTCATCAGGGCGCTGAATAACGTGCTTAGTTCTCAAACTCGAGACAATGACCTGTGCGCCGGTATTGGGAGCCTTACCTGAGACACACGCCAACGGCGCTGTAAAAGTGCATCATGCTCGATCTGTCTTTGCTGATGACCTCTAAAAAGGACCATATGACCTGACTGAGGACCTCGACGTCGTTCTGCACGTGTGCTAGGCTCTGCGTATCGTCGTTGCAGTGCTTGATGACTTCGCCTTGCAGATGGGAGGCCTGAGCTAGGCGGGCGAAAGGGCTTGCGGATAAGTGTTTGGAGGAGGATAGGATGAGACGCTCAGGATACATAGCTTGCTGTGGAATGTGTGAGCTTCCTATATGTGGTCTCATGATGTGGGTGATGGTGACCTACTCCAGAGTCCCAGGCGTCATCGTTGACGGGAAGATGAGATGTGGTCTTGGGGTCGGCAGATAGAAGAGGCCGATTGTCGCCAACAGAGGTGATGTATCTATGTAAGTGATGAGCGTTTCATTTTATGAAATTGTTCGTAAGAGAGGAGATACCTTTCGAGTATGACAACCAGCCACCAGACGCGCTGTCTCTCTTCCCAGTCTATCCAAGTCCGCGGCTGTTCCAGAACCTGAGGAGCTTCTCGATGGTGAATGCCAAGAACCATGGCCTGTGTCACGCAGCATCCCATGGAGATATACGCGGCGGGAAATATGCCATGTCCCATCTCATACACCGCGATGAGCAGGTTCGCCTGCAGCTTGAGCAGCGTATAAACGCCCGCAATCTCCAGGGAAGCTGCAAACTCCTTGGCGCAGATGTATAGCCCATCTCGCACAGCGTTGGATGAGCTGCCTGGTACGTGCTGGATGAGCTTCATGGCGAGGAGCAGCAAGGCGAAGTCCGCCCTCATACGGCCACCAAGCTCTGCGTCAGCAAGAGAGGATAGTCGCACTCGGCTGATGATGGGCATCCACTTGTGGATGGTCTGGAAGTATTGTGCCATGATGATGGCGCTCTGCGCCTGGTCGCCCAGGTGAAGCAGAACGGTGCCCGGGATCATATCACTCGAGGGCGGCGGCGGAGCATCGGGGCGGGTCTGAATGTCCGTATCCAGGAAGAGCTTCTGGAAGCGGAGGGCGGCAGGATAGAATGCGCATGATAGACTGCCGGTGCCCTGAGTGGACGACGCCGAGATGGACTGAGGTTGCGGGGAGAGAGTGCTGACGTGGTTGGCAACGAGAGACTCGAGCTCTTGGATCCGCGTCTTGAGCTCGTTCTCGGACTGCCGATTGGTGTAGTCGCATGGTCTGCGTAACCTGTGGGTTGTAAGTTGAGCGAGTCAGGCCAATGAGAGGGGAGGACTTGGACGAGAAGGGAAATGGGGATCGGGGCAGACACGGCGAGGCGGCCGCTTCGAAGACATATGAGGCGAGATGTAGGAGCCGAGGGATTGCCAGGAAGCGTTCCAGATTGTAGACTGAATAGTCTACATTGATTAAGCAGAACATGCTAGAAAAGGGGTGCGTATATGGTACCTGGTGCATAGAGAGCAGCTGGGCAAGATCTTGTCGCACCGCCGCTTATACTTTTGGCACGCTGCGCAGGCGCGCGCCGCTTTTTGGCTGGATGAAGATGATGATATCCCGCTCATGCCGCTATCATCGGAAGGCCTAAATCTAGAAGCAAATCCCTGTCAGTCGGTACAAGAGAAGCGATTGTGGTTGACGGTGATGATCCATAGTTCTGCGCCGTAGACGAGATCCGGAGCGGGTGCGCAAACCGATACACGGAAACGTCCCTGGTCCACTCACAGCACTTGGAACATCGGCGGCGGCTTGGGATGACGGAAGCGGCTCAACGGTGATGGAAGAGGGATTGTTTTCGGTGCGGGTTGGTTTTCTACCCTCTGTGCTTCTGTATGTATTCGCACGTAGATAATGGAGATGACATTACGGAGTACATGAAAAGGTGAAATTGAAAAGTTTCGAGAAATGCTCTGAGAATAAGGGACAGGAAAGCGGCTGAGCTCGCTCTGGAGTCTACAATACGACCCTTGAAAGTTTACACACTCACTACCTAAAGTCCCACATAGTGCAGCAAAAAGAGAGAAATACATAAGCAGATAAAAGATATCTCGTTAGATTCTCTATATATATCTATATCTAGATAATTATTTCTAGAGTAAATATTATCTCTTATTTATAAAGAAAAATGCATTTATATAAAGATTGATTTTCTATACATTCCTAGTACTTATGCGTTCCCTTGCTTAGTTTACTTTTATCCCTGTTTGCTATAGTAAACACTACTCCACACTGTGGGCTTGCAAGTACTGGAAGGTATCGCATCCTGCTAAGAACCACCTCTGATTGGCTGACATGGCCTCTGAAGTAACGAAAGAGAAATCTTTCAAGGGTCATATTGTAAACGCTGGAGCGGCCGCCCTCCCGCTCCGGGTTTAACAGAACTGGATCCTCAACGGCTCGAATCTGCCGGCTTATAGACATCCGGCGACTTTTCTGAGCGGCGCGGAGAGTCGAGAGGGTGAAGGCAGTTGGCATGTCACAGCTCGAGGGTGATGCCTCGTGCACGGAGTTAAGGTGGATGGGCGGAGAAGTCTTGAGGGGACTTGAGCTCGAGATGGGCGATTATGCGGATGGAGAGGTCTATAAAGGATCAAGAGGATGCTGTTGAAAGTTGAGAATATCGCCATTCTCATGTCAAGCCGCTTCAACCTACAAAAATATACGTGCATCTGTTCTCTTGACGACAGTCTCAACACAGCTATGGCTCGCATCTGGTTCGTCACCGGCTCTTCCAAAGGCCTCGGCCTCGCCATCGTCGAAGCTGCCCTCGCGGACGGCGACAATGTCGTCGCTACCGCCCGCAAACCTTCCACAGTCGACCACCTACTCGAAAAATACGGCCCTGATCGCATCCTGCCACTGGCCCTCGATGTCTCCAAGAACGACCAGGTCGAGAGCGCCGTCAAGGCTGCCGTGGACAAATTCGGCCGCATTGACGTCGTCGTCAACAACGCCGGCTACGCCATCCCTCGAGCGCTCGAAGACACGTCCGTCGAGCTCTTTCAGGAGCAGATTGACACCAATTTTCTAGGCACCGTCTACGTGACCAAGGCCGTGACCCCGATCCTGCGGAAGCAGCAGTCTGGCCGCATCCTGCAGGTCTCTTCCGTGGGCGGCAGGTTGGCCACTCCTGGATTATCGGCGTATCAAGCTGCGAAATGGGCCGTCGGAGGCTTCACCGGCGTCGTGGCCAAGGAGCTGGCGCCGTTCGGCATCAAGCTCACCGTGCTGGAGCCCGGCGGCATGAAGACGGACTGGGCTGGGTTTATAGGAGAGGAAATTTTCATAAGCGACCCGTATCAGCAGACAGTGGGAGAGTTCCAGAAGATCCGAGAGAAGTACAGCGAGTTTCGCTCGGATCCAAAGAAGGTGGCAGATGTGATTGTCAAGATATCCAAGGTGGACGATCCGCCGCTGAAGCTGCTGCTGGGCCCTGAGACGGTCGATCTGGCAAAGCAGGCTTCGGCTGAGCTTGCGGCGTCGGATGAGAAGTGGAGGGATGCGACTCTTCTAAAGATTTAAGCTGAGTGAATGGACATAAGACGGTTGACTTGACTAGCGAGTATAGAGAGCACGTAGAATCTGTCAGACGTGCCCCAGGGGGCACGTGACCTAAGATCAAGTCACTGGCCCATACAATAACACCAGGCCCAAGGCTGTTTGTTTATTTCCTTTTTTCTAGATAGCTTCAGTAGCTCTAGTAGCAGTAGCTATCTCAAATATCAGAGATTTCCCCCTTTAGGGTTTAATAGAATCCATTCTTGCTATCGTGTAGCTTAGAATTGCAGGTTTATCAGCGACTTACATCTGCACGTGAATAAACTGTGCTTTTGCGATCCGAGCTCCAATAGAATCAGAAACAGTATCTTTAGGAAACTGGCGAAATGGCAATGAGGACAAACATCGCCTCGATATCTCATATGGTTACTACATGGAAAGCAACTTTCCCAAGATATAGATAGGTAGACAGCATGACGACAATAGTTGAAGCGATAAAAGCGTGAGATGGCAATACCAGGAATCGTTGACCTGGAACACTCTCAATTGCCTATATGGTCACTACTCGCGATTCGTGAATAAAAATCACATGTTGTTCCGCATCTCGTTTGGTCATAGAGTTTGCGACTAACCAATGCCAACAAGCCATGCGTAAGTTGGTAGTATTTTTGGGTAGCATTTGCTCTGTGTACTCGTCTTCCTTGGTCAGTTGCCAGGCTGCTCATCTGATTTGCTGCCTTGATCGCCATCAGAACATTGTCTCATAAGGGAACAAAATCACACAATAATTCTACATTTCCTCTGCGCACGAAGTGAGTCAGTTATCGGTATTTGTTTCATTTCTCTGGATCGTAATTCACTGCACGAGCACATGTACATTTTGGTGACGTCTGACAGATGACTACCCACCTTCCACTTGACGTTTGCGGTTGGTTTGGCGGAGGGCAAAGCTTAATACAAGAATAAGAAGCTGGCGTTGCCGCCATGGATCCCATCCAAGGCCATTTTGAAACACGCATCGTACTGCTTGCTTGGAATTTTACTTGCAAATGAGAATCTTCAGCGTCTTCGCCCTTTTGCCGGCTCTTGGTGGCCTTTGTCAGGCTGCTTACAGAAACCATATCCTCAAGCCCGCAGTTCAAACTGATTACGATGTCATCATCGTCGGAGGGGGTCCTGCAGGCCTCAGTGCAGCCAGTGCTTTGGCCCGAGTTCGTCGAAATGTCTTGTTGATTGACTCCGGAGACTATCGAAATGCTGCCACCCGGCATTTGCACGACGTGATTGGGTATGACGGTAGGTCGTCCTCCTCAACAAGAAGCTCAGCTGTATGCAAATAGTTGCTCAACACCGGACAGGAGTCACGCCGGCATACTTTCGCTGGATAGCGCGCAACCAGATTCGAGATTATGATACCGTGAGCTTGGTAAATGGCACGGTTACCAAGATCCAACCAGAGTCGGATAATTCCTACTTTACAGTCTCCGCCAGCTATCCAGAGGACCGTAATCTCACCTTGACCGCTCGAAAGATTATCCTTGCAACAGGATTACGTGATTTAATTCCTTCCACGCCAGGACTCCGTGAGAATTGGGCCAAAGGCATATACTGGTGCCCCTGGTGTGACGGCCATGAGCACGCCGACCAGCCGCTGGGGATCTTGGGGCCTCTGGAAAAGGGACCTGGTGCGGTCCGCGAAATTATCACTTTGAACCAGGATATCATCCTGTTCGTCAACGGCACGGACACACCTGATCAACGTACCGCCACGGAGGAGGACTTTCCCCAGTGGGAGCAGTACCTGAAGCTGCATAGCATAACAATTGACAACCGAATCCTAACATCTATTGAGAGGCTCAAGAATGGTACCACTGGAGATGAAGACCCCAGCCTCCCGTCTGTCCCCGAACACGATCTCTTTCAGCTCAACTTTGAGACTGGCCCGCCGGTGCTTCGGGCGGCTATCCTGACCAATTTCGAGACTGCGCAGAAGTCAAATTTAGGAGAGGAGACTGGGGTTGCTCTATATGGAGGGAAGCTCGCTGTTGATCCATCGCATGGCTTGGTCACGAATATTCCGGGGTTATTTGCCATTGGAGATGCGAATTCGGATAACACTACCAACATTCCGCATGCCATGTATAGCGGGAAGAAGACTGCCGTCTACATTCAAGGTATGCTGCACGGTTTGGACTACCCTATCGAGCGTTGGGCCCCATTGCAGAAGCTTACTTGATGCTGTTTAGTTGAACTGGAAACCGAAAATGCGGAGGCTGAGCTATCAGTCCAGTCTACCAAGACGAAGAGAGGGTTGGAAGATTACATGCGGACTTTATGGTCTCGCATGAATGTGCCAGGCGAAGTCCTCTACGCAGGAGAATTTGATCAATGAGTACTGAAGACGAGAAAGGTGGGCGTTTTATATCTTCCATGATCATTGCTATACATGGTCATTAAGCATATATAGAGCTTAAACACTTATAGTTGGAACTGCGTGGTATCCGTGAATTTCCCCTACTTACCGTGCTGAGCAGCTCCAATCTGGTTGTAAGCTAATTACACTACATCTGGTAAAATGGATCGCATGTAGAACCTCAGAGCACAAGAGCATCTCATTTCGCAGTCCTAGAGCAGCCGGGAGGTTGTAGATCATGTGCCTTCCACTGATCGAGCATTCGCCGAGCTTCATCTCGCTGCGTATCCTCCAAAGCAAATTGAGAAACAATGGCCATGGAAAAGTGCGTCCGAACGGCATCGCCGCAGAAAGGGTTGATCATGTTAAGATACATTGAGGCATTGAAGACGCCCGTTGCGTATGCCGAAATCGCGGCTTGGTGAGCATCAACCTCCGTTTGGCCGTCGGAAGCGATGGAATACGGAGCTTTGGAGAGCGAGATAATGAGGAGGATCGTGTGAAGGATCATGTGGGAGGCGCTGTATAGGGAGAGCATGCTTGCGGTGAGGGTCTCGTTGTTTGCAACCATCCACGAGCTGGACAGTGGATTCGTGAGCACCGAGATGGGAGAGGCGACGTTCAGGTAGGCACTTTCAGGGGTGAGAGAGCATTCAGGGCTCAGCGCAATAATCTCGCAGTGCTCTTGTCTAAACAGCAGCCACCAATCCTGCAGTTGCGCCAATAGAGCCATTGTCTTCCCCTCGATATCGGCTTTGCGGGTAGTAGAAAGGTCGTGGACGCGGTTTACGGAGGACCTGAGAGTCGCACCTTTCTGATCCAAGTACGGAAGGCGAAGCACTTTGGTGAAAGAGAGGAGGATGTCGATGAGTCGGTCGTAGCAGATCTTGTGCTTCTGCTGGAAAGGAATGGAGAGCCAATCGGGGGAGCTAAAGTTGGCAGATCGGTTCTGCATGATGGAGTAAAACGCCTGAGATGAGACTTGCTTAGCCACAGAAAGACACAACTCTGAAGACCACATTAGTTTAAGGGTCTAACATGAAGTTTCTCACCTCTCTGACTCTCAGTGAGCGCATCACGCTATGAGCGAGGCCGCAGACGCACTTCTCTGGACCTCGTCTCTCCAGCATCTCAGTGGCTGCCGCGTGGTGAAGTAGCTCTGCATCCGAATTCGCGCCCTGTAGAGCCTCGTAGAAAGAAAACATGATCGGAACACAAATCTCTGCAATTTCCGACATGCTTAACCCTTCCGAACCTACAGTCTCTGGGACAGATGCGACCATCACTGTTTTGGGGTCAGGTCCCAGTATCGTCGTACGATAGCTCTGTATCCCAGCCAAATACCATTTTACGGCGGCGACTTTGGCCCTGATGTCGTGATTTGTTACGGCGTGGTATAGTAGTGCCGCTGCGTGCATTGCGTATCTGAGAGAAGACGGCAGTGCGTTTTTCGCCGCTAGATGGGGGAGCTCGAGGATCCATGACTTGGGCCTGTTGGTGGAATAGCTTCGGCGAGAGCTGACGATGAGCTGAGCAAAGTTGCCGACAAAACAGTATTCGTTGTACGCTGAATCGTCAATTTGTGGAGGGATGGATATATTATAGTAGTTGGACGTTTTCATGCCGAAGCATTCTTCGTCGCTAAGGTAGGGGTTTGGCCGAGAGTTTGGTATAGACAAGGCGCCATGATAGCTACTCTCGCCATCTTCTTCAATTCTCAGAAGATCTGTGTATAATGATGCGCCCTCATTATTCTCTGTACTGTTAGTCGGGGGCGTTGAAGATGTGAGAGAACATTTCGCCAAAGACGTGCTCTCCTCAACAGTGCCTTGTTGCTCTGGAGCGTCGTCTGCAAGAGGAGGCTCCTTTGTCCGCTCTTCCGTCTCCTCTTTCGTAGCGACCGCCTTCTTCTTCCTCTGTTTCCTTGGCCTCATCGTGCTGCAAGATACCTTTTCCGTCATATCGAGAAAGACTGCGCCGCGAATCGCTCCCGAGCAAGACAGGCCGAAGCGAGAACACTTCTTACAGCATCCGGGCCTCTCATCACACTGCGTCAATCGTGTCAGAACCGTGATATTGCCCCAGGTTGTGTTTTGCCCAATGTAAGCGCAAGAGGTGGCGGAATGCGTCATTCTCACCTTGACACGGCGTGCAATACACTGCTCACATCCCTTGCTGCGCGGCTGTCTTCGAACGATGATCGTAGACATTGTGACTCGGCTGTGTTGACAACGCCGCTATAGTTCAGTTTGATCAATGTATTTACCAGACTCCGCTGTTATTTCTGCTTCTCTTTTCCTCGGGCTGTTTAAGAATCAGAAATTCCAGGGACTCGCCGTAATAGTCGTCATCCACAAAGGAGGTATTAGCCGAGGTAATAGGTCACAGACTTGCTCGTCAGTAACGCATCTCAAGAGCTCTTTGCAGATAAAGTAGGACACCGAAAGTCTCTTCGAAGAGCTTAAGATCATACAAGGTAAAGAAAGAGCAACGAGCGAGACGAAGAGCACGCTGTCAGGATGAGCATGGTGCTGGTGAGCATGGTGGGGAATAAAATGTTCACACAACTAGCGAAAGCCACAGTGATGACGCCTCTTGGGACCGTCTCTGCCCAGAATGCTTGCCACAAATAGTAGGCTGCTCCGCCTCCGTATTTGGCGGGCTCAGGCTAGCATATGACAGACACATGGCTCGGCTGGTCAACCGTCGTTTGAGGTAGCGTTAAAGCTAGCCACTGCCCCCCGCAAGAGCCCGAACACTTTTCGGTATGCGGTATCAGATGGTTACAGCGAAGATGAGGCCTAAGCTTAGAGAATGGCTGCAGGGCCTACAACTTGGGGGATAGATTCCATGGTGTTTCCCTGTGAGATCAGGACATATGTGGACGTGCTGGTTTGACAATGATGGGTTGGCTGCCTACGAGTACTTTACAGGAATATCCTGGCCTTGTGGAGAGAGACCGCATATCTCGGAGAAAAGCGGTCGCTAAGGCCCATCCTGCTCGGCAGAGGAACTTGAGATGACAATACTACCCCCTTGAGAGAATCCGAAGTATAAGTGGAGAGACTCGTCTTGCCTCGAATAATCTGTGAGATCTGTCAAGATCTTCACTACAAGCGGAAGGAATTTGCGCGTATCGAGACGTAAGATGCCCTTCTAATAGACATCCATGAAGCCTGGAGGCCCTCAAATGAGACAATACAACATCACCATCAAGCTTAGGTATTACATGGCTTCTCGTGAGGCCAAATATCAAGAAAGCTTGGGATTACTAGCTGAGAATAACTCCAATGGCGCTTATGAAGAACTATCTCATTGACTTTGGCTATGTCTTACATTTAGAAATGGAGCAAATGATATGCTGTTGAACAGTCACAGTGTACAAGCCTGACGCTCACAATAGCACGAAGTGCCCTAACTTGAGCGGTTATTCGGTGCTGGTAACAGAAAGTGCGAACCCAGGAGAGAGCTCATATGCCATGACGGTAGTTCTAGTTCCGCGGTTATAGCTGCCTCGGCGTCCTTTGGAACAACCTGGTTTCTCATCGAAACGGTACGCCAGCGTACGACAGGCCTTCCATCGATACCCTCAAAACGGCACAAAGGGCCTATGTAGGTCAGGCGGCCGTGGTAAGACAGGATTCTCATTGAAGGCGAGGGAGGAGAGATGCCGGGTTTTTATCACGAGAATAGCCACATTGGCCCCAGTAAAGAATGGCACTTATCAAGACATCAGTCAGATCGAGCGCGCAGCTTTATAAATAGCCACAACCACGTAATATAGCCCAAAGCGGAATCTGCAATTTGGCAGACAGAGTATGTCTCGAGTTGATCTATCCTGAAGCTGTCGAAGTTGGACAAACACTGTGCTGCGGTGCAGAAATACATATCCAAACAACCCTGAGGTGCCTTCAAAAACATATCGGTGGACTACTGAGAAACATCTCACAAGAAGCGAAACTAGATGCTTTACATATACGATACAAAGGTTCTTCAGCGCTATCATGGTGATTTGGGGTCCATCGATTTCGACAAGACTTGCCGCATCGTCTTCTTCTCTTCCGACAATGGGGCTGCTTCTGCACTTCCATGTCCTTATAAGTCAAAGACTCGCGATGTCATTACTTGGCGATGATGAATAGAATAGTTGGTAAACAGATGATATTCTAGGCTAATGTCTCGAACTTCAGAAATTATCCACAATACCTGAGTCTGGAGGTCAGCCCTGGTCAGAGGCAAAGGAGCGCTGTTTCGGCATCCATACATCATCGCGGGGCACTGCGCACATCAACGCTTCGCAGGCCTGGTAAACCCTCCCTCAATGCCCATAGAAAATGGTCCGCCGATCACGTCCAAAGAGCAAGAGATTACAGTACGACTAGAGAATCGCCTCAAACCTCGTGGCGGAGATGGTCGGTTGGACAAGTTGCCGAAAGCGGGAATTATCGCGACACTTGCATTAGAGCTTCGCCAGTTACCGTAATCAGGAATCTTCCCTCGACTACGGCATCGTAGAGCTGCCGACCAAGCGCGGGTTTCAATGCAAAGCATCATTTCAAGTCCGTGTTTGCCCCCTTTTTATGAGCCCCTAAGCTACGGGAAGTGGTAACAGTCCGCACAAGGTCCAGGGGAGGCGTATTCCGTGCCTATCGACCTGGTCGTCGACGTCTTTTGAGTGGCATTAACGACCCGTCACCGCCGACGATTATTCTCTTTGTGGTATCTTTCACGGCCTTGGAGTACTTTGGACGAGGAAATAAAGACGTTTGAGGTCCTGCTAGAGGGATTCGGGACCGATCTCGGCAAATTGACTCGAAGTCTGCCCAGAGACGATGGCACTTAGCAGTATGGACGGAGCTGAGGAGGGAAGGGGGAATTGCATATAATCGTGGCGATACCCTCATGAACTGGCAGTGTTGATTTCCCTTATCCGCCCATCATCTTCTGTTTCTTTTCTCAGGCTTCTGACAAACCTCATACCTCAAAATGCCCATCTCCATCACGATGCGCCCGCCGGAGAGCTTCCGGGACAAAGAGAGCGAGCTGGCCATGCGTATCAAGCAGCCCTTCAATGCTGCGGCAGTGGGTGATCTCATCCAGATGATGCCCTTTTCGAATCGAAACGACCCGGACATCCAAGCTCTCGTTGAGGTCATGCAAAAGGCTGACATCACGTTTGCCAACAACGAGAACACCGTCGTTGATCGCCTCACTTTCCGTGGCCCCGTCTCCCACATGGAGGCAGACAAGAGTGTGATAGACGACTGGAAGAATATGGGTATTGACATGGTCACAAAGGCAAACAATCACACCTTCGACAACGGGGACCCAGGTCTTGTACAGAACCTCGAACAACTCCGCCGCGTAGGAATTGAATACGTCGGAACGGATTACAACACAGTCGAAGCCCGACTTGCCCGCTTCAAGACTACGCCCAAGGGTATCGTAGGCTTCATCGGTGCTTATGCGGAAACCGAAGACTACTCTCAGCTGGTTGGCATTCCTACGGGAAACACCGTGGTCGTAACGCCTGAACAGCTTGAGCAGGTGCGAGCAATTCGCGACAGCATAATTGCCCGCCGAGACGAGGTTAGCAGACCGCTCGGCATGCCAAAAGCTGACCCCGAAGGATCTGTCCTCGTCTTTGGGCGGCAGTTCAGAGTGCAAACTGCCAGCGCGGAGGCAGACGAAGAAGTGACCGGCATCAAGAAGCGCCTCGATCACCACTTCGGTTCCAAGGGCAAAATAGTGTACAAGAACAACTCTCTGCGCCTGAGAGTTTCCCACAGCGTCACGGCGGAGCAGATGAAGCAGCTCAAAGTTATCGCCGGTGTCGACCCCAACGACGGCTCCGAGACGCTGGACGCCTTTGATGTTCACTTCAAGGTGGCCGAAAAGCCTGGAGAATATAGCTACGAGATGGAGCCTCAAGATCTCCGCGACATTCTCCGCGAGGTCCGTTCTGGCAAGCAGTTTTCCGATTTCCTCAGCGTCACCATACACTGGCATCAGAACCGCTTCTCCTTCCAGCACTACTCCTTCGACCACTATCCAGCAGATTTCCAGATCAAGTTCGCGCGGCAAGTCATCGATCACGGCGCCGATTTCTTCTTCGCCCACGGTGTGCACACGCTCAAGGGCGTGGAGATATACAAGGGGAAGCCAATCTTCTACGGTATCTCCAACTTTGTCTTCCAAAACTCCCAATTCCGGTCCTGGCGCGACGATGCCGCCTTTCGCGCTCCTACTCCTCTGGAAGGTCCTATTATTGGAGACGGCGAGAACAATGAGGGCCGCTGGGCATGGCTAGATCTGCCGGAGAACAAGGAAGCTTTGCTGGTTTCAGCGGATTATCTTGATGGAAAGCTGTCCCGAGTGCGTATCTATCCGGCCGACTTGGGGCGGACACCTCGCCCTGGCTCTATGATCGGAACTCCCACCAGGCCAACCGCTGAAGTCGCCAACGACATTCTCGGGCGGCTCTGCGAGTACTCTCAGCCGTTTGGGACGAAGATTAAGATTGAAGACGGAGTGGGCGTGATTGATGTTACTGCTCAATAGGATAAGTTTGCATGATTCGAGCAGCTGTTTTTTTTTTTTTTTTTTTTTTTTTTTTTTTCGCTCGCAGAGATGAGAAGATAGCCTTAGAAAAATTGAACTACCTTACACACAAACGCGTGTACGGTGTGTTAAGACTGTAAGTTTGTGAAGGCATTGTTCCGCTGCAGAGCAAAGGAATCTGAGGTACGAGTCATGTGCTTCGAAGGATCAAGAAGGATTCTGGGGGTTCATGTACCCGCGTCGGACATGCTCTTCGTAAGCCGAGCACTAAAGCTGAGAACGTGACCCTTGTTTAGCCTACGAGTAGTCATCAATCCCGAAATCGAGAGCTTCATCATGCCACAGTTGAAGCATTACATACCTCTCGAAAGGGTCTATATCAACCAACCGCCCATTCCAACTTCGCTTGTCGTCGGTCGAAGAGTCTTACATCTCAAACACGATTCATCCAGCAATTGGATAACTCAGCAAGGGTCGCGATGCTAGTGTTGAGCCAAAGGAAATGATATTCTCGATTGACCATGTCTACAGCTGACCCATCAGCGCAGCTGGACGCTCCACGGCCACTATCAAAGCCCAAGAAACCACTCTCTTGCATCTCCTGTAAAGTCCGAAAACTCAGATGCGACCATGAGAGACCGTCTTGTACTCGATGCGCCAGAGCCAACAGCGAGTGTATTTATCCGGAAGCTCGGCGCAAGCCGAAATTGTTGCAAAACAATGTCAAGGAGCTGGAGGCTCGGATCGGTATGTTTTGGAATTCTGTCACTCAGAGGCACGCCTCTGCTGGTTTTGCTGAGATGCTGACACTCACACTTCATGATAGCCCAGGTTGAAGGATATCTCAAGGAGGTTGGCCAAAAGGGTCTTGACGTCAGCAGAGACATCCCTGTTGCCGGGCTGGACAGCGAAGATCAGCCCAGTAGCGAGCACCAACAAAGTAACGAGATAGCGGTCGAAGATGACGCCGCCTTTCATGACCTCAACACTCTGTCCGGCAACTTCGCCGTTGAGGGTCCGCTGTTTAGCCAAGATGCGGTCGATGAGAGTACGGCTCGAGCGGGATCACAGCCGCTATTCGGATTCGCAGACCTTGACGACCAAGCTGGCAGTACGTTTGGTAGTGATCAACTCATAGATCTGGGCATGTCGGAGGCACTGCCGCCTCCTGAAGTGATAGAAGATTTGTGAGTTTCCAGACGCGATATGGCGACAAACTTCTCATCCATCAGTAGGCACACGTCCTTCTTCTCTACGCAATATCATTACATGCCGGCAATTCACTCTGGTCGCTATTACCGAGCTTTTTATGGCAATTCACTGAGCAGGCCACCAATGTGTTTGCAGTATGCCATCTGGGCAATGGGCGCTTTGTGGCATCCTAAATACGACCGATGCGCTGATGTATTCTACAAAAGAGCGAGACATTATGCCGAGACTGACGAATTGGAGGTGAGAAGCTTCAGGGCAGTAATGACGGGGCCATAGCTAACGCGCAGCAAGGGTAACGGAGATCACTTCATCACGATAGCACATGCCCAAACCTGGATCCTGATAGCATCCTATGAAGCCAGAGCTATGCTCTACACAAGAGCGTCCATGAGCTGTGCTCGAAGCTGCCGACTCGTGCAAATGATGGCGCTCGATAGGATAGATACGCCAGACGGGACTTTCTCTTCAAATCTAAGTCCTCCGAGCGACTGGACCGAACTGGAAGAGCGCAGGAGAGTCTTTTGGATGGCATATTCCAATGATGCTCAGGGAAGTATAGCGACTGGCTGGTGTAGCATCATCAGGACGGAAGAGGTGAGTTTCTCGCTCATACATTCGTGGAAAAATAACACACCTAAACATGCATAGATAATGACTCGACTTCCGGCCAGCGAAGAGGCCTTTGCATCTGGCCAAGAAGAAACTGCGCCTTTCTTAGACGAGGTGATGAAAGGCGCACCTTACAGGGGCTTTACTGGCTCTCTCGTCCTAAACGAGATGCTAAAGTCCATCATGTCACACGCTCATCTACTCAAGTCTTCTGACCGACCCGAAGATGCCATGAATGGTGCTTTTTGGCAGAGACACCGCCAGCTGGATAACCAATTGTCCAAGCTGTTCCTGTTCATGCCAGAAAGCTTCCGCCTTCCTGAGAACATACGAGACCCTCTTGCTACATATATCAACTTGAACTTCCATGCTTGCGTGATATGCCTGCATCACGTTGCTCTCGAGAAGATTGAGACATACGAACTCGATGATTCGCTGAGAAAAGAGTGCCGAGGTCTTCTCAAAAACGCCGCTGAAGAGATTGCCAGCATTGCTAAACTGACATCTCATCGCTCATCTTTATTTGTACGAGACCCCCTTTTCGACATTGAAGACCAAGGCTAACAAACTGTGTAGAGCAACCCCCTATGCGCATTTTCACTCTACTGCGCCACCACTGTCTATGTGTATCTCGCCAAACAAGACCCTTCTTCTGGAATCAATCCCAAAGACATGTCCAACCTGGAGCTCATAATCAACGTCATGGAAGCCATAAGCCGCATCCACATGATCACAAGCGCGTTCCTGCAGCAAGCATGTCTCGATATTGAGAAAAACGGCCTCTCGGGCATCATCAAGCTGCCTACTCTTCACCAATACCGGGATCTATTTGGCGGTCCTACTTCCTTTATTCCGCTCATGGCACGGAGTCCAATATCGAAGCACACACAGATGAGCTCTCCGTTGCCCGGGCGACTTCCGTTGGATAAACCCTTGGGACACTTGCGGCCAATGAATCTGAGAATGACGAAGTCGGTCCCGCTGCTCACTGGAGTGACGGCGTGTATGAGCCGGATGGACATTAACGACACCTTCCGGCCTGCTCTGGGTGCTATATCCCGAAATTTAGAGCCCCGCTCTACTGACAGCTCTCACAAGAGAAAGCGACGACCTTCGACCTCTCAGCTCTCTACAAATATAAGCGGTGACTTAGCTGGAGATATTGCTCTCCACGGATATGAAGGGATTGGACATCCAATGCATTTATCGATGAGCAACCTAGGAGAACAAACAGGGAAAGGGGATCAGTTCCTTGGCAGTACAAACCAACCATGCACTTTGGATACGCTTCTCGGTGAAGCAGCGAGCAGTGCTGCAGAGCATGGTGAAAGCTGCAGACCTCCCAAGGACGCTGATATGTCGCAGTATTCGAGCGATGCGCCGGTTACAGCGTGGCATACAATGGATGAGGTTCTCAATTTTCCACAAACAACTTCAGATATACCCGAGATCAGTGGCGATGGATTGGATTTTGTATTAAGCCAGGAGTTCGGGTCATGACAGCCTGTGTACACTATGTAAGGTATGATGCCTTTGAGAGACTTACTCTGACTGAGTGACATCTTCACTCGTTTGAACATGATAGAAAGCAAATATAAGTCCTAAATTAGAAGCGTATCCATGTACATTTCTTCTACGTTGCTACAGATATTTATTCAAGTAGCTACATCATAAATTATCTCAACTTTATAAGCTCAGACATCTCGTATACCGTCCTGCATTTACATGTTTACCAGATCTTCATTGCCGATTGAGCTCTTCACCAACACCCGAACAATGCTGTTGTCGGACTTCGGGCTTCGGCCTCCTCACTTCAGCG